GATTCCCCAGGTCAACTGCATCCATTCCCGACGCTTCTTGTTGTAAACCTCGAAGATACGAATGCGAAATCCCAAGTCGGTCTCGACCACTCCTTGATCGAGTGAGATTCGGCCGTCAATTGGAGTGCAGGGATAGATTCTTGGGGTAGCACCGTCCTTTGAAGCTTCTGATTAATAAATCGACCACTTGACGCTCAAGAAACACACCTTGTACCAGAAAACAGCATTCACAGGGACAGCCTTCCCTGTGACTCGTGGAGACCTCTTGGCTTTACGCGTAGCAGATCGTGCAGGTGAGCTCGTTTGTTGGTGCTGCACCGTGGACGACGCTGGGTATGCACGCCGTTTTGGAATGGGCCCCGGGATTCTTTCCGCGAGAACGAGATAGCTTTCAATGATGCTCCGCTCGGACGCAGACAGGCGAGACAACGCCTCCTCCGCAGCTTCCGAAATCTGAAGCTGCTAAAACGGAAACACCATCAGCAAGCTTATGATATGTAGCAAGTGACTGACTGACTGAGTAGTTGTGTGGCTCACGAACGGCGGTGCTCGTATTCTTGACACTATCGTGCGACAGCCGATGTTGATCCAAGGCGGCCGCAAGCTTTGAGTATCTGGGAGTCGTGTTCGGTATCATGGTCTCTATCGGCGCAAGGTGTTGGACCCGCACCTTTTGAATCAGCCCACCAGTCCAAGCGCACTTTGGATTGCGACACAAAGGTCAAGTACCAGAGCGGCCGAAAAAAGGACCATGCTTGGACTCGCTTGGACCTACCCGATACGGGGGCCAAAGTATGCGCATTTTTGTGTCATGAACGACAACATGGCCAGCGACGCTGAGTCAACTCTTGAACTGGCGTGCGGGTGATGCCAAATCTTCCTGGTAGTGGGGCTGCTGTGTTCGGCAGGAGAACGGACTTTTCGAGACAGCCACAAGAATACGTTCCACGTGTCCTTCTGTAACCTCGATGTCCCAGGTAGTCTAGTCTTGCGTCTCAATGGCGTGGCTGTGGGGTGAAATACACGCAACCATCTGCAAGAATTGGAATGTATAATAGCAAAAGGCATGCGAGAGTAAAGTACGATTAGTCCGACAGTTTGTCTCGATCAATGCTGTGGAGAGGCAGCTCCGTGTCATCGGCCAATGTCTGTAATCAATTGAGGGTCAACTTGGATGGCGGTAACAAGAGAGCTAGACCCACTGCTATCCAATTGATGCGCGGCTTCAGACATCGTGGAGCGCTCCGCAAACTCCTGCCAGAATGCAAGGGACGGACATTCCGCCTCATTACGCTGCTTCGACATCAGCACGAGCACGTTGCCAAAGCCACGCATGTCGAAGACCGATAGGCATGTGTCGAAAACATGCTCATGCACGCTGAACATGTCGAAATCTTCCACGACAAAATCAAAAGGGAAGCGATAGTCTCCAAGCTTGATTGCTGCTCTATCCGGAGCCCAGATATTCCCTTGCCAGAAGGAATCCTCACCGTTTCCCACAGAGGGGTATGCTATCACGCGAACTTGACTCCAACCCTGTGGAAACGCTGAGTGGGGAGGCATGAGGATACACACTTCCTCGTCTGGCGCAAAAACAGCTGGGAGCCGTCAGTACGTCAACGAGAGCAAGAGCAGGTCAATGACCTTTGTGGTCCTCGTCCAGGAAATGTACTGTTTCGGATCGTTGGCCAACGTCCAGCACATTATAGAAGCCTGAGTGCTTGTTCAGTTTAGACTGTATCGTAATAACTGAATCATCCTACCGCCGTTACAACTGTCCATCGTTTCCGGATTAGGAGGAAGCTGGTCCGACGACATCAAATCCAGCAGGTATCTGCATGATTTCAGCTGCGTCCCTGGAATATGCTCAGCGCATGGATCGCTGGAAGTTTGCAAACTCTCACCGATGTGTCCTGCCGCCTGCGGAGGAAGAGCAGGAAAGATTCCCTCGCTCAACACACTGATGGCATCTGCCGCAACCTCTAGCGCAGAGGCAAGACACGCCAGTGCCTCGGCACGAGGTCTGAATTCGCGAGCTAGTGAGCGAAGTACTGCCTCTTTCGAGTCCGTACGTTTGAGGGGGTAGTATTGGGTCGCGCATTTCTTCCCATTGATTCCGTCGCAGAAACAAGCCCAGGGCATGACTAGCGCATCGTCGAGATCACCACTGCACAGAGCAAAGAAGTGCGTGTTTCCGGTGTGCCGGCCGTCTGCGTCCAGGCAGACAGTTGTGAATTCGGCAGGATTGGGCGGGCCGTAGATCTCGAGGCACATTGCTTCGGTATCGTCCACAGGTGTACGAAATGTAATCATCCCGTGAATGCACTGGAAAGAAAAGAGTTGTTTTTTCGAGATCTCACCTGTTCCAGTATGTATATATCTCCCCCAGAGTATGTTGTAGATGCCATCGAGGTGAGACAGAATCGATCCTTTTGTTGTTGTTTTTGTTCCTCTCCGGTGAAGCCCCACATGCCCGCGTTTATTGTCTGATTTATTGTTCGGGGCGTTGCGCGACTCTGAGTCAGCGCAACCATTGCGAGCTGACGCATAGTCAAGCATCGTTGTGGGTTGAGGAGAAAGCGCCGGGAGTGATTGAGTAGCATGTGGCAGTGTTGATCTAACTGACGCATCACTTAGGTCTGTGATCTACTGACGCATCACTCATACCTGATCCATGCCTCCACACACCACTGGTGACTTCGCGTCCCTGTGGTATTACGGATGACTTTGCGTCGCCGAACGAGCTCTTGGGGCCTTATCAGGTCAATACGAAGTCTCACCTGTATAGCTCACTCGTGCTTCGTCGCCCCGTCCCCGACGCACTGATCACTGCGACTTTGCCTTGCCGCCTCGCCTTTGCCTGCTCTGCCTCGTGAGTCCTGTCGGGTGAATTTGGGACGCGTATGATGCTACTATCTCATACGGATCACGAATTTCCATGCTGCTGTCTACGCGCTTCGACCACGAATCGCAGGACGAAGGGTCAAGAACAAAAGCGAGCCAATAAACATCCAACTGGGCAGTACGTGCTATTGTCTCGGAGATGCTATTTGAAACCGTGGGTCCTCGCCTCCATGCACCCCATTCATCCTTACTCGCGATGCCAGGGAGCTCTGGTTCTGCCTGCTTGCGTCTTTTGGAGCGTGTCGTGCCCAAACCTCTCCAGTTTGAAAGAGAGGAGTGTCGACACTCCTGCAATCGAAAATGGAGCCTGTGCCTCGGTGCTACACAAAACACGCGTCACCGAATTGGCATCTGGACGTACGGGGTGAGTGGTGTCTCTTTCCGGCATGGATTCAAAGGCTGACCAGGAATTCAGTGCTGGTCGGGCAAGGCGGGGTGTCTGCGCTCGATGAGATCGGCTGCACCCTTGCCAGAGATCCAGGCGGACCTTCATTCTCTGCTCGCTCAGTTCAAAGTGATCATGAAAGCAGAGGGCGAGATCAGAGCCCAAGCTGAACTCAAGTCCGATATATTGAGACTGAAGGAGCTTCTCGCGCATGATGGTAACGTTCTATCTCTCCAGATACTTCCACAAAACTGAACCTCGTCTCGCAGAAGACACAGTTGCGCCGACATACGGGAAGCGTAAGGCCCCATCAAGTTTCAGTTCATCGGCCGCTAGTAAGCCGTATGATCACATACTACTTAGTGTTGACGCTCCTGCACAGAACGGAGACTTACGGACACGGCCAAAGATGAGGGCATATCGAGCCCAGAGTCGGATGACCCAAGTGAGCTGACACTGTCGCTATGTCGCCATTTCGCTCCGCTTAGCTGCCGAGCTCTCACAGATCAGTACGATGCGAAGACATATCATCTTGGTTTAGCTCAAAGTAGGTGTATACGGCTTAATTTTTTCATCTTTTGCTCAGACACCGAATCTAGCTATGCACGTCACATTGGTTCTCTATGTCTGTAATGGCTTGCCGACCGTATTGCATGCAAAATTGAACTATCCAACGCGACTTGATCTGTCGAAGCTCAACTTCATTGGCGATTTTGAGAAGACAAGAATCGACGGGCGTCCGTTTTCTGACTTCGAGTGGTTCTGCCCGCTGCACAAACAGTTTTTGCCGGATGCATTCACTACGCAGATCAACATGCAAACTCGTGGAAATGTTCTCATTTGCCGCAAAGCGAGCCTTACCGAAGCCGAATGCAAAGATCTGTCGTCCTGGATGGATCAAGTTTACTCATCGGTCCTGTCTCTAGCTAAAGGTGTGTCCGTGGCTGCTATTGCGTGTGTTTCTGATCGGTCTTGTTGTAGTTCTAGAGTCCACAACAACCGCTGGCGAGGGAACTAGTACTATCCAAGCACGAACGCAAGCATCTTCCCCCGTCGCCGGACCCTCAAGTCGCACCGGGCATAGCAACGCCCTGCGCTCCAGTTCCCCTGACCCAGTTTATTCGAGTCGCCAGTCGAAGCGGCCGGTTGGCGCGAGGCAGCGGCGCGATCCCGAAGTCACCAACTACGAGGAGGCAGGACGCGATTCTGCAGGAGAAGAGGCCTCTTGGGACATCATCATTATCAGTGACGACTCGGACATTGAGATCATTGAGATTTCGGACTCAGACTAATGACATACACGAACTGGACTTTGTATCTTGACCGATCAATTTAAATTGGTAGTATCTACTCTTGCATCCTTCAACACAAATACATATGCATTCAGCGCCAGTTGACCAGCGATGTGTTTGCTATCTAATTCTCGCGCTTTTAGTAAACTTTTAGTCGAGAGATCATGATAGCACATGATCTGATGTGGGGCTGTGCCTATCACGCTCCGACTTTGCTTTCCTTCCACTCGCACAGACTCAGCGTCGTGCAATTGGGCTGCAGACTAAGCGTCGCAGCTGTCGCTTTCTCTTTCCGAACGACGGCGAAAAACACGATTGGAGGCTAGCAACCAGGCAACCCTGTGGGTTACCTTCCAAGAATGCCCTAAACAGCGCTGAGCGATCTCTTAGATTCATCGACCGACCGACCACGCACAGACTCAGCGTCGTGTGATTCGGCTGCAGACTCAGCGTCGCAGCCGCTGTACTTCATGTCGGGACCTTCTGTGAACGAGCGCTTCCTGGTCAACCGCAATACAAAAGGTGCGGCTGGCGCTGTGCTTAGCGAGACAATTTGCTGATATACCCGCTCCAGCCGCACTAGGACCTTTCGACGGACGGAACGCGGCTGTCTTCCGCTTCCAAGGGGATGAATTTCTTGTCACTACCCTGGCACACTATGTGCCTGCATTCCCGTCCGCTCTCCGTCACCAGTTGTACCTCCGAGAAGACTACGGTTACGGCGAGGACGACTTCACGCGTTGGCCTCAGCAGTACAGTGCTCAGTACTGTCATTTGGCTGCTATACGCAGCCCCGACCCTGCCTCTGACGAATTTGGCATCGCGTGGTGGAAGATGACCCCTGACGCTTTTGTCACCAAGTCAGGGGATTCGACTCTTACACCTGGCCTGGGTCTCTTGCGCAGCGACAAATGGGAGGCCCTCAAGTTGCTAGTGGGATCGCTTTCCCACCGAGGCTCAACCATGCAAGCACGACAAGGAGGTGCTGCTCCTCGCATCCTCGCTGCACTTCTCGCTGCAATTCAATCGGGCCTTGAGCGACTGCGGTCTATCCCTACCAATCTGGCTCAGCTTACACTATCAATCGCACGGCTTCAGTTCGCTGTCCTGGAAACGGATGCGATCATACAGTACATGAACGTCTATCACCCTCGTATGCTCAAACCGGCAGCGCAGCCCACTTGCCTGGCACCGTGCATTGGCGCGTATACGTCGGATCCCTCGGTGGCTCAACAGTTTCATGCTGCCGGCCTTCCCTGTTGGTACATCCGTCCGAGTGGAGCTTTTGTACGAGAGAACATCTGGGAACTGGTGGAGCAAGTCGATCCTTCTCAGCATCTTGTGCTCCAACCACATCCTCGGTTCACTGAACGATTCGAGACCTCGAACAACACGGAGAGGAAGATCAGTTTTATCCACCAGTCAACAATGATCAAGTCGTGCTATCGAGATCCATTTGATGACGGGGACAGTGCCAGAGGCGACAGCTCTACCTCGGCTAGCACTGTGTCAGGTAGTAGACCGGATGTCGTCAATGCACCTTCACAAGCTGATCGACGCTGGAATCCATGTATGTTGTCTCACATCACAGTGTGCACGTACGCTGACCAGTATCAGACAAACAGCCTGCTGCCCGTCCATCGCCGAAAGAATCAGCAGGGCGGAACAAGTTCGAGCCCCTTCGAGACCGCCCAGGAATGCCGGACGAGATATACACTTGGGTCAATGCGCTCAAGTCCGTGGATCGCTCCAACCACCCTCGATACAATCCTGGCCCGAGAGACTCGTACTACCTCTTGCCTGAGCCGGCTCTGCTTCTGTCTCCGGACAGGGAGGAGAGTCGACTGCAGCGCATCTTTCACTTCATGTTACTACGAGACGCACTTGAGCATCGATTCCACCATGTGGAAGACGCCAAGGATCTTCTGCTCTCGTCACAAGAGTGGAGAGAGGTGTTGGCCGGAAAAGTAGTCGAGACTGGCCGTCGTGAAACCAAATCTCGTCAGAGAACAGCCGCCATAGAAAAGGTCTTGGCGCCAGCGTTGGCAGCCTGTGGCATTGACGGTCGCTCACTCCCGGTTCCATTGGCGGAAGTCCCTCCCTGTTCCAAGTATCGCATGCGGGAGATCATCTGGCAGCTGGGACAAGCACAGTTCCGTTTTGAGCTCATGGCCCTCGACCGCAGGGCCAGCGGATTGTCTCGTGAAGCTCAGTGCATGTCTTGTTTTCCAAGCGGGGCTTTGATCGCCATTGAGCTGAAGGAGAGCAAGATGGGGATGTGCTCGACCATGCTTCGCGATCGACTGCCCTATCTGCGGTCGTTGTTGAACCTGATGCACGATTGGCGGGGTCTGGATCAAAAAAACCTCGAGCGGTACAGGGGGGCCTACACACAGGACGAATGTCCATTTGGAAACATCCAGTCGCTGGAGAAGTTTGTGTCCCGTATCTATTGCCAACAGTTCTACGAATACTTTGGACGCGCTGCTGTTATCCCGACTCGACTGGAACATGATATTGCCACTATGTAATCTGCTATCCTATCGTCCTTGCTTTGAAACGCTCCTGCCTCCTCGCGATGTCGCCCCACTTGTCTTACCTATCGTGTACAATATTGAAAACGTATCATCGTATCAGTCTCATTTTGATATAATCGCTACCTACTGTACATACTTACAATTCATCGTTGGACTACGTACACAAACCCCAGTTTGGGGGTTAATGGCATCAAAGTGTGCTTGGATCTCGCGCTTGTGTCTCACCACCATCACCATCTTACCTCTCCCACTTGTGGTTCCAAGACTTCCACATCCTGGGCTTGACTGAGCGTCAGCCCCTCTTGTCTCTGATTTTGCATCGGGGCTCACTGACTGTATTCACGCGCGCTCACAGCATTTTGTGACGCGAGCCAGGCTCTAAGCTCGCTTGTGTCTCACCACCACCACCACGTGTAAGTCCTGGCCCTGTCATCTGGACACTTGTCCGCCTGGGTCTGACTGAGCGTCAGCCCTTCACGTCTTTGATTTCGCGTCAAGGATCAACGACTGTATCTACACGCAAGCGTACAAGGGCAAGTGGTACAAATCTTCCCGCCGGGCCTGTCCGGTACGTTCATCAGGAGTGTGTTTGCCAATCTGACTCAGATATGGTAGAACATGGATCTGCGTGAAGACGAGGGCGATACGATCACCAGGGGGCCGCGAAAGAGAGTCAGCCGAAAGCGGGGCATTGCGATTGTTGACGATGATGAGACGCTGAATGGAAGCCCGATGTCTGGCTTCTCGAATCCTGGGCCAACAGGGATGGCTCCAGTGACCGACACGCGCAAACGAACTCGCAGAGACGCGCTGGTCCATATGATCGAGGACGATGTGCCTTTGTCGGTGCCACTTGACCGCCAACTCGCATCTAGCACCCACGAATGTATGCAGTCGCCTTGGTCTGGCTACATGGAAGACGAAGAGATGTCAAACCCAATCATTGCGGATGCTAGTTTGGAATCAACCCCGCCACGCAACTATGGTCCAAAAACTCCGCTTGTACGATTTCAGGTAAAGTACTGCGTGAATGCTTCAGTGCAGACTAAGCATGTCTCTTAGGGTGCATCGGTGGCTATTAATCAAGTGCGGCCTCATTTCGATACCATGCAACAGCACATCCTGGACAGTTTCTGCGCGCGGGATTTGGGGACTCGCTGTCGGTGCGGGAAGGCTGAGGCTGGCGACACGTGTGTTCGTTGTCGTGACTGCTTCAAGGCGCCCCTGCTATGCGACTCATGCTTGGTTTCGTCCCATGTCAACAATCCCTTTCACGTCGTAGAGCGCTGGACGGGGACTCATTTCGAACGCACCTCCTTGCAGGATTGCGGCATGGTGATATTCCTGTGCCTCAACAGTGCGGGCGAACGGTGTCCACAAGTTACCGAGAGATCTGCCCGACGCACCAACACGGTTGTTGTGGGAGACATCGCCGGTTTCCAAACCATCACGATGGAGTTCTGCAGCTGCGTTGCTGCAGGTAGCAGTGTAGTGAGCAACGACTGGCAGCAGCTGATGGCCCTGCATCTGTATCCCGCTACACGAACCTCGATCAAGACCGTCTTTACGTGGCGAGTCCTCAAGCAATTCCATATCCACTCTTTGACCTCGAAAAAATCGGCATATGACTACGTCGGTGCTCTACGAAAGCTAACAGATAATGTCTCGCCTTCCACTGTGCCGGTCAGTGACGACTCTGACAGTAGATGCAAAGTGACTGACCTGTAACAATCCACAGGACCGCTATCGTGAATTCAAGCTTGCTCATCGGATATGGCGCTTTCTGGCGCTGAAGAGACGAACTGGACAGGTGCATGGCTTCGATAAGTATGTAACCAATCGTCGGAAGGAGTCTCTGGCGGTCAGGTGCCCAGCTTGCCCCGAAGTAGGCTTCAATATGACTCATGAAGCGATGGTGGCAGCCTCCCCAAGTGAAAGGTATGTGAGTGCATGCTACCTAATGACAACAATTGACGGAGGCAGGCACAAGTATACGCTGTACCTATCTGTTGACGGGAACTTCAAGTTGCAGCGTAAAAACAAACGGGATGACCCTAATGATGTGGCTCTCAATGACGGGAACGGCTACTTTGTGCACACGGCAACTTACAATGAGTATGTAAAGCAAGTGCGGCCTGTCGATGAGGTAAGTGTATCATTCTTCAAATGAGATCTGATTCAATGGTGCCGTACACAGACAAGCACTTGTTCTCATTTGCGTGCAGCCCGGATGCAGAACATCGCCAAATTCAAGAACGCGGTTATCAGTGGCGTAGTCGGTGTTCAGTGTGCTCGCCATGGCTTCTACATGCCTCAAGGAATGGTTGATTTGAAGAAAGGCGAAGCGTAAGCTCTGGTCAGGGAGGGATCACACTGGTTACTGAACTGCGTTTTAGATTCAGTCTTACAGATTATGCTCTCGTGTTCGCCCTTGCAGAGGCGTGGACTTTACGCTGGGTCCTAGTAACGTATGATATCTGGTGCCAGTACCACGTCAATCTTCGAAAGCGAATTGAGCATTGGTTTCCTTCAATGGCCTGGCTGTTCACGCTGGTAGTCTTGTCCGGAGCCATTGGCAAAATGCACATCCTCAACCACCAGGCTGAGTGTCAGATCCGGTGGAACCTTAACTGGCTGACATTTGTTTCATTTACAGTCGGAGAGATGATTGAAGCAGGCTGGGCTGAGCATAATCTAGCTGCGGGAAGCTCGAAGGAGGAGAACGATGGGAATCGTCATGACTCTATTGACGACATCAGTGGTTCGTGGAATTGGGACAAAACAGTAAGAATAGGTAAGCGGGACACTTCTTCAGAATCAGTTCTCATGGTAGCCTGTAGCGTCGGCACTTCAACATCTTAGTCGGGTCTGTCATTCCGAGAAGCGTATTCGATCAGATCACTTCGAAGAACTAAACAAGACAACGCCTGCAAAAAAGGTCTGTGAATGGGAGGCGATGGACGTTCAGCCACGTATGGTGGAAGGGAAACTAGTCAGTGTTTTCCAGACCAATTTCAACAAGGGTATGTGAACACTGGGTATCCGGTCCGAGGGGCTTATGGATTGTTCAGGCCCACCCACGCATGCCGATGCCTACGCCAGACTCCTTGCTATCGAGGGAAAGAAGTCTTCTGACCTGGCAGCACTGCCTGCAAGTGATCTGGCCCTGGTGACAAGTGCTTTGCTGCTGGAACGTGATCAGTGAGTACATATCAGATCACCAGAACGGCGCTAATCTTTTGACTTGCGAAGACATCATGTACGTCGCATGATCGCCACAAAGGCAGAAGAAGCGTTGGTTGATGCTGGGCGCCTCCGTGTCTTCAAGTCCTTGTTGGACTTCCGGGCTCAATATGTGGCCCGAATTCCGGTGTTGGCCTCGCACATGAGGGATGCGGATGCAGAGAAGCCTGAGCTGGAATCCTTGTTCCTGCCATCATGCTTCAGCCTCCCTGCACGCACAGACATGCAGATGATGGCGTTGGCAAATATCGAGTACAACTTGCGTGAGGGCCAGGCATTCGATGCCTTGGCGGAAGTCAGAACGGCAATCCAAACACTCAATTACAATATTCAGCTAAAGAAGACACAGATTCATGGCATTGGGGCAAATACAAAAACGCAAAACTATCTCAGAACCCTGAGCAACAATATCCAGATTGGGGCGGACAAGTATCGCCGGAGTCGAAAAGCCCTCATCGAACTGGGTCTTCCTGTGGATGATGGGTCGCTGCGACCTCTGGAGAAAGAACATCTGGTTGGCAAGAGCGGGAGGCAGGTCAGGATTGGAGACGCCAAGACGCATGAGTCGTGGATTTGGACAACCGGTCGAGGGGCAAATATGGATGAGAGCGATGTGAAGGAATGGGAAGCAGAGCGTAAGTCATTTGCTGAGCTGCTGAAGGAGTGCTTACGCGATTGTTCAGTCCAGCGAGTGCAATGGTTCCAGGCGCGGGTGCTGCGTGACAGGGCCATTGAGGAGGGAGAGACTCTGCACGAAGAGTGGAATCGCACCATTGCCGCTTTCGAGAACTATGCTGCTATTTGGGTCAGTCTTGCTCAAGAGCAGACCCGTCCGGGAGGGAAGGCCTATGGTTACAAACAAGCTGCAATGTACACGAAGCTGGCAGATGGGTGTAGGGAGGCTCGAGCAGCATTAGAGGGTCTATACAATGCTGATTTCAGAAGAGAGGAGGAGGAGAGAGTTCAGCACTGCGCACAGATAGAGAAGAAGCGACAGTCCCGGGGTGATGGATTTGACGAATACGAGGTGAGTTTTGTAGGTATCAAGCCGCGTCGCTGACACATGCAGTCCAGGCATACTACGAGACAATCGAAATCTTGCCGGTGTGATGGATCACAATCCCGTGTTCTGAGCTGCCGAGGGCGGATAATCCCAGTTGTGGTCACGGGGCTCGTAATCCTCGAGTAGTCGACCGATAATTGATCATTCGACTGTTGTCTATGTTATAATCCTATTGTAATCCATGTCATAATCCCACAGGCTATTTGTCTGGGCTTAAGGTGAATCTATTAGGCTACAGGATTATGAATCTATTAGGCTACGGGATTAATCCGCATCACTGATATGACTGTTGATGAATGATTCTTGATCCTGCTCAAAGACCAGCAGCCTTCAGCATAGCAGGGAAGTTGGGAGTACCCATGCCAGTGACGGGGTCCCAGCCCGCCTTGGCCGAGAAGCCGTCCGTCCCACAACCAGGGTTATTGCCAGTGGTGATGTCATTGAACATTTGTGGGTTGGAGTACAACCACGGGTTGAGGAACCCGAGCACAGGCTTCCCAGCGTTCAGCAGCCGGTCGTTGAGCAGGCCGATCACGGATGCAAAGATAGGCGAGGAACAGGATGTGCCGTCGACAGGACCCGGCACCCCGATTTGAGTCACTGTGACATTCACACCACTGGCGGAGACATCCGGGTACCCACGGCCAGAAGCATTGTATTTGCCCGAGTATTGCGTGCCGATCGACTTGATGTACGAGGTGACGGCGGCTTGTTCTAAAAACCATCCGATCAGTGAGATAACTGACCGAGAAAAACAACTCACGCCAAGGCTGAGTGGGAAAGTAGTTGGAGAAACCACCCGCGGAGAGGCCCGCACCCGTTTCAGGAGTGCCAGAGGTGGCACCCACCAAAGTCAAGCTGGAACCAGCCGTCAGTTGTACGATCGGAGGGGTACAGAGCAGAACACACTAAGGGCATGAAGGGAATGTGGGGGCGAATGCTGTTCCATTGCACTGCACACCAGGGGTCGAAGCTACACCGCCGTCCCCCGAAGCAAACAGGATAGACACTCCACGAGCACTCAGCTGCATGTACGAGTTGCACATGGCACTAATCAAATTATGAGTCTGTGAGGTCATCGGGAGATTGGATCAACCTACACGGTGAGGGGTTCAGACAGAGAGGTCTCATCAAACAAGCCATAGCTGGTTGTGAGGACCTGGGGTGGAGCGCTCTGGGCAATGAGCCCTGTAATGAGATCGAGGTAGCCGCCGTCCGCGCCATCAGTATTATTGGTTCCCAAAGAAACGAACGTGACTGGGACGTTGGTTGCCGGGCCTACGGTGTACTGGATATCAAGGTCTACGGCCAACAATAAGTGCTGGGAGCAGAAGACCAATGATGCACTCACTAGCTTCGACGCTGGCATCGAATGGAGTCTGCGAGTCCGTCCCGTTGTCGAGCGAGAGGAAGCCGAATGTGGTCGAGGAGTTCATATCCGGGCGCTGCACCTGGAGGAAGTCCACCAGATCCTCCCTATTCGCATACGAGTCGTACATGCCGGAAACACCAATCGAACCGGCCTTGCTTTTTGCAGGGGTCTTTGGGATGCGGTACATGGACTGTAAACACCTGGGAGTCATCGTGTCGTTGCAGGAAACATGGAGAGACTCCGACACCGGTGCCGCACGCGACTTGCTTCTCACAGACATCACGGGCGGAAGCGGGCGGGGGCCGCTGAAGCTCGTCGTGGGAGTGATGACACGAATGTGGTCCTTCAGCGCCGCGGGGATGGAGTACTCGAGCGTGCGGATCGACTCGATGCCGCTGGCGGTGTGCGTGAAAACCTGATATTTGGCGCCGAGCAGCTCGTTCGCCTTGGACACGGGGACGCTGACGGAGATCCAGTCACCGGAGGGGGAGACGCGTGTTGATGAGAGGCCATGCGAGGAAAGCCACTCGGACACGGCGGCAGTGGTCTCTGCAGTGGGAGTGGAGAATGAGTCGACCTAGGAGGAGTCAGCGCACGGTCTGCAGCGAAGAAAACGCGGTCACGTACCTCGTCCTTGGAAAGCCATTGTCCGTAGGTCGCACTGCCCGGTGTCGCAGCAGCGAGCAGTTCGGCCTCCAGCCCTTCGAGATTGTTTTGGGCCAGGTTAAGCTTCAGCTGAAGTATCTTCTCAGCAGGCGCCGATCCCGACACGACGAAGCCCTGCGGAACAACCGCCCGCCGTTCATGAAGGACGAGCGTGTCAAAGACCGCCGTTGCAGACGCGAAGCTCAGCGCGAGGGCGAGGAATCCAAAAGCCAGCATCCTGCAGGTTTGATGAATGCGGGTCAATTCGCTTCTGTCCCCACCCTTATATCCCAGCCACTAAAGAACCCGGCCATCGATCTTTAGACATCCCCAGAACCATTTCCACGCTGCGAATTCACGCTTTGACATGTGCAAGTCGGAAGCGGGGAGCTCGAATGCAATTTAGCCGAAAGGATCATTTGAACTGGGCCTCCGAGCGTTGCTGATAGGGCTAAACTGCCCGTGAAGATGTCTGATGAAGAGAGATTCGAAGTTTTGCGCCGCATGACACATCCCGTTGATGCGCTGAGCCTCATCAGCTCTTTGATCATCCGCCGAATTCTACCGCGGGCTTACAGTCAGGGAGTATTATTTGGCCGTTGATATGACTTACAGCACTCCCTGACGAATTGCTCAGTCAAGTTCTTCCACGCGATCACTTGGATTTCCCTATTTTACTGTCGAAAACAGTGTTAGCACCAACTATTTGTTGGATAATGAGGCTGGAGTCGAGTTTTGACTGTCTGTGGGAAGATAAATGCTGCCGCTTTTTTCTATCACGAAATGCGATTCCGCTTCGAACCTTGCTGGCAACACGGACGTTGCCTAGACGCAACTTTCAGATCCTCGTACCGTAGCTCGACAAATAGGTTTCATACAAGACCGGGCGGTGTTCAGCTGCTAGACATTGAGCAGAGCAGCTCCTTCACAACTGTTAGCGCTACTAGCGAAGTTTTCAACATCGGCTGCGTTTGAGCTACAAGCACCGACTGCGAGTAGCCTTTTAGTCATATGAAGATACTCTCATTCTGCTATGCATTTCCGTTTGCGAGTGGGAATATTTTCATTCATGTAGCGACACTACCACCCTTATTCGAATCCAAGGTCGTTTCTTTGTCGAGTTTTGTATGGGAATCGCAACCCGTTACATCTTCTTGCGCTGACGCATCTGCACCCTCCGATGTTAATTCCTGTCTGGGCAATTCCAGACTTACTGGCGAAACTCTTCCGTATTGGGTCGCAATAGTTAGTCTTTCATTCAAATTTCGAGAATCAGTCTTGGATCTCAGTGGGCTGCACGAGAACAGAGAACTGTCGGTATCCGTCTGTTTGCTTCTCTGGCCTTCACAGGCAGAGACGGACGATAATGTTTAGAACCGGGGAGAAAACAAAGGAGTTGAACAGGGCAGTATCAGGTTTATATACAACTTCGATCAACATAAACAAAGGTCTCTTCCTTTCTTATTGAGTGGCCCTGCTTCCTCAAAGACCGGCAGCCTTCAACATAGCCGGGAAGTTGGGCGATCCAAGACCGGTGACGGGGTCCCAGCCCGCCTTCGCCGAGAACCCATTCGTTCCACAGCCGGGGTTTGTGCCAGACGTGATGTCGTTGAACATCTGCGGGTTGGAGTACAGCCACGGGTTCAGGAACCCGAGCACGGGCTTCCCCGCGGCCAGGAGCCGGTCGTTGATCAAGCCGATCACAGACGCAAAGATGGGCGAGGAGCAGGACGTGCCGTCGACCAGGCCCGTCGAGCCGCTCTGGACGATCGACACGCTCTGGCCGATGGCGGAGACATCCGGGTACCCACGACCGGATGCGTTGTATTTGCCCGAATATTGCGTGCCGATCGACTTGACGTACGCGCTCACAGCAGATTTTTCTGGGATCCGTCAGCGTCAGGAATTCGTTTGGCAACGACATTGATACGCACGCCAGGACTGGGTGGGGAAGTAGTTGGAGAAACCGCCCGCGGAGAGGCCAGCGCCGGTTTCTGGAGTACCGGTAGTAGCACCGACAAGAGTCGCGCTGGGAATTCCGAATTGGTTGGATGAGGCGCTGGAGGAAAGACTCGAGCTTACTATGGACAGGTCGGGAACGTAGGCGGGAAGGCAGTTCCGGAGCACGAAACGCCGGGGGTTGAAGCGACACCGCCGTCTCCAGTCGCAAAGAGGATGGACACTCCGCGAGCGGAGAGCTGCATGTACGAGTTGCACATCGCGCTGATCAGAATCGGGGTCATTGGTTATCGTCCTCGTCATCATCATCAGAGTGACTCACGTGGTCAGGGACTTGGACAGGGACGCCTCGGTGTCGAAGCCGTAGCTGGTCGTGAGGACCTGGGGCGGGGCGCTCTCGCCGATGAGCGCGGTGATGATGTCGAGGTAGCCGCCGTCCGCGCCGTCCTGATTGTTGCTGCCCACAGACACAAATGTGACCGGGACACCCGTCGCCAATCCCACGGTATACTGAATGTCCAAATCTGCGCAGGGAATCAACGACTGGCCGAGCATGAGGGACGGAACGACGCACTAGCTTCGAGCCCCGCCTGGCTGGAAGACTGCGAGTTCACACCGCCGTCGACGGAGGTCAGAGCGAACGAGGTCGCGGAGCTCATATCCGGGCGCTGCGCCTTGAGGAACTGCGCCAGATCCGCCTTGTTCGCGTACTGGTCGTACATGCCAGCGACACCGATCGAGCCCGCCTTGCTCGTCGCAGGCGTCTTCGGGATGCCGTACATCGCCTGCAAGCACGTCGGCGTCATCGTGTTCTTGCATGACGCTGGGACAGCGTTCGCCACCGGCTGCACCTGCGACGCGGGCGTCGCCTTGTTGCCTACCGCCATCACGGGGGGAAGCGGGCGAGGCCCGCTGAAACTCGTCGTGGGGGTGACGACGCGGATGTGGTCTTTCAGCGCCGCGGGGATGGAGTACTCGAGCGTGCGGATCGACTCGGTGCCGCTGGCGGTGTGCGTGAAGACGTGGTAGTTGGCGCCGAGCAGCTCGTTCGCCTTTGACACGGGGACGTTGATGGAGATCCAGTCACCCGAGGCAGACACGCGCGTCGACTCGATGCCATGCGAAGAGAGCCACTCCGAGACCGCCGCAGTCGTCTCCGCTGAGGGGATGGAGAATGCATTGACCTGACCACCGTGAGCGAAGAGCTGGCGCAGGAAGCACTCTGTACGCGCACCTCTTCCTTGGACAGCCACTGCCCGTAGGCCGCGCTTCCCGGGGTCGCAGCAGCGAGCAGCTGCGCCTCCAGCCCCTCCAAGTTATTCTGCGCGAGGTTGAGCTTCAGGTTCAGCGTCTTCTCGGCCGGCGCCAACCCCGACGCGACAAAACCCTCCGGAGCTACCGCCCGACGCTCGTGCAGGACGAGCGTGTCGAAGACGGGCGTGGCGGACGCGAAGGTCAACGCGAGGGCGAGGAATCCGAGCGCGAGCATTGTCAGGCCGTGTGGGTAAATCGGTGCCTGCGCCGTCGCCGCATGGTTTCTTTTATGGAGGAGGAGGGTCTTATCGACCAGGAAATTGGATCTCCTTCCGCAATGTGAGTGCGAGCAGCTGGTGACATGGGTTCACATGCTCATGCTGATACAGGAAAACCTGGTGATAGTGTTAGGCGGCCGGTGACTGCCGACGATCAACGGGCCGAAATCAACTCCTGCCTGCAACAAGAAAAGAGTGCAGTTACTTATGTGCATCCAGAAATTCCGTCATAACTGATTCGTTGTCAGGATGGCATACAATTGCCTTTAAAAATGACGCTGTTATCGCCCCGGTCCCCTCAGCTATGAGCCATCCATAATATTTTAGATTTAGATTTCGACACTGCATACTATTTTGGTTTACTCTTCAATTTAGGTGAAAACGTGTTCAATTTAGGATCAAATCTTTGGATATCCGCACATCACAAGTCCAACTGGTAACGAAGCCGAGCGTGAAGCGCAATAAATCATCGAGGTGAGCAGTGGAGCGAGTAAATCCACGCGTGCTCGCGACCTTACCCCGCGTATCAAGTGGAGAGTTCTCAAGGGCAAGAAGAATCGTTCCCGATCCGGCGAGGTACGCCGCATCCAACTGATTATCCGATACTTTCCCAATCCATCCCATCGAGAATTACTGGGCCCGATTAGCACTTTTCTCTTCACGTAGCAAGAATTTGGTGGCACATACATAGACCTCGCTGCTGGTCGCTTTCTGTCTGGAAATATGGTCTGCGGAAATCACTGTTTCAGTCACCCCTATAGATAGGCTATGTGTCACTCCCGAGAGTGGCCGCACGGGCGAAAAGACAGACGTTCTGCGCGAGCGAGGCGAGCACCCGTCATCTTAGTGGTTTCGGCTCCTCGGTCTCGACATCGCAGTGGAAAGTCGCACCCCTCACACGAGCGGATGTCGTTTGACTAGCTCGCGCACCCTCAAGCTTGCTCAGAGCAGAAAGGTTTACTCCGCAAACCTTTTCGAGTGACGGGATAAAGAGGCCGCTCGAGCGCAGTAGATAAGCTATACCCTTACGAGCAACGTGCTGCACGCGTCTCGCGGTGGTTGCGCATCCCGCGTGGCAGCAACCACGCGACTCCTTTCTTTGCCGAGTCTGGAAACCGTCTCAGGACAAGTATGTCCTACCTGAGGCTTTCTGGCCGCAATTCTGCAGCGGCCATGCCATGCCGCATCGAATCGCATATCATCAAGCACGGAGTTTGCTGTTTCGGTCTGATAACAAAGGTTGTTGTTTTATCTGGATCTCTGGACATTATCTTTCGTGATCTGCTCACTTGTTCCTCAGGTAACGAGGAAAGAAGAGCATGGGTCAATTATAGAAACTGATGCAACCAGGTTAAGCTCTCCTTGGCACCCCTGGAGTTTTAATCAGTCTAGGTAAGTATGCCTTCCACAGAATGCTTGTAAGAGAGTGGACGAAGGTCTCATTTGCATCCTGAGGGCTGTGATCTTAGCGACCCGTCACTGATCAGATGTTGAGCAGGGCGCTTTCGCTCAGCTCATCACCGAAACGGAAAGATGGAACGAGGTCTCACCAGGAGAATCCACGCTCTTTTGCTCATATTTTTCGAGGGTGGCAAATTGCGAAAAACAGCACCGTTGATGGTAGAATGTGCAAATAGTACAACCCGGTCAACCAATCTATGATACAGGAATAATTCCACTCTAATTCAAATGTCCTCCTCCGCTAGCACATCCTGTAGTTGCAGATACAGCACAGCATCGCACAACGCATGTGCCTTTTCGAGCGTGGGCCGGAACTTGGACATCTCTGTCAACTTGAGCAGCCCCATCCGCACAGGCTCCAGCTGGCGTATTAGATCCTGTAGACTCAGACTCTCACCCACATCCTCCTCGCCGCTGTCTGCCATCTGAATCACAGCGGGGTTCCGGCTCCGGTACCACGCGCCGGTCCCCGCACCGCTGACGGCCCGGCGGGACATCGGACGGTGGGTCGGAGCGAAGCGTAATAGACGCAACACGGCGGTGTAGGCCGGCGCACGGGTCATCCACGCCCCGAAATCCGTCGTGCGCAGCAGACCCGCGGCGTATCCCGGCACCCGCGAGTGGCGCAGGAGCACAGGCAAGGCCGGGTCTGTGTCCAGCGGCGGCTGCTGCCCATCGCTGTCGGTGCAGGGATCGAGAAAGTACGCGAGCGCAGAGAGCGGTGCGAGTAGCGGCTTGTCGGCGATGCGGCCCGGTTCGCGGGTGAGGATGTGCGCGCGGTCGAATGCGATGAGCGCGGTGAGCCCGCCCAGGGCACGTGCGGCGGCGCAGTGTCGCGAAATCACGGCGCAGGGCGAGCAGGCGGCGGGGCATGCAGTGGGAACCCCGCAGCCGCGGCAGTGCGTCTGTGTGCAGGATGTGCAGTGCGCGTGCAGCAGTGAGACGATCAGCGCTGGTGGGACGTCGCTCGCTGGTGGGAATGACATCTGTTGCGTCTTCAGCAGCGATCGACACAAGGATAGATGCACGCACCCCCTCGAGCGAGACTGCAGGAATGACCGCTCCGCAGCCTGGGTTCTGGCACGCAAAGGGAGACGTAGCAATGAAGTGCAGCTTAGCCAAAGCCTCGGCGGTGTTTGCGCTATCCTCTCGTGTACTATGCCTACTCTTCCCGCTCTTCAGACTAGTCGCAGCGCTGCGAATAGACGCAGCATACGCCGACCCTGTCGTGACCTCGACAAGCCTCTCCAGTGCCCCATCAAGTCGCTCATGCCTCGCAGACTCGGCTACCTTCGTCAGCAAACTCGAAAAGCTCGGCTTCGTGCTCAGTCCGCCGCTGGAAGGGGTCCTCGACCCAGAAGACGCACTGGGCGCAGAGACGACCGACGGCGTGCGTAGCCCCCGCGTAACCGACAGCGGCGATAGTCTCTGGCTCCCGCCGGGATGCTCCAAGGCCGGAGATCGGAGCCCAGATAGCGGAAGCGGAGTAGGCGTTGTGCTGCGCGATCCATATCCACTATCCTCTTCGACATCGATCTCGTCCTCGTGGTCCAGTTCAGCAGATTCCCGATAAGAGTAGCGTGATGGAGACGGCGAGGGCGGGAGCGGCATGGCACGAGCTGTCCGTGCGGAACTTGGGGAGGTCGGCAGCGGGACATCACGGGCTGTGCGTGCGGAACTTGGGGATGTCGGCAGCGGAATGGCACGGGCCGTACGTGCAGAGCTTGGGGAGAACGGGAGTGGCACAGCACGAGCGGTGCGTGCGGAGCTCGGTGTGCGCGGTGGATCTGGCGATGTTGGGGATTTTGGGGACGGTGGCGAAGTGGGTAGCAGGGTCATCCCTCCCGGGGTTTTAGGCGTAGGCACAGGTAACGGACGCCCTTTTGTCGGCGACGAAGGCGAGAGCACCGAACTGGGCACAGAGCGCGGTGTCGGTACGGGTAGCGGGCGGGTGCTGCTTTTCGTGGGTGAGGTCGAGCGAGTCGGTGAATGACTGGACCCCGATAAGGAAGATGCCGAGTAAAGTGTGGACGACGCGGAGGAGAATAACGATTTCGTGGGCGATGTCGAACGAGAGGACGATGCCGATGAGGACGATGAACTCGGGGAAACCGGCAACGCCCGTCCCGTCCCAGGGGGCGCGTGGTAGCTCCATGTCGATGCTATAGACGCGATCGAGGCTGGTCGGGTCTTGGGCGGCAGTGGTGGTGGCACAGACACGGAAGAGGCTGGAAATTCCAGCCGCGTCACCATGCTCTGGGCTGGGGCTTTCCCTCCTCTGCCTCCTGGTGCTCCACGGGTTTCTTCTCTGGCCATCCCTACGCTTCGGCCACTTCCGGAAGAATGCCCACTGGGCCCTGCTCCCGGTGTCTCCAGTCCAAGTGCGGATACATAACCGCCTGGATGTGCGTAGCGTCGGGACTCCGCCATTGCGCGCGCCATCTCTTCTGGGTCGAATTCCGCGATGGGAGGCAGTGTAGACGACGAGCGGCGACGCGTGCGCATCTTGCTGCCGAGATGGTTCGAGTTATCACTGAGTCTGTGGGTGCACGAGGATAGTGTGAAGGAGGGAGAATCAAGATCCGTTCAACAGCGGAGAGTTTAAGCTAAAAGCATCCCTTGTTCTCGAAAGTACAACAATCTGTGCTTCTGCTCGTACTCTGTAATCCCCGGCCCACGTGTCCTGTCGTCTGTGGCGCCAAGAAAGAGAAACCCGGAATAGAACTGAATGGAAGAGAGTGTGTGAGAGCGTCCAACGTAAAGCAGTGGCAGTATCTGGAAGTATTCGCACACACGTCGACGTTCAGATTCTAAGGTGTGACAAGACAGCCGTCGTGATTCATCACATCACAGGACGTGAGCTTCAGGCCTGATCCAAAATTGCCGTGTATGTGCAAGTCTGATCACGAGTTTCAGGGCCAAACTTTCAGCATGCGGAAAGATCATCTTTCTTCTTCATTTGAATCCTACTTTTGACCGTATGAAGGTCAGGTCCTGTCCTAAAGCCCACCAGATTTGCGCCCACTATGCATTTAGATCGATTTCCATCCGTATTGTAGCTTGAAATGCTCACAAAAGTCCGCGGCCCGGACCTGAGTAGGTAGAAGCCAGAAACTCGTTTTGGGGGTCAAATGCACCCGCTTTAGCGATAAGAGAGGCATCTCTTGCCTGATGCGCGTCAGCCGTGTCCGTTTCCCTTTGCACTTCGATGCATCCCTCGCTGGCTATATCAAATGTGGCTAAACTCCCTCTTTTACTCAAGGTAAGATTATATCTACCGTCTGCCTCCCGCTCCATGCCCTAATATCAGGCCCACGCACGAGCTGTGCTGACCGCCCTGCGCACACGGGAAACCCCAGATGCGGTTCGCAGCAGATTAAACGTTCTCCTCTTCGACATCTCCGCTGCAGACAAGTCGCTGAATCCGATGACACCGCTTATCAACCAACGCCTTGTGCCCGTGTTCTTCGCCGTGCTCGATCCCGCCGGCATCCCCACGATCCTCACATGGCTCGAGACAGCGGATGAGCAGCGCAGAGGGATAGTGCATGTCAAGGAGCGATTGGGCGAGGCCGCCGCGTCGCTACGCGCGCTCGGGGACTTGTGCCAATCGGGGCTGGATGCCGGCGCTCGCGGTGATGTGTGGACGCGTGCATGGGAATGGATCTCCTTCTTCGACACGTACCGCGACATTCTGCCGAAGACCTGGGTCCAAGTGGGGCCCATGTCTGCAAAATTCACCGCGGTATGGCTGTTCGATGCGTTCACAGGGATCGCGACGGGTGTGGGCTCGAAGGATGCTCGCGACCCAATGAATCTCGACAAGATGCCGGGGTACCGTGTGTTTCTGGCTCGCACGTGGGCTCACTACGCCCGTCAGACAGGGCCTGACACGGATGAAGCCTATGGTCAGTTTACGAAGCTGCTTTCACGGACGCTGGGGAGGTGGGATAGCACGACATTCGCTGAGCTCGGTGGGCGAGACAACATCGCGATCCTCACATGCAAGCACATCCAGCGGCTGTTCCCGCGTCCTGACACTCCTCCCACCGAGGCCAAGATAGACGTGCTCCTGCATATATTGCCAGTGCTCATGACTATCTTACGCCCCCCGCCAAACGCCCCCATGCCGTATGGGCAGGACCGCAAACTTCGCGCAGCATTGCTGGCGAATGGAATCACCGCACCGCTGACAGTCCTTGTGCAGGCCATCCAGTTCAATCCGAACGACAGCCAGCTTCCGCCTGAGGGCTCGCTATTCACCACGCTGCTTCCGCAAGTCAGCGGATGCTTGATAGATTTCCCCGCTCATTCGCGCTTGTGCGAATCACTTCGTGCTGGACTGCTTAACCTCTTTGCGATCTGTGTCAACCCAAGGAACACACTGAACCCGCGAGCAGGGCGCAGATTCGTGGAGACGATACTCAAGGAGCAGCTGCTCCCCGGCACTGTGTATCATTCCGTGATGGAGCAGCTTGTGATCGCATTACCTCCGCTGCGCAAGCGTATCTCTAAAGCGATCGAATTCGGATATCCCGATCTTCTGCAAGAATGGAATTCCTTTCTTCAGATTTTTGATAACCATGCGTGTGTCATGCAGACCCCAAAGGCGGCGGAAGAGTCCTTTAGGGCTTGTGACTATCTCCCTGTTCGTCTTTCCTTTGTAATCAGCTTACGTGCACTGAACGTGCATGCAGTGCGGACAGCTTCGGTCGAAATACGAAGTGAAGCGATGTTCGGGATGTGAGGTGGTTTGGTACTGTTCGGAAATCTGTCAAGCAAAGGATTGGACAGGGGGCGGCCACTCGAGTCTGTGCTCTGCACTCAATGCACAGCGGAACAGTGCGGCCTCATTCGTGCATACCAAACTAATGAGCTAAGTATCACCTCCAGAATCACCACTCAGCAGGAAGGATCGCTCGTTCCTGCGCGACATTGTAATCCGATACTACCTAGACAGCCGCATCGATATCCTGCGATCTACAGTCTCTTACTTGCAAGATTCCCCGCGGAGTGTGTTTCCCATCACCAAGTTTACCTTCATCCACGGAATGTGCGGCTGGCAAGTCGTACCGGCGACAAAGATGAAACCGAACGAGATGCAAGCGATTCTGACTGAGCGCAGCAGAAAAAGTCCTGGGACAATGCACATCCACGTCGTTATTGTGCGCTCTGGCGATCAAGAAATCGAGGAGTGGATCCCGTTTCGCATGTCTGACGCGCGGCTCACGGAGGGCTTGGGGGAGGTGGCGCTGAGATCTGGATTAACGCAGGGTGGTTCGGAGGACGTTGATTATGTCACACGCCAAGGACTGGCGCTGTTGGTGGGAAGGTTGAAAGGGAAGATGGCAGAGACGCATCAGCTCTGGGTTTAATGTGAATGTGATTTTGTTGCCAGCCGTACTCTTGTGGCATATTGTTGTTGTTTTCTGTAGCACAAGATGGATGTGTTATCCGAACTTGCAGAAGAAGAGTTATTCTGGGTCGAGCCAAAGACGATATGACTAGGGGAGAGGCAAGGACAATAAAATGATCGAAAATGAGCGACGCAGGGGTCGAACCTGCAATCTCCTGATCATAAGATCAAGTCGTAGTCAGACGCGATGCCATTTCGCCAGTCACCCATGTATACTTGCGCGTGTACATTGATATATATTGAATTGCTATAATGGTTGTCGTTGGATGAGAATCTTCCTCTTAATCTTTAAAATTTGATGTCACTAAAGCAGAGAATTCTTGCTACTCACCGGGGGTGTTAAAGCAAATGGTGAGCGCTTGTTAGTCAGTAATTATGAAGTGCGGTCATTGGGTACGAGTAGCGATCTGTGAAGCGGTGTTACTACCGGTGAGGTCCCGACGACGATGCCCCAGTCACAGCAACCGTAGATATTTGAATAGCTTCTGGAAGTGTCTACTTTATGTACCAGATCGATCGCCAATGGCACGCGGCCCAGGGTCGCCAAGCTCCATAAGGATGACCTCGGCGGATTCACAGGCTATGGTTTCACGGAGCTTCACTAAAGTTTCAGCCCACAAGACGCCGAAGCGAGCAAACGGACGGAAGTAGCAGAAAATGTCATGATGAGACAATGTCCGCAGGGGCTCTGACGATCAGCTGGAGATCAGCCCTGTCTTCCGTGTATGGATCACAGCATGCTAGACTCGTGCGCGGCAATCGCTGGAATGCGTGGAAACGTCAGCCGTTGTTGCCCAGGCGTGATCGGGCGGTAGCTCGTACAAAATATTCGGTGCAGGAATTGGAATGGGATCCACCTGGCAGCGACCGCCACGCCCCCATGCCTCAGAGACTGTCGACAACGAGGGAAAGCACCGAATGGGACGACGACATGCCGATGCCGCCAACGACACATATGGTCCCGAGCACTGAGCACCAACGCCTCGTCCGCTCGATGCGCAAGCTGACTTCCGTACTGGGGCAAACACCCGTCATCGACATGGCCGCACCGCCGGACACATCAACCCCACCAAGTCCTAACCCGGGACCACCCAGAGGACCAAGCGGGAAGCGCAGTCTCTACCTCCTCGGCTCCGCATCACTCTCTTCTCTCGCCCTGCCTTTCCTCAAAGTCGATTCCCAAACCATCTCCTCACGCGGCATCCAGCTTGCAGCATCACCAGTGGACAGCAGCAGCAGCGGTCCAAGCTCAGCCGCCGCCGAGCGCCCCGCTCTGGTGCTCCGACTACCAAGTGCACCTCCGGTGCTCCCCCCACTCTCGCCCGTCTCCCCTGTCTTCTCGCCGGCAACACCAACCGACTACGAGGAGCACACCCGCCTGGCGATGCGCTTCGCGAAACTCACGCGGACGCTGGGGGAGCAGGTGCCCCCGTCCCTCGTGCTCACGGCACCGGGCGGCACGCAACAGCCGGGACCCTTCAAGCGCCGGCGGCGCGCGAGCACGCTGAGCACGCCTGAGTCGGAGCTGGAGCAGCGAGTCTTCGCGATGGCACGAGGGGTGGCGGACGAGGGGTGGACTGTGCGCAGGAGCACGAGCGTGAATGGCGGAGCGAGCGCAGTGAGGACGGAGGACATCACTGGAACGTCCTTCGCGCGTCCGTCGCGCGAGGGAGACCAAAAAAGGTTGTCGGTGGAACCCGTAAGGATGTCGCGAACAGCGCCCTCCACTCCCCTCGACCCAGTACACGTCCATCCAATGTCGTACACCGACCCCGGCGAGCTGTCCTCGATTTCAGAACACGCGCCTCCGAGACGATTATCACGCGCCGCAACCTACTCAGACGGCCAAGCATTCTTCGGGCCGCCCGGGATATGCCCCCCTCCGACCTACGAGCAAGAACGCGCTGTGGCCCAATCCGTCCCACGGTCCAGCTCGCGTGCGTCGATGCAATCACATCCCCGTGTGCTGCGCCGCATGGACTCGCGCAAAAGCATGCGGAGCATCCTCGTGCGGACACAGGAGCGCGAGGACGAACGGGAGTGGGAGGGAGAGTGGGCTGGCCCGGAGCTGGAGAACATGCAGGATGTGATGAAGACGCTGAGGGGGCTCAAAGCCAAGTGATGCATGGGGGATGGGCAGGTCGGAGTCGCGGGTCGACGGGGAAGTGGGATGTTGCGCATCGCGATGTTATTGGTCTACGGCAGAATGGGTCACCAGCATAATTGCGGGCTGGGCTATGTAAAATATGTAGAGTAGCGATTGCGACCATTCGTGCTGTCTTCAGCGCGGGTCTATCGAGATGGATGACAATTGTAGCTTGCCTCGTGTATACTGCAGCCTCGGCAACTAATCGTTCATTGATGTATGGTCCAACCAGCTCGGGTTGAAAAGTCGTGAGGACATGATCGCTTGAGCAGAGAAAAGCTTTTCGGTGGCGGTGTAACGGCTCCCTTTCCGTTCGCGGAGCCCCTGTCTATGCACGAGACCAGATTGTTTTCTTTCACAAAATGCCAGTGTATTTTCTTGGAGATCTTAGAGCCACAAAGCTGGGACATCATTCATTTCCCGGAGACGATGACCGCCGGATGAAATATCACAGAGTCTCGCGAGTGACTCGCGAGTTATCCTCGGAATTTGCGTTAGATGAGTACCCCACCACGATCTATCCTGGTTCTATCGCGGTGGATCTACTGTCCGGTCGCCAAGCGATATTGATGCGTCTGTCGGAGTCCAATCGCGTGATAGTGACTGAACTCTGCGCAATCAGTAAAGGCACATTAAGCTCACTTGTGATTCGACGAAGGGCTCAGATATCAGAATCTTGGGCTTCGAAGCAGACAATTAAGATATAATCATCGTCGTGAACCGTCTCTGCTATGCTCCAGGAAAATGTTTCGAGGTTTCGAGCGAGTAGTTCAATTCTGAAAGCGTGCGAGTAGTCCAATATTCTGATTTCTCTGATTCCGCAGTTGTTCTATCCAGATATATATATTGTCCAGGCGTGAGTCCGAGAAAGCTTTGGAACAAAGCCCTCCTTCCCAATCAAATGTCGAATTCTCGACAGCGGCCATCCGCATCGCGACGCCGGCTTGGCACTCGCATGGTTCTGCAATCGTGTTGAATTTCAAGTTCCTGGACGTACCAACTCCCATCCTGCTGCTGTCGCCTTGATTAGGCAGGCTATGAATTTTCAACACGCGGAAATGTGTAGCGAGCATAAAAGGCCTTTTATTTCTTTATCAAAGGAACCCGTTTCGAAAGTTCAAAGACATACGCCAAGTGCGGGGTAGCACCTGCTACAATAGTGGTCGCTTGTCAGGCTTGGGGCATGCATGGCTCATCAGATATAACGTTGGCGGGCAAACCCATGGGACGGTTGTAGTGATATTCTCATGGTTCACTCACAAGCTATGTCGAGGACTGGGTCAAAACTCTCGTCTCAGCGATCGAGGAACGAGTACATTCTAGATTTATGCAGTGCGGATGAAATACCCATCCTAATCACCGTACAGCAACTAACAGAGTTGAAGACGATACATTCAAGAGCAGAATGTAATCTGTTTGCCAGTTGAGATAACTGAGCCAAATGACTTTCTAACAATCTCACCGCCAAGTTCACATTGTTCGCCTCGCATTGGACTTGCACCTGGTTATCCGTGGAGACCTTGAAGGCAGCCGGGCAGTCCGGTCCGGTGCCTAGGCAACGTTCGCTCAGCCGATGCACGACTCCAAGATAACACGACTCACAGTCTGCGCCTGCTCCATCGCATCCGTTGTAGTAACTGAGTTGCAAGATCAGGGGGGATAGGTGGAGTCGGATATGCAGCTTACCCGAAGCCTGTGGTAACCGAGAACGAATGACTGTGGGCGCAGCTCAATACAGTAATATGCAACAGTGCAAGGAGAGCGCTGCTTACGGAGCGATGAGTGTCAGATCTGTACTGGACCCAGCGCCAGGCGAGGTCGGGTTGACGAGGGTTGTCTCAACCATGGTGCAGCCATCGCCGTTGAATCCACAGGCGCCTGTATCCACTCGATGAGTTCTGCTATCAATCTTGGATCGGAAGTCGCACCAGTTTGCAGGTACGCGATGGCAGCCACGAGCGGCCCGTTGCTAGTGAAAGGTGCTTTGGAGGACGCTGAGTCCTGTACTGTAACCAAAGGTTTCTGGCCGACGTACCTCCACTTGAAAGGACGTTAGGGCCCTGGATCAGAGTCGGCTATGGCGATGATCAGAATGATTCTGCGGACGCGAGGTGGGAGCGAACCGTTCCAAAGCCACACCTATTGATCAGAATGTGTGAGAGAGCGGCAGGGGATCAGACAAGTGATGCGAACTTGTTGACAAAGCTGACGGTGTGACTTTCCCCTCGCGGTGCAAGGGCGCGAGCACCAGTGCGAGCAGCGAGACAGGAGAGCACGACGAGGGCAGCGGTTTGAATAGAAGGCATCGGATAGAATTGGATGAAACAAAAGGTTGGGGGAGAAACAAATGGAAAAGCAGCGAAGAGAACTTGTTGTTGAAAACAAATTTGAAGAAAATGAAGAATGCAATAGCGACTGTACGTTCAGTCCTCCACTTTAAGTAGGGTTCGAGCTTCAGATCACACACGTGGGAGTCTTAAATCTGAAACGGGAATCGCCATCGCACAGTTTTAACGGCTGTTGCAGATCAACCACCCGTCGTTCTGAGTCTTGTTTCCATGGCCCCGGGACCAGTGCAGTCATCATTTCTTCCAGGTCAGGTCTGGGGATTCGAACAGCTGTAAGAATATTATATGAGATACAGATCCTAGTAGATATACTCGGGTCCCGCACCGCTGCTTGGACCCGTTTCTTAACGCCTCGGCATGGTCGTTACGATAGATCCACGTGACATTATGATTGATCTGATGACCCAACCTTGAGATGTTCGATGACCTCTCTTTGGAATATCCAACAGCTTCACCTCCAAAGTTGAGGCATTGTCAATCTGTTTAATTCCACTTCGTTCCCGAAGACTCTTTCAGGTTTATAGTCGTCTGAGCTTTGACGCAATGCTTGCTAATCTACGGGATTTACTCGAAATGACTCAGAATAGGTCGTTATCATATCAGTCACAGCCCTCATTTTCGGTAAATGCGCATTCCTACGAATCCTATCAGCTGCGCTTTGTGCAGATCCTCGCAGCAGGCAAGTTTGGCTTGTTTATCACAGTGATTACCGCAAAAATATGTGATTCGATATGATGCGATGCTATGAGTAGGAGGCCTTCCGGTAGATTCGTAGACACGATGTGTGGCACTTGTTGAGAGGGTTTCATGCCTAGATTTTCGGCAGCCGCATGAACAGTGGCAGTATACAGTCGACATGTGATCCAACCCTAACCTTTCGGGCTCCCGATTCAGATTTGGCCCTTACACTCACACTCACTATGGCCGACGCGGGGTACGCCTTCCCGGCCGTTCCAACGCGCCCAGTTCCGTTCTGACCCGAAGAGCAGATACCTCGGGGTGACTCCCCCCATATCCACAGCGCCTTCGAATGCGCGCGAGCTGGAGGTCACCAAGACGCTCATGGACGAGCTGAAGGCGCAGAACCAATTCGAATCGGAAGAGGAGGCACGAAGAAGGTGTGTGGCATGCCCAGATTTCGTTCGGTTTTCCGTACTGTAATCTGTATCCTTTGTCTCTGTATATATCGCGTCGACGGCCACCCACCACCCATGTCAGCACTCGCATCGGCATATCACTGGCTCCCTGCTTCTCCTCTCCCCTTGCTTCCGAAAGACTCACCTTACACAGAGAGCTGGTCCTGGGCCGCATCGCCGCCCTCGTCAAAAAGTTCGTGCGCGACGTGTCGCTCGCCAAGGGCATGTCGGAGGCCGCAGCGACAGCCGCAGGCGGCAAGATCTTCACCTTCGGATCGTACCGCCTCGGGGTGCACGCGCCGGGGAGCGATATCGACACGCTCTGCGTGTTCCCCAAGCATGTCTCGCGGGACGACTTCTTCACCACATTCGAGCCGATGGTCAGGGACATGGAGGACGCGGTCGAGGTCTCGGTGCGTGTTCTTGCGCGGGCGGTGATGAATCTGCATGTGGATAATGATGCTTTGAGTCTTCCAGGGTGTGCCAGAGGCTTTCGTTCCCGTCATAGGCGCGAAGATATCCGGCATCTCCATGGACCTGCTCTGTGCCTCGCTCAACATGTCATCTATCCCCGACGAGCTGTCGCTGAACGACAACAATCTGCTGAAGACGCTGGATGAGAGCGTCGTCCGCAGCGTCAATGGTGCATGCGTCTCCTGTCCATCGTTCGTGCGGAGCTCATGTCATGCGTACAGGGACGCGACTGACGGACGAGCTGCTGCGTCTAGTGCCTAACGTGCAGGTCTTCCGTGACGCACTGCGGTGCATCAAGCTATGGGCACAGCGTGCGTTTTCGTCTATTCACTTCCTTTCACCTGCTCAGCCCTGGGCACTAGGTAAAGCCATCTACTCGAACGCAATCGGGTTCCTGGGTGGGGTGGCTTGGGCCATGTTGGTTGCGCGCGTGTGCCAGCTCTATCCCCATGCTGCCGCCGGTGCTATTGTAGGCCGGTTCTTCACGATCATGTCCAAATGGTGCGCGAATCCGCAATCATGGAACACTCGTCCAATCCACCCCAATCTCACGTCCTGCTAGGCAATGGCCGACACCGGTGCTACTCAAACAGATCGAGGAAGGACCGCTGCAGGTTCGAGTGTGGAACCCGAAAGTCAGTCTTCTCGAGGTGCCCAGATCTAGCTCTGATTGCTGTATCCAGCTTTACGCCGGCGACCGCGCGCACCGGATGCCCATAATCACACCGAACTACCCGTCGATGTGCGCGACGCACAACGTATCGGGGTCGACGCTGGAGGTCATGTCGGAGGAAATCAGGAAGGGCGCCGCGACGCTGGAGAGGATCATGGCCGGTTCGGCGGCGTGGTCGGAGTTGTTCACGAAGCACGAGTTCTTCCATAAGTACAAGAACTATCTGATGGTTTTCGCCCTTGCGAAGACGGAAGCCGCTGCGACGAAATGGTGCGTGTGTGGCCCTTCCGCCAGGCTTCATGGGCCTGCACCTGCAGCTGCTGATCTGTGGTCCCAGGAGCGGCACCGTCGAGTCGCGACTGCGCCAGCTCGTCAACCGGCTGGAGTATGTCCCCGGCCTGCGTCTCGCGCACCCGTTCAACAAAAGCTTCGACCGCGTGGTGCGCTGTGAGACGGAACAGGAACAGGCGTCCGTGATGCGCACGGCGGAGTTCACCCCGGAATCGGAGGGGCCGCAAGACGATCCGCGGAACGCCGACGCCAAATTCAAAGTATACGTGTCGACATTGTTTGTCGGGTTGGGCGTCGCACCAAAAGATCGTGAGTCTCACCGCTGTCCCCGTTCTATCCCCGATTGATAGGAATCGACACACGCACGCAGTCGCGAACCCTCTCCCGAGGCGGCTGGATGCGTCGTTCGCGATCACGGAGTTCGTCAAGATCGCCAAGGGCGAGACGTTCGACGAGGCGAACACCGGGATCGTGCTCCGGCATATCCGACACGGTGCGCTGCCGGATTACGTCTTCGCACCCGGGGAGCGGGAGGCGGCGTTGGCTAAAGTCAATGGCCGGAAGCGGACGGTGAGTGGCGCATGGGTGACGAGGGCGCTCGCTTTGGTTTCGTTGATGTCGATGTTGATGTGCGTTTGTAGAAGTCGCTTTCGGGGGGGACCCCGGTTAAGAGGCCGAGGCTGTCAACTGCGTCTGTATAATGTGGAACGGTGTAGTCGATTTCGCGATAAAATTCCTCCTGATATCTTTCAAACCGATGCTTTGGGACTGTTATATATAACGGGCAATGCTCGATCAATTGACGAGATTAAAATCCATAATCGTAAGATGGGGATACTCGACTGGGACCTTGAGATATCTTGTTGCAAAAAAAAGATATGAAAATGGATGCATTACATTATATTGGCCTCGATAATGTGGTGATTAGCCATCGAAGAACGAGTAACAGCTTTTGACATGGAAACGTGCTTTGCATCGCAGTCGTCTAGTCGCACTCACGCAGATCGCTCTCGCCCCGGAGGATCGGGAGCTCGCCTCGATCTCTGCGCTCCTCACCGAAACGCCGTGGGAGCCACGTCGAGCTGTTTGGGTATCCTGGACGTTCAGCTTGCTCCTGGAGAAACTGACGATCAAAGCGGGAGCGACGCGTCACCGTTGTGCGGATCCTGCGTCTTGTGCAACAAGGCTATCCTCCGGATCGGAACTTCGAGTCCTTCTTGACAAAGCTCGGCTTGCGCGAGTTCCCGGGAGATCTAGGACGCACGCCGTGTATTGTGACGGATCACGACTACGGTGAGAGCGATCCAGCGAACGAGATACAGCACGCACGTCAGCTGACGAGACAGCGGTGTGCAGATTATCTCCAATTCGACGCCGTGATTGTCACAGGGAATGAATCCATCGACGACGATGCCGGCGGGGAGGACGAGAGGATCACGACGCTGCGGGCGCACCGGTCCGCCAACGGGCGCCGGTACGTCACGATCGAGGAAGTTCTGTACGTGCTCCATGCGGACCTGCCTGACCGGATTTTTGACCGGAAGGGGACGGCGGCACATCGAAACTCACACAGGCACTGGAGGCTGCTCGTGGACGGCTTTGATGTTAGCGCGCGGTACGAACGGTCCAAGCGCGGAAAGAATCGCGTGTATCACACGATTCGCGTGCGTTTGGATTTCCTGAAGAGACGCGGTCACCAAGTTTAGGTGATTTTCATGATCAGGTCGTATGTATACTGCCAGGTCAGCTTACTGTACGATTTCGACGAGTAATTCATGTCACAGGTCACAAGGCTCTCTGAACTGAACATTTATATATAGGGTCACAGGTCACAATTTTTTTTTGAACTCTGGGACATCGGAGCAAAAACCGATTTTTTTTTTGCTTCGGGTACATAGAAATGGCTCATAGATGTTCTAATTAATGTTTCTCCCACTCTGAATCACCATCGAAGCGTCACGGGACAGCGGTAGCACGGCAGGGACGGCGGAGGGCAAGTGATAAGGTTGACCAAATCACTGCAATTACAGTAGATATGATAACACATTATTGGTAAACACAAACCTGAATGCGTCGGGATTGAACCAAAAACCTTCAAACGCTCTACAGAGCGAGAGAATCAATATCACCCTGCGCCATAGGGCCTACATCGAAATTGTCTCAACAGGGCCCAGAGCGTGTCAAATGAACACCTGTGAATTGTGTCACAGGTCTCGGACGGCCATGAACAGTTCAATTTTGAATTTTTGGGGTCACAGGTCACAAGCTCTGAACAAGTGGTCGAAATCGCACAGTATTATGTAAATCAACAATGTTCGACATGTCACGTGATACAGCACGTGCTGATGGGTTTCTGATTTTCCGAATAGAATTGGCGGTCACGACCTTGGTTATCCAATGCGCTCCTCGGGTCGAGCAATGGGAAGATAGTCTCCAAAATGGCCTCATCCTTTGCCTAATGGTACTTCCCGATCGTCATTCATGATTGTAAGCCACATAAACTGGGATTGCTGGTAAAACTTCATATAAAGAATACAGTATACAGTCCACAAGTCACTTGCGCATGAATCCACCCCCGGACACGTGCTCGTATTACGGACGAACATATGCCAACCAGCTCTGACACAGAATATCGAAGCAGGGTACTGGCGCGTCTTCCATGTCTTCAACTTCACAATGATCTTTCTGGATGAATGAAATATATCAAGCATACATAACTCAATGTGTAAAGCTTCTTCATTGGAACAGCATGATGCACTGAACCGTGCTTCTTTGATTAGCGCCTTGCCTCATTCCGTGCCTGTGTAAGATCGGACACCACTCAGCTCAGGCAGTTGGTTGTTGATAGGTCTCATTGTGAGTTTTTGATCGATTACTCTACGCGTACCCCTGATAGCTACTTTTTTTTGGGAGACAGATCCCTCTTCTGGTTGAGAAAGACTCTGTAAGCGCTGAAGGGCTGTGAAACACGTTCTCTCTTCTGACAGAGACGCTAACGCGGCTTCCATGCACAGCGCGCATTTATAGCACAGACTTATGCGATAAGAGATGCCATAAAGGCTGTGGGTCGAGCATGTGTGCTCCCCAACACATGGATCCTCTACTTGACACACCCGCCCCGTCTCCCGAGTTGTGAGTATCAGCTGGCACCACAGCTTTTGACATTGATCGCTATCACTAGGACTCAGGCGCTGCCCGTGGAACGAGGCAGCCAAGTCGAAACCGCAGCGGACGGAGATCAGAACAGTGTTTTAGTGCGACAAGAGAGCCAACAGAGCCATATCACCGAGAGCGACGAAGGTGAATCTATTTTGATCAAGGCCATGTCCCAGCGAGATAATACTTTTCGCTGGTATAGATGATGCTCACTCCGCTGTCTATCCTCTCCCCATACGATATGTCTATCCTCACGCAGAATCTCCCGGAGAAATAATGTATATGATGAAGAGGCGTGTCGACAGTCAATCCAGGATAAGTCGCGGGAAGCCGAAGACACCTCTAGATCCACCTGGTCAGGTCCACCCAAAATCACCGGGAAGTCACAATTCTGTAACAGCACTACCACCGGGAGCTTCTGAGACTGATGTTCCACTGGAAGAGAATCGACGGGAATCGATATTTGCACGGAAACTGAAAGCTGCTCGTGCGTGGTTTCGGCATCTGTTGCAGGTACAGACAGCGCGGTAAAACACCCGTGTTCCACACAATGCGGGTTCTAGTGGCGTTCCGTAGATACGGAATGTAGCGTGGTTTTTTTATTCAGTTTTTCGCGCATCCGGAATTTACCGCGGGACTCCCGCAGATCTGGTCCAGCGGGACTCCAACAAAATCCAAATCCCGCTCTCGACGTCGACCGCGCTATTTGACATTCTGTCAATGTCAGTGTGTAGTCTGATGAAGTAGAAAGATCTCCCAACCTGTTGCATCAGTCGCCGCGTAGACATTCGTTGAGATCGAGGAGGTCGAAGGCTCGAGTCGCACGGGAACCCACCTCAAGCGGGACTGAATCCAGCGGGTCCCGCGACTGATTCATGTTGCCCGTTGCTAGTCGAGGTTCAACATCGAGAATGCAACGACACATGCTAAACTGTGTTAAGCACACGTACTAATGGGGCTCGGACTTTTCCGAGCAAGACTTGGGCTCACGGCTGGTTATACTTTACGATACGCAATTGATAGCCAGACACAGTAGAGCGGTAATGATATATACATGAAGGATGCAGTATCTAACCCACAAGCATATATCTGCGGCCCTCGCCCTTACATACACACACACGTCTCCAATCCGAGAACAAGTTTGAGATCAAGAACAGTTTAACTACACTTGCATGATGGTAGAAGTACATATGAAGAATGCAGTATACAATCCATAAGCCACTCGCGGATATATCCACCGTGGCACGCACTTGCAGCATGATAAGCAGCCAGCCTTACACATTCTCCGGAACGCCGAACTTAAACAACACGATCGGCACAAACACTGCGTAGTCCAGCAGCTCAGACACCCACTCCGCCGCCTCGCGCGACATCGACGCGAGTTTGAACGTCGCCCTCCAGGAGATGCAGTCCCTCGATCGGCGCACAGAGAGCTCGGCCGAGCTAGCGTAGTCGGGGATCTCGATCTGTTTGAATGAGCAAGGGATCGCAAAAAGGGCCGGTGAGCGGTGAATGAAACTGACCTTCCATGATTGATCCGGCTCAAGATTGAACGTGATGAGAGGCATTTCCGAGTCCTCCGGTGTCCAGTTGAACTGTCTGGCCGTTGTCCCCGGGAAACGCCGGTACCCGCTACAAGACCCGGATCATTTCAGCCGACCGCGAAAATAACGCGTAAAATCCAATACACACCCTTCGTAAACATTCTGTCCGGCGGGCCACTGGAAGTGGCACCGGTGCTGCCCGTAGGTCATCACGAGCGGCTCGTCGACGATGCGCGCGAGCAGGGTATCGTCCGCGGGGGACACGTAGTTGTGGTACAGCACACAGCCCGCGTACCCGGGTTTCCTCAGGGTCATACTGATAGAGGGCTCCCTCGCGCCGTCGGGATAAAAGTACAACTGACAGGCTGCATTGGATTCGTTGCCCGCGCTCGGCTGCAGTACGATGGTCGAGTGCGTCATTGTCTTTGGCATAATCATCGTTGCGGGAATGTGTAGGATAGGATGAGATGGGGGTCGGTGGGGAATGATTCCGGGCATTTTATACCGGAGGGTCAAAAGTGGCGACAGCGAACAATGACTGTGCCCGATGGGGCAGTGCTTGTTCTCCGAAATGATCAGAGGAGCCATCAGTCCTATTGTGGACAACTGAGCTGTTCAGGCATGGCCCAGCCAGTTACAATGGCCCATCCGTGCATCCTCGTGCCGAGCTCTCATTGTCCTGAGCAGAGCGCAGAGTGAGAGTACTGAAAGAATGCTTGGGCTTGGATTGAGAACAACGGCACCCGGGATCGTGAGCCTCCTCCAAGCGTTCGGCGAACAATTTCATCGCAATCTGTAGCCTCCCTAAAGTGAAAGGTTAGCCAGATGAAGGTGGCGTGCGCTCAAGATGCGAATATCCCGTGGCTAGTGAGACCCAAGACCAGCAGAGTCACGCGACCCGAAGACTAACGCCGTCCCGGAAGCGGTCCGAGGCACGCACTCAAGGGTAAATCAAGGAAGCGGAAACCCGGGTGTACGTGAACAACCACGCTCGATGTTTTCATGCACCATGCTCTGGACGCGCGAACAGTTCCGGCATGCGGCGATCACAAGCCAACAACTGCCAAATGGGGAAACCGGGGGAGGCTGTGCTCGTTACCCGACAAAGGCACTGCCACGCGCTTCGAAATGCGCGCTTATTTTTGCTGCTACGCCACATCTTCCCGCCGTGCATTTGGAAGACAGCGGCAAGCAGCTGGACACACAAGCATCGCGTCTCCTGCCCCGACATTCTGCCGAAATCGGAGCCGTAGTTGCATCTCGCTGACTGCAGCGGGCGGAATGCAGGGGCCGTGAACATATAGTATCCAGGACAGTAACACCGAAAGGGAACATTCAGGGTCGGACTTGCTCGCTCGCACGATTTAGTCTAGGGCAGGCGGGTGACTGCGTGTGCGTGAGGACTCACATGCAGAACCCGCTTGCGCGGGAGATCCCGATTCGACAAGTGGCAGTCATCTTCATCACATCGAGCCGTTTCAGACCCGTCACGACGCAGGGCTTTGCACTCACCCTCACCCCCCATCTCCATCCCCCTCAGCCGCACACCCATTAACGAAGGAATCAGCAAGAATCAGCAAGATGGACTCGCAGCTGACGCTCGTCGACCGCGCCCCGCCCGTGCGCCTCACGTTCGGCCCGGACAGCATGACCAACGCGCTCGTCTCGTGCGGCGGCGTGCCGCGGTACCGCATCGCGACGCGGCTGCACGGCTTCAGGACGGAGATCCGCGAGGTCGGGCCCGGGGGAGAGGATGCGGATGCAGCGGAGCCGGCCGTGGTCATCTCGCGGCGGGAGGTGCTGAAGGATACGATCCGCTTCCGGGGCGGCAAGGAGGTGAAGATCGCGCAGTGGATGCGCAAGACCAAGCTCGCTGGCCGGTGAGTCGCCCTCGGGGCCGCACGCCTGTCTCGCTTTTTTGACGGACGGACTGACTGACGTCCTGCTCGATCCGATGTGCTGCCAGTGTTGCTTACGTCGTGGAAAACGAGCTCGGTTCATTTACGCTCAGGGTCGATCCCGTGTACCGCCTCGCCGTGCGTGATTCCGCCTCATTGGCGTCCGCCTGCTCACCCGGTCGTCCCTATAGCTGTTCGCGGACTTTGACTCGGAGACGCCCATCGCGCACTGGTCGGAAACAGACGCAGCGACGCTCGTCATCGACCTCCCCGGCCCCGCGGCGCCGGAGACGCACCTGCAGATCTTGGCCGCGTTCACCATCCAGGAACTCCGGCTCAGGATGCTCGAGAAGGCGGCCATCGTCGCTCAGCGTCGGGCGTCAATTGGATTGGGATCGCGCGGGGGCTCCAAGCTTTTGTCTAGTTGAATTTGGAGCGGGGGACTTTCTGATTGTGGATTATTTATCGGTGTACATGGATCCCTGATGAATGGCGGCGCCAAGCCTGTAAATTGATATTTTGTTAATCTAGGACGCTAGTAATTTGGAGTTTTGTGGTCTCGAACTTGCATGTTACTCATTTTACTAGTCCTAGCTTTCAGCTTAAGGCAAGAATACTCCCTGCACACGATGCTTGATCGTTGACTGTTTCTGAAGTGCCGTAGTTTCCAACGGCATGCAGCCAGACATCGGAACTCTCCGGCTGAGACATTCGTCCCGTGATACTTCACGCGTGCAGTAACTGCTGTTCCGCGGAATAGTCTTGAGATTTCTAGAGTGTATACATAAATAATATACAGCCCACAGTGCAGTCTATATACACAACCTATCCCACAATCTACGACTGTGTGACATACCCGAAAAGCCCGCCTTCCAATCCCCGGCTGACCATCATAAACTGGTTCGCTGCCTCCTTCGTTTTCTTCACACTGCGGCTGCTCACAACAACCTTCGCGAAGCGCTCCTTGGCTTCCGGCCCGGCCCGGCTCGCAGGATAGAAATCCTCCGCGGCCAGGATCTGCGGGACCCAGTTTCGCGCACCGCCCTGCGCGCCGAGCAGCGCGTCGTCCCACCGCGAGACGATCGCGCCGAGGAGCTCGAGCAGGTTGTTCATCGCGCTGCGGGGCGCAGTGCCCGCGAACCCCTCCAGCACGACCTTGACGACGTTCCGACCGTGGACGAGCACGAGGTGTCGGTGGACGGTGCGCATCGCATCGGAGATGGGCGAGAAGAGCGCAAGCCGGTGGATGAGCGTCGCGAGGAAATTCGTCGCGCCGACGAACGAGTACCGCTCGGGCAGCGAGATGCCGATGAGAGTGGTCTGAATAAGCGCGTCGAAGAGCGACGGCGCCGATGTTGACGGCGTCGAGAGCAGCGACGCGAACGAAGCCGTAAAGTCCTGCGCAATCCGGTCCATCAGCCCGAAGAAGTCCTGCACGACATCCGGGTGGTCGACGATCCCGTTCCCCTCAAACACCCTCAGCCCAGCGCGGGCCAGCACACCGAGCGCAGCGGTCACACACTCTTCCGCCTCCGCATTGGGCTGCGTGCGCGCCGCCAAGATGGCCGGAGGCGGATTCATCGCTGCTACCAGGCCCGCGGCGAGACTCAGCCAGCTCGCGCTCAGCTGCTGCTCCGCGACCGACACGACCAGCCGCAGGACGGGGGGACCGGGTAGCGTCAGCAACGTCACGTCCGCAGGCAGGGCGGTGATGCTCTTGACGACATCGCCCAGCACGGCGCACACCTCCGCATCCATCGACCAGAGCTGCAGTGTCCTCGAGATGCACTCGAAAATCGCGTCTCGCAGCGAGGCGATTCGGGGATCGGAGCGAACGGCGTGGATGAGTTGTAATGGCGTCGGAGAGGACGAGTTCTCTTCTTCGTCGTCGTCCAGAGAAAACGACTCTGCGTCTGCTCGCGTCAGACCCCGTGCGATACCGGCAATGATGGAAAGCTGCAAGATTGCTTGGAGCCGGGGCCCGTCGTCCTAACGTAGTCTCTAAGTCCAGCACTCGGTGGGAAAGTCCAAAAACCCACCTGGGTACCTGCACCAGCTGTGATTGCCTCCCGCACACCCTGTACTGCAGGCCCGACAATGGCCTCGAGCGGGTCGACTGCTTCGTGCGGTGGCAACGCCTGGATGACACTCGCAATGCTCTGCAGGATCTTGGGTTTCTCCGTATCCTACAGGCGTATATATAAGTCCTAAGCACAACAACGGTGAATAGACGAGTACGCACCCCGACAACACTCAATCGCGCGTACACCTGTCCAAATGCGGCAATCTGCCCTGCCAGCGCACGCCGGTTGGCGTCACACAGCGAGCGCAGCGCAAGTGCGGCACTGAGACATACACTATCCTCCTCTCCCACTTCCTGCCCGGTCAAAGCAGCGACTACGTACGTTAGCACAACACCTAGCGCAGCCCCGCCCGCATCTGTCGCGAAGTAGCTAGCAAATGTGTCTATCAGGCCCAAAGCCGTTCTCCTTAGTCTGCTCTCGGCCACGCTCTTGCTAGCGGGACCAGGTAGTCGTCCCCAGATAGATTCGCGGAACAGGCGCTGGAGCGCTAATGCTCCCGCGCTGCTCGGATTCTGCGTCAAGGACTCGGTATCGAGCGCTTCATGCAGTGCGGAAAGCGAGTAGAATGCCGCTTCGATCGGCTGGAAACGTAAGCTGCGAGACATCATGCCATAGTAAGGACAACGCACCTCCCATCCAGCAGACGATGCAAACCGGCTGTCTAGACCTGCTTCAACCTGTGACACGTAGAAGACAAGCAGGTCGTCTCGGAGGATGTAGTACCTGCCAAAGGGGAAGGAGGAAGCTAACGACACCAAAGGGCTGCTCACGCATTCAACAGTGTGTCTCCCACATCGCGCCTGTACACCGCAAACACCTCCAACTGATCGTCGTCCCAAGCACCAGGTGCCGGATGCGTGATCTTCGCAAGCAAAAGCCGCACAACGGCAACATACAGCGCCGTCGAGTGCGCCTTTCTTCCCTTTTCTGATCCTAGCGCATCTGATGCAGACGAGAATCCGAAAGAGGCCGTCCTCGACGCCGCAGGCGTGAATGGGGTCCCACCGAGCCCCCCGCCCATCCGCAGCCGCTCCAGCTCGTCATCTTCCCGATCATCCGGAGTCGCATCGTGGCCCGCGACCGGGACCTCCCAGAGCGCCTCCTGCAGGAGATACCAGAAACTGAGCGGTCCCCCGGCCACAACGCCCTCATCCCCGTCATCATCATCGCCGGCGTGTGGCAACAAGACGATCCCGCCGGGATCCAGAGCCGTTAGCGCCAGCATCATGCGCATTAAGCCTTGCGCGAGAATAGCGCGCGGGACCTGATCGCCGGAAACCGGGGACGCGTCGACGATGTGTGCTGCGACCCACTCGACTCCGCTTTCTGCGAGTGAGATCACCAGCCCCGCATGTGTGTGTAGGAGCCTGAGTGTCTGTTTCGGCAGATTGTCACCAGCCGAGACGCCGTAGGAGGGGTACGAGGGGACTTCATAGCGTGGATCGAGGCACGGCTCGAATGCCCGCCCTGCCCAGAGCATCAGCGGCTCCAGGACGACGGACGGCGACCAAGACGTTGGGGGACTCGAGAGAAGGTCCGTCAGGGTCCGTGTGGCCGCTTCGAGGACTGCCGAATTCGAGGACGAGAGTAGTAAGATTAGTTGCGGCACCAGAGCAGCGATCTCGGAGTCCGGAAGCAGTGTTGTAGGAAGCCATGCGGTGAAGCATCCAAGCGCTGCCGTGAGCTCTTCTGAAGGTGTGGTCGGTGTTTGTAGGTGGACAGAGATGGCGCTGGCGACGGAAGGCAGAACGAGTGGCGCAGCTCGGCGGAGAGTCGATTCCAGGCGGATTCTGTAGTCATTCAAAACTCTTGATGCGATATGGAGCGGGGCTGGACTGACTTGGGCTGAGGTAGCAGCTGTGCAGACCCCACATCCTCCGCGGCACCAGCCAAAAACTCGTGAATCTGCGCCCCGGGTGCCCCAGCATCGACCAGCGTCTGCACGACATCCGTGATCCACGTATCCCAACTCTCGTCTACCTCGCCCTCTTCTTCTCCGGCCGCTCGAACAAGTCTCGGATCCCGGGAACACACGCGCACAGCGAGCGCCGCGATGGCACCGAACACCTTGCGCCGCACGACGCCGGTCCCACGCACGCTCGCGCCCACCGCGTCCCGTGCACCCAGCACCCCGAGGAGCAGCCGCCGTAGCCCGTTCCTCTCGCGCGCGGGGAGCTGCGCGTCGGCCTCGCCTCGCGCGATCTTCGCCTGCGCGGTGTGCGCGCCAAAGAACTGGACGTTGGGGTCCGCCGTGTAGGATAGCAGCGGGAGAACAAGGGACCAGGCTGCGGGGGCGCGCTGCAGCGAGAGGAGCGTCGACTGGATCTCCTGTACCGCGGTGGACGATGCGGGTGCGGAGAGGGATTGGATGAGGGCGATCGTTTGTTGAATGTCGGAGGGGGTGACGGAGGGCGGAGCCTGGGGCCGAAAAGAAGATGAGGATGAAGAAGCCATGCGATGAGGATACAGAGCGATTACTCTCCAGTCTGCTCTGTGACGCGGTGTGGACAAGTGTTGGTGAGGCTCGCCAAGGCGAGCTGTGAAAAGATCAGCTGATCTAATGTGATGTGCCACTGAAGGTCACGTGTCTTCAGGCAGGGCCAAAGAGCACATTGCGAAAGAAGAATTTTCAAATGGATAACAGATTCAGATCCACAAGATGGGAGTTCATGTTAATCACTTTCTATAAGTGGAATGTGTGCCAACGTATCTCCCGGGTAAGAGACCTCAAGCAATAATGAAATACGGACGATTTCTTTGCATGGATTTGTATAATCCCGCGAGGAACTCACACTGAAGAACCTCGACGACTCGGAATGAATCAAATATGAATATGATTGAGCGATATTCGGTGTTTGATTCCGCGCCCTCCACTTACTCCGAGTTGCTTTCGTCGGATGAATATCTCCAGATTCTAATGATGCGTAGATACATAATTCCGTTGATGGAGGAGGTGCGTCGAAGAATAAAGAACCAGCGAATGAAGCCTAGTCAGAGAAGCAGGGCAAATGACGAAATTTCAGAACTGGAATCCCGCTCGAACCATACGCAGTACGTTCAAGCGAATGTGTGCCTTCTTTTCTCGCTCGAAAGCACGATTTGAGATTCAAATTGAAGCTTACATTATACAAAAGATACATTGGATCGCCACCGGGCACACCCTACGCAGAAGAAACCTGGGCTCTCAAAACGCTCACTTCCTCACGCAAAGCCCGGACCTCTTCTCCAAGCGCTGCCATCTTCGTCAAAACTTGCTTCATCATGTCCACATCGAAAGACACCCCGGAATTTTCCCCATCTGCGAAGAGCGCCTGCGAGAATGAAATTGGTGGTGATGGCGAACCCCGTGACGATGCATCGGGCGAGCTTCCGTCGCTCGTACCACGAGTGGACATGGCGTCTTCAGTCGCTGTCGGAGGAGGGACATCTCGGACGTCCTCTGGATACATCAGTTCCAATCCGTCATCATCTAGATCGAGGTCCATATGAAGTTTTGGCGTCGCATTGTGGCCAGAAGACGAGCTCATCGATGGCGGCGGTGGCGGTATCGTATAGTGGCGTGGTTTCACGACGAGTTCTACCTCACGCATTGGCTGGTCTTCCATTCCGTTCGGTCCGAGATTCTGATCTATGGCGCCGGTTCTGCTCTCGTCCTCGTCGTCCTCTTCAAGGTCTTCGGGTTGTTCGCTGCGGCGAAGGATAGCATCCGCTCGACCCGGTGCACGACTTCCCATTGTCGTCCGCGCCACCACTGCCGATGATCTTGAGCTTGACGAGGGTTTAGAAGATGGGATTGTCTGCGCTTCGTCAGCCTGCAACCTATTTTAGGCCTGCAAGCATAAAACCGACTTGACCTACCTGCTGCTGATTATTGCCGCCTTGATCTCGAGTCGACTGCTCTTGGGCATCGATGCTGATCGTGAGAGTCAAAGAGTTGACACCTATTTTATGGGTATCCTGCTCTGGCACATCCGTGCTTGTGATCTGTTCGGGTGCGTATTCACTCGGTGGGGGAGGTGGAATTGCCTGCTTGATGATGAGTGGAAACCCGATGTGAAGCGTAAATCGCACCTGCTCCTCTTCCTCTGTCACACTCTTCATCTCTACGTCGCGATCGTTCTGGACATCATGAGAAACCGCAAGACAAATGTGAGCGAATGAACAGACCGACTCGGCCGGGAGTGAAGTCCCATTATTCTCTTCACCTGTCAAAGTCTAGAAATGCATTAATAGGACTCTGAGATATTCTACGAGGCGGACCTCTTCTTCCCTGACGACAAGAGTAGGCTCTCCCTCAGGACGACCCTAGACAAAATCTGAGTAACGAACCACAAGTGTGTAAATTGACATACCGGCTCGGCCCAGCGGAATGTTCCCTTGTCATCATCAATAACAAATCCGGACGTGAATTCCTCGGAGGAGATGCCGTTCTGCGCTTCTTCGGGCGTCAGGGCGAATCCTCGATAACCTTTAATTGCCCACTGCTTCCAAGCTATTGGAACGCGAACGATGAGAAATAAATAAAAAAACGAGGAAAAGAACACCACTGACGCTTTTTGAGAAAATCGATGGCAAACTCTTCCTCCCCAAAATCGGCCACAAAATCCTTGACAAACTCATCCTTCGAGATAAGCCAGTGATACCAATACCGGACCAAAACCCGGTCGATCGTGGGCCATCGCCAAGCGCGCTCCATCGGATGGTGTTCCGCCGCAGCGTTCAAGAACGCATCGCACAACCGAGCGACATATAACAGCTCCCACTTCGTCCGTTCCCAGTCTTCCGCGCTTCCGGTAGACAGAGTGATCTGAGCCGAACTCCACAGGTACCGGCCGATCCAGAGAAGCGGCATGCGGTACGCCCGGGGGATAGTGATCTTCCGCCCATCCGCACGGGTGATGCTAGCCCACGGATCCTTCGACGATGCGAGCGTAGATTGTGGCGGGACGCTAAATGCCCCCTTATACCGAATGAACCGGGCGATTTCGAGATCAGAAAACCCGGACTGTAGATACGGGAGGTCGGCGGGGTGGCGCCAGGCGCCGTCGTGGGCCGGGGGATCTCGAGGGGCGGGTGAGACGTACCATTCCTTCTTCTCTCTGGGCCTGCCACCGACGGATTTCCTTCCTTCCTTCTCCAGTTTCGTCGTCTCTGCTTCGCGCTCCCGCTTGACGGACGCCGCCGTCCGCGCCAACGGCCGCGCGTCGTCACCCGTGCCGATGCGTCGTCGTTTTTTCGAGGGCCGCAACAACACCGGAGGAGCTGATATGACTGCTGACTTGCGAAGTTTCGCACCCCGCCGACTGGCAGAAGAACTGCCCTCTGTTTCACTCGCTTCCTCCCCCTCTGCATTGTCATCCAGCTCGGAGAGCGACAACGACGATTCGCTGGGTGTTTCGGGCTCGAGTTCCAGAAGAGATTTGCGTTTTGTGCGCGGAGGGAGTGTTATTGAGACCCTGGTTGGTGCGGGTTTTGCCGCTGCGGCTGTGGTTTGCGAATTTGTGTGATGGTGCGATTTTAGGGACGCAGACGCCGACGGGCGACTATTCGACGCCAAGTTTTTCGCGGGCATGGAGGAGAGGAAAAGCGGGTGAGTTATGGTAAGTTGTGGTTGGTTGAACCCGGAAAGGAAGGGGGAGGAAGGGTACGGAAGGAAAGTGGGGGTATGACTTCGTCCTTAGGTGCCAAACAAGCTTCAACATTATGAAAAACTCCGAGCCTCGAGTAACCCGCCCTTCCCGTGTCCCTCGTGTTTTGGATGGAGCGCTTAGAAGCCTTTATTGCTTGAAGTACGGATTTTATGCACTTAAAATGGAAGAAAACGAGCTGAGACGTATTTCACGGAATCGAGAACGACATCCTATATTGAGCTCACAGGCCAAGCCACTGACTGTTCGGCAGTAGGCGGGTAATCAGGGATGAGTCAGGTTGGTAACTAAGCCTCGGGGTAGATCCGTGGATGTTGCAATGGGCCAAGTTTAGGCAGCGTGAGTGTAATAGTGATGTATATATGCGCGTATAGCTCAGGGGCAGCGACAAAAAACACGGATATTTTAGAGTGTCAAGTAGGTGGGGGACATCCGCTTCCTGAGAAATGGGTACAACGAGGATGTAATGCACTCACTAGAACCTCGCGTACAAACCTGATCCCCCCTGCCTCGTTCCGCCCCAACGCAATCCCACCCAAATCTCACTCGAATCGGGAGCACAATTTAATCGTCGAAAAGGCATATGTTGAGGACCAGATGTGCGCAGAGGGCATACCCGGGAATGTATGTGGGAAGATTCAAGATTGCCAGAAAAGTGGGTGACGTGGCAGTGGCGAGGCAGAGGCCGGACAGGACCGGATCTCAATCCATGACGTGTTGATTGGGAGCGGTCACCCGGGTCTGATCGATAAATAAGCCTCAAGTCTCAAGCGGCCGTCTTTGACGTGCTTAGGCGGAGTTTTGTATCGCATAACATCATTTAACTGAAAACAAGACAAATTGACGTTGGGTTCAATCTTGGTCGTCCTCTCGCTCCCAGAGGATTTAGCGAACTAACTTAACCATCATGATCATCACTCCCTAACTGTTGCGACTCTCGACTTACGGACTGCCGAATGGCAACCGCTTGTTCCGAGTCTTCCGACACTTCCCGTGGTGATGTTTTGCAAAAAGTATCAGGATCGCTTGGAAATCAGGTGGTATTGTGACGCCGAGATGGAGATAGGAAATACCAGAGATCATCGATCTTCTTCAATCCCACGGATCCAAGCACCTCGCCTCTCCATCAGCTGACTACCCGGCGCACAGCATTCAGAGAGCGTCGAGATATTTGCGATTCTGATACAATTGGATGATCCAGAGTATAGATAGAACGCTTGCTGCTGTGACTTGTGTTACCATCTGTGATTTGAGATTGAGCCGTCTGTGATGACCTTCCGCTCAAATCAGCGAGTGCGGAATGCGTCGCTGAAACCGAGCAAGGATTGACCTTCGGGTTACGCACCCCCGGTCAATCTATACTGGAATCTGGATACTCATCATTGGTACTTTGAACAACCTTGCGCCATTCCGACACGTGTTTCAACGACCGCTGTGGACACTACTTTTCAGTCCTGACCATTAGCTTTGATGACTAGATTACGGAGATGCGGCCCCGGTGAAGGACAGACGCCTTCTCCGTCGGAGAGCAACCGAGGCATTGTCGATCGTAACACGGAGAATCTGACGTGTTAATGTTTAAATGTTTGATTGGAGTCGTCAAGTGAGCAAGAAGCCGTTATCACTATCTCATAGGTCATCAAGATCAGACTTGCTGGGTGTATAAGACTGGGAAACGTTTCGTGCAAATCTTATACGCATCCTTCTTCACCTTCTCTTCGATTGAATTTTTTTTTCGAACTCACACTCGTTCTATTTCTTTCTTTATTTCTCTCTTCGATCACTCTCTTTAAGCACCTTTTTCAACATCTTCTGACGCTGGCGAACGCATGTCTCACCACTACTTGTTGAATTCCACAAGAGACAGCCTTCCCCCATCCCCGACATCCTCCTCATCGTCGGCATCAATTTTCATGCCTAGAACACCCCCGTCGGACTCTGACCCAATCCATTCCGTGGGCAACCGCGCCAACTTCCAGCATCGGAGTTGCAACTACGACGATTCGGCACTTACAGAATCGGATGCTCAGGAGAAGCGTTCTCAGCCTAGTATCGCACAGAGGCGGGCCTCACACAATGCTGTCGAACGAGCTCGCAGAGAAACGCTGAATGGCCGTTTCTTGGTGAGATTTTCCCTTTTGGAGACTATCACGTCGGTATTGACAGATGCGGTGGATGGCTAGGATCTGGCTGCACTCTTACCGAATCTGAAACACCTTCGCCGGCCGTCCAAATCGTCCATCGTCAACTCATCGATCGCACACGTCCGTGCGGCGCGCCGCTACCGTCTCCTTGCTTCCCAGCAGCTCCGGACGTTGGATTCCGAGTGTGAGCAGCACCGCCGGGAAGTCAACCGCTGGCGTGCACGGGCGGGTTTCAAGCTGATACAAACGCCCCTTCGATCCGAAGCCTTCCAGCTCATCTTGAGCGGGGAAGAGCCGGAGTTCGACCCCCTCGATCTCGATGGGTTGTTCGAGGACGAGGACGAGCTGTTTCCGTCCCGACGACGCACGGCTCAGGCTGATGAGGCGTCGTGCGAGGGACCGCTGGTGCTCGTCGATCCGTACCAGGGCCATGCAGATCGCGGCACGCGTGAGCACGAGAAACAGTTCGACGAGCGAGATGCGCACGCATCTGACGCGACACCCACGATATATACCCCTCCAGATCACCTCCCGGCGTTCCCAGCCCAGCTGCGCTCCTTTCCACGTGATTCCTCCGTCCAGTCATCCCCGCAGTATCTTGAAACACCGCCAAGCAGCGGGTACAGCGTGGGCCCCACCGGCTTCGCCGAGCAGCAGGAGGAAGCCTGGATGTTCTTCGAAGGACAGTGGGGAAATTGAACGACATACCGCACACGAACAACTCAAACTTCGCGGTTGGTTACCCGATCGCTTTTTGATGATACCCAATCATGATGATGATTCAGCAGTGAATCCGTTTGTTGAATGTTTGATGCATCTGCATCTCTGATCTGTAGTTTTGACGCACATACCCATTACGATGTTTTGTGTACATGTTTCGCGCTCCTAGTGGAATAGATCGCACACGACTCTAGTGATGTTGAACTGATTCAGGAAGAAGCAGCAGGTCTGCGGTGTTCCTTGTGAGCCCTGAATAACTCAGGACATTATTTGCCACAAGTCAGCGCTGTACCTATTGTTTTCCAGCTCCAAGAGGCTCCAAGCAACACTGATCACGCAACCCCGCCTATTGTCCATATCCAACGGATCAACTATCAAACCATCACCCATCAAACCATCAATCACCACGCGGCGGTGTCAATTGTCAATTGTCATCTGCAAGGGCCGCTGACCCGGCCTTCTTCTTCTCGTGCTTCGTTGTCGTCTTTCCAGAAACCGCCCGCCCTTTCATCCCCTCAGGAGGCGAGCGAGCATGGCTGCGTCCCTCGAGCACCTGCGCGCGGAGATGGCCGCCTGGCAGGACGCTCTCTCTGCTCACGACGCGGGCGACCTGCAGCGGTCCATCCGGCTCTTCGAGGCGAGTCACGCACATATGGCGCACGGGTTCTTTGAGCCTCGCCGAATGGGGTCACTCGGAGACTGAACGCCTTTGCAGCCCATCGCGGAGACCTCCAAGATCATCGTGAACGTGGCGCTGATATACGACCGCCTGGGCGAGCGCGCGGAGGCGATCGAGCAGTACACAAAGGCGATTGAGCTAGACCAGTACCTCGCTGTCGGGTGCGTCGACTCGTTCCCGCCATGCATCCCCGTCCACCCTCGCTGACGTCCACTCTCCCCCCTCCTCCGCTTGGCAGGTACTTCCAGCGCGGCGTGTCGCGGTTCCACGCGGGCGACTTCGAGGGCGCGGCACAGGACTTTGGCGAAGCGGAGCGAATGATGCGGACCAACGTCGAGATGTGAGTCGTCGCTCCCGTATGTCCGTTCGGTCCCGAGGACATCTCTGATTTCCCCCCAGCGACTACGACGTGCTTGGATTGAACTACAAATTGAAGCTTCCCGAGATCCGGTACAACAAATGGCTTGCCTTGTCCCGACTGGACCGTACCGCGGACGCACGGGACGCTTTGAAGGCTTTCAACAAGAGCACGCCCTCGCCAGATCTAAGTGCTAGGATGAAAGCCTCGGTTAAGGATGTCATCAATGCCGAGCCTTGCTCTTTGGTACTTTCACGAACTTTTTCCTCGTGAGACAAAGAGCCAATCTTCTGCCCAATAGCCTTCCGGGACTTTATATCGACCTTCACCCATCAAGTTGCAGATGCTGATGGGCGCAGCTCCCTCCTCCCCGTCCTTTCCCGCTCCTCCTGCCACCATTCCGCCAACTACAACAGTAGCTGAGCAATCAACAAGAATAGAATCCTCGTCGAAACCAAGCAAAAAGCGACACAAGAAGAATCAGCAGTCGATAAGTTCTGGCGAAGCTCGTGAGTGACCCGTTTTATTCTGGTGCCTACCAAGATGTTGACACAGCCTTTATTAGCCGATGCACCTGCCGGTGGGTATCCGAAATAGTTCCTCTTTATTTGCGTATGGCTGACTCGATCAACTCACATACAGATGTGACCAGCTCCGAGTCATCACGCGTCCAGCGCTCTTGGTTCTTCCGCCTCTTCTCCATCTTTACAAGGAAGGCTTGAGAGCTCTTGTCCCCCATATCTGCGTGCTTTGCTGTCTTATGTTATGTATTCTATATATCTATCTATCTCGTACCCGTAGGATTTTTTTACATACCTTAGAACATCTCCGCGGTCGGTTGGAATCTGGATTTCTGTGTACTCTTAATTTATTGCGTGGTTTGCGCGGTGGCTGCCTGTGAAACCAAGAAATGGGGCTTACATTTTTAACTTGTATTCTGAGGCCGAAAGACTTCATGCATCAAGTAACAGTATCAAAAATCCAAAACAACCTAGTTGTGTGTTCTTACCCCTTTCTCTGTCACTTGTGAACAATCTCTTTGGACATTGAACCATACAGTGCAACAATATGCTCCATGTTCAGTTTTGCCCATTCCTGCAAAGAATTATGTCTGAGAGCAGTGAGTGCTAAGGTGATTGATAAGGTCCTGGATGTGCTTGATAATGCTCAAATCTGGATACAAGATTGTTGGCAACAGAAGTAGCACATCGTTGTCTACATTGCCAAACAAGTCATTGATGATTGGCAGCATATCTCTCCGCATGCTTTTCCAGCAACTTCAGAGGTTCAGTGGAGTATTTCTCAACATCATAGTAGGCGAGTCCGGTTAATTTGAGTTCTCTATTTGGAACTTGTTCCTGGTCTAGTCCGACCATAAGTCTAGAATTTTATGGGCAATAATGCTATCTTGGACAAATATGTTGCTCCTCAAACTGATCTTCAGTGGGTGCTCCCTACGCCCGGAACCATCAAAGCCAGGTCAGACTCTTTTCTTTCTCAATCCGGACCGGGACCTACATGTACTTATCATGAGTGTAAAGCGAAAATCAGCATCGGCAGGCAAAAGAACCGCGGGGCGCAAGTTGACAAGCGCACCGGATGCGATGGAGGTCATCCATCAGACGAAAATGCCTGGCGACCGGAGCAGAGGTACAGAAGCAATGGATGTTCAGTGACATTGTGTCTCACCACGTGCAGCGACAAAAAAGGGCGAGCACGTGAAACATCGAGGTGTCCACTGACTATTCACGCGGCGATACCATTCAGAGGCACAGTAGGACAGGACACAGAGGGAGAAAAGGGTCAAGCTTCCTATTAAACATGACAGTGTAGTTTGTCTCAATTCCGCACATAAAACAGATACTACTGAACGTGACGCAGAAAATCTCCGAAGAGAAGAAAACATCAAAAAATTGAGCCATGCAAAACAAGGCAGGCTTAAACAAGTGCTCTGAACCAGTGCACACAGCAGCCAATCAGGCCACCATGCCCCGCGAGCCGAAGGAGAGACGCAAGCGTCGCCGTCATCCCACGGCGCTCTGCAGCATCTCGTGCGCATCCGACCCGCGACTACAACACAAGCATCCTGTGGAGATCCCGATCCAGCGGCCGATGCGCGCGCGAACGATCCATGGGCACGCTGGATATGCGGCGGAGGGACTCCAGCCCCCGGACGAAGACGGTGTGTGCGGGGGAGCGAGCGGAGTCGGTGGGATCTGACGTGGTGCCGCAGTGACATCATCCTGCCCCGGAGCAGCGGAGGATAAACTGGACGCCAATTTATTGTACTCCGGGGCCACGTCTAGCGTCGAAAGCGACTGCAGAACAGGGACGACGACGAAGGGCAAATGCGCCTCTCACTCTCAACGTGAACGGTTCCTGGTCCCTGCGACATGAGAGTCGGTCTTCGGGAGTGCTCCAGGAAGGTTCACGCGGATTTTGCGCCTCGGAGATGACAGGAAAAGTCCTGCCTGTGCGGGACGAGCGTCGCGGAGTTGGGCGTGTCGGAGCTTGTACACGTGTCCGCTATTTGAGTCCATCGAGCCGAGCCACGTGACACGGGATCCATCCCCGTTCCCGCCTCAGACGATGCCCGGGAAGATTATGTTTTTATGAGGATTATTCGATCCTTCGACTGCATATTGGCTGGCCTCAACCTGTCTCAACCCTTAGATTGAACAAATTAGAGCCATGGCTTGAACTGTAGGCGCCGGGATGTCCCGTTCCGTGACGGTGTCCGCGTGACGTCCCGCGCTAATTTCCTGCCTCACGTCACGGTGATTCTCAATTGTTTTCATCCGCACCCATCTCCACGACCTCCCCGGTCCCAACCCCAAAGAGCTGTTCATCAAGCGCATATGGACCCCGCGCTGCACCACGGCATTTCCACCGTCGACGCGGAGGGCGAAAGCAGCACCGAGATCGAGGACCGCCTCCTCTCCATGTCAGCGGGAGAGTCATCCCGCCTCCGGCGACGGCCTGCCGTCGCGCTGCGCGACACAGGGCCCGCACCGCGCTCCCGGGCGTCGGGGTCGGGCTCCTCCCGCGGTGGCACGGGCATGGGCACGGGCAGTGGGAGCAGCAGCAGCATGCGGAAGGAGTGGTACGAGCTGTCGTGTGGGGGCGCTGCTGCCGCGGTGGAGGCACCGCAGTACCCGTGGTCCGCACACAGGGGCGCCACAGATCTCGATGGGCGCGAGGGCGCCGATAAAGACGACTACAACGATGATGATGATGATGAAAGAGACGCGCGGCCGCCCGTGGAGATGATCCCCGGCCAGCCGGCGCACAAACGACGCCGCCTGTGTGCCGTCCCCCGCACGGATCGCGCGCGGACTACGAACGGGTGCGGTGGCACCGTGCACGCGCGCGTGGCACAGGGACCGCCGGTGCGGCCGCTTCCCCGGCCGTTTGGGATGGACCGTGCAGGGAGGGAGCAGCACGAGCGGGAGCAGACAGAGCGTGAGCAGCGATTGGGGTTCTGGGTCGGCACGGTGTCTGGGCGGCACACCACTGTCGTGCCGCTCGATGGGGTGTACTTCTCCGAGAATCAGCGGAGGGCGTTAGAGATGTTTGCACGGGATGAAGAGGATGGGCCTGATGGAGTGGATAAGTTTGGCTGCGGACAAAGGGAGTGCGGATGCGAGATGCAGGGCGTTGGCTGCGCAGTTTGGTACGTTCACACGACGCTTACGATCACACGACACTGACAACGAGCGTAGCGGAAACCCTCTTGGCATACTGCGTCTCTTCTGCGCCAACCACAATGGTGGCACGAATGAAAGCGGATACTGGTTCTTTCGGGGAGCTGTCAGCGCGACTGCTTTGCCCACATCGAATCTCAATGCTCAACCCACTCGACGATCGATGTACGACCGGCGCAGAGACAGCTGGTACACCAATACTGCCCAGTCCTTTTCGATGGAGGACTCAGACGACGATGAAGAAAGCATGCTTCTGGCTGCACCCCCACCGATCAGCGTCGAGGAGTTCGAGGAAGCACAGCTAGCAATGCGACGGCGAGCAAGCCTCGTAGAACGCCGGTCGAGCCTACGATCCCTCATTGCCGATGCTTCCACAGCAGGTGACACAGCTCCTGACCCTCCCGAATCTTCCACACGTGAGGCTCTTGTTCCCGATGCCCCGGGGTTTGTCGTCGTGACCGATGAGATGGTTGCCGGTGCACCCGCACAGCCTCCGCCGGGAGATGCTGCTGGTGCTGGTGCTGGTGGTGGCGACGTGGCAATGGGGGCGGTGGCAGAGAACGAGCCTGCGCCGTCTGCTGTAGACTCTGAACCGATGCCGTCGGCCTTGGCCTCGATCGCAGCAGAACGCGCACGGTTGACCGGCCTGCGGGAACGCATCAGCACGCTCGTGGCCCTGCGCAGCTCTTTGTCAGCGACGGCCAACTCCCCCGCTTCACACGCCGCGGTGACCTCCCTCCTCCAAGGCTTCCGCGACGTCATCCAAGATCAGTCGCGCACGCTCACCAGTCTGGGGCGGCTGCTTGATGGCGCGGAGCAGAGTTCCGCTTCTGGTGCGGTCAGCGACGAGGGCCGCCGCCTGCTTGTGGATGCACGGGAGACCATCGCGCGGGCCGAGGCTGCGCTGAGACATGCGCGGAGAATCGCAGACTCCGGAGCGACGAGTGTTGCTACCTCCATGCCCGGCATGTTTTTCGATCGTTAGCTTGTGTTTGCGGCTATGCTTGCTGCCTTATTTTTCGCTATTCGTTGCTCTCCTCCTTGCACGCGTATCAACTTGACCCGGAAGGCTATGTACATAGGCAGATTCAACAGCTTGAGGCGGCTGCAAAATATTACGATCTCATCTCCATCATTGATATTTTCAGAGTCTCATTGATCAGCTGCAATGCTATCGATAAAGTGATCAATTCGGCCGCAATGGTTGTGGACAAAGATGGGCCTAATGCACCCACTGATCATCAGTTTCAGCAGATCTCTGCCCACCTCAGAGATACGTGAGGAACAGTTTCCCCTAGCGGTTTACATTTTGGTCCGAGTCGGCGTGCGAGACGACTTCGAACTGGCTTGGTGCTCCTTGGCACGATCCCCGCACTGTACATGCGGGTGCGAGATCAGTCATCCAATTGAAACAGGATCCTCACCCCGATCTGCTTTATCTGATGTGCTTCTAAGAGGGTAGATCATTTCCGTTCGACAAAAGTTCCTTCGGAATTAGACCACGGTTCAAGAAAGGTCGAATCTGTACTTTCTCGATGAACAGTTTCGGTTTCCAAGCCCATGGTCGCTCAGGCATGCATCACGTCATCACTCTTGACATTTGTGTGGTATCACCCTAGTTTCTACAGCACCGTGACACAAAATTGGCATTTACTCAGATCCTTGGGCTACATACAATCGATTGGACTCGGAACCAAATTGCAATCAAGGAGAAAGTTCCTCACACTACAAACACTGGTGTCTCGCCCCCGTCCTCGACTTGCGGGACAACAGATGAACCGCAGCTCGGTGTTCCATCTGAGCAGTGAGCAGCACAAGGACTGGTGTGCGTGCATCAGTAAAGATGCCCAAAGACACACAGTCGTCCCGCCTGAAAGGAGCAGAATGCATTCCCCGATTGGTTCGCCTAAATTCAGCCTCACATATCGCGGAAACAGATTCCGCAATCACCTATATATATATCTTGTCGGTTTTGGCTTTCGTGCATGCGAGAATACTTCCTATCATAATTGTGCTCATGAATCCTGTCAGCCCTCGTTACGCAGCTGGTGGCAGGCGTCGAGCGACAAGGTACGCTGTGCCTATCATGTGTGCCTGCGCTCATGCCAGTCGTCGACTCATCATCCACCGAGTCCTATCGAGTCCCGCGAATCTCCATGATCTCTTCCATGCCGTCGATCCGGTCGACACCGGGCATGCCCTATTCTCCGAGATTCCTCATCCCCATGTAACAGAAGCATCCGTGTAGAGACTATTACTAGCCGTAGCGGTCATATGCAAACCAGGCCTAATCCACACTGGAATTACGGAAATGTACCCTAAACCGCCACCAAGTGCGACATTGACTCGACGTTCGTCCCTCCGCTGTCTTAGATCTAGATCACTACGAGTGCGCCATCTGCCCAGCGAATGGCATGTACCAAGGCACCATTCAAGCACTCGATGTGAATCTATGGCGGTCCAAGCGTATCGAAAACAAATTGCCACGTAGAAAAGTCTAAGAATAGATCATACGGTAAGTTTTAGTACGCTGGTATTGGATGGATATGCGAGGGAATGCGATGTCTATATATATACGTGTCTATTTCTGGTTCGTGAGCGGGCGCGGTGGATCACATAGAATATAGAAAGTCCAAGTATACAATACAATACATGCGGGAGGCACGACGAGAATAGACGGACTGAGAGAACCTATGTGGCCCCCACATTGTTGCATCAGTCCAGCACGCTGAACGGCGCAAGAAAGCACACACGAACGAAGAGCAGAAGCTAGCGCCCCGGACTCGTTTTGCCGCCCAGCGAATCGTATTTGGCGTTCTCGGTCCGCGCCCACGACGAGCCGGAAGCTTCGCGCGGCGAATACGGCATGGTCGCCATCGTCTTCAAGTGGACATCAGTGCTCGAAGCGTTCGCCGACGTGCCGGATGAAGACCACGGGTCTTTGCTGTGGGAAACGGTTTTGATCAGACATGTGCGAACAAGCGCAGCCGCAGCAGGGATCGGAGAAACGAGCCGGCCGCTTCCGTGGATGGTGTCTGGCAAGATCGTCTCTCTCGCGCTCGGCCAGCCACATCAGGCGATTTCCTTATTTGGAAGTGACGAAAAAGTCCGTGAACTTTGAAGGAGGTGGGTGAACGGTACTTCGACCAGGACAGTACTACGACCCAAATGTCTTTTGGGAGAACCCCATCCCACACATGCTCACACGCCGCCGTCCCCAAGGCTTTTGGCAGATCCGAGGAGAACCACTCACTTGACGCCATACGAAGATCTCGCCAGGATTCGAGAAGCCTCCTCCGCCCCGTATTGCTCCGCCAGTTGACTGCGCGACCGTCAGCAGCGGAAATAGCACACGACGGCTGACATGCCTGGCATAGCGATCCACAATGAGCGCGACGTCCTCCTGTTTCAGTCGATAGGCTCTGGGCATCATCCCCTTGCCGAAACGATACGTGACGTGGTTGCTGCACAAGAGTGCGCAGACGATCACGCCTATGAAGGTTATCAGAGACCGTAACCCGAGGGAGAGCACAGGCTACCGCACCGATGTGGACTGGCACCAGCCCAAACGAGAACGTGTAGAACCGCTCCAGCGCCAGCCGCTCGAAGGCGAGAAACTGGCTTTTGCATCCAGGCAGCACCGATCGCGAATAGCATGTCGCGGACAGCGTGGCCTCGACAAACGGGCTGAAGTACCCACAGCACTGCAGCGCGCCCTGGATGATTAGCCGGTCCTCCGCCCCCAGCTCGCGACTCCACTGCTGGTTGATTTTGCCGTCCAGATTGAGATTCCGGCGTTTGTAAGCGAGATACCCCGGCACGACCATGAGCCCGAACCCGATCCATAAGAAAAAAGTGTACACGGCGAGGAAGGGGCGGTTGTTGAGCAGGATCCCTGGGAAGCCCAGCAGGCCGACAAAGCAGAGGAACGACGACGCGAGCGTGGACAGCAGCAGCTCCGTGGAGTTGGCGGTCAGCAGCACCGCCGACACGCGGAACACGCGGAAGTACACGAGGAGCAGCGTGATGAGCGAGGCGAGTGCGTAGCTTATGAGCACGAGGTTCGCGGCGAACAGGATCACCTTGAAGCGGGTCCAGCGCACTCGCTTCCCCGCCCGCCCCACACCAGCGAACAGCGACCGAGATCGCCCGCCCCAATCGTCCTCGTCCTCGTCGCGCTCGCCCGGTATTCGGTCCGCGCCCGCTCCGAACGCATCGACGCCCCCGCCGCGCGCGAACCCCGGGATCCGCGGCACGCCCTTCCCACTGCTTCTAGCGCCTTTCGGTTTCCGCCTTGTGACGAGCGAGGAGGAGAATTTGGCGGGGAGGTAGTTGTGTGCGAGCGACGTGACGCTGCCGGCGACGGACGGGGGGCGTGAGGACGACGAGGACGATGCGGAGCCTTGGCGGGCAGCGAACGGTGCGTTGGGGGCTCGAGTGAAGACGTGGAGCTGTTGAGGGGTGGCGACGGTGAGGATGCGGGCGCCATGAGGTGGGACGAGCTTGACATGGGCTCTGCGCGATTCTGCCTGCGAGCGAGTTGAGAGCAGAAAAGAAGGGTTCGCCGTCTGTCAGCGGATGTAGCGAGGTAGGGGTTCTGGGCGGCAGCTTGAAACGAGGAGGCCCAGCAACGGGGGGCGAGAGGGTGAGAGGAGGGAAAAGTAAGAAGGTGTGCACCGTTGCCGGCGTGCGTGGGTGTGTGCGCCTGCAGACGCCGGTGGAGGTTAACCTTGTAGAGCTAGTGCTTGGACAGACAGGTGCAGGGAAGTCCCCGCCAAGAACACTCTTTCCCCGATCATTGGGTCAGGGCGATGAGCGAAACTTGGGTCGAGAGATGACGTAATACATGACCGCGCCGACAATGATAAATGATTGCCGAAAGATAGCCCTGATCTATCATCTGCTGCGGATGCGACTGTACGTAGTCCAGACTACGAGTTCGGATTCTGTCCGTGCGCCAACCGATGAGCGGAGAGGGAAATTATCCCAGATTTCGTCTTATCACCCATCCGCAGCACAATTAAGTGAACCAGGTGGCATGTGATGTGATGGAGACTCGCCACCGGACGTCACAAGGGACTGGATGGATGAACATGGGCCGAACAAGCTATTAACGGTCGCGGCAGTGAGGTCAGAGATGCATGCATATCACCGAAGCAAAGGCGAAACACAATTGCTCAGGGGGCAGGATCACATCATGAATCGGTCGCAGTGGGCAACCCGGACGCAACCTTAGAATATCGCGGTTGAGAAGGGGAAAGCTATGACAGCCACAATTGAAGTCAGTGCGAGAGGAGGAGAAGAAAGAAACAGCTCTCCGAACGGACAGGTTCTGTGAAGGAATGCCGATTTAATTTGGGACGTGAAAGACTTTGAATCCGCGCGCATTACTGCCGCCCGCTCCTCTACTACTCCTGAGAGCCTCCCGCAATGCAGGTATATCGATGGTAGCCCTCAAGCACGAAAGAGGCTGATGACGGATTAAATCATCAGGCGCTGACCAGAGCGGATGTTGCGGATGTGACTAGCCTTCATCTCGAGGGCATTAATTCCGCTGTCGTCCTCCCGAGCACGTCTGACGGAATTATAAAATACCGGCTGAGCCGGATTTCCTTTGCACCGTTCCAAACTTGCGGAAGTTGCGGGAGCAATGCCGCACTAGAGGGCAACCAGTGCCCGGCACCACAGCTCCCAGCCTCTCGAGATAATGGGTTCTCTTTGCTGACAATTTTGTCCATAAAGCGGCTGACATGCTGATCCAAGGTGTGTCGCCTGCATTTACTATCACGGACCCACCGCTAGAGTGGACTCTTGTTAGTAGACCCGGATAACGTCATTTGCGAAGCGCAAATCGTTCTACTTACCAACCGACTGCGATGACGTAGGGCGGGCACGTCCGCTCCTTACAAGTTCTCGCTGGCTCCACTCGTTGTTTGCATCATCCCAACTCATCCCAGCCATATCTTCGCCGGCCCGGGGGGGATAAGGTTGCGAGCTGCGAGGTATAAAGGCTCCGAATGGGCTATCTCCAACGTGTCCGTTGGTTTCCATGCCCCGGACTGAAAGAACTGATAAAATGAAGGGATCCCTCCGCTCTGCCCGATGATTGCCTCCGCCCCATCCCGTACCAGAATCCGTGCGTCCCCCTAAAATCCATCCCAATTACGCATCTTGGCGACCAACGACGACGATGTGCACTGGGAGGCGTAAAATTGAAGCTTGCTTGATGTGATGGGGATCGTCATTGGCTGCTAGCCTCGCATATCACGGCCGGCAGGCGTAGCAGCTGATGCCAGGACGCCTAATTCCCCAATGGGGATATTCGTTCTCACGCGGCAGACATCTTTTGACCTGCGTGGTCTTTCAGTTCTTTCAAGTCGACGAGTTTTTCAGGGGGCAGGCACCAGACGTTTCTCAGCACACTCCCATCCCCACCGCTGATCGGTGCGAGAGGTCCGTCTCGTCCGTCGCGCCTCTTTCGCAGCAGCTCTGACGCGTTCTGTCTCGGTTTAGCACGCACACCCATCTACACGCGAATACTGCACACACACACGGCTTTGGAGCCCCAGCTGGATCGCGCGATCATGAGATACCACTCGCCGCTCTTCTCCGGACGCGACTCAGTCGCCTCAGACCAGGTCCTGACTGTCTCGTCTCCCGTCTTTCATCCCGTGACTCACTTTTCGCGTGCGGCAGAGCGTCGCCACGATCGTGCCCAGCGCGCCGCCCACGCCTGCTGGCCCCCCAAAGGAGGAAGAGGAGGAGGAGGATAGCCGCTGGTCGGAGGTCGTGCCGCCGCATTCCGCGCTGACGTTCGGTGTCGAGTGGGACGGCGGGGATGCGGGGATGACTATCTCGCCAGTCGAGATGGACGAGGCGACCTTTCGACGCGCACGAGGCAGCGCCCGCACGGCTCCTTCGGACATCGACGGCCGCTCACAAGTGCTCACGATCGGGACCAGCGGCTCTCTCTTTGGACTCGGCAGAAGCGGAGACGCGGGGGAGGGGCGCGCGTCAGAGTACACCACGACCTTGCAGTTTCTGAGCGAGAACCACGGGTTCAAGTTCGCCGACTCTGCGTACTTCCCTGGGGCCCCGAACGCCGGGCGCACGTCGAGCACGCTGGACGGGCTGGACGTGTATCTGCGCGGGTCCATGATGGGCAGGGCGCACAACGGGAATCGCTACGCCTCGTGTTTCGAGGAGCTCGACGGCACATTTACGTTCGATCCGCGCACGTCGTTCGCACGCGACTGGTTGCATGACGAGAAGCGAGACAATGTGAGCGATGAGGGATTCTCCGAGGGCGGGTTGTATGAAGGTGACGACAGCCATCTGGTGCGGCTTTCTCCGCTGTGTTACTTCCACCGAGCTCATTCGCAGTCAGCCATCCCGGTTCTCGACCACTACGACATCGACCTCCAACTACGTGAATGTCGACTTCCCGGCCGATATGATGAACGACGCGTCCTCCGCTTCCTGGTCGAAGCTCGATGCCCCGAATACGCCGGGTTACCAACGTACGTCCAGTGACCGTTCCGTATGCCTCATCCACTCGAACGCGGCTGCAGAGATGTTCCCCAGACAACCCACAGCCAGCAGCAGCGACCGCAGCGCTAACACCGCCCCCAGCAGGAATCGCCTGCACAAGCACCGCGCAACCGCCCCTGCTGCGGGGCCCGCACCGCCAGTCGACGTGCTCAGCCGCTCCGGATACAACCACGACGTGCCGTCCCCCACACCCCTCGCGCTGCCCCTCCCGCCCCCAGTCCCGTGCCGGTCGCACTCGTCCCCAGGCCCCGCGCGCGCCCGGTCGCCCACCGCCACCGCCTCGCCCATCGTTGCCGTGTCGCCCCGCGCGAGGAATCTGTCGATGAAAACGCTGCCGGCGAAGCTGCGCAGCATTGGAAGCAGCCACAAGGGGAAGAGTAAGCCCGAGCCCGCCGGGTGGGTGTGGGTCGATGTCAGGGAAGATCGGCTTCCCCCGGTTCCGACGCTCGATCGGCTGTTGATGCCAGCCTACGAGATGTGATTGTGATGCGATAGTGAACAACTGAACATGAACATGAAGTGATGTGTTAATGAACTGCTGGAGTGATTTCTCTGTTTTTTACCGTGCTTTGCTGTATATTGGTTTTCCATGGGGCTACACACGCTGGTTGGACGGAAGCCTCGATGGCCTGAATTTGTTCTCTTGAATATACGCTGTATTTGTGCCTGTGAATTTCATTTGAATAGAAAAAAAAACGACCGTCATGCATAATTCTGGAGCCAGTCCTCAATGAGGGGAATGCACGTGAGGGAAGTCTACCCCCGGCCATCTCCGGGCAAGGATCAATTGTCACGGACAGACGTAGAGTGGATATTTTGTGCCGCACTCTATATCACCGTCTATCATCTCAATAAAACGGCCAGGTCAGGTACAGTACGGGGCAAAGCAAGGTAATCACTTCCTTTCCCAGAATAGAGTCTCTTGGAATCCGTGATGTCGTCGGAATGAGCTCAGCTATGGAAACCCGGAAGGCCCTGCTCAGTAACCGAGATGGCTGACAGTGATGGCGTGATCTGGGGTCCCGCTCACTGAATTGTAGACTCAGACATCGGTAATATAGTTTTGTAGATGACTGTGACCAGTAAGTCCTCAGTCAAGCCTGATAGTGGCAGGAAGACTGAGGATGCGACACAACAAAAAATAGTGTATAAGTAGAGCCTCGTGATCTGAGATCAGTCACGTGACAAGCTGTACACCAAGCTGCACGCTACCAGGCCCACGGACATGTAGAATAAAGTAAATCTGGCCGAAAACTTTGACTTTATTCCTCCGGGAAATAGCGTAAAAGTGCCTCAAAAAGGGCAGCAAGCCTCCGGAGATAGCGTAAAACTTGGCTAGATCCCTGCCGATCTTGAAAGATTTGAGCCCCGCATCAGTGTAAAATCGGGTGGAACCCGGCCTAATCCGGGGATTTCTGACTTGAATTTAGGCATATAGGATCATGTAGTCTTATCAGTCGTCAGCAAGACTAATTTCAACTGGATATGTACTGAATTTGGTAGTCTACGGGGAATCTAACAACCAATATGAACAGAATGATCGCTTGCCTGATCGTTTTTTCTTGCCCATTGTTCCCGGCTCCCAAGCACTCTGCCGGTTCCCGAAGTACATGGGCATAACAGAAGTGTCGGCAGCTGTCCTCGAAGTCACGGACAGTGACAAGAGCACATACCCAGAGTTGGATTCCTCGGAATGGATTAGCGTTGGACAAGTCTACAAGGACGTCCCATCGGCTCGTAAAAGCATAGCAGGAACAGCTACTGTGCGTCCTATAGGTGGTAAAGGTCGGGGGAAGGTTCCTACAGCTTAAATACAGTCCCTAGAAGCGTAGGGAGAAAAATCAAATTGACCCTCCAAAAATAGAGTAAAAGTTGTTCAAAATGTCGAAAAATTGAACGTAAAAGTAGTTAGGCTGGCGGAGGATGTTCACCCTATGTGTCCGTGGGCCTGGTAGCGTGCAGCTTGGTGTACAGCTTGTCACGTGACTGATCTCAGATCACGAGGCTCTACTTATACACTATTTTTTGTTGTGTCGCATCCTCAGTCTTCCTGCCACTATCAGGCTTGACTGAGGACTTACTGGTCACAGTCATCTACAAAACTATATTACCGATGTCTGAGTCTACAATTCAGTGAGCGGGACCCCAGATCACGCCATCACTGTCAGCCATCTCGGTTATTGAGCAGGGCCTTCCGGGTTTCCATACTCAGCTGCTATCACCTGACCGTAATAGAACCTCATAATTATACGACGTCGCGCATGATCACCTCCCGACGCGGAAGTCGCACGGAGGAGCCTGTGGCCACCTGCAGCCGTCGCAGGCGGGCAAAGCGAGCACTGATTCGTCAGCCACCACGGCAACATTAGATAGAGTCGGTCCTGCGGGGCGCGATTCAAATACCTTCTCCAAGCAGAGACGCCGTTGCCCCGGGTCGGTGATCAGCGGTCGATTGCGCGCATGAGCATCGCCAAGACCCGCGCGGATCCAATCGGCGAGCCCGCCGCCACCCCGGTCAAGCCGCGCGCTCGCTCCATTCTTTGCGGTTTCGTGATGTGGAACGTCAGGGCGAAGCAGAGCAGAGGGCAACAGGGCCAGGAACGGCATTGGGCGCCACGGGAGGACACAAGACATCTCTTGGCCTGCGCGCCCACCATCCTCTCGAATCTTGATCAGCAGCCCAAATGATATCAGTGGCTCACTTGGCGCATCGATACTTGCTAGCTTGAGAACCATCCGCGATGTCGTCGCGTTTGGTGCCCCGTGCGCAGCAGAGAATGGCACAGTCGGAGATCCTGGCACGGAGAGCGGATCGGTTCCATTCTCCGGTTTCGGAAATAGGAGAAGTCAGACAGTCAACGTCGAGTCCCAGCGCTATGCAAGTGGAGAGTGGATGCGCCATGAGTTTCTTATAAACCCTCCGACGACTGAATCCTTAGCGCGGCTCTTTGACATCGATTAATGATCACACATTGCCATTGGATGTCAAATGACACGATAATTTACGAGAAGGGAGGGATGAGCAAATCGTGTCACCAGCCGATCGTCTGTGAGCACGGGTCAGACTCGACGACGCTCTCTCGACGAGTGTGGAGAGCGACTCACCCCATCCTGGGGATCGTACATGGGCAGTAGGTCCTTGATACACCCAAACCGAATCTGCCCGGGATCGATGAAGAAGCCGCTCCATCTTGAGACGGTCTCGATGATTTCATCCCGTCTTAGAAGGTCCTTCGGGCTCTCGGTCCACAGCGCAGCGTGGGTGACCCGGTCAAGCAGCTGGTCGTCCGACTCGAACGTCACCGCGCGCGTGTGGAAGAAGATGCCTTCAGGGAGGTCGGAGGGCGTGGGGACGGCATACAGCGGGGGAGGATTCACGACTGCGAGAACGGGTCGCCGTGAGTCAACGGGATAGGGGCTGGGGCCTCGTACATGTGAAACGGGTGGGACGGACCTTGTGCGTAAGGCACGCGCTTCTTGTCCTCCACCGGCAGCGAGTGCCTCCACCCATCGAATGCCAGCAGGTAGCTGAAGAACGGGCCGTACATCGTCGCCGCCGAGGGCGGGCAGACCGCCATAGCGACGTGCTGGAAGTACTCGGGGGGCATGAAGTACCCGCTGAACACACCGTGCTTCTTCCGCCGCGAGTCGTCGGTGCGGTCGTGCTGGTGGCGGCGGTCGATCATGCTGTGCTGCTCCTGCTGCTACCTGCGGTGGTGGTGGCGGAGAGCAAGGAGCAAGCCGTCGAGGATAAGAAATGTATTGATGCGGAGGAAAAAGGGTCTCTTCTCCGCGATTGATGTATTTGAATGGTCCACGTGCAGTCCTCAGATCGCTCGGTAAGCAGCGGCCCGCCATTGACCTGGGTGCCATCTCCTAGGTGCGGATGCATCATCGTGGTTGGAGGCGCGCGGTTCCGAGGTCGCCCACGATCTCCAGATGGCACCTGCGGGTGACGTAGCTGGCGTCTCGCACGGGGGCAAGAAGACTGCAGAGACCCCGCGGCTTTCTTCCTGCTATTTAGTGCACATGAAACGATCGGCCATCACGACTTGGCATTGATGGTCACTCTGATCGGTGATGCAGTCCTTGGGCGATCGCACCCCGGCCACCCCAGACTGCGGTTCACAAGAGGAACATGACTCAGCTGCCGCCGCATTCTGCTTTATTACTCAGAGGATGTCTATACCATTCAAACGCTGTCTGTCCGTGCTGCTGAAGCTACCGACGAACCCGGGTTTAGACATGATAGATATCAATGACTTGCATCATGTGGTTCCTACGGCAAGAGGCGGCCACCGGCCGCTGCCTCGCACCCACTTTCGAAAGGAGTAAGCAGAATGGCCCCGTGATTGGCGGTCCACGGAAGCCTTGATTCGTCAAAATTAGGCCTTGCCTGGACCCATGTCTCTACTTCTAAAAACGCCGTCGGTTGCTATCAGCACTTGATTTCTTCTCGATAAACGTATCGCAGAAAGTTCATGCACGACGCCTCATTGAAGCCCTTGATTCCGCACATATCGAATCGTCGCTGCACTAGGGCTCGCCCTTTGCCTCCCATCTCTTTCAAAGTACCCATGTCCGCCGTCCCATGGTGCCACCTCGGTCGTCAAGGGTCGTCTTTTCGATCGAGGACGGGGCCTCAAAATCCGTCTCTAAATCCGTGTTTGGTCTTAGCCATTGCAACCTCCACGTGGTGGGAGTCGTAAATAAGCAGAGGACAGAGCGTGGTGAGTCGTAACCCTTGGGAAAACCTCTGGTAACAAGTATAAAAGCGTGTCCCCGTCATCGAAACTCGCATCCCCCTTGTTCGCGTTTTTTTCGGTACAGACATGAAGGCTGTCGTCGCTGCCCTCGCTCTCGTTTCATTCGTCGCTGCTGATCGCACCTTTACCATCCACAATGCTTGGTGTGTTTCTCCCCTCCCTCACATCAATACTTACATGCCACCAGCCCGTTCACGATCTGGCCTGCGATCTTCACCTCGGGCGGAAGTGCGCCGAACTACCCGACCGGCTGGGTTGCCGAAGCGTCGACCTCGGTCTCCATCTCAGTCCCCGAGAACTGGGTGTGTGTCGGCGATTCGATTCGGGCCACCCAAGCTTACCTCGCAACCTCACACCCACAGAACGGGCGGTTCTGGGGCCGCCGGAACTGCGACTTCTCCAAGACGAATGGTCCGACGTCCTGCCTGACGGGTGGCTGCAACGGTGGCCTGCTGTGTGACACCAAGACCGGCACGGGCGTTCCTCCCGCCACCCTGGCGGAGTTCAACCTCGGTGCGAACGGACAGGACTTTTACGATGGTGCGCCGGGTGCTGTATTCAAACCCCAGCCCATTCAATCGAATCTCACGCAGTTTCTCTCGTCGACGGGTACAACCTCCCGTGCGTACGCCCCGATCCGATCTAATCTAAAGCCACCCAACCCGCATATAGTGTGCGCATCGAGAACACCGCCGGCTGCGTCGTACCCGAGTGCGCCGTCGACCTCGGCCCCGGGTGCCCGGCGAACCTGATCGGGCCGTTCGACTCGACCGGGTTCCCGGTGGGCTGCAAGACCGCGTGCTACGTCGAGTCGCTCGCGGGCAACGCCGCGAACTCGCACAACTGCTGCAGCGGCGCGTTCGACACGCCGCAGACGTGCCCGTCGTCCGGGGTCCAGGATTACAGCTACTTCAGTGCGTCGCGTGGCTGTTTTCTGTTCTTTTGCTTCGAGTTCTTTTTATTTTCCTTTTCTTTTTCTTTCGCGATATGAGGATGCTGGCTGATGGGAGATTGCAGAGGACGCGTGCCCGACTGCATACGCATATGCGTACGACGATCTGACCTCCCTGTTCTTGTGCGACAGCGCCCTCAAGCCCGATTACACCGTCACGTTCTGCCCTCCCGCTTAGATTATTACCTCCACTGTGCTAAATCCCAGCTAATTACCACACAATTATGACTCGCTCGCTGTCCTTATTCCCAATCCGCGGCAGAATGATGATTCCGACATCGCTGAAGTCTCTGCTAGTTGCTAGAAACGGCCTGGTGATGCGCTGGTTGCAAGCCCTCGGCTATGGACACACCAGCAGCGGGCTCTTGTTCTTTTTCGACCGTTTTGGGAGGGGCAATTGCCGCGCAAACTGGGGGAATGTTTAAAGAGATTGGCTTAGAGAAGATCTCTTCTAAACATAACTAATCATCTTTTCCAGCTACCGAGAAGACATGTCACGCAACCGTTCATCCGAGCCAGACACCTTGCCGCAGGCTTCGAACAAGCCTCAATCTGGGTCACAGCACTCGGGCGTAACGCCACAGTTCAACAACAGGCCTCCTAGTCTACTGCACGTCCGCACTCCAGTTGGCAGTTATCCGGTCTACCACAGTAGCGGCCCGCTTCGAACCTCGACTGAGAATCACGTGAACATGGGGGACTGGCGGGTCAGCCTCACAGGTACCTCGCATGAGTCGCAGCCCGTGGAAAATAACCCCTGCAGTGGAAATCTTCCCGGGTCTCATATTCCTGCTTTATCAGGCTCGCGCGTTCAGGCACCCAACGCCCCCGGCGACCCTCGCCACATCATTCCGAACACGCGCATTCCTCATTCAGACACCGCAGGCCCTCAGTAAAATGTACATGCGCCCGAAATATCTACCTTGGAATTCCACTCCGTGTTCCGGAAAGTCAAGTATTGGGCACAAGTCAACTTCTGAGATCCACGGGAAGAAGTGGATTCTGCATCACGTGCTTCTAGAGTGGCGACGGTCTCGATTTGAGCGCCGCATCGGGGGACAGCTCGCGGTTGAAAAATGTGAGCAAAATATTCACTCAGGACGCCCAGCCTGGGTCTGATCAACCGTTTGCGAATCACAGCCTCGGACCGGGCGCTTATCGACGCGTCGGTGCTCAAGTCTCAACAGTACCTCAACAAGCCGTTCGTCGTCGACCTACAGGGCCAAGGTAAGCATTAACTCTCTCTCCGTGAAGCATCTTCAAACCACCCGCCAGTACCAGTCTTCCAAACCATCTTCCTCACAGTTGCCATCAACACGCAGGAACGCACCCGGTCCGGCTTCTACCCCGCCGTTCTGTGCATCACAGTACCAGAATCCGCTCAGACGCTGTCGATATAGGTCACATCGGCCGTGCGCAGAGAGGTCAACGTCACCTCTGGGGACCCAGCGATCCCCCGCGGCCCGGGATCGGTGCTGAGTCCGACCCGCATCAGCGGGCAATCACACGGCAAGCACCCGGTGGGGGGCCGTGAGCACGGCTGGGCTTGCTGCCACTTTGAGTTCGAGGCTCGAGTCGAGCCGGTGACTGGGCCGCTGCCGAAGACTCACTCACGGCACCGCCGGGAGGATAGGGCGGCGAATCAAGTGCGAGGTGGGACTGAGGAAGTGCCGCAGGCGTACTGGGTGAACGCGGATGGCACGGTGCGTCATCCAGGTGTGGCTGGGCGGTCTCGTCGAGCCTCGAGCGGATATTTCACAGGGGAGACTCGGCACACGGACAAGGCGATTGAGAATTCTAGTGTGTAAGTATGTAGCAATTACAAATAAATATGTAGCATGTGTCCACAAACCAGATCTATAGACACACATATCCGACGAAAGCAACCCCGGACATGAACCACCACAACTGGCTCGTCATCGCCCCATACGTCGAATGCGCACCACCGCCCTGGGTAGGCCCCGCCGGCTCCCCAGTGAGTGTTGGAGTCGCTCCACCTGCCACGGACGTCGGACTCGCCGTCCCATCCTTGAGGAAGATATCCGTCTGTCGGCCTGTCCAAATAACCGTCAGTACCACCCCCTCGCTACATTGCGAACTGTGATACGCACCCTCGACGAAACCCAGCACCTGGTTGTACGCCGGACTGCGCGGCTGGCCCGCCAGATCGAGTCCGTCCACCTCGATGTTGTTGCCGTCGAGCTGGTTCCAGTATATCATCTGCCGCGCGCCGGACGTGCAGCTGCCCGGGTTGTCCTGGCACCACGTCGCGGGGACACCGGGCGCTACGGCCGCGCTGCCCGTGCTGCCCGTCACTCGGCAGCGGAATCCTGCGTTCGTTCGTAGCGTGTAATTAATCAGAGGCCTATTGGGTATAGATGGGCGACGTGCCTTGCATGTAGATGTTCGGTTCTCCACACCCGTTTGGGACCCAGCCCCACTGCGCGTTTTCAGTCGGCGTATATGGGACCAAAGACGAGAAATGCGACGCACAGCGCACATGCACCCGGCGTCGGGACACGCGGGGAGGTTGGGTACCTGGTAGGTCGCAAGACGGTGCCAAGGCGTGCTGCGCTCACATCAGCAAGTCAAGCGCGATCTATGTGCGAGGGGAGATGACGGACTGATAAAGGGTCGTAAACACCACTAGATTCTCTGACGTGACATCTTGGAGATTAGACTGCCATGCATCATGTCAGACGGGATTTGGAAGGAGATTGGGTATGGTGTATGACATGCTCCAGCAATGGGACGCACAGTATAGGAGATAGCGAAAGCTGAGCCCGCAGCCATGCTCTGGTTCTGTGTATGTACTGCCAAGTGATTAGCCCAAAGTCGTCAGGCGTCCGTTGAGTTGATTTCGACGCACTATTGGGATCGGAAATGCAGTCTAACCCGCCCAGTCCGTTCGTGTAGTTCTGTCCGTCGGGGAACACCCCGACATTGGCGCCGCCGAACGAGAGTGTCGTGAACGCGCGGTTGACGGCGAGCTCAACGGTGAATTCGCCATTCGCGGGTCTGTGGAAACGCGTCGGGATGCGGCACCGCGGATAGATTAGATGGGAGGGCGGGAGAGCACGCACAGATCGAGGAAGTCGCCGTCCGCGGGCGGGAGCTGATCGCACTGTATCACGTCACATCAGCCGTCCGTCCATCCACGTCCACATCGTCCACGGCAACGACAACACCAACGCACCCCGTCGTAATGGTGGAACCACCAGTCCGTCTTCGTCAGCTAATAATAGCGCACACACACCCCGATCATCGTCAGCAGCAGCCCCGCCGCACGAGGCGATCCGCACGCACGTTGAACAGCGGATTCACGATGTCGTTCGTGTTCTGGTCGTCGACGCCCGGCTGCGTGCCGTTCAGGCAGTACATCCCTGCGCGCGTGCGTCAGGTGCGCAGCCGGTCGGCAAAGGGGCGCGCGCACGCACCTTTGTGCCACGCGGCGACGTGCGCGTGCGCGCCATTCAGGAGTGCGGCGAGGCTCAGCAGCAGCGGTAGGATCGTTCGTCTCCGCGCGGTGCTGGGGGCGGGCATGGTCGTGTTCGTCGGTGGGTGTGGCGTGAGCGGGTGCGGTGCGATAAGAGGACAGACGCAGAGAGTGAGAGAGAGGAAGGAAGAAGAGGAAAGATGAGGGAGAAAACGCGGACCGGGCACGGAGAACAAAAGGGATGGATGGAGGCACAGGCCAGACCGGGCGACACCTTTAGCCCGGCGACAAAGAATGGCGTAGTCTGCACAGCCCCTCGTGTCAAGATTTGAATGACATGATCAACGCTGATCGCCGGGAGACTGCGCACGATCGGGGGTTGCGCGTGGTGGATTCTGGTATGTATTACGCAGCAGGGATCAAAGAATACTCGCGGCGCAAAAGCCAAGCGATTTGGGATGACTCGAGCTCAGCGGCGAAGAAATATCACTTGGAAGGTTTGGCATGACGTATCAGCTCATTGTCGATCGCTCGCCTTGGAGTCTTGAACAGCAGAAATGATCGAATCATAAAAGGTCTATCGACATGGGCTTTCCCACGGGTTGGCGGGAAGGGTGTGTCCCCTGGATAATGTTCAAGCCTTTGGCCTCATCATCCATCTCTCCTCTCTCACACCAGGTGAAATTCGACAGTGAACGAGTCACAAACTGCCTCTCGCTCTGGCGCATGAAGACACGTCCGATTGAGAGCAGACCCAGTACAACGTGGGGCCAGGAATGTTTCGAATGTGGGGCCGTGCTGGTGTTATTGCAAGGGAAGTCAAGAATGTAGGCCCAATGCTGAAGTCAACCAGAACGCCTCAGATGGCTCCGATCCATACAAGAGAGTCTAGACTCTCATGGAGCCGAGAAACAGGACCAAGGACACTCAGCATATGAATCCTGGGAAACTGAGTCAGTGACTCAGACTAGGTCGAATTCCGAATGTTCCCCTCCCGAAAGCACAGTTAGCTTGTGCCTCCGCGAGCTCAAGTACTATAGAAACATACCTTGACAGCTCGCGGCGCCCGGAGTTCTTGGTTCAATCTATACTGAGTGAGTAAGATCGCACCCCAGATGGCTCGCCAAAACTTTCTATCTTTTCGCATTTGTCTCGTAAAATGCGAATTCAGCCTTTCAATGTCAAGTCGAATAGTCTGCAAAGCGAAGACATATTCAGGGTCAGAAAGCCAAGATGGGGGAGGCTGCTTGTAACCGCGTATCCATACGCTCCACCACCATGACTAGGCTACGGTTTTGCTCTATTTCGGCGGGACATATGCCTCAGTGGCCGGGGACTCAGCATATCTATTACAAGGCACGTGGGGTATCACGGGTATATCGGGTACTATGAATGCCGATTCCGAATTTTGTAAGCGGCTTTCTTTGTGTCTACCCTGATGCGTATCGCGTGCCTGATGTCCAATCGCTGCTATTCCTGCATAACAACAGCACAAATCCGCGTCAGCGCTCCAACTCGACACCCGAGAGTCAGCCACCCCTCACGGATAATCTGCAGTATTCATGTATGCAACCCCTCCAAGCCGAAAGTCCCAGTTCAACTGCTCGTTCTGGGCTCGAAATCCATCTCTCGAGCTGACATCTATCCTGCGACCGGGCCGCTGCGATGCCAAACCAGTCGAATGCCAAGGAGTCCGCGGCGGTGCGAGTTGGTCCCCGGATGGGTTTGAATAGGCGGGATTCGTCGAATATGTGTACGCCGAATCTAATGGAGTTCCCCCTTGAACAGGTGACTGATAATAGCCCTGGGACGGCGGTTGGATGCCGCCGTAATTCTGCTCGTAGTCGTAGTACGTCGGGTATACATCTTGCGGCATGCTGCGCCGGGGCGCCTGCTGCATGATCAGGTGGCCGTGGTGATGATACTGGAACTCGGCCTCCGACGTAGTACTATCCGGGCTGCCGATGCTTTCGGACTCGTCGACGAGCAGAGCTTCTTCGAGCACAGGCCGGTACTCGCAGTGCAGCTTGCGCTTCGTGCATCGCTCGCACGTCTTCAGTGGCTGATCTTCTTTCACCAGGCACTGGAAACAGATCAACGGAGGTTGGTTAGTTGGTGCGTTGGCTGGTGCTGCGATCAAAAACGGGGAGCTCACCTTTATCTTTCGCTTCCGGCAGTTCGTGCAGGCCATGGGAGTGCGCCGACGCGCCAACGCGAAAACGGGAGGGGGGTAGTTAGAAGAAGTCGGGATCATGGCTGAGTGAGCTCGTTGCTTCAGCAATGGAGGATTGCATTTCATTTCATACAGCACAATCCTTATATGCCCTCACAGTTTATGTCAACTGCGGTGCCGGCAAGATCGCTGTGCCGGATTGAGTCATCCTATTTCTGGCCTCGGTGCACATCCATCATCCGTTCCAGCCAGTAGACCCAATCCGTTCGCGGTCGTTCCGAGTCCTGAATGATTGAAGCACGGCGGATGATCCCCTGCGAAGAGTGCACTGTGTGTCGAAAGAAAGTTGGTAGGCATGCTATTTGGCAGATCGACAGTTGTCCCTACGTCACCCGACAAATTAGAGATTTGGTTTCTGACAGCTCTGAGGATGCCCTGAAGATCCCACAGACGCACACATCGAATAGCACTCTCTGTGGTGCCGACACGAGAGCTCCATTCGGAATGGAATCAGAACTCTCTCCCGTGTAAAGTTCAGTTGTCCTGCTACCACTTCTGTAAGCATGCCACTGATAAGTATTAGCACACGCACTGCCCACACATCAACGCCGGTGATCTCAAACCGCAATCACGCGATAGACAGAAAGCCGTAGGCAGGCTTCTTGACCAAAGCGTCAGTCCGCGTCCCGAGGCGTGGGAACGCCGCTCACCCGTTATCAAGTCCGATCAGGCGCCCTTGTCGCGGATGAAAAGCCGCGGCACATCACGCTACTTCACAGCTCCTCCCCGAGTCACCGTTTCGATCCTGGTTCCTGGCATCGCGCCTGTTGGCTGGTTCAGACTGCAGCCGGTACGCTGATGGGATTGGTTGCGCTTTCATTGTTATCAAGAGGCGTGTTGATACTGACACTGTGTGGAGCTTATGGCTTGCATGAAACACACCGTCCGCAGCCGAAATCGCGTAGGATAAGGTTTCACACAAAGCGCGTGGGACACCGGCATCTCCCTCACTCCCTGTTGGAAAGTGATACAATTAGAGTTGACAGAGAATCGTGGTACTGTACTTGCCCGCTTGAGAACACGGGGACCGGATCCTTCTTGAAGGGGATCCAGAATCATTCCCAATGAGATGACTGATATTTTGATGCACGTATCCATCCCGGCTTTCACGCGCTGACGCTTGATCAGCGACCAGGAGGACGAGGATGTCTGGCAGTTGGTTCGTTGAAGCCAAAGGCAGTTCGTGGCCGAGAGCAATAACTCAGGTGTGGTCTCCTAAACAAGAAAAAATCCTCAAAATGAAAAGAAGAAAAAACGGAATGAGCGACGAAAACACGAAATTTCGATTCACAGCCGGGGCTCTCCAGGATTCCTTCCAATTATCCTCCATTGAGCTGGACGTTGGATACTGCTCTTTAAGACGTAGCGCCCGTTGAGCGTTTCTGTTCCTCACAAAAGTACCCGCAAACCCCCGGCCGAGTAGTCGGGGCTCCGCTCCCCCTCCAGCGCGACTCCGCTGATCCTGCAGCCCGTCGGAGGCCTTTTTGCCGAGCCTACATAGCCGAGCCCCCTCGCACCCGGGTTTTCGCAGTCTCCGCTCTCCCCGGCACCACTCTCCCTGTTGCCAGACGCCCAACTCGCCCGCGAGATCCTCGACAGCGTCCTAAGGACTGGTTGCGCTGAAACCGAGTCTGTGGTTTTGGCAGAACTCAGTCCTCGTTGGCTGTCATTCATCTGTTCTCCCAATTGTCGCCTTCGGCAGCGGCAGCGGCCTCATCTCCTTTCTTGTCCATTCAACATGTTGCGGAGAACAGATGTCCCAAACAACTCTCGACTCATGAAAGAAGAAAAAAACCTTATACATGTAAACTCTTGGTTTTTGTAATCATATCCGACTCAACTCTGTCAAAATATCCGGGAAGTTGTTGAATCGAAGTAATGCGATGAGTCAGCAAACAGACTTTGACATATTCGATAAAGATAGAGGCTGTTCTAAGTCACATCTGCCACATCCTGTGACCCTGAAGCTGGCCGGAGCGGACATAAGAGATTCGAGGGGTCTGCCTGCAATACATGTTCCTGAGGGGTTCTCTCGCCGATCCTTTTGTGAGAGAGCGAGCTAATTTCAGCTGGGGTATCACGGGTATCAAGAATATTGACTCGGGACTTGACACGTGCCGAATTCTATGGAGGCCGGGAACTATATGCTGATAAACGGAGGACGTATCACTGATACGCGATAGTTTGCCGACATAGGATCAATTTCATGATGCGCTCCATGTCATGATGCGCTCTATCTGGACGGCTGAAAACGTTATACTAATGACCGATGTCTGAATCGTGGATGGCCGCTCGGCAGATATTGATCAGATGATTGACGCAATGATCAAGACCCCAGGTAGCCGACTATCGCAATATCGCAACATCGTAATATTCGAAAAGCGCAACATTCAAGATAGTGTAATATTCGAGATAGCGTAGTGAGCATGTAATTACTGTAATTCACTAATCATTTTCGCGGGAGTCTTCCTCATCCGAGAACCATGCGTACAGATCAGGACCAACAGCTTGCCGCAGCTGATTGATACGACACGCACCCGAGCGATCCGTTGGCCGAGAAGCCCTCTAGCAGCGGCGACTTGACACTCAAGTTGGTTTCCAGCATGTACCCCCACTCGCGCTCGATCAGATCAATTGCCCGCTCGCCCTTGCCGGCCACAAAATGCGCTTGGATCTGTCGCGCAGGTGACACGCAAACCACAAACCACCAGCGCAACACGCACCTCGAAGCCACGGCCTGATGGGCGTCCAGAACTTCATCAGCCCGGCGCTCACGGCCTTGTTCTGTGCGTCCGATGTCGTGAGGTTGTACAGGACCGCGAGCGCGTTGCCGTCCTGCGGGTGGATGCTCCTCGGCAGGTCGTTGCTGCGGAACCGGCCCGCCGCGGCGTCCCACAGCAGGCTGTTGAACGCAGTTTTGATCTTGGTCGCGTTGGCGAGGTATGTGGCGGGGAGGGAGACATTGCCGAGATGCGTCGCCAGGTCCGCCGTGGTGACGAGCGTCTACGAGCTTGATGAGCGCGGATACATGATGCGAGAGACAGAAATCAATCCTCACGCGATAAAGCAACGCGTTTGCCGCAGAGTTGTGTCCGGCGCCGCTGGCCCTGCCCCAGTCGTTCGAGAGCGCAGACGAGACGTTCATCAGGCCGGTCAAGTCCACCTGGCCCTCAAGGAAGCCAACCGCCTTGGTGTAGTTCGCCCAGACAGACTTGATGAAATCGAGGTCGCCCGTGTACAGGAAGTAGTTGTGCGTCCCAATGAGCGACCACGAGATGTACGTGTCGCTTCCCTGGTTGTTCAGCGGCGGCCCGGAGTACTGCAGCGCGCCAGTCGTCAGGTTTTGCGTGCGGAACATCACCATCAACGAGTTCTTGGTCGGCTCCATGTCGCTCAGCGCGACGAGCTCCGTGTGTGTGGAGATGCCGCAGTCGCCTGATCCGTCGCATGAGTCCGAGGGTTAGATCGCGTCCATGAGCATGAGGGGTTACCTGGCCAGATGTTCCTGACAGTACCAATGTCATCAGCAGGGATTGCACACACAGATCGCGACCGACCATTCCTCACCTGTCGCGTTTTGCACCATCGACGAGGATAGGCCCAGTGGCAGCTCCTCCCAAGGCATCGTTGGACCAGCCACCTACAAATGTGATCGCACAGTTTGAGTCCAAAATTCAGATCCACGCCGACACGAACCTCCTGCTGGGCACGGCTCCTGTCGCGCCGTGTGGGGAGGGATTGTGTTGGTCTGCACCCTATAGTGCCTGCTAGCGGTCAGCCCCCACCCACGCCACGCTCTGCCACATCAGCCAGCAAACAGGCGATGACGCACCGGCGTACCAGATCTTCGTGAGGAAGTCGATGTCGTGGAACCCGGGGTCAGTATGGAGGCCGGGAACTATATGCTGATAAACGGAGGACGTATCACTGATACGCGATAGTTTGCCGACATAGGATCAATTTCATGATGCGCTCCATGTCATGATGCGCTCTATCTGGACGGCTGAAAACGTTATACTAATGACCGATGTCTGAATCGTGGATGGCCGCTCGGCAGATATTGATCAGATGATTGACGCAATGATCAAGACCCCAGGTAGCCGACTATCGCAATATCGCAACATCGTAATATTCGAAAAGCGCAACATTCAAGATAGTGTAATATTCGAGATAGCGTAGTGAGCATGTAATTACTGTAATTCACTAATCATTTTCGCGGGAGTCTTCCTCATCCGAGAACCATGCGTACAGATCAGGACCAACAGCTTGCCGCAGCTGATTGATACGACACGCACCCGAGCGATCCGTTGGCCGAGAAGCCCTCTAGCAGCGGCGACTTGACACTCAAGTTGGTTTCCAGCATGTACCCCCACTCGCGCTCGATCAGATCAATTGCCCGCTCGCCCTTGCCGGCCACAAAATGCGCTTGGATCTGTCGCGCAGGTGACACGCAAACCACAAACCACCAGCGCAACACGCACCTCGAAGCCACGGCCTGATGGGCGTCCAGAACTTCATCAGCCCGGCGCTCACGGCCTTGTTCTGTGCGTCCGATGTCGTGAGGTTGTACAGGACCGCGAGCGCGTTGCCGTCCTGCGGGTGGATGCTCCTCGGCAGGTCGTTGCTGCGGAACCGGCCCGCCGCGGCGTCCCACAGCAGGCTGTTGAACGCAGTTTTGATCTTGGTCGCGTTGGCGAGGTATGTGGCGGGGAGGGAGACATTGCCGAGATGCGTCGCCAGGTCCGCCGTGGTGACGAGCGTCTACGAGCTTGATGAGCGCGGATACATGATGCGAGAGACAGAAATCAATCCTCACGCGATAAAGCAACGCGTTTGCCGCAGAGTTGTGTCCGGCGCCGCTGGCCCTGCCCCAGTCGTTCGAGAGCGCAGACGAGACGTTCATCAGGCCGGTCAAGTCCACCTGGCCCTCAAGGAAGCCAACCGCCTTGGTGTAGTTCGCCCAGACAGACTTGATGAAATCGAGGTCGCCCGTGTACAGGAAGTAGTTGTGCGTCCCAATGAGCGACCACGAGATGTACGTGTCGCTTCCCTGGTTGTTCAGCGGCGGCCCGGAGTACTGCAGCGCGCCAGTCGTCAGGTTTTGCGTGCGGAACATCACCATCAACGAGTTCTTGGTCGGCTCCATGTCGCTCAGCGCGACGAGCTCCGTGTGTGTGGAGATGCCGCAGTCGCCTGATCCGTCGCATGAGTCCGAGGGTTAGATCGCGTCCATGAGCATGAGGGGTTACCTGGCCAGATGTTCCTGACAGTACCAATGTCATCAGCAGGGATTGCACACACAGATCGCGACCGACCATTCCTCACCTGTCGCGTTTTGCACCATCGACGAGGATAGGCCCAGTGGCAGCTCCTCCCAAGGCATCGTTGGACCAGCCACCTACAAATGTGATCGCACAGTTTGAGTCCAAAATTCAGATCCACGCCGACACGAACCTCCTGCTGGGCACGGCTCCTGTCGCGCCGTGTGGGGAGGGATTGTGTTGGTCTGCACCCTATAGTGCCTGCTAGCGGTCAGCCCCCACCCACGCCACGCTCTGCCACATCAGCCAGCAAACAGGCGATGACGCACCGGCGTACCAGATCTTCGTGAGGAAGTCGATGTCGTGGAACCCGGGGTCAGGTGCAAAGAAGTAGCCCGGGTACGCCCTGAGATCATCCCAGTGGGGCATGAACGTGATCGCCAGCGAGATGTTCGAGATCGTCAGCGGGTCCGCGCTCGCACTCACAATCGTCAGGAAGCGGAACCCGCCGCGCTGCTGTCCCACGGTCTGCGTCAGCAGCCCCGTGGCTCGCGGCACGTGGAACGTCTGGATTCTGTCCCAGTTCTGCAGCCGTGCGGGCTGGCACGAGTCGTCCAACTTGAGCGGGCTGATGAACTCCGCGGACTCGGTGAACGACAGTGAGAACTGCGACTGGGCCGTCGCGTTGTTGATCGTCAGCGACAGGATCCCCCCAAGCTACAGTATGGGTGTGTGAATTGACCCTCGACGGCGCTGTATCAGGGAGGCCGCGCACCTCCTTCCCCAGTCGAACACGACGTACGAACCGCTGCCCTGGAATGTCGCCTGGGAGTCCGGACTTGCGACGAGCCTGCTCGCGCCGGCGACCCGGCCGCTGATCCTATCTCGAATGTTGCGCTTTTCGAATATTACGATGTTGCGATATTGCGATAGTCGGCTACCTGGGGTCTTGATCATTGCGTCAATCATCTGATCAATATCTGCCGAGCGGCCATCCACGATTCAGACATCGGTTATTAGTATAACGTTTTCAGCCGTCCAGATAGGCGCATCATGACATGGAGCGCATCATGAAATTGATCCTATGTCGGCAAACTATCGCGTATCAGTGATACGTCCTCCGTTTATCAGCATATAGTTCCCGGCCTCCATAGGTCAGGTGCAAAGAAGTAGCCCGGGTACGCCCTGAGATCATCCCAGTGGGGCATGAACGTGATCGCCAGCGAGATGTTCGAGATCGTCAGCGGGTCCGCGCTCGCACTCACAATCGTCAGGAAGCGGAACCCGCCGCGCTGCTGTCCCACGGTCTGCGTCAGCAGCCCCGTGGCTCGCGGCACGTGGAACGTCTGGATTCTGTCCCAGTTCTGCAGCCGTGCGGGCTGGCACGAGTCGTCCAACTTGAGCGGGCTGATGAACTCCGCGGACTCGGTGAACGACAGTGAGAACTGCGACCGGGCCGTCGCGTTGTTGATCGTCAGCGACAGGATCCCCCCAAGCTACAGTATGGGTGTGTGAATTGACCCTCGACGGCGCTGTATCAGGGAGGCCGCGCACCTCCTTCCCCAGTCGAACACGACGTACGAACCGCTGCCCTGGAATGTCGCCTGGGAGTCCGGACTTGCGACGAGCCTGCTCGCGCCGGCGACCCGGCCGCTGATCCTATCTCGAATGTTGCGCTTTTCGAATATTACGATGTTGCGATATTGCGATAGTCGGCTACCTGGGGTCTTGATCATTGCGTCAATCATCTGATCAATATCTGCCGAGCGGCCATCCACGATTCAGACATCGGTTATTAGTATAACGTTTTCAGCCGTCCAGACAGGCGCATCATGACATGGAGCGCATCATGAAATTGATCCTATGTCGGCAAACTATCGCGTATCAGTGATACGTCCTCCGTTTATCAGCATATAGTTCCCGGCCTCCATAGAATTCAAGCTGAGTAAGTCGAGCCTCGCGCTGTCTTTTCTCTACGCTGATGCCTATCGTACCCGGATGTCTAGTGGTTGCTAATCCTACAGCACAAGAGGCCTAGTCTGTCAGCCCTTCAACTAAACACCAGATAGCGATCAGTGCCTCACGAATAATTGGCGAAATGCCAGTATCCAGCATCGAGCTGCGAGGGATTGTCCCGAAGCATCCTTCCCCTGCCCAAATTCGAGTTCACTGCGACGGACTCCCGCTGAGCCTGCGTCCGTGCCACGAGGTGATTCCAATCTTCCGACTCCATTGCCGCGATGCCAAATAAGTAGTCTGAATGCCGCGAGTCCCGCGGCGGTGCGGTCCGCTCCCCGGATGCACTTGAGTTACCGGAATTCGCCGCAAATGTAGGTGTACACTCTAATTGGAATCCTCCTTGGACCAGTGACTGATAATAGCTTTGGGATTCTGGTCTGGCTCCGCAGTCGTACTGGCGGTCATAGTATTTGGGGTACAAATGTTGCGGCATGCTGCGCCGGGGCGGCTGCAAGATCAGGGGTTGCTGGTGGCGGTGGCGGTGACACAACTCTTCCTCTTCCCACGTGGCGGTGCTGCTGCTGCCCGGGGTGCCGATCTTCTGTGATTCGTTGCCGGGCAGAGTGTATTCGAGCACGGGCCGGTACTCGCAGTACAATCCCCGCTGTATGCATCGCTTGCACGGCGTCATTGGCTGATCTTCGTTTTTCAGGCACTGGAATTCGGAAAATCATCGATGGGGTTGGCTTAAATTGGATGCAATGAAATAGGTCGAACTCACTTTTACCTTCAGCTTGCGGCAGGCTGTGCACGCCATGGCCGTACGCCGATGCGGAAAGGGAAAGACGGGAGAGGAGGGTGAGGGCTCCATGGCGGGCTGAACCAGTCTCTGCGGGAACTGAAGTCTGTACTTTATCTAGCGCAAGCTTTATAACCACTCTGTTGTGTGTTGGCTGCGGCTCCGGCACGATCTCTCGACCGTAATGAGCATCTTGGGACGGCGCTCGATGCACAAGCCTGTGCCCAGGAAAAGTTGCAGTTCGTGCCGAGCCCCGAAGGATTTGTGCGCGGCGTATGATCTTTTGTATCAGAGGGCAGTCGGACCGGCGACAGCTCTCCCGTATGCTGTTCGACAGATTGACGAGCTCCTCCATGTTTCGGCCGTAGAACAAACTTCGGCGAAGACAGGCTCGAAGCACCATTGAGCGAAATGCGAGTGCACACACTGAGTTGCTGTGCTTCGTGGAGCCGATCCTGCCACTGGATTGAAAACCAAAAAAAAAAAAAAACCTAGGCTTATCGTGCAAGTTGCCACCACTCTTGAAAGCATTCCTCACACAAGTGCAGGGCATGCATGCACTACTCCCCCCCCCACACACATGAACACCGTGATTACGAACTACAATTCGGGCATGAGGCGAGGATGACAAAGGAGGGTTTGTTTCATGGACTCCCGACTGCTTCGGATGAGCGCTCACCAGTCACCGCAGATCGACCCGTCGGAGGGTGAAAAGCGGCCTTGGACATGGCGCTCTTTGGCCGGTTTACTGATTCACGTTTCAGTTATTTTCTCTGCCAGTTTGTTGGTCTGCAACTCAGCCAATAGGGTAACATCCGCATCAGGTGAGATTCATTGCGAGGGGAGAAATGTTGATGTTTCTGATGCCATTCCTCGAGTGATGGTTCTGGACATTGTGTCACGTACAATTTTTATGTGACACGGATAATTGAAATTTATACATATAATCTTGTACGCACGCTTAGCTAGAGTCCATACTTGTATATTTTCGCAGCCGATCAGGCTGTCCATCATTATCTCATCAGATGATGATGGACGGCCGAAAAAATACCGATCATCTTTTACTCTTGACCTCGTCCGACTCGACTCAACAAACCTTCAGCGACGTCGAACGTACTCGACCGGCGCCCGGAAGACCAGGCTTAATCAGTGTTGGATTAGTTTCCTATTATTCTCGAGGCCTGCCATTTAGTGGCAGGCTTCTGGTGAGCCTCGTACTCGAGTTACTCGAGTCTCGAGGCTGGGCTTTAATAGCTACATACTCTTAATTCTATCCTTCTACCTATTTCGGATTCCGCCACGGTTTTCCAGTGGAAAATCACTCTGCCGCGTTACATCTTATCTCGTGATGTACGCGTCCATGTTGTCCCAAGATGGTGAACAGAATGCCCGAGTAGAGATTGTTTTGATAGAGGGAAACGTCCTGGATTCTTTCAACAAAGAGATATTAATTTCGGGAACCCCGTGTAATCTAGAATACTATATACCTGGCGCTGTAAAGGTTTCAAAGATCAGCGTGGGTTGTACAAGGCAGTAGTCCCTCAGCGTGGCGAGCGAGGGCAGGGCTTTGGAACGAAAATGCACACTCACATTTTCATTTCGCCGCCCTAGCCGATGGGGAAGGCGATGCGTGGGAGCCACCAGAAGCTGTTAAGCTTATGTATCAGTGTGTTTCCAGAAGGGGCTTTCTAATGCAAGTGACTCACCCCCACCCCAGATCTGATTTGGCGGGAGAGGAGGAAGGCCCTGCGCCATTCGCTTCGCGTTTGTTGTGCACCGATCACGAGAAACCGGATTCCCGGCGGAAACGCCTTGGCGCCGGACCAAAGTCCGGGAGGGACGAGGCCAGGTGCGCACCGAGACGACACCGGTGACGGCCACGAGTAGCAAGAGGGCAAATTGAACGAAGGACTTCATAGTATGGAGAGGAGTGACCTCCCATTAATGGGCAGCGGCTTAAATTCACTCCTCTTGACACTTGACTTAAAGATTGGATTGTTCGGAAGCTGGAGATTGGAGTATGCGGAAGATTCGAGAGGTCTGTTTTCACTAGCGTGTTCTCCTTTCTACATTTGATGAGCCATAAATTTGTTATAGATCCTTCAGAATCTCAGCCTGTCGAGTGCCGGCGTGATCTGCCGCCATCACTGACAAGCATGAATCACGTGAGGCATTACTCACGCAAGTCATTTTGAAAGCAAGGGAAGAGGTGTCAAAGCGTGTCAACCACGAATAGTGCGAGTCGGCATCATTGCTAAGTTTCACGTCGACTTTGACCGCTTCCCGTCTGCCATATTCAAACAGCTGCCGTGTTCTCTTCGTCCCACTCGCGGATGGGAAGATTCGCTGCTTTTTGGCTTTCAATTATTACTCTCGAAATTGGGCCGTTTTGCCTGATTCAATTGCGCAGGTCGTATTTTGATTCACTGGGTTGTTCGAGCGAAGAGAAGGCTTCCTGTCGAAGAAACACCGTGTCCAGAGCCGCTGACGCTTGATCTCATCCAATGCCAATACCGTCTGGGATTCTTCATATTTCTGTCCGCTATCTTCCCTCTGTGACTTTGGACCGGCTCCGGCAGTGGTTGCTACCTAGTTTTCCCCGACTTGTTCGATGCAGGCAGAGACGTGCTCATGACGTGATGTCCATGTGGCAATCGAGCTTCTCGTGCGCCGTCCGCTGCTTCGACTTCCCATGGAAAAAGGGCGGTTCTTACACACAGCCGTAACACAGCGTCAGACGGACATGGCTAGTGTCGTACAATACATACAGTACACACACCCTTCCTTCTTGGGTCTCCTTGCCCTCCCTCCCTCCCTCCCCCCGCCTCTATCTACGCTGCGCCTCCTAAACTTAAAAGTAGCGATTATCACCACCCCTGTGAACTTTCCGGCTCTCGCTAAGCTATTGACGTGTCCAGAGGGGGGATAACCGCGCACACGCACCGGACCCTTTTCTCCGACGGGAATTCCCGTGTCTGGCCCCACGCACCCCCACCTCCCAAGAACCATTCCCTCCGTCGCGGCTTCTGTCTCGCCAGCATCAGCATGCCCGTCCGCACGCACCGACACCAGCTTTCGGACCCGTTCGCGCAGGTGCTGCAGCCGCCCGAGAACGAGACGCCTGCGGAGCGGCAGGCCCGTGTCGAGCGTGAGCAGGAGGAGAAGCGCGTGAGCGATCAGATCGACGAGGAGCTGCGCAAGGAGCGCGGCGAGCTCAAGAAACGCGCGAAGAAGGAGGCCCGTGTGCTTCTGCTGGGCCAGAGCGAGAGCGGGAAGAGCACCGTGCTCAAAAGTGCGTCGTCGTCTCGTCCCTTCCTCATCTCTCTCCTCGCTTAGTCAACAGCCGACTGACTGACCGGCCGCGGCTCCTACAGACTTCAGGCTGGCCTACGCCCCAGCCCAGTTCAAGGCGGAGCTGCTCGCATGGCGCGCGGTCGTGCAGCTCAATCTCATGCAGAACGTCATCACCATCCTCGACATACTCGAAGACCGCCTCGCCGCCGATCCATCGATGCCCCTTGCCGGTACGGGCTCCGGTGCGCATCCTCATCCCCATCCGCCACTACCACCACCATCACGGCCCACGCAGTCGACGGCACGCGCGTCGATCGACTCAACGGCACCCGAGCGCCTGGAATCCGCCGCCGCGGCCGTCACGCTGACGCAGAAACACCGCATCCTCACGCTGCGCCTCTCGCCGCTGCGCAAGGTCGAGGAGGACGTGCGCCGGCGACTCGGCGCGGACGACCCCGAGTGGGCGTTCGACACATCGGGCGGTGCGCTGCCAGGGGCGCTCCCCACCGCCTTCGACACGCGGAAGCGCGAGTTCGGCGTGCGCGGTTGGATCGGTGCCCTGGGCCTGGGACTCGGCTCCGGGGGCGGGAGCGGCAGCGGGAAGAAGGGCGCCGCGGCGGAGGGCGAGGGGACCGTCGACGAGACGACGGGTGTGCTGGCGTCGCTGCGCGATGACATCGTGGAGCTGTGGGCGGATGCGGATATCCAGCAACTGTTGCGGGCGCGGAAGATCAGCATGGAAGACCACCCCGGATTGTGAGTGTCATTATTGGCGTTCCCCTCCGGCTGTCTGTCTCTGTGTCTGTCGAGGGCTGTGATTGACAGCACGCAGCTTCCTGGCGGATACGGCGAGGATTGCCGTGCGCGATTACGTTCCGTCGAATAACGATGTCGTGCGAGCGAGGCTAAGGACGCTCGGGGTGCAAGAGTGGAGGATAACGCTTGAGACTACGAGTGCGTTTACTTCCTCGCTGGGGCGGCCCAAGCAACGTTATGTGATAGCTTCCTCATGCGTTTTCAGGCGATTCTTTTGGCGCGGAATGGGTCATTTACGATGTCGGCGGGTCTAGATCCATGGTCGGTCCATCTGATTGCTCCCTGGTCAAACTCGTCCTTGACGACACTGCCAGCGACATGCGTGGCTGCCTTACTTTGACTTTATGAACGCCATCATCTTCCGTGCGTTGCTTCTTACACCTCTCCGTTTGTTCCGCCCTTTGACTATATCTGACCTAGTCGCTCGTAAGTGGTCGTCCCTAACCGGCGATTCTGATGGGTAAATCGTCGGCAGCAATATCGTGCTTCGACGAACGACTTGCCGAAGATCCTTCGGTGAACAGACTGGAAGATTCTCTCCTCCTCTGGCATGCCATCATCTCCTCGAAGCTGCTTGGCGAGACAACCTTGATTGTATTCCTGAACAAGTGTGATTTGCTGAAGAGGTTGGTTACAGACATATCCTTCTCTTCCCTCGGCAAACCTGATCCATGCATGTGTCTTTTTCTAGGAAACTCCAGAACGGCGTGCGCGTGAACAAATATATGATCAGCTTCGGTTCGCGGGAGAACGAAGTCGGCGCAGTCGTGAAATGTGAGCAGAAAACCGACTTATCTATCCGCTCCCGATTGACCGAGTTGTGATTGTAGATCTGAAGGACAAATTCAAAGACATGGCCCGGAGCCAATCTGCTGTATCCCGCCCGATTTATCTTCATGCTACATCCGTGACGGTGAAGTGGCTTTCTGCTCATCTGTTTCGTATCTGATTTTCGACTTTTGTGTATAGGATACGAAAGCGACGGCTGTGACATTGAGCGTTGGTATGCACATACTCTAACTTGGATTTATGGCTGCTGAACATTTTCTCTTCTTCGCAGTCCGCGACGGGATTGTCCGAGACCACTTGAAGAACGCGGAGCTTGTTTAGACTGCCGGTTTAGTTGAACATTTACTCACATGATAGGGTTCGTTTTTGTTTCTATGTTTGGATTATCTAGGACACGGCGTGGGTATGCAGTAAATATATACACATATATATACATATACTCGACTCAGTATATGCACGCATTGATGACCGCTTTGGCCTCATCCCGAACGAGCATCTGCACAGGGACTTTGCCCGCCCTCTTCAGCTCCCGCGTCATCTCCGGACTGAGCCGAGGCACCGTCCCCTGCTCCGGCTGACTGTCCGGTCTGCCCAGCGCGATGTCCGCGTCGAAGATGCACACGCTCTCGAGCGCCCGCGCACGGACCAGCTCGAACAGCGCCTCGCGCGCGAGATGGCCGTGCCGGAAGCCGTACGCGAGCGACCGGAGCAGCGGGCAGTATGCGTCCTGCAGTCGTTGCAGCGACGCGAAAAGCTTCGCTGCGCCGTGGTGCGTGCGCGTATCCGTGTCCAGCAGCACGAGAGCGGTCGTGCTCGACAAACGGCCGAAAACGGGCAACAGCTCGGACGGGTGTTGCGAGAGACTGAACAGCGCGAGGTGAGTCAGCTTGTCCAGTGGGTTGCGGTCGAGGAAGCGGGTGATGCACTCGCGTGATACGCTTGGATTTTCGATAGTCAGTCTTTCAAGCACCGGCGCGTGGAGGTAGTCGAGCAGGATGGGATTGCTTATGTACAGGCGCCGGAGCCGGTGAAGTTCAATCGCAGGGCTCGGTGGCGGTGCATTGTGGAACACGTTGCTCGGCTGCACGTCGTCCCAGAAGGCGAGTGTGGCGTCTTCCAAGCCCGGACATCCGAGGAGCACGTCGAAGTGCTCGTCATACGATAAACACTTGGCGCGGTACCGCGTGAGGCCCGTCCACGACATCCTTAGCCCCGCGGACAGCACGAGCGGGAACGCCGGCGGTGCGAGCGCCACCGCGCGGAGGCAGGGCGCGGATGTCAGGTAGTCTGGCACCGGGAGCGTGTAGCTGCGGCCCAAAATCCGCAGCGCGACCAGCGCGTCAAGCTTGCCCGCCACGCCCCGCATCCACGTCAGCGAAGTATCTCCCGAATGGCTGAAATCGAGCGTCAGGGTCCGCCAGTGGCGGCAGGCGTCGACGAGCTGCGGGACGACGGGGAGAAACCCGCGCGTGCTATTGGACAGGTACACGTCCAGCTGCGGCGGATTCGCGCTCTTCACGGTATGCTCGAGCTGCCACTCGAGCCGCTTCAGGTCCTTGTGGTGCCATGAAGGCGGCAGCACCAGCGCAGACCACAAACTCGGTGTACCACGCGCGATGCCGCGCCATTTTCGACACACGCGCACCAGAACAAAGCAGGGCCGGACCCGGAGACTCGTCTCAACATCGTCGTCGATGCTGACAACGGGAGACGCCATCTCGAATATCAGCGCCAGGATCTCGACCGGGATGAGACGGACTGGGGATAGCACGGCCGTGTACCGCCGGATGCGCTTCTCGAGTCTTGTTCGCCGGTCGTTGAGATCCCGTCTAATCTGCTGGTTCCGTTCGCGCTTGGATGCAAGCAGGACATCTTCTAGCACGGCATCGAGCTCGTCAATTGCGTCTAGGATCGATTCCACGTCTGCTGGGCCGGGCGCGTCGTTCGAAACCAGCAGGTGCGCGAACGGGGCCTCGATTCTAGCGTGGTCGCTTATGGGAGCATCGGTGGCTACTAAGGCACTGGACTTCGGAGTCGGCACTAGGAACCGCTGAGGGATATTGTATGCGGGCTTGGGCTTCGATTTGGACTTGGCCATAGAGGACCGGGGAACAAGCGCGGTTGTGGTGCGGAGGAAGGCGCAACACGTGTCCATTGGTGGGACACGAGCATCCATCCATCAGTACATCAGTAGATCCATCAAGATGGTGAAGAAGAAGTCAACATGGACCGATAAACAGTGATTTATTCGCGTCTAACAATTTATTCCGGAGCGTATCTATAACCGACTCCCAAAATTTCCAGCCTACTCGCAGAAGGTGATCTAAGCCAAACCATCAGCCTCGAATGCAAAATCTGACAAAATAAAAGCTGACGTACCGCCAAGTTGACGTTCGCAGCCGAGCAGCCGACCTGAACGAAGGTGTCGCTGGGTTGGTGGAACGCGGTGCCACAGCTGGGCCCGGTGCAGTCAGCTCCCGCACCGTCACAGCCGCCCCAGTATCCGAAACCAGTGGTGACGGAGAACGCGTGGGGCGGGATGAGGGTCAGATCCGTGCTGGAAAAGCCCCCCGCGAGCGTCGTCTCGACCATCAAGCAGTTTTCACCGTTGAAGCCACAGCCACCTGCGTAGATGTATCAGCTGGGTTCCGTGCATCGAAGAGCCGGGGCCAGGGACATACCGGTCTGGAGGTAAGCGATGGCACCGTTGATAGGGCCGCCGTGAGTCCAGGAGCCGCCGGTGGAGACGATTCCACCGTTGAGGATGAGGGTCGGGGTTCCGAAGCCACAGCTGTAATCGGGTCAGCTACTGCTCGAACGAATCGACTGGCATGCAGAGCACGCACTTGTTGACCAAGTTGATCGTGTGCTGCTCCGCGCTAACGGTGGTGACGGCCGCAGCCATGATAGCAAGGGAAGCAAGGAAACCGAACATCGTGCAGATAGAACAGGAAGCGAGAAGAGGCTAGGACAGGAGGGTTCTACGGTTGTGTGGAACTGGGGAATGAACACCGCTACACACTAGGTTTTATACCCCGCGCACGGTCTAAGCGATTCCTGCTTTAGTCAGGACCTGTGATGGATATGCCTCCAGGCACGGATAGCCCCGCACGCGGGCGCACTGGCCATGCATCGCACCCTGCTTCAGAGGGCTACCGCTGATGATGCATTGCTCCCTTGTCCATCCCTCGAAATTTCAAACATCCCGGATGATGGTTGGTGACATGTTCGCTGATAGGCCGCCGGCCTCGTTGATGCTCTGTCCGTGTAGACTCGCACTCGGCTGGATCATGCGTGATCTCGTCTTCTCAACAACAGCGGTCCTGGCTATCTTTCTTTGACGCGCATGTGTAAGTGCGAAGATCGCAAGACTGGCCCAAGTTTGAAGCTGCACATCTGATCTACGGTCAAGATTTGATGATCGAAGTCAAGTACGTCAGGTATGAGACTACATTCTGTCCTTGCCTTCTCGGTGGCCATTTCTTAAGGAGGACATTTGTTGTCCAAGAGAAAGCCGCAAAGTTCCCCATACACCCTCACAGGCAGAACCAACGCGCCGCGGCCTCCGTCGTGCCGCGGAAGGCAGAGGATCAGGATCAGGATCAGCTTGATTTTCCGCCGATCCGACGGCGCCTCTGCGATGCGGTATCACAGGGAGATCAAGTAACAGTCAACCTCAAACTCATCCCTCAGCAGCCGGAACTATCACCACCTGTCCTCACGGACTCGAATTCAATGCCAGTTTGGCTTTGAGCATGATCTGCCAGATGAGTGACGTCTGGAGGCACAGGCGGAGGCGCATTCGCCGGGCGAGGACGAAACAAACTGCAGCGCGAGAGCGTGTGCGGTGTTGAATGAGCACGAAACGAGGCGTGTCCGGCCGTTCTGATCGAACCTGTGTAATCGCGCGCGCGCTGCATCGAAAGTTCGGACCTGAGCTTCGCTATCTATCACCCACGTGCACCTGCGTTGCGTTGCGGCTGGATAGCTGCGACAAAAAGGGTTTCTGGGCCCTGACTTTGTCTCTCGACCTCCCTCACTGTGAGTATTATGCTAGGCATCGACCTCTGCGAGCGCATGCTCGCACCAGCTGACGACTCTGGACCTGAATTCAATCGCCACGGATCCAGCGCACCCGCGGCCACTCGATTCGGCTCTAGGCGTTCGAACGGAGACTCAACGCCGCCGGCCCATGTCTAGCGTCGATGCGATGTGAGGTTGTGGAGATGAGAGAAAGAATTCTGGTAAGGATTGGGCGGGAGAAGGTTGTGTTTAACGGGCGTTCCGAGGGCGAGGTGACTACGTAAGATGCATACATACGAATATGAATGCAAATTGTGAAGAGCAGATACTGTATCTCAGATGCTCTACTTACGGTGAGCAGCGCGCCGACCGTCGCTCGCGTCGGCTGTGCATGATAACAAAGCGTACATACTGTGGATTTGCAGAGATGAAAACTTGACTTTCGTTTCGTACGCCGCGTACGGTACGCGGGCGAAAGCTATTCATAGCACGTACTGCGTTGATTTGGACCAGTTGACCGCGAGAAGGTCCGGAAAGATCGCGATGGGCGGCAGCGCATCGGAAAATTATGTATGATCTGGGCTCATTCGTTCCCGACTGCAGATGCGCAGAGCGTCCACTGAAACTGACGAGCGGTCTCGAAGGGTGCACGGGAGCTCACGTGCAGACGCACGTGACCGTTGAGAGCAAAACAATTGATGCCAACACTGTGACTCAGTACGATCAAACCTCGTGACTAAGCGCACCAGTGACACACTACCGAAGTCTACAACAACCACTGCGCCCTCGTTCTTTGCACCCGTGCACCTCAGTCAATGTACTCGCCATTTATCTATCCCAGACACCCGGATTCGCTCCCAGACTGTTGAAACTAGCTGTTTGCCTCGCCTTAGCGAGCCAGCGACCCATCGCTCGAACGTGCACCACCGTGTTCCTCGTCTCATATTCTGTCTCGCGGCTGCATATACTCTGCGACAAACCTCAGACCGCACTGGTATCGCTACTTGGCCGCATAGCCCCTGCGCCATACGTTTGGCGCGGTAGGCTTGGGCGGAACTGTACTTGAGACGAAGGGATGCGAATCGGCTCGGGAAATGGGTTCTAGACACAGTGCCTGGCTGGAATCCTGTACCTTGGTAGCGACGGAGCGCATCTAACGGACGGGGATGGTCGTCAACTGTGGATTGTGCGGTGTGAAGGCGAAAGGAAGAACGTCCCGTTGCAGACGAGGGAGAAGTCATATATATGCGGCACGACCGGGCTTCCAGGACTCGAATGTGCACCCCCACAGTGGAGGTCTACAGAATCGCAATGCACTATCGCCTAGGACTCAGAGGGGGCGACGTCCAGCGTCCCCAGCGCCTGAGGGCCGCTTCGAACGGTGCACTTCGCAGGGTCTCTCGAAGCTGGGGCGGCTTCGGACGTCACCAGTCTCCTGCATACGGTTCAGCCGTGGAATGGTGTGCACGCATCTGGCTCCCTTTGTACAATCAACGCGCTCACCGGGGCTGTAGTGTTACTACCCGGAGCCTGCCTCCGCTCAGCGCGGCAAAACGGTGCTCGACAGACGTCCATCGCCCAGACGCCCGGATTGTGGAGCACTGCCTGGCTGCTCGCGGCAACGCTCTGCGTCGCCTCCAGCTAGGACAGCGAAGCCGTAACGATAGAAACAGGAGCGCACAAGGATTCGGAGCCCATAGCCAAATGGACAGACACCGACCCACAAGTGTATCCGGCGTCAAGAGGGAAGGAAGGAAGGAAGATACGAGCTTCTGTTCCAACTCCACCGGCTCCGGCTTGTCGAGCTGAATCCCGGCTCGAGACACGGGCGCAGTCGCGAGAAGAGCGGGCGTTCCCACCGGACAAGACAAGCGACACGACGCGCGACGCGAGGTTCTGGGGAGGAAGGGAAGGAGGGACAGACATCGGAGCGCGTGCGGGTGCGCGCGATTCGGGTGCGCGGGGTGCTTCACGAAGCTTTCCGCGACCAGTCCTACCACGGCTCAGTCAGATTGGACGCTGGGCCAGCCGCGGGTGCAGACTACCTGCCCATCGACACTCGCGGGCTTCTGAGTCCACCTACCTCCTGGGTGCACAGCAGGTTGCTGTCCGGCTAGAATGAGTTGGCATTCCGGAGTGCAGTCGGAGTAAGGGCTACAAATTTGCGAGTAGAATTCTGCTTCCGCTAATCCATAACGGCACCTGTATTTTCACGACGCATATCGCGGAATATGGACCAGGGCCTTCACGATCAGCGGCCGCTAGCTATGTCAATTGCTATCGCTGGGCTTCCAAGCTCCGGATCCAGTCCGTGTGCGGCCTCTCTTTCACGTGACTGATTTTCCGCATGATCGATTCTTCACGTGGTCTGCTATCCCCAGCGAACGGGTTGATCTGCACGAGCATCGGCAACCAACGCTTCGACGATGGACGAGAAAAGCATTCATTTAACAATAACGTACAGTTTTTACGAATAAGCACATGGTAGACGCCCACCCCAAGTAGCCGACCCGGATACCCTAATAAGTACACACTACTACACTGACGTCCGCTGCGTGCCAGAACCGCTGGACCCACCGCCCGTTCGCACATAATTATGTATACATACGCGACTCGCGGAGGGGGTCAACCAAAGAGAGGCCCTGCCAATCCATGCACCCATCGATTGACCAACCAATCCATCACACAAATCATACAGCCGAGTCGGACGAGGGGGGCGAGGGATCGACGACGCGCTCGACGACTTTGGTCATGCGGATGCCGAACTCGAGCGGATCGGGCGTGAATGTCTGCGCGCAGATCGAATCAAGTCAGCATCGGCGTCTATCACTAACATGGTCCACGGGCAGACGCACCGAGTCCTGCTGCGTCGTCAAGAAACTGCCGTCCTGGCAGGCACATCACCGGATCAGCACCCAGAAAATCCCATGCATCGCCGAATACGAGACGCAGACGCAGACGCAGACGCAGACGCACCTTGTTCGACCCGCGCGGGGAGATGACGTATCCGCGGGGGTGCTGGTGCGGCGGGTACGTCGAGGAGTACGACGCCGCGTTGAACTTGACGCGCGCGTTGAGCGTCGACAGCAGGCAGTTGCTGTACAGCTTCGACAGCGCGAGATCCCAGATAAAGTTCCTGTGCGCGCGCGGGCATGATCAGCCGGGCCGGGTCGCGGCGTTAAGCGGCGGGTTGGCGTACACAGCGTAATGCTGTTTTTGATGATGGATCGAAGGGACGTGGACGGTCAGATGACGGGTGCGCGACACGCGCGAGAATGACGGACCGGGAGAACCATGAAACACACGACGTCGAGGATGCTGAATAGCGCACTGGCGGGTGGTGTTCTCAGTCGCTGTCACCAGCAGGAAGACCCAGCGGAAGACGCTCACGTCGCTGCGCCCGTCTGGATCGTCACTAGAAACAACAGCGTCAGTGTCGCACGCATCTTCAGGTCGACCGGGGGGAGCCCACGACTTACTCCGGATGATCTTATCGAGCACCGAATCGGTCGCCGCGAAGCCCGTCTTCTTCCTGCTCTATGTACCAAACAGCCATGCCACGATGAGCTTGTTTGTTCCTTCTGGTTGGGGAAACGCCACCGCGGCCGGAGCTTACCAAGCTGACGACCAGGGTGACCGTGATCAGGAGATCGGCGACGCAGGAGGTCAGAAACCAGACCAGCGCCGGGAGGTGCAGGAGCGGCTTCTTCGCGAAGAGACGCAGGATCTGGATCTCGGCCTGGGAGAGCGTCGGGGCAATCAAATCAGTCATACTTACTTGGCGGTGTGATTTGGTTGGAAACTCACAGTGGTCCAAATACCGCCGGCTGGGTTACACCATGGGATTCAGAATTTTCAACCGCAGCGTGAATTTGGAGACACGCACCGAAGCTCGTGAGGGCCAGCAGCGCGATGAGGAGCGGGAGCCAGAGCGTCTTGGTCAACTGCCGGATCCGCCACGCGAAGAACAGCTGGACGGGCATCGATATCAAGACCTGGCAGGCAGGCCCCATCACCCAGTCAGGCCATGTTCGTGATCACAAGGGGGAATCCAGACGCACGATGCACAGCGGCTCGGCCATGAACACTGAACGGGGATGAGTGAGCGATCATGCACACCCGATCCGCGCGTGCGGAGATACGACGACGACTGACGGGTGGGGAAATACTTCGGCTGTTGCCCTGGAACGCGTGAGCACTCCCCAAGCTCCGACAGAAGGGGGACGGATGCGCAGTACCGTACTGCAGGATGAGCGGCTCGTATATCATCGCCATGTCGAGCGCGGTGTTCGTCGTCTCGACCGTGAAGAGGTAGACCATGAAGATCTTCATCCAGATCGCGTCCCTGCAGCCAGTCCGTCAGCGCAACTCCTCGGCGGCTCGTACGACGCACTTCTTGTATGTTTGGACGTAGGTGACCATCTGCAGACGTGATAAACGCCCGGCCGGGGACGAGCATCGATGTAACGCACCTGTACGACGAGAATCTGCGCCGCGGGTCAGCATTGCATCGCGGATCGAGAGCACACGGGCGGCGCACCCCGTAGAGTATCATATTGAAGAACACGCCAACGAGCATGGGCCCGTATCTACAACACACGGATGGTGAGCAAGCATGCCAGGCATCATCAGACGGCGGCGGATCGGATGAAGGGACTGACGACAGATGCACATCGGGAAGCGGCTGCGGAGCGCTCGCCATCGGAGTCGCGCAGGGGAACGAGCGTGGGGCTGACTGACAGTCGCGATGCGGGGAGGTGGGAAGGGGGCAGGCAGGGGGTGCCAACAAGCCGGGGCGCACACGACAACAACAACGGACGGCTTCTCGTGTCCTTGTACTTATACTTATAACTGTCCTGTCCTGTCCTGTCCTCGGAACCCACAGAAGCAGAAGCCGCATCGGGGGTGTGGATGCTTCCTCGGGTTGCGCCGGGCTGGGCTGGGCTGGGGCAAGTGCATCCGGCCGCAGATGCAGTTGGGCAGGCGAAGCATGTCATGTCATCTCCGGCCAGACCGAAGGCAAACAGCAGCATTAGCATCGCGCGATGTACACAATGGATAGATGGATGGATGGATGCAGTCAGTCGGTCGGTCGCTGTCTGATGTGGATACTTAGACGTTCTGCCTTTTCGGTTTCGCGCGCGGCGATCAGGAAGAGAGCCTTTCGGGACAGCTGGGGCCGTGCATGCGGAGAAACTGACAGGGATCCTGGGGGGAGGCGTGTTGACGCGTGATGTTATATTATGCCCTGCGTGCGAGCTTCACAGCGGGAGGAAGCGTGACACCGAGTAGGTGGCGGGAACCACCTAGATGACGACGACTGAGACTGAGACTGGGGTAGGATCGGAAGGGACGCAGAGAGAGCGAGTCAAAATGAAAATTGCCGGCCAGCCACGTACATACCTAAATTAAACCCATTGCCACGCCCTGTCACCTATGGAGGCTGAAAACGTTATGCTGATAACCGATGTGTCAATCATGGATGGCCGTTCGGCAGATATTGATCAGATGATTGACGCAATGATGCGAGAGCCAAGGTAGCCGACTACGAGTAAACCGACTGAGCGGCAGATCGTAATATTGAAAAAGCGCCATATTCGAGATAGTGTAATATTCAATAACATGTCTAGTGTAATATTTGATAACACGCTCTGGGCATGCAGCCGTGTGGCCAGCAAGCCAAGAGATAAATCAACCGCAAAATGCTGTGCACCTTAATGCGACACTGCCACACTACTGATCACTTACAAAGCCAGCACATATCAACGCTTGTCATTGAGATAGCATAGTGAGCGTGCGAGATAGTGTAATGTACGTGTACCGTAATTCACCAAAATCACTATTTAATTGAAGGGAGCCAGCTCGAAGAATGAGCAGTAGTCTGAACAGACATGCTGCTCAGGGAATCTTTCAAAGAGCTCATGAGCATTACCACCCCCAAACAGCTTTCTGGGCAGCTGCCTGTCCTGTCGTTTAGCTAGCCAAATGAAGGATCAATTTGGGCACATACGGAGACGTCATGACTTGAGGGTCAGTCAAATAGGTAGCAGAACCTAATAACAACGTCAGAACTTTGAGGGAGAGTTGTAGATGTTCAGAAAAACCTTGCAGGTCCGAAAGGAAGACCAAGCCTCCGCTCTTCTCGTACTGCACATGTTGCGTGAAGCACAAAAAAGTCGCGAGTGGTACCAGCTCTTGGGGAAGCGAGGGAACTGGCAAGGCACTGTTGTTGTTGATGAACTTGAAAAATCTCCCTGCCACCAGGAACGCAAAGTCAAAAAAATCAAAATATAACTAGATAAGAATGAGACGGACCTGGAATACGCTCCTCAACAAGGTAAGTGCGCTTCAAAGTTATTGCAGCCCTGCTTGAACTTCCGGAGGCCACCGGCTCGTGCACCAAGGCAATACCAGCTTCAACAAAACGGATCGGAAAGATGGGGAGATTGGCAGGAATGGGGCCGTGCTTCGCTTTGAAACTGTCAATAAAATTGAAAGTAAAACACATCAGAGTCGTTCCCCAGAAGATGAGATTCCCCTCTGAAACCATTCGCTTGTATTCATCCACCACTGGGAACCGGGAAAGGGTCTGACGACTGCGAAACGCTCGCTTAACTGCGACAGATTGGTTCTGAGTTGCACCAAGGGGTGTTGTAGCCAGGTTCAAGAGGTTCAACCATGCCGAGTGAGCAGACTTGAAAGCTCCGACACCAATTGGATCAGCCGAAGGAATCGTGGACAGCGTGCCGGCCTCCGCTTTCGAAATGTCCTTGCAGTTGAAGCTCAGCGAGACGCTATCAACCTTGTCCAATTGGGAGAGAACTTCACGGAGATCGAGTGAGCCAATCCGGTAAAATTCGATGACCTCCGTGGTGTGGATGGCTTGAGCAAATCAATATGAGATAGAAAAACACTACATATAGAAACATGGACTTACGTGCATCCTTTGAGACAGGTTGTGGCGCTCCACCGACGCTGAGGACTTGAAGGAGTCGCCTTGCATGGACTGATTGAGACTTGAGGCCCGCTTCTGTTGCCTGACGCTTCTTAGAGGTGGCAGCCTCCTGCAGGTGAGAGTTAGTAACCAGACTCAAATGAGAATAAATTTTACTTAGACTAACATCGCAAGAAGCAGTGTGAGTCAGAGATCCAGATGACTCGTCCACAATTGAAGACGGAGGCGTAGCTTTTCTTGAAATCTGGGAAGAATCAAAATCGCCACAAGGTATCACACATAGATCTGCATACCTCTTGAATTGAAGGCAAGACAGTCCCGATGCTCTCTGTTGCTGTATTTCTTCCCGATCTGACAATAGATGACAGAACTGGGTTTGTGGGATGAAACGAGGGTGTCTGCTTTTGATGCCGACTCGATCGGCGAAGCGCCTGTACTGGAGCAAATGGCTCAGCTGCAGATGTGATCTACACAGGGATAAATTAGACAGACACCGATGTCAATTGAAACAAAAGACGGACTTGGGCAGAGTCGTTGTTAGGGATTACATCCTCAGGGACAAATACAGCTCCAGAACGCTGTCGAGCCTGAGATAAATCTCCAGAAAAGACAATTTTTACACGCACCGTTGCAGTATCGGCCATTGATTGGTCATCAAGGAAGTCCTCCAGTCTCAGCCACTCTTTACGGTCGATGACGAGGACGAAAACAAATGGCTTCTTGTTTGTCTGAAAGTCAAACTCTCCCTTTCTCGACTTAGCCTGACTGGGCTTCAAGCATCGGTCGTAAAGATATCGAGCGTCAAGATCCTCATCGTGAAGGTTGATCCATCCCTCAGCCTCACGGACTACGAAGCGGCTCTCGTTGAAAACAAACCCGTTTGCTGTATCTTGAGAGATCTCAGATCTGAGTTTGGGAAGGGCAACTCCATGGACAAGTGCAATGAGCTCCCGGGCTGTGACTTCGGGATTCACTAGCTTGCCTTCGTTGATGGCCTTCACAATCAGGATAAGATATATAGAAAAATGAGATCAAGCTTGAGATCAGACGTACACTGAATATCTCCCCATTGACCTTCCCCTTCACCTCATACCGCACACCAATATTGATGGTGATGTACTTTCGGCCGGCAGACGCAGCCGAAGCCCAATTTCGACGAGCAGCAGCATATGACCCGTGGGCAGCTGAGTATCCCTGAGCTGTGAACTGTCCCGAGGGTGGCTTGGGAACAGAGATCAATCCAAAGGGACCCGGAATAGAAAGGCTTGGGCCTAGAAAGTTGTCAGCTCAAATAGATCAAGACATAAGCTTAGGATATACCGCTTGAACTTAAAATTCGTGGTGGAATGGTTGCGGGAGGCCCCATGCTGCCAACGGGAGTGATCTGTCCTCCGCGGGATTTGTCTAAATGCAATTCAGAGTTAGCTAGTATCATCAATATGTGGAGCACGTACCTCCAACCCTCCCCTGGACATTTTGGCGATGAATTGATTCCTTCTCGTGTCGAAGAGTAGGAAAGCTTGCTGATGCTTTTACCAATGAGTCAGGAGAATAAAATACATAATTTAAGGACGCACAGGTTACTGAGCTGGTGACCTTTTCAGCATAATGCTTGTAGCACGCTTCACAAACAACTCGAGTCGAAGAGAGGGAAGCTTGATTCCCAATCATAAACCGAGGCTGGCCAGGCAACACAATGAGACCCTTGGTTGGATCAGTCCGTGATTTTGAGTAGCACCGACTACCAGTTCGGCACTCGAAAGGCTCCTTCACAGCGACATCATCCGTGAATGTAGCAAGGAGTATGTTGTCAGACATAGCGGGATACAAAAGTGCGAGTGAGGAGAAGTCTGACTATGACAGTGAAATTTTACACAACTTAAATATACACTGTAGTCTGAGTCTCGACCTTGTTTAGTGAGGAATGAATCGGTCGGATCATGACAACGTTTTCCAGGCGTGTTAGCTTGTTTCGGGCATGCTTTTGATTATCTCATATCATGTGCACGACTCTAACCACTCAAATATCTCTCTTGGGCAAGCTAATCACGCGAAATGGGATATTTCAAACACGCGAACACGTGTTCACGGACTGGGCCCTCAACACGTGTGATGTTCCCATTTTCAAGTCTGTGCACGCGACGTTGAAGCATTGTAATCAATACTCGAGGCTGCTGTTCAGAGCCTGAAATAGTTTAAGATTTTACACAGCCCAAGCACGCGATGTTGAAGCATTTTGATTAAGACTCGAGGCCGCTTTTCGAAGCCTGAAGTAGTTTACATGCGATGTTGAAGCGTTTTAATCAAGACTCGAGGCCGCTTTTCAGAGCCCGGAGTAGCTTACACAGTCGGTGCATGCGATGTTGCGGTGTTTTAATTCAGACTCGAGGCCGCTTTTCGAAGCCTGAAGTAGTTTACATGCGATGTTGAAGCGTTTTAATCAAGACTCGAGGCCGCTTTTCAGAGCCCGGAGTAGTTTACATGTGATGTTGAAGCGTTTTAATTAAGACTCGAGGCCGCTTTTCAGAGCCCGGAGTAGCTTACACAGTCGGTGCATGCGATGTTGCAGTGTTTTAATTCAGACTCGAGGCCGCTTTTCGAAGCCTGAAGTAGTTTACATGCGATGTTGAAGCGTTTTAATCAAGACTCGAGGCCGCTTTTCAGAGCCCGGAGTAGCTTACACAGTCGGTGCATGCAATGTTGCGGTGTTTTAATTCAGACTCGAGGCTGCTTTTCGAAGCCTGAAGTAGTTTACACGCGATGTTGAAGTGTTTTAATTAAGACTCGAGGCCGCTTTTCAGAGCCCAGAGTAGTCTAAGATTTCACACCTGATCTAGCCAGTGATTGGGCGTGCAGTACAAATAGCTGAGCAGAATATGATTCGAGCTTCAACACCTCCAAGGATCTTACTCTCCTACTCCTCCCGCATTGTGTGTCTCATATAATTGATCCTCTTTATGCACAATCAATACAAGCCTGTTCGTATGTCCTTTTCCCAAGGCTGATATATCCTCACTAACTCACTGGGACTTAGCTGACCCTGAATATCTGTGTCCATTTATCGACAAGTATTGGAACCAGAGGAAGTCAGACAAGTTTATCCTGGAAGCATTGAAGAAACACCATATTGATTTATCGAAGTACGGACTTGAGTTAGTTCACTCCTTGGCTATAATTTCACATTTAGTTCTGACTCTATCTGAAGGATCCAGACATTCCGCCGCATCAGAGAGAAACTCGGATACATTAGAGCACGCAAGCAGGGTCATACAGTCGAATCAATTGCAGAACCAGTGGCCAAGCTTCGTGTTATCTATCCCAAGGCTGGTGGTAGGGAGATGGGCAATCTTCTCTTTCATGAAGAGAATATTGTTGTTGCACGGTGCGTCCCAGTCCTGGCCATCCTCATCCCAGTATACATTTATATGTAATTGCGTCTCAACAGGGACACAATCATGAAGTACTTCCGGATTTATGAGCCTGATCTTGTCCGAGAACGACGACGTGGACATTTCAAGCGCAAGGCCTTCTGGTCTGCTGGTGCAAACGATATCTGGGCCGTTGATCAGCACGACAAATGGAAGTACAAATTCGGACTTGCCCTCCACACTGGTATTGATCCCTTCCTTGGTCTCATTCATTGGATCAGAATTTGGTGGAATAATAGTAACCCGCGCCTCATTTTAAGCTACTACCTCAATGTAATCGAGGATCTTGGCAGTCCGTTGACTTTCTTTTGATTATGTTGAACTTTCTAACTTATTCTCTACAAGTTATGCCTCTAGTGACACAAAGCGACCCAGGGCCTGAGAACGTTGGCATTGCCAACGGTCACACTCAAATGCGACATTATCAAGACGCTTCACTCGTAGGCACATCACAGCATAGGTGGATGAGGGAGAAGAAGAATGTGATGCCGGAGATTGCCTGGAGTCAACTTCGTCGCAGGTTCACTCCGGGATTTGAGAATATCCTGGAGGTCGGCGTATTTGAGGGTTGGTATGACCCCGGCGTGTTGATTGAAGCGTGAGTGCACCATATTTTTGGTTTACGGTTCTGAGAATACTCCTAGACTCGTGTTTCGCTGGGTCTTTATCCCGTGGTTGCAGGCCGAGCTGGATTTTTACCGAAATCGTGTAAACAATACCACAAAGCGTCACGATCGGAACAAGATCCTTCCCTCCGGAGTTCCCATTGACATGTTTGAGCATCCAGAAGATTATGGTATCTTAGATTTCAAGGTTTGTACAACCATTCATAATCAGGGTCTCTAAATGACCAGTATTCTACAGATCAAGGCTGATCCAGAAGGTGTACGCAAAGTCCGGAATATCTATGCTTCACCACAGCATGAGATATTTCAACTTGTCCCTCCAGATTTTGAGGTGATAATCTCCGACCTTTACACGGAGATTGGATCACCAGCAGTCGATCGCAACTCATGCTGGGAGGTTTATTTACAGCTTATTGCAAAGTTCAAGGCCCTCGACAAGCTTCACAGTGTTGATCAGACGGTAGACGACAGGTGGGGTTATGCTCTGAGCCATGCAGCGGAAGAGTACAGGGACGAGATTGCACCCTTACCTAACCTGAAGGAGCTTCATGGTGGTGATGGTATCATTGGACAGAACGTATATATGGGCGGGGTAAATAACGGCGACGGATTGGGTGAGCATGAACTTTCTCATCTGTGGGCTTTCTTCTCACGCATTCAGGGCCCGAGCATCATGCCCGATTGAATGCAATTCTTGACGAGATTGAGCCGAACTTTGGTCCCGATGAGTCACAAGCTGTTGGTCCCGATCTGTACGCATGGTTCTCGGATGAGGAAGACTCCCGCGAAAATGATTGGTGAATTACGGTACACGTACATTACACTATCTCGCACGCTCACTATGCTATCTCAATGACAAGCGTTGATATGTGCTGGCTTTGTAAGTGATCAGTAGTGTGGCAGTGTCGCATTAAGGTGCACAGCATTTTGCGGTTGATTTATCTCTTGGCTTGCTGGCCACACGGCTGCATGCCCAGAGCGTGTTATCAAATATTACACTAGACATGTTATTGAATATTACACTATCTCGAATATGGCGCTTTTTCAATATTACGATCTGCCGCTCAGTCGGTTTACTCGTAGTCGGCTACCTTGGCTCTCGCATCATTGCGTCAATCATCTGATCAATATCTGCCGAACGGCCATCCATGATTGACACATCGGTTATCAGCATAACGTTTTCAGCCTCCATAGTCACCCGCCTCCTCCCGCCGGGGCTTCTCTCCGAGCGCAGTCCAACATACTCGGTGTCTCCTTGCACACCGCAGAGCTCTGATGGATGTGTTGGCTGGCTGGCTGGCTGCTATCTGTCACAGTGTCAGGGTCAGGGTCTCGCACGTAATCGAAAGAAGTCGAGTTGACGCCCGGCCCGCGTGCACCCCAACGCACGCTGCGTCGCGTGTGGGAGCGGGAGCCCCGCATACGGATCGGCGTGACCTCCCGCATCTTACGCCATCTGAGCCCAGCCCCGAGACAAGAACAAGGGCAAGGGGAGGGACTGACTATGCGCGCCAAGATGCGAGACGGGGAGATGGATCCTCCCCGCTATTGTCGGGTCGCACAGCGGCACGGGCACGGGCACGGGCGACCCTTGCTTCCCTCGCTCTTCTATCGGGACCGGGTGCACTTCGCGCAACTGACGGGAAGAAAGCTACAGCGATGGGTGGCTGCAAATAACTAACTTGCTGCGCCGTGCCGAGTGCAGGCATGTGCTCATTTCGCGACTGGCGAGTTGTGTACGAGATGGGCGGCCGACCGGCCGGCAAGACGACGACGTTGTTCGAGGTCTGCACTGTCCTGCGTCAAGCGGGACGAAGTGAGGAGGCACATCGTCGGAAATTCTCGGATCACACCCCTGGCTGATGGCTGACACATCACACCCTCCGCGCCATCATCTTGCCCTCGCGCGCACTATAGTATCCCCCTCGCATCACGATCCCTGGCACACTGTTCTTCCCGTATTGAAGGAGCAGAATCGAATACGTGCTGATACGTGCAAGGTCTATACTTGGAGCCGCAGGCGCGTCTGGCCCGTGTCAGCCCGAAAGAGATAGACAGTTCTGAAACACGTGATATGTTATATACAGTTCCAGCGAGTATCACATGACCTCGCGATTTCAGATGAGGAAGACGGCTAGCCTTGAGCTTTAGGTTTTTAGGATTTTAGGATCAATCGATTAGGATGTGTGTCCCACCTATGGACTATCAACTGGACTGGCGATAGCACTTATACTTGTGTGTTTGTGTCACCAGTGTTCTCACGGTTGAAATTAAGCACGTGCTGCTATGGTTGGAATATCAATACTAATACTAATAATAATAAAAAAGCGAATCGAAGAGCGAACATCTATGGAACAAAGGAATGTATGGATATATGTGTATATCAATATCAATATCAATGGTGCGAATCGAACCTCAACGCCCTCAAATCACGGATGACACTCTGCATGTCCCCGCGATTCCACTCGCCCGTCCACACCTCGCCCTCCGAGTCCGCATCGTCGTCCTCGTCATCTTCGCCGCCGTCGAGGATGCCGCCGTAGTGAGCAAAGGGCACCGCCGCGGCGTGCTTCGCGGACGCGAACATATCCGGCGTCGGCGTGGCCGAGCGCGACTCGAAGCCGAGGTCGAAGCCGAGGTCGAACCCAAGGTCCGACGCCATCGACAGGACCGAATCCGCCTCGAGCGCGTCTGCGTCTGCGTCTGCGTCCGAGAAGTCCGAGTCCGACAAGTCCATGTCCGGCTGCACGTGCACCTCGCCGGACGAAAGCGACGGGTGGTCGAGGCGCACGCCGGAGGAGCGGTTAGAGGAGGTGGGCGAGGCGAAGCGTAGGTCGTACAGCTCTGACTGGTCGTTGATCCAGTCCTCGTACGCCATGGCGGTGGTGTCCTCGTATTCGTCGTCCTCGTAGTACCCGTCGTCGATGCCCTCCTGCGAGAACGCGTGGGGTGCGGACACGGTGGACGCGGATCGCGAGATGGTCCTCCTGTCGTCGTCGTCGTCGTCGTCGTCGTCGCCTTGACGCTCGCGGGTGGGTGTGAGCGTGTTGTGGCTCGCCCGGCTTCGGAGCCTGCCGATGTCTGCGTGAGGTGGCGCACGGAGAGAACTAGGCAACGACGAGGGCATGTCCATCCCCAACGTCCGCGCGAGCTTGTTCCCTCGCGCGGCAGGCACGAACAACGGGGCGCGGACCTGGGAGTCCAGTGGAGGAGGTGGGAGGGGTGCGGGTGCGTGCGTCCTGTGACTGTGCGCGATCCACGGCAACAGCCGGAACTCGTCTCTCGCTTTGCCTTTCCCCTCGTCCCTTGTCTTGGGCTTTTTGCTCTTCTTCACCCGGACGTGCGAGCCAGCACCGCCGCGCCCCGTCGGGCGGTACACCATCCGGACCGACTCCGCATCGATACGCGCGTCGACATGGGGATCAGCCCTAGGCTCGACCCGCACCGCAGCCGGGACGAGCGCCAGACCGCGCGGCTTGGACCCGACGCCGCCGCGGCCGACGATGCGCGTCCCAGCGAGCTGTTGCTGGGCTGCGCGCATATACGCCGAGGCAGAAGCAGAAGCAGCAGAAGACGAAGAAGCAGAAGCAGAAGCAGAAGCAGCAGTAGAAGAAGTGGGAGTGGAGGAAAGAGAGGACGGCAAAGCCCGGGGCCGCGATCCCCGCCCGCCGCGCCCAACCATCCGCACCGCGGCCAGTGCCGGGCCCGGGGCCCGCTCGGCCTGCGCATCTATGTAAGCATCGCCTCGTCAGCCCAATAAAAAAAACCACGATTCGCAAGGGGGCCGACGCACCGGCGTACTGAATGGGGCTCCGGCTATCACTGCGCCCACGTGCGCTGCTGGAGCGGGGCCGGGGATCAGCATCATCGCCATCGCGATTATCAGGTGCATCAGCATCAGCATCCGCATCATGCAGCATCTCGCCACCGCGCGCATCACGATCGTCCGTTTCGGGTTGCGCATCTGCGCGGCCCCGGGCCCGCAAGGTCGTCTTCGAGGTCGAGGAGGAGGCGGCGGAGGGAGAGGGTGTGTGCGTGTGCGCGTGTGGATGTGGATGTGTCGAGGACGTTGAAGGTAAAGAGGAGGAGGAGGAGGATGCGGCTGCAGCATATCGCGCAGACAAGGCGTCCTGCGCGTGTCCTTCCACCGACTTCGTCACCACTCCGCGCAGCCCGCGTTTCCGCTTGAGGTGCCCTGGCACCAAGGTCGACACGCTCGCAAGCATCAGGCGCGCGGGCTGTATCCGGGGAGGGGCGGGGGGATACCGACCGCGTGCACGGACGCGACAGCAGGTTCGACGACGATTAGGAGTGCGGTGGAAGCTGGCGATCACGGTGGAGCGATAGCGGGTGGCAAGGTAACAGAAATCAAGAATAAGGAAAGTTGAGTGGGGTGCCCCACCGGGACCGGGGGCGGGTGGTGGTGGTCAGAATGCAAGAAGTATTTCACCCGCTGCTCGTACGTAAGCGAAAGGTTGCTGCTGCTGTCTCAGCAATAAGTATCAAGCCCTTGCGGAGATCTATATAGAACCCACGCGCGCGCTCCTCGACCGGGCGTGCACGAACTGTGCATACAGTTGGCAGGAATTCGCCCCGTTACGCACACCTGGACGCAATCAGCATCAGCATCAATCGCACGCACCCACGCACTGCGCGCTTCTTCGAACCGTGATCCCGGCTGCGTGGTCGGTGGCGGATCTCCGTGAAGTCGGCTGGTGGGTCCGCGGAGCTGGGCTGGCGAGCCTGGACGGAGAATGCGTTTGCGTGGTGGGTGATTGAAAGTCGGGGCCTGGGGAGTCTCGGGCTGAACTCTGGCTTGGAGTCCAGCTCAGGGTGTGCCCCGTCTCCCCCCAGTCCTCTCTCCTTCGCAGTCCCATCCCATGTCAACTAGCGAACCCCTCATGCCAATGCCAGCACAGGCAGCCGCCAGTGAATCGTCATTCCGCCTCTAAGCGCTTTCGCGACAGAATCAATGACAGCCTGTCGATGGCCAGACACGGCGGGGGCAGCCTTCTAGATCCTCGTCCCGCCAGGCGTTTCAGGAGGCTCGGCAGCACGGAAGCACTCTGCCAGCCCCGGCTGGTGGTGGTGAAACAGGGTGAAACAGAACGTCGCATGGATAAATGGACGCGGTAGATATCGCGAGGCACTATAACAGTATATATGTACGTCACACCCTTGACACCGACTAATATGTGATTATCGACCCACTCCCAGACACGCAGAATGGTGTGCGCATGCGCACCGATGCGATCTAATCGTATCTTATCTGCCTGCCGGGTCCGCTGTGTTAACTTCTCAGCCGCAAAAGACAATCTGGGAAAACAGCGTCAGTGGGCGGTGGGCATCAGGTCAAAATCAACATGGCTGACCGCGAGGTTGCAGTTGGCCGTTTGGCAGCCGACGACGACCGGCTGTCCCGGGAGGCCTTGGAACCCGTTGGGGCACCCAGGGATGGTACCTAGTAGAAAAGAGGGCGGAACATATCAATAGAGCGCATACAGCACATGACCAACGAGCACTCACAGTCTGAGCCAGCTCCGTCACAGCCATTGAAATACCTACAGGTCATAAGTCACCTCAACGCCACGACCGCGTTCCTCAGCTCACCCGAAACCAGACGCCACAGAGAACGCATGTCTGCGCGGAACGCACGCAGGCTCAGAGCCCCGATACACGCCAGAGGAAACGGCAGACTCACGGAGGCGCGTCGGAGACATCCGCGGTGCACGACCCGTTCTTGAGCGTCACGTCGATCGTGGTGCATCCCTCGCCGTGCAGGCCGCATTTCCCTGAGCATAGGCGTGTCGAAATCAGCGAGGAGTTGCTGGTCGGATATGTGACGTAGTCGTACCGGTCTGGAGATAGGATACGGCACCGATGAGAGGGCCGTTGATCGTGAAGTCCGCTGCACACGCCAGTGAGTGGTTTGATCCAACACTTTGAGGTTCAGTCACCTCCGGTCGAAAGGATATTCGACCCCTGAACGAGCGTCGGCTGGATGGAAACCGAGTTCAAATCAACCAAGTCCGACATTGGCTGGAAGTGATGACCGTACAGTCCCGAATCCGCAGCTGTTATTCACGGAGCCATGCATCAGCAAGTTTCAAGGCGTGAGGGGCCCACGGACTTGTTTGTAAACACGACAGTGTGTGTCTCCGCTCTGCTTCCAGCAACAGCGAAAGCAGCTATCGCGAGGACCGCCCAAGGAGAGGAGAGTCTGAACATTGGAATCATGACCCTCAGCGTTCGATGGAGATTGTTTATATGTAGAGTCCGGGTGTATAATAAATACAGTAGGGACGGTAACGATCCCGCTCTACAACCCGCTAGGCACCGACAGTTCAACAACCACCAAAGGACTAGCAGCGGTCCATCAATTCACACATCTCGGGAGAAGATCATGATCTCCTGCCGAGCGGGACGAGGCGAGGGTATATATTTGGGGTTTTCGTCCCGCCGACAGCTGGACTGCGCGCTTGTCTCGAAGAGGGACTGATGTCATTCAGCTCAATCTAGTACCAACAAGACAACATCGCATCATGCATTTTTCTAGCCAGATGTGCGCAGATAGTATCACGTCCTCATACCGCACTTCCTTACAGCTCCCCGAAATGCAGGACTTCCAGGGACAGCGCATGGGCGATCACACCAAACTACACGCACAGTCAGCGCCGACCGCAAAGGATGCACAACAACACACACCTGCACGCCCAGGATACATTCGTCGTTGATGATCGCCGCGCCCCAATCGAACAGCTCCTTCGACGTGGTCTCCACATACGGCAGCGTCGATTCCAACGGCTTGCGGAACGCCCGGAACTGCCTGACGATGCCTCTGGGTTTGCCCCCCTCCATGGGCTGCACAACAGCGTGCGGGCCATCGACAGCGCCGCGCCGCCGTGCGTCCTCAAAGCGGCCGGCATTGAAGTCCAGGATGCGCACGGGCGCGCGCGCCTCCGCTGCAGCGTGGTCGATGTAGACGAGGCGCTGGCCGTGCGTGACCGTGATGTAGCGGAAGTGCAGGTCCTCGCCGTCGATGTAGCACATCGCGGGCGCAGCCCATTCGTCCCAGCTCAGTCGCTCGCGCGACATCGGACCGCCGAGCAGCTTGTCGTACAGCGGCCGCTTCGAGATGACGAAGACGTGGTCGTCGGCGGCCTGAAGGAGCCCCTGCTGGTCGAAGCGGCCCATCGCGAAGGAGAAGAGGATGATCGCGTCCTCTGCGCGCGGGACGAAGCGCGACGAGGGCGCGCCCGATGACGCGGGGGAATTGGGGGACGCGGCTGCGGTGGGAGATACGCGGCATTGGACGTGAAGCACTTCCGTGTGGTTCATGATGGAGGGAAACTCGAGGAGCGCTAGCGCTGGCTCGGTGACCTCGCTGTCGGAGTCCGGATATTCGACAATGACAAAGTATTGCACGCGCACGTCTGGCAAGAGGAGGTGTCTTGGCGTCAGGAAGATCAGGCCCGGAGAGCTGACAGGAAAAAAGTCGCTCTGCGGCAAGGAGTCATCATGATCAATCACCGGCAAGGGAAGAGTACAAAGGGACAGACACACCTTCTTGCGCATCCCCGTGCGCCAGTTGAAGACATGCAAGCTGTCTCTCTCCGCTGTGTGCGCATTGCCGTAAAACAGCGACATCGCCAGGTTCTCGCCGACGATCTCGATGGACACGGTCGGCGGGCCGTGTGCGGTGTCCGTCTCTTGCACGGGCAGCACATGCCGGCGGGCCTGCGAGTGGGGCGCGCCAGTCGAGAAATGGAAGAAGGAGACGTCGATCTGGCGCCGAGTCTGATCGACCGACACGCTGCGCGACGACGCGTCAGACACACACTCTCACTCATAATCGGAAGATGCAGGAGGCAGAGAAGAAGACGCACTAGGTCACCATCGCGATGAGATCGTGCTCCTCCACCGCAAGCCCGAAGTCGATGATCGGCTTCCCGGCGTTGATCCTGCGCCACACATCCTCATCCACACCCTCCACCAGTCCTTCGCTCTTCGCCGCAGCAGCCGCAGCCACACGCGTTTGGAGTACGCGCACGCCCGTACAGCGCCCATCAACCATCTCCCCGCACCCGTCGCCGAGCACAAACACATCACCCGCGAGATCGTAGATGCTCGTTGTCGGGAAGGGCACGGTGAGGGAGCCCCGGTGCACCGGATCGAAGGCCGTAAAGCGCTCGTTCGTCCTGCGCAGTAGCCTGAGACGGTCAGAAACAGGCGAAGGCGACGATGCGGGGTGTGAGAACGTGGGGCTCTCCTCCACGCACGCGGAGTGCAGGGCACGGCGGTACGCGATGGCGACTGAGCTGGTGATGAGCGAACGAAGGAGAGTGTTTCCGACGAGGTGCTCGAGGGTGTAGATGTCAGCAAGTGGCAAGTATGACAAGCAGACATGGATAAGCTCTGGTGGCAGATCGAGTATGCTGTTCGACGGCATCGATGAAGTTTGTCAACGTTATTCCTGAACGGTGGTGAAAAAATGATTGTTACGCCATCGTCAATGGAGTCACGTGAGCCTCCACAGGGTCGATCTCTTCTAATCACGCGACGTTCCAGGACGCGACACAATCGAAGTGGTTTTCTTGCACTCGATCCTTCCAGAAATGATTTCAACCGTTCTTTACGGGCCAGGCTTTTCAACTGGGTCATCAAATGATGGAATTTCGCACATAGCAAGGCTTGCCGAAAGACATCAGGTCATGTTACGCTTCGCTGCATCGATCGCGCGTTTACCGGGTCCCAATCCGCCTTCGCAATTTCTCTTAATGTAGAAGAGCGACTGCCACATCACGCACGTTCAAAAGTACCGGCGAGCGAACCAAAAGCGATTGACATCAAACTGTTTGGGTCCCGGATGGTGCGGGGTTGCATTGAACAGGGTGAGAGCGCTTCATTCAATTTTATTCCGCAGTGTCCACTGCTATTCTTGTCTACGCGTCAAGAATCTGGCTTCCCTGACGCTCAAAGCTATCCAAGGAATATCACACAGAATCTGGCGTCAACATCACCCCACCAGTTCATTCCAAGAGCTCTATTACAAACTGAGCGCTATAATGATTATCATCATGTGCTTCCCTCTTGTTGGGGAAAATAGGTCGAGGGTAGATTAAATAATATGAGGGAATGTTTGCAATAGCAAGATACTAGATGAATAAGAATTTGCTTTAGGGCAAACAGATGCCCTCTAGACTACATACCAGCTTAGTTATATACTAGTAATGTAAGTAATTTAGAATATTCTACTATTTACTGGGAATTGTCTAAATGCGGTTATTTAATTATCTAGAACATTCCGGGACTAGAGCGCCGCCTCCGCCGGCAGAAGCCTTGCTTGCTCTTGCATTTTTTTTTACAAGCACCCACTCAATAGCAGTCACATGTTACAATAGAAACGATACAATTACAATAATTTGTATGCAACCCCTCATTTTGAGCGGGTCTTTTTGGCAGGGCTGGAGCCCAAGTCGACTTTCACAGCCCAGCGGCGCTTTTTTCGGAGACACAGCGAGCTGGCGTCGTTCTTCAATGATACGTATTTTGACGATGTTCGCTGTGAAGTGGTCGCGCTTGTGTTCTTTGAACGCCCAGTGCGTCAATTCAAACGTCAGCGCAACGGTGGCACCCGGCAACAGGCTCATGTACTCTTCTGGCTCCATCAATTGCCCATCAAACGTGCACGCAGGCAGTCTATTGATGACCAATTTCCTGGTGGTCTCGATCTCCTCGAGGGCGGCTCACGCCGCTTCGTGTTTCGTTGGCCACAATCCAAAGTCATAACCTGCTCAGCGTCAGACTCTAACCCCTCTGCCACCGCAGCACGTACAGCCTTTGTGATGATACATACACGTGAAGAAACAAAGCATAAACAACGGAATGAGGGTCAAACGAGAGACTGCACAATTACATGCGGAATGATACGGAACATTGGATCAAACCGCGTGCAACCGGATCAAACGAATTATGAGGGTGGAGAAGCCTTGACAAGCAAGGCAACAGCTGAGCTGCATCCCAGGAATTCTATTTAATTCCAACACCTCTATTTGGGTCCGACTCCGCTACATTTCTGATCAACTGTGTTCAGTTGTGCATTACGAGTGGAGCCTGGTCAAGACTTAGATGGCCCAGTGACGGAAGGAAGTGTCGTTTGAATAATCACCTTTAAGGCTGACTGAATTCGTTCACGGTATCCAAACTCGAAGCGCGTGAGAAACCTGCTTGATTTTCGAGCCGGCCGACAGGTAGTGTGTTGAATCGCGGGAGAGAATCATCGGCGAACGTGCCCGTATCCCCAGAATGCGAGCACTGACCCCCCATGGCACATTAGTTGCTGTAAAGATTCGTATCATCAGGCCAGTAAATCGGTATAAAATCCACCAGGGCAGGAGCTTGAGTCTCCAGGTCCCCACTCGAACGGTGCCTTGTTTGTGAACACGACAGTGTGTGTCTCCGCTGTGCTTCCAGCAACGGCGAAAGCAGCTGTCGCGAGGAGCGCCCAAGGAGAGGAGAGTTTGAACATTGGGATCACGATACACAGCGTTAGATGGAGATTGTTTATATGCAGAGTCCGAGTTTATAAATACTGGGAGCAATAACGATCCCGCGCTACAATCCGCTAGGCACCACAGGTCTAACAACCCCCAGAGGACTAGCCGCGGTCCCGCTGTGAACACATCTCGGGAGAAGATCACGTCTTCTCCCGAGCAGGGCCAGGCAAGGGTATATATTTGTGGTTCTCGTCTCGTCTCGAGCTGGACTGCGCACTTGTCTCGAAGAGGGACTGATGTCATCCAGCTCGATCCAGTACCAACAAGACAACATCGCATCATGCATTTTTCTAGTCAGATGGGTGTAGGTATCACGTCCTCAGAACACTGCCTTACAGCTCCCCGAAATGCAGGACTTCCAGGGACAGCGCGTGGGCGATCACACCGAACTATACGCGAAGTCAGCGCCGACCGCAAAGGATGCACAACAACACACACCTGCACGCCCAGGATACATTCGTCGTTGATGATCGCCGCGCCCCAATCGAACAGCTCCTTCGACGTGGTCTCCACATACGGCAGCGTCGAAACCAGCGACCGGCGGAACGTCCGGACCTGCCTGAGAATGCCCCTGACCTTGCCACCCTCCATGGGCTGTACGACCGCATGCGGGCCATCGACCGCACCACGCCGCAGCGCGTCCTCGAAGCGGCCGGCGTTGAAGTCCAAGATGCGCACGGGGGCGCGGACCTCCGTCGCCGCGTGGTCGATGTACACGAGACGCTGGCCGTGCGTCACCGTGATGTAGCGGAAGTGCAGGTCCTCGCCGTCGAGGTAGCACATTGCCGGCGCGGCCCACTCGTCCCAACTCAGGCGCTCGCGCGCCATCGGACCGCGGAAGAGCTTGTCGTACAGCGGCCGCTTCGAGACGACGAAGATGTGATCGTCGGCGGCCTCGAGGAGGCCCTGCTGGTCGAAGCGGCCCATCGTGAAGGAGAGGAGAATGATCGCGTCCTCTGCGCGCGGCACGAAGCGTGACGAGGGCGCGGATGGCGCGGGGGGAGTGGGCGACGCGGCGGCAGTGGGCGACACGCGACATTGGACGTGGAGTACTTCCTGACCGCCTTTGATGTCGGGGAACTCGAGGAGTGATAGCTCTGGCTCGGTGTCCTCGCTGTCGGAGTCGGGGTATTCGACGACGACAAAGCATTGCACGCGGACGTCTGGAAAGAGGAGGTGTCTTGGCGTCAGGAAGATCAAGCCCGGGGAGCTGAGAGGGAAGAAGTCACTCTGCGGCAGTTAGAGGCAACCGGCGAGTAGAAAGGGGACTGCACCCACCTTCTTGCGAATCCCTGTGCGCCAGTTGAAGACATGCAGGCTGTCTTTGTCTGCGGTCCGCGCATTGCCGTAGAACAGCGACATCGCCAAGTTCTCGCCAACGATCTCGATCGACACGCTCGGCGGGCCGTGTGCGGTGTCCGTCTCTTGTACGGGCAGCACATGCTGACGGGCCTGCGAGTGGGGCGCGCCAGTCGAGAAATGGAAGAAGGAGACGTCGATCTGGCGCCGCGTCTGATCGACCGACACGCTGCGCGACGACGCGTCAGCCCCACGGGGACGCAGCAGGCAGAGAAGAACACGACGCACTAGGTCACCATCACGATGAGATCGTGCTCCTCCACTGCCAGCCCGAAGTCGATGATCGGCTTCCCGGCGTTGATCCTGCGCCACACATCCTCATCCACACCCTCGGCCGGTCCCTCGTTCTGTGGGGCGGCCGCAGCAGCAGCAGCACGCGTCCGCAGCACGCGCACGCCTGTGCAGCGCCCGTCAATCATCTCCCCAGACCCGTCGCCGAGCACGAACACATCGCCCGCGAGGTCGTAGATGCTCGTCGTGGGGAACGGCACGGTGAGCGAGGCCCGGTGCGTCGGATCGAAGGCCGCGAAGCGCTCGTTCGTCCTGTGCAGCAGCCGCAGGCGGTCGGAGACAGGCGGGGGCGACGATGTGGGGTGTGCGAATGCGGGGCTCTCCTCCACGCATGCGGAGTCGAGGGCGCGGCGGTACGCGATGGCTACTGAGCCAGCGATGAGCGAGCGGAGGAGGGTGTTTCCGACGAAGTGCTCGAGGGTATGGATGTCGGAGAGCGGTAGGTATGACAAGCAGACATGGATAAGCTCTGGTGGCAGATCGAGTATGCTGTTCATCTGCATCGATGAAGCTTGCCAATGTCTCACTCCAGGACAACGGGTAAAAAAGTGATTGTCACGTCATCGTCATCGATGACGGGATCACGTGAGCCACAACGGGGCTCACTGAGGTTCACGCATGAAATTGACAGATGAGGCCGAGTCTGAGTTGTATTTTTACACTCGAATATTTTAGCCATGATCTTCATCTTCATGTCTACTCCAGACTTTCCGGTAGTCCGCCTGGACAGCCTGGCAAGCCAACATTAATGATGAGACCTCGCGCGCAGCAGGGCTTGCCGAAAGACATCATGGTCATGTTACTCTTCGCTGCATCGATCGCGCGTCTACCGGGTCCCCATCCATCTTTTCTATTTCTCTAAATGTAGAAGAGCGATTTACGTCATCGCGCACGTTCAACAGTACCGACGAGCGAACCAAAATCGGTTGACATCAAACTATTTGGGTCCCGCATAGGACGGGAGTGCATTGAACAAGATGAGAGCGCTTCGTTCAATGTTATTCCGCGGCGTCCGCTGCTCTTGTTGCTATATGTGTCCACAGTCTGGCTTGCCTGACGCCCAGAGCTATCCAAGGATTATGACACAGAATCTGGCGTCAACATCGCCCTACCGGTTCATTCCAAGCGCTCTATTACGGACTGAGCGCTATAATGATTATCATCGTACGTTTCCCTCTATTCGGGTCCGACTCCAGTACATTCCCGGTCAGCTGTGTTCAGTTGTGCATTACGAGTGGAGCCTGGTCAAGACTTAGATGGCCCAGTGACGGAAGGAAGTGTCGTTTGAATAATGACCCTTACGGCGAACTGAATTCGTTCACGGCATCCAAACACAAAGCGCGTGGGAGTTCTGCGTGAGGCTCAGCCGGCCGACAGGTTCTGTGTTGAATCGCGGGAGAGAATCATCGGCGACCGTGCCCGTGTCCCCAGAATGCGAGCATTGATTCCCCATTGCCTAGTAGTTGGAAAGATTTGTATCATCAGGCGAGCTACTGGGTATAAAATCCAGTAGAGTAGGAGTTCGAGTCTCCAGGTTCCCACTCAAACGGTACCTACCCCCCACTACCTCTCTTCCCCACCCAGAAAACCATGTTCAAGCTCGCCTCTGCGTTCGTTCTCGCTGCCTTCGCCGCTGCCGGTGTGATGGCTGAGCAACACACGGTTCACTTTTCCAACAAGTGCGTTCGCGGTGCCGGAACCTAAATTGACTCGGGACGGCGCATCTGATTAACTTCACAGCTGCGGGTTCGGCACTGTAAGCATCTGACAACCGCAAGGACTCGCCTCGCCTCGCTCACGGGAAATCTCAAATTCACACAGCCCACGCTCATCCAAGGCCCCAACGTTCTCTCGACCGGAGGTAAATCTCACGCGGTTCATATTTGTGGCTCTGCAGCGGCTGATGCCGACCCACAGGAGACTTCACTAGCAACGGCCCGCTCATCAGCGCCATTGCCTACCTCCAAACGGGTCCGTTGTGCATCCCGCTCGTCTTCGGTCATCCGTTTTGACCGGCCATCGCAGGCAGCTGTGGCTTCAACGGAGAGGGCTGCACGCTCGTCGAATTGACGCTGACCAACGGCTTCTCCAGCGCCGATATCTCGCTGATTCCCCCGTGAGCCTTGATGTCGTTCGTGCTCTAGTCGGATTCTTACAGAGCGAACCCAACCAGGCATGCGTTCTCAGTCACCTCGGGCTTCGGGTGAGTATTTCCGGCCTCGCATATGATCAGCACAGATTGAGAACGGGCGCAGCTACTTCAACGGATGTGACGGGGCGGGCGCCGACTGCGAGTCCACACCCCTTCTCCTACCGGCGGCGTGACTGACTAATTGGCTCGACAGGCACCAACCCGAGCTGCCCCACGGCGTTCTTCAACCCCGACGAGACGTTCAAGCAGGTCGGATGCCCCGCTGCGAACTGCAACCTCGCGGTGAGTGCCAAGTATTCATCTGGAGTCAACCGATCAAGTGCTAATATCCCTCTGCGCAGATCACCTTCTGCGAGTGAACGGCGCAAATCGCGCGATCCAGTGTACAATATACAACAAATTAGCACTGCTATATGAATTGAATTACATACTTGTGAACCCATTTCTTGCGAACTTCCGAGCGTCCCAGAGTTCCGACTTCCAAGCTGTATCCAGCAGGGAGTCCTGTTAAGCTGGTGGCATGTTTGTGCTCCATCCGTAATTGCTCGCTTCACCTGGTCAACGCCACCGGTGCGCCACCCCTAGAGTCAGGGAGAAAGCGCCGGCGGAAGCCGAGCTCCATCCTTCCGTACCCTAGCAGAGTTCAAATCAAATTCACTTACGCCCAATGCTCCTCAGGGATGAATTTTTGCCGCCTCGACCGCACGATCTTCCGCAGACAAAGGCGAGATCGAACCCAGGCCGCTCGTAATGGGCAGGCTTCCTGCGGTTACTTCCGGGTGGCGTGATCCATTCCAGTCAATACAAAAGACGCTGCATGAGGAAGTACTGTCCCCAAGCCCTCACTCCATCCATCATCTCATACTGTACTCCGAGTCTACATCTCTCCAATGTTCAAACTCGCGCCTGCTTTCGTCCTCGCCGCCCTCGCCGCAACCGGTGTGATGGCCGAACAACACACTGTGACTGTGGTCAACAAGTACGTCGATCGATCGCTTTGTCAGGCCCACCGTATCTGACTAAATGCGCAGCTGTGGATACGGCACTGTACGTTTTTGACGAACATCTGCGACTGGGACTCACCGACTGACTGGTTATCGTCCTATCATACCGATTTACAGCCCACCTTCACCAACGCCGGAAATGTCGTCACTACTGGAGGTACAGATCGCACTCTCCTTCCGATGTTTCCATATGCTGAGACCATCCACAGCGTCCTTCCTGTTCAGTCAAGCGACTGCCGTCTACCTCCAAAACGGTACGTCACCCGCGCTGCCTCGCGCACTCACTCACGTGTGTTGAAACCCCACGCCACGACAGGCAGCTGCGGGCCGAACGGCGAGCGCTGCACGGCGGTCCATCTCGCGCAGGCCTCCACCTTGGGCTTGAGCTACCGGATTTCTGTCACTCCCCCGTAAGCGCACTAGCTGTTGATTTCCCCCCCGTAACCTCACTTGGAATGGAAATCCAGCAACGCGTACACGGTCCCCGTTAGCGTCCAGTAAGCCGCGTTCCTTGAGTGAACAGCCCAAAATCTTAAGTCTCATGCAGCTTCTATAACGGCTGTGAGGGTCAAGGTGCTGAATGCAAGTAGATTCCCTCCGCTTGATGACTCGCCCGACTGATCCCGTACCGTTATCGCTAGGCAAGGATCCTTCCTGCCTCGGAAGCGCCTTACGCGGCGAGTGTTTCCTCAAGGACAGCGACCTGCAGGTGCGTGGACATGGCGGTGGAAATTCTGGGTCTGAACTGCAGCTTGATCCTTTGCACAGATCACATTCTGCCCTTCGGGACCTGTGGATGTGCCAGCGCCCGCTGCGGCTGCCTAAACACGTAGCCTACTTCACTGTACGAAACGCAATCGAATCAAAGACTTTGAAAATCCAGCACTTTCGTGAGGGACTTGCATCCCGTGGTAGAGTTTGAAATTAGCAAGGATATTTGGAACGGCTCCGAGAACCGCTGAATAGCGGAGATTTCACTAAATGCCTCCAGCTCACTTACGTCCTGAGATGTAACGATTGTGAGCGAGCAACTCCTACCCAACTGTTTTGGCAATGGAACAATCTGGGACATACCCAGACATCCAACCAGCAGTATCTCACGATTGACACTCCACCCGCAGTCTCGCAACGCATCAAATAAATACATCAGATACAATCATCCATATATGCAGATCGTCACAGTCCTCAGAGAACCAACGCCCCGCCCGCCAACGCAGCAATCAGCACGACCCACGTGCACAGCAGCAACTGCACACGCCACACGCCACTCCCCACCGCCGGCGCCGCCGCATTCGAGCTCTGGCTCGGCGACGCGACGGCGACGCTGCCACTCGGCGCACCGGTCGTCTGCGCGACGCTGAGGGCACTGGCACTCGCGCTGGCGTTAGCAGCGAGCGCGGGGTTTACGGTGTACGTGCGGATGTACGGGATCTCAAAGTATGCGTCGGCGTAGTTCGACCCGTTGCCGGCGATGTTCGACGAGAACTGCTCGGGGGTCGCGTTCAGCAGGCGGGCTAGCGGGGAGATACGGATGGGACACGTACGCAGGTGCCCTTGCAGTCTTGGCTGTATATCGTATCGATTCCCGCCCTGTAATTAACACGCTCCAGCCAATGTAGACGTGGAATGAACAGACACGCACCAGAGCCCGCAGAGTGTGATATCCACGATCAACTGCTGCGCTGCAAAGAAGTGCGAGATGTTGCAGCCGGCAGCCGGGTACGACGCCGACGGCGTGCCCCAGTCGGTTAAATTCATCGTCTGTTTCGGCGTGGCTTGGTCGATGGATGCCGGCGTCGCATTTCGCTTCCGGACTCAGTTAGCACATAGCCAGCAAACTCGACACAAACAGGCACGTACGGGCCAGAACCACATGAACACCCCGGCGGTATCGAATTGGAGCGCAAACACGCCGCCGTTGTTCGCGTTGAATCCCGGACCGTACGAATTGGGTTTCGTCTCGGCGACCGTGCACCCGGACGCCGAGGTGTCGTTGCAGTTTTTAATCAGGGACTGGAGCTCGGATAAGCTACATACAACTGCGGCGGCACGGCATTCCGCACCTGGCCCAGCTGCGTCACATTCGCAGGCTGGACGCATCCCTCGAAAGAATGGAGCGCCATTTGATTGGCCGTCATCTGCCCGAGATAAGCGTCATCTACGCGGTATCGAAATAACGCACGAGATTGATCGCCTCGACGAGATCGATCTCTCCCCCGTTCGGCCACACCTGGCCCGGTTGCAGCACGCCGTTGAGCCAGATACTCGGCCAGACGGAGCAGCCCCAGGGCATGTGCAGCGCGTCGATGACGAACAGGGTCCCGAGGTCGAACGCGGTTTTCGACGTCAGCCGGACCTAGATCAGTATTTACATAAGCCCTGCCTAATCGAAGGGAGTGTGCGGCGGGGAGACGCACGCTCTTGCGATACTGCACGGGCCCGACGTCCAACACCGTGCTCCGGTCATCGACTTTGATGATCGCGTTCCCCGCGGCGTTGCTGAACGCCAGCGACTCGGCGGTCGCATCCGCAGCCGTCACGTAGGTTACGTTGCCTGTAGATTGGATGATGCATGGATGAGTCCCCGCCGCACGCCGCTGGAAAGCTACCAAACAAGACGCACCCCACGTCGTGTTGTCAATCGCGCCGTAGAAATCGAATCCGTTGAAGAAGGTCGTGCCGGAGTACTCGATGTACGGGTAGTACGTCGCGCGGGCCGGCGTGAGAAGGAGGGAGAGGAGAAGGCTGAGCGGCAGCATGGTCGTCGCGGTCGTCTGCGTCGTTAGTCGTGGGTAGGTCGTAAGTGCGTGCGATGAGGGAGTATAGGTTCGTTCTCGCGTCTGTGACCACCATTTTCCATCGTCAGCCATCTCCCGGTCCTCGGCCGCAGCAGGCTTCTCCGCCCGAGCACGCACCTTCGTGTCCTTCGTTTATCTGCAGCTGTAGTCCCGATGCTGGCCGGGGCCGATGACGAGAAGGATGGGTGCGGGTGCGGGTGCGGAGCAGGACGGGCCACGGCCGTGGTGTGCAGCAGAGCGTGGGCTGTGGGCTGCGATGACGAGTGTCGCGCCGGAAGCGGTAAACGAACCGCCATGGCAGGCACGTGGGTGCGCGTTTTTTCGGAGTGCCGGCCTGCCGGGGGTATCATGTGATGCAGCTGACAAATGATCTGATTCAGATAATCACTCGGCACGGGGCGGTATTTGTGTCCCTTGGCTCTCGCGTTGGCCTGCTCCTCGTCGCTCTAATCGCGCCACAAGCTTCACCTCCAAACCTTGAATGGTGCGCTTACGGTTGTCAGCCTGTCCAGCTTGCTCATTCACTCCACTCTCGCATGCCCGCAGGTCCTCATCGACACGACCAACTACGCATGTGAGCCCTGCATCCGCGGCCACCGCGCCTCGAGCTGCACGCACGAATCCCGGCCTCTCGTCGAAGTTGCGCCTAGGGGTCGCCCGCAGACGCAGTGCGGGCACTGCAAGGAACTGCGGCGGGTCAAGCAGGTGCATATAACGTGCACCTGCGGCGCTGGAGGCTGCGGTAGCAAGGGGAAAGGCAAAGGCAAAGGCAAGGCTGCAGGTGCGGTTTCTCTTCCTGGTTGTCTCTCGGATCTCCAAATGCTGAGAGGTCTATTACAGACCCGGATGCTAGGCCAGCATGCATGTGCAGCTTCTCGCTCGAGTGCACATGCTGGACACCCCGCGCCCGGCCGAAAGCCAAAGCCACGCCCAATCTCCGCTCCCCAGCCTCCTCCTCCCCCTCACCTACATTGACATCTTCCATTACCATATCCGGCCCCCCTGCGTCGCCGCCGTCAAGTGACACCTCGGACGAGCCGGACCCCGACCGGGAATGGTTCGCGGCTATCCTCCGTGGGGACGAAGAGCCGTACGCCGAGCTGCTTGAGCTTGCGGTGCGGGCGGCGGCGGCGCAGGGTGTGCCTGTGCCGGTCTAGAGGCCGGGCAGCCCAAGCGATCCCGACGAGACTGTATTCGGCTTTTATTTCATTGTCATACTTTGTAATGTTCAGTTAGGATATTCTTCGTGCTTCTGTAGGGATAAGCAGCTGGCCTCTCATTTTTCGTGGGGGGCTGAGAGTTATTCAGGGCGAAAAGCAAGAGACGACCCTATTCCAATGGCATTCTAAGTAGAACCGTGAGAGTGCGAACGAGCGAGGATCTTGCCTGAACCTTCGCGCAGATCAATTGCAGTTGCGGCCCAATTCTAACATAAGAAATCATCCTCTGTGCCACGCGCCTTCGCAGAAAGAATGAGATACTGGCAGGATAATCCAGGCTCTATTAGACGTTCCATCGCATCGGGACTCACGATCGGTTCTAGAAACAGAGCACTTGGACAGACCGAGCAAACATAATTCAGGCATCGCAGGCCTGGGCCGAAGTGGGCTACCCTGCACCGCCACACCCGGGGATCTCAGTCTGATGGCCGGATGTATAACTGTCAGCGCGCATCTCTGACAGGTCCGCTCCCTAGTTCCCATCTGTCTCTGGGTCCACAGCCAACGGAACGACACGGGGATGATCAAGATGACGGACGCATGAAACGTACATGGGCACCTCAGATGACGACGCCAGCCGAGTCCCACCTTCGTCTTCGCCTCCACCACCTTTTTTTTGTCAGCCTTTCTACTCGGACCTTGTGTCCCTCACCCCTTTAGCTTTTATCTTTATCTTTATCTCTTTCGTTCTTCTTCCTCTTCTTCTTCTTGTGATCCGAATGAGCGCACCGAGCTTTGAGCTGTTGTCAGTACCGGCGAATGGACGTAGTAGAGTCGGCTGAGCTGTGGACAGGTTCGCGCCGCTTTTGTTTGGAGTCGTCTTGAACGCGATGCTCTTCGGGGTGTTCTGTGTACTGGTGCGTCTTTGAAGCTTCCGACATCCGTTATACCGAGTTCGAGCTCATTGTAATTCGCAGGTGTATTCGTATTTTCATCTCCACAAAGCGTGCGTCGGCTGTGAGATCCCACGCTCCTGGTGTTCATGCGTACCCCAGCGAGCGCGGCTGGGTGCGATATCTTGTATACTATCTCGTGGTGATGGAGGTCATCAACACCATGTGCGATATTGGTCTCATCTACGAGCCTCTCATTTCCCTCCATGGTAGAACAACCTGCCCATTGATAAAAACGCTTATCTGATCCTATGCGATAGACAACCCACAAGTCACTGTCCGGTCACCGAAGCGTGGGTTGTCTCCACGGCCGTTCTTGTTCCTTTGCTCATCTATGTTCTGTAGTATTAGCAGCAGGTAACCCGATTGCATGCTTTCTGTGGATTCACGGGAACTGACGATCTCGATCGGCGATGCAGACCCGGTTGTTACGGCAAGTCCAGAGACATTCCCTCTCCCACGTATGCTGAGGGGCCGGCAGACGCTGATATCAACACCCACCCAACTATTCATGGCCTGGCGGATCAAGCTGATCACCAAATCTAAAGCCCTCGGGGCATGCGTCGCATTTCTCGCGTTTCTCTCGCTCAGTGCGTACACCGATTTCTCATCTCTCGACCATCTCGCACTCCCCACTGACTTGTATTGTTTGCAGCGGGGGGCGTCTCGTCATCGATCGGTGTTGCGCAGAGCCCGGATTTCAGTGACTTTCAACACCACCAGGTGCCGCTCACGCTGTGGCTCACCTCGACCGCATTTGCGGATCTGTTCATCACGACGTTCCTAGTCAACTTCCTGGTGAGCTTATTTTCCTCGTCTTACATGAGTTGTGTTCCAACGCGTCCCACAGTGGAAGCATCAAACTGGATTCCACACACGCACGGACTCGGTGGCTGACAAAATCATCTCGTTCACTGTCCAAACGGGACTCTTGACGTCCTTCGCGGCGATTGCAGATGTGACGCTCTTCCTCATTGTGCCGGTAACCTTCTTTCTCTCAGATCTGCAGCTGGAGATGGTAATAGAATGATCAGCACACCACCTTGATGTTCATTTGGGACTTTTCGTTGTCTAAGATGTATTCGATCTGTTTGCTTGCCGCGTGAGTCTGGTTGCTGTTCAACATGCCTAACCAAACAGAGTGACGATTCAAACAGACTCAACGCCCGGCACGAGTGGAATATTCTCCTCGACCGCCCACGACCGCAGGATCTACGAGACGACAAATCTGGGATCATCAAAATCCGCAAAGTGGTCGGTCCATCTGTGTTGATCCCGCCCAGAGCCCTGTCTCCTGATGCGCGTGCACACAGAACGACCTCGAAGGCCTGCAGCTGTACAAACCAGAGAACTTCTCTCAGTCCGCGCCGATACCGCGTCCTGGCGCAGCGTCGACGAAGAGCAGCGCCACCCTCGTCTCGAATTCGAGGTCCGCGAAGCAGCCTCACGCGGCGCGCGCCCACTCGCACAGTGCCCCGCCGCCGTCGTCATCATCTTCACGCTCTCGGTCGGGAGATCCGAACCCACGATCGCGCTCGGAAGCTGGAGGGAGGGGCGGTGATTCTCGGCGCGCTCGCGACGACCGACGGCTGCCGGCTCTGCCATCGGGCCGCTCGCGGACGGAGTCACCGCCGGATACGCGCTCTCGGGGGTCTCAGCCTAGGAGGATAGGGTAAAGGCGTGTGGATTTTCCGGTTAAGGACCTTTGTATGTACATTATGTATACCTGGAATTATGCGATTTTATGCGTGCGGGTGCACATGCCGCTGTCAGAGGACCATCCGGGGTGATGGTCGATCAGATCAATCAGATGATGTTCTGTGCTTGGGCGTTGTTTGGAATGCTTGCGGTTGACGGACTGAATGTTGATTTATGCCACTGTATTTCAAGTCAGACCGGCGACAATGTGCAGTGGTCTCCATGCCGAGCGGAGCACCCACTCAGCATGCTACTGGTCCCGATGGACTCGCTGGCATTTACTGATCACGTCTCTGCCAAGTGAATACCGTGCTGCCAATATCCTTTCCGCGTTCCTTCCTTCAACTTTATCTTGGACTTATTGTGTGGAGCGTCCCGCTTTTCTCTCGCGGTGGCCGGCCCCGGGGACTATGAATGAATTAAAGAAGATTATCAGACTGTGACCGGTTGGCCGAGGGTCCACTTGACTTCATTTCCGTGGAAATTGGAGCGGAATGTTCGATGCATTCTGTTCCTCGAGGAGATACACCACACACAACACACGCAAGGAGCTGACGTAGGCCGCAGCGCTGCCCTGAATCTGCTTGCTTCTTATTCGCGCATCACAGCTCTGCGCCGCAAATCCGATGGGCGATCCCCCTATGTCAAAACAGGCAAGCTCCTTTCCCACGTTCCCGTTCCGACCCCGCGCACTTAACTCGATGGGGCTCACGTCACAGTGACTACTGTGCATACGACTCTTTCGAAGCGCGCAGGAACGAGGCTCACCGCCCCACCCCACCCAGCATGCAATGCGGGCCATGATGCTACGAGTCGCCATCGCATTTGCGATGTCCGAGAACCCGATCTAGCATCTGTCCAATATCTCCATGAGCGACCCGGGAGATCGGATCCATATCACAGGAATTCTGATTTTGGCTGGTGGCTTTTTTGTGCGTGTGCACAGTTTTGGGGGCGGAGTGGATATCAGGCCTCGCGCTTTTCCTCATCCTCATCCTCGCTCCCTCCACCTCCTCCCCCCCTCCCCGGCCCGCCCGGCCGCTCGTTCATCCACCGCATCCTCACCGCGTCGCGCTCGGATCAAGAGGGATGGCACCGCCGCTCACGCTGCAGCCTGTGACGCTCGAGAACACGCTGGGGGCGGTCTTCCTCGGCCTCGTCGTCTCGTGCATGTGCGTCTCGTGGACCTCCTCTCCCTCCTTCGTCGCTCACGCGCACGCACACGCAGCCTGTTCGGCGTCAGCTCGCTGCAGATGTACTTCTACTACCACCACTACCCGCACGACACGCTCCTTCACAAATCCTCCGTGCGTCCCGTCCTTCCTCGTCGCTTGTCGTCCGCGTAGTTGACCATCGCGTAGATTGCGGCTCTGTGGTGAGTTGATAGGCGCGTATATGCGTGCTTAGGCGATCGCTGACGCCGGTGCTCCGTGCCGATAGGGTCCTCGACGCGCTGCACCTCAGCCTGACGGTCTACTCGACGTACTACTACGGTATACTCGGATTCGGGGACCCTTCTCGGCTGGCATCTATCATTTGGTTCGTCGGTCCTAGTGTGTCGCAGGTGCATAGCTGATTCGAACTCGCAGGCCAATCAAGGCATGTTTTCTCCCGCGACTCTTCCTAGACAGAAGAACTGAACTCGTATCTCCCCCCTGCAGTTGCACATCGCGATTAATGTGCGTTTTACCTCTGAACGCCGCCTTCGCGCGCGTGTGCTGATGTCATTCGATGCAGGTGGTCATCATTTTGTTGGTTCAGAGGTTCGTCTGTTTCTGCCTTCTCATTCGCGGGTTGCCTGACGCTGATTCGAATCCCACCCAGTTTGTATGCCTACCGGGTCTGGATTCGTGCGTTGCATCGTCTCCCTCCTTCTGAATGCATTCTCTGACGACGGAGGTCCCTAGTGGGTGGATACCATCACGGTATTCTCGGATACTTCGTCGTGGGTTCCGAGAGACTCTCCCTTCCTAGCCAGAAGCACTGATGGGCCATCGTCACGCAGGCTGCGGTTGTGCTCGGTGGCTTCGGGATCGGCATATGTGCGGGTCTGCTTCTTCGTGTCCTTGGACTCATTCCCGGCTGATCACAATTGCCGCGCCTAGTCACCGCATGCAAAGTCTACTCGATCTCTTCTTTCCGGCAGCTGCCGGACATTGCGTGGGCCATCGAGGCGTCGTTCGCTGCGTCCACCGCGATTGATATTGTCATCTCGTGTGCCATGTGCTACTATCTGAGGAAGAGCAAGGGCAAGGAGAGCCGCTTGAACAGTCGTATTTCGGTGTTGATGGTGAGGCTGCATTGGGTTTGTTTTGATGGCAGTTTCCTGATCCGTGTCAGCAATACACTCTGTCTGCGGGAGTCTTTACAAGGTGCGTCGTCCTGAGGTCTTCAAACAATTCATCCTGAGTTGGACTGTGAAGTGCTTGCTCTGTGGTCTGCCTCTTCACGGTCAGCGCCCCGTCCGTCTCGGTCGCGCAGCCAGCTGATCGAAGCCGCAGTTCATTCTCATGTCCGACAACTTCATCTTCCTCGCGCTCACATTTATCCTCACCCGGCGTAATTGCTCGCTTCTACCCCCGGCGCTCTTCTCTTTCTGATCTCTCTCTCTCGGCAGTCTACGTCACGTCGTTCATCGCGATGATGAACGCGCGGGAACGGTCGTCCAACGGCGGCGTCTCGACGTTCGAGTCCTCCAGCCCGCGCGAAGTCCAGGTTCTGACGCATCAGTGGCCCATGGGCGGCGGTGCTGGAATGATGTCGTTGGATGACCTGGAAGCGAACGTATGCTTGCGGCTTGTTTGAACATACCGCTGCTTACTCGATTTCGAACTCGCAGACTCAGCTCTCACCGGCCGACAGAAAGCGCAGCACCTTCCGCCCCCCATCGCAATACGGCTCGTCGCTGGCCTATCCGCCAGCGTTCACCCGAAACGCGGGTGATAAACACCACGGGTCGCTGGGTGAGGTATGGGACGGGAGCGGCGCCATCGGCAGCATGGCATCGAAGCACCACCACGCCCTCGGCAGCGAATCTTCTCCTCGGGCGCTCTAAACCACTCTCCTTCGTTTCTCTCAAAAGGTGTTCTCAACAATCGGTCTCCAATCTAATTCGCACAATTCGCATATCGTCTGTATTTCCTAGTAGTACATAGCCTTTCGGTGGAACCCAGCAGCGTGTAAGTACTGTCGCTGCTTCGCGGGGATGTATGCACAGCTCAGAACCAGCGCCGCTTCCCCGCCTTGAGCCGATCGCGTATCTCCTCGTCCGTCATATGGGCATAGAAATCGCTCGCGTGGATGCACACAAACTCGTCCCCTTCTCCGTCCCCAATTCCGTCTACGGCCGACCCACCGGTCCACCGAATCGCCAGCGCCGACGCGCGAGGGCACCCAATGTCCCTGACGACGCGTGTGTGGTCGGCGAACTCGGCCCACCACAGCGAGCGCAGGAAGCTGGGCCGCGAGACACGGATCGCACCGCCCGCCGAGAGCACGAACACCCCCGCCGCCGCCGCCGATGGCTGTGCGCCCGCGAACGCGAGCACGAGGTCGGCGAAGTGCGGTGCGGGGATCGGGCGGAGGAACGTGTCCTCGAGCACGAGCTGCTCCACGCGCCGCCCCACGGCGCGCAGCACCTCCGCGAGCCGGCGCACAGTCCCGTCGCGGGCGGTCGTCGACCGGATCGTCAGCGTGCGCAACGCGGTTTCGGGCGGCAGCGCGGCGCCGATGGGCGCGAGGAGCCAGATGTCGTGCACGGACAGCCGGACGTGCCTGGCGTCGAGGGAGTCCCGGGAGATGCCGTGCGACGTGAGGAAGGGGAGGAGCGCGAGGCGGCGGAGGCGGCGGGAGGTGTGGATCGGTGCGTGGAGGGTGTGCGTCGAGGCGGCACCGATGGGGATGGTGCGGGTGCGTGCGCGGTCGTAGTGAGCTTCCACGATCATGGCTAGGATCTCGTCGGGCAAGGCCGAGAGCGACGGCATCGAGGTAGGAATGGCGCGCGGGTGGTGGTGGAGATTGGAGAGGTGGCGGTGGGAAGCCAGCGTGCAGCTTCCCGCTGGCAGCTGATCGTCAGACTCTCCATGCTGGGCGGGCTGTGTCTGAGATTTCTATGACAGCAGTCGTTGGAGGTAAAGATAGATAGATGATCACCGTATGCAGACCTGTAGGAAGGAAGATGTGAGACAAGTCAGACGATGGTCTTGGGTGAGCAGATGCCGCAGAAGGAAGTGATGCCATCACGGCAATGATGCGAATGACGGTGTTCTCTCGACTGATGCATGCTTGCGAGACAGAACGAGTCGAAGGTACTTTTTTTTATCAAGGAATACTTTGTTGCCGTTAAAGCAATAATTATGAGCTGATAATATAACAAACAAACAAAAGACTGTCTCCTCTCACACACGCGACTGAAGCATACTAACAGAGCCCTCACTCCTCGAATAATTGTACAGCCCACTTGCACCACTGCAGAGCAGCGCCTGATCGTACTCGGTAATATCGACGCATCGCAAAGTCCGCAACGCCCCGATGACCTGTTGCAGGTCCCCCACGTTCCACTCGCCCGTCCAGTCCGGTGCGCTGGGCTCCGCGGACTGCGGTTCCGTGTCCCACTCGAAGGCGAGGGTGTCATCCGAGGGTCGAGAATACACAGCGAGTCTCAGCGTGGGATTTTGCACAGCGGTGGGGGGGAAGTCATGCAGGGCCGGTTCTCGGGGCAGCGTGCCCGCGTCGAGGAAGCCTTTTCGCGACGTATTAGGCGTCGACCACCGCGCGGATCCGCTCCGCGAGCGTTTGTGCAGTTTGTGCTGCAGTTTGCGTGGCGCCGCGGCGTCACCGAGCGCGCCGCCACCCAGTTCCTGGGGCACCGAGATGCTCGATCGCCGACGCGCATATCCCGCGCGCCCATCATCAGAGAAGCAAGACCCTGCCGGGCCGGGCGCACCCCCGAGTAGTATCCGCGCCGCCTTAGTACCGCCCCGCACATCAAGCACCGTCGCCGAGCGACCCAACGCCCGAGGGTCCGGCTCAGCCATACAAGGCTCGTCCACGCCGGTCGTCACGCGCTGATACCGCGTCGCCGTCGCCGTCGTTGGCCCGGCGGGCCTGGACTGCGGGAAGAAGAACTCGACGGGGCTGGCGTTGCTGATAGGCGAGTCCGTGCGTGTGAGCGCGGCAGCGCTCAGGCACCCGGGATCGTCGTCGTTGCGGAAAGCCGGACTCGTGGAGTCCAGCATGGGCGGTCTGTGGGATCTGCGGGCGGGGCGCGGGCTCGCGTGTTTGCTGCCGCGGGGCGGCCACACGAATCTGGCCAGAGTTTCTCGCGTCGGGGTGCGCTGCAGGCCGGGCGAGCGGGGGCTTGTGCTGATGTCTTCGTGCGAGCGATATCCCTCTTCCTGATCGCTCTTGCCTCTGTTGACGGCGGCGTCTGAACGAACTTTCCTAAGCGATATAGCGGATGACCGTTCGCCGACGGACGAGTGCACAGTCTGATCCTCCCGTTTCCTGCCTGGGTCCATTCAACCATCGCCCAGCTTCGATCGAACGCCACTCACTGAACAGACGAATCAGCGCCCCGGTCGGTGACCACGGTGGGGCACATCCATCCTCCCCCCTTCTGCCCGACTTTCTCCCGGATTTCCCACTCCTACTGCGAGATCCCGAAGCACCAACGCTGAACGAAGTGACGATGGAGAGAGTCCCAGACGTTTTCGGTTGGAGTGTACGCTCTCGCTGCTGCATGGTCGTTCTCACCGAGACGCTGGGGAGAGGTGGGGGCCCAAGTGAGAACGACACGAGAGTATCAGTCTTCCTTCATCTGCATCTTGCAGAACACCTTATGTATCAGATGGAAGAGACCAAAATACGGATCCATCACGTCCCAGGGGCCGCTGCTCAGGCTGTGGGGGTAGCGTGGAGAGTATCAGGCTTTGGGTGTGGGAGGTAAGCTTTGATTGAGTGCATCGGGTTCATTCACTATGGGTGGGCACTCCATATTGTCAAGCTTTCTCCGAGATCGAGGACTTGGAAGTATGAGTATAATGAATGATAAGAATCAAGGAGCATGGGGCTGTGCGAACTCAGCACACTGTGGGAAATGTTGCGGCGATGACCGATATCTTATTGATGGATAATGATAGATGTAGATATCCCAGTATGGGCGCTCATGGCATCCGGCTGCTCGACCCTCCTTTCACGTTTTTTTGTGGAGCTTTCCTCCGCAGAAATCACATTTTCTCTTTCTATTTCACGTTCTTCACACTCTCTTCATAACATGCCGTCACCACCCTCCACGTGGCGGTCATGAAAAACCAGGTACGGCAAGCATTAGGGGAGTCACCCTTCACTGTGTCAGTGTCAACGTCAATAAAATTTGATTCTAAACCCATCCCTTGTGTTTCTTATTCCTCCTCCTCCTTCTCCCTCAACATCCCCACCCTAGCACCCTCGTTCCATCCTAATGAAGTCCTTCGCTTCGCTCACACTCTTTTCACTCACAGCCGCCGCCACCTTCGCCAGCGCCGCGCTGACCCCGTCCCGCACGCAGTCCACCGCGCGCCACGCCGAGCAGCTGCAGGCTGCCGCGCGTGATGCCGCACGCGGCGACATGGCTGCGTACAACCGTGCCTTCGAGCCGGTGACGAACGCGAAGCGCATGGCGCGCGGTCTGCCCCCGCTCAAGCCCCGGCGTCGCGGTGCGTAATTTATCCTGCGTCGTGCGGTGGCGCCGCTGGATTGATTTTGACTGACCATGTGTATGTCTGTTTCAGGTGCCCACACTGCCCGCGACGCGGCGTCGTCGACACCCGCCCAGCTCGCGTGCGTGTTACAATCTTGCACACTGTCTTTACCCCGATGCCTCGGAGCTCATTCCGGCCCACAGCCAGCGCTGCAACATCGCGGTCACCTCCCTGACCACAGGCAACTCTCTCGGGTTCATGAACCGACAGACGGCGAACTACATCTTCTACGACTTTTTGTCCGCGACGCAAACCGCGGCGGACACGATGATCGTGAGCTTCGGCTACACACCGGGGCAGGTCAGCCGGGGACTCGACCTCCGCGTCGAGAACCCCGCCACGTCGTTCATGAACTACTTCGGCGCGATCGGTGCGTCGTCCGCTCCTCGTACCCCGTCTCAGATACTCACCACCCACTGCGAATAGCGTACCAGGGCCAGAGCGCGAGCATCGCTGCGGGCGCCCAGGTCGCGCCCGCGACGCAGTCGAGTGGCTTCGAGAGCGCCGTGTGGACGTACGACCCCGCCAGCGGCAACATCGGCGCGTTGTGGTACGACCCGGCCTCCGGCACGACGATCGACTATGACATCTACTACCTCGGCGGTACGTATAGATACTTGAAATTCGAGGAGGTGTGCTGATTCGATGTGTGTGTGCTTGCGCAGGCTCGTTCCTCACCGCGGCGTCCCCGCCTACGGGCTTCGGGACCAATGTCATGCCCGTGGTAAGCGGCTTGTTGTGCTCGTTCCGAATGTAATCCTGAATGATGCGCAGAAATTCACTTGTGTCATGCCACCAGCCATCCCGCCTGCTTGAGTCGCGCACTAGACAGCTCTCGCATACCATATCTCTCTCCGACATAGTCTATATTACGCGCACGCTAATATAACAACTACACGTGCCTTCACCCTCTTTTCACATGTCTATCACTGCCAGTCGCTGTGTTCGTCCAACAGCCAGTGCAACGAACTGTGTCTCGTAGTTCAGAACTATCGCAATCGCAACGTCTTCAGATCTAGTAAAGTTAGCTTGAGCGTCGTTACCCATGGCCGCACCCTCGCTCGAGAGCTGCTGCTGATCTGATAAAATTTAGAATGAAGGATTCATGTGAAAAAACACCGTTCAATTCCCCCGGAACCCGGCCCGACCATGAGTGGAACAGTGGCCTCAGACACGGGAGTTGTCAAGTCCGCATTGTCCTTTACTGAGACCAGATGCATAGCGCACGGTTGTCACCGCGCGCCAGTGCACCTAATCCGGCCCTCCAGCTCATGCTCGCGCGACTCCCGACCCAGAGGAGCACCACTCATGTGGATTTGGGACGCCGGTTTGCCAGACCGCGGCGCCGTGCGAGGCTTGGGCTTGCCAGGCCACAAGCTCGTGAGTCTAGACGACGGCTTGTCAGACCGACGTCGTAGAACGCCCCCAGAACCCGAAATCCTGACGCCGGGTTGCCAGTCCGCGCGTCAGGGAGTGAAAAACTGCTTATAAACGAACCCGAGAGACGATCATCGTCTCGGTCGCAGGTGAGATTGGATTTTTGAATGTGAAGAGGAATGCCAACTCACAGAGATGCTGTGTAGATCCTACCTCCACGATTCTTCATCGACCACTCGTTGCCCCGGTCGATTCGACCAATATTAGCTTTTTTTCACCAATCTGGTACACCACGAGCGAGGGCCTTGACGAGTACGATCATCGACAGGCTGGGATGGCAAATCAGGGGGCCTGCGGTGGAAATGGTAGCCAGGTTTACCGAAATAAGATCTAAATCCTGCAGACCCGCTCACTTACCCCACGTAGATCCATTTCAAAAGGCGCGGACACACGCAACCCAATCCTCCTACCTGTTAGTACATCTCAGTGACGAGGAGGGCTCCATCGACGTCACCGGACATACCGACCAACCACCCCCGCTCCCGCCTCATCACCCTCCGCCCGCGCTCCCCGCCTCCTCACTCCCTCCCGAACCTCACAGGTACTGGGGCACGGCTGACGCACAAGACTGCGCGTCGCGCCGTTTATCCGCCAGCCAAATCAGGTACCCTTTCACAGTCGGCAACGTCGGCCGCGCATGTGCAGCAACACTAACCATCTGCAGCTTCGGTGGGGTGGTGGGTGCCGTCGAGTCCACCGAGCTCTGCGTCGTGGCAGATGAGGCGGACGCGAGGAGCGAGGACGAGTCATCAGAGCACGACGAGTTGTCCGAGTCCGACGGCGCCTTGGGCGGGACGACCGGGACAGCAGCTGGAGCAGAGAAAGCCGCGACAGCGTCGACTACGAACACATCAATCTGCTGCACGTGCAGACGAAACTCGTGTAGTGTCGGGCGCAGCTCTGGGTCCCGCTCGAAACACACCCGGAACAACGCGGTGGCCGGGTCCGCGAGACGCAGCTTCGTGCGCAGGTAGCCGTCGGGGTCGCCGCTGAAGCGCGCGAAGTGCCGGTCGTCGCTGTGCGCCGCGCCCCAGGGCAGTTTGCCCGTGGCCAGCACCAGGAGGAGGATGCTGCACGCCCAGAGATCGTTCGATCGAGGCGAGTACGTGCCGCCAGCCAAGTCGGGGTCCAGAATCTCTGCATCGTCGGGCGGTGAGCATCCAACGAGGGCGGACGACGTGCACAGGGCAACGTACCGGGACTCATGTAGAAGTGCGTCCCGAACCCGAACTCGTTGGACACAACATCGGTGGTGGCCAGCCCAAAGTCGCAGATCCGGATGTTGCTGCCGTCCAGATCGCACAGGATGTTCTCCGGCTTGAGGTCGCGGTGAAACACGCCGCGGTCGTGGAGGTACTCGACCCCGTCTAGGATCTCAGACATCGCCCGCTTAGCCCGGCCCAGCTGCCCCCTAAACACCTTCCGCTCAATCATCGCCTCGAACAGATCGCACGCGGACAGCTCGACGACGGCGAAGACGTGCTGCGCGGTGCGGAAGGAGCGGAAGAACCCCGCGATGTGGCGCCCGCTGCGCACCGCGTGGTGCGTGCGAAGTTCGTTCACCACGATCGCCTCGGAGCGCGAGCCCGCGGGGCTCCTGCGCATGCACTTCACGGCGACGAGGCGGGGCGGGGACGTGCAGCAGTCGGGGCTGGCGGAATGGTCGATGGCCTTGTACACCATGCCGTGCGTGCCGGCGCCGAGCAGTTTAGTGAGCTCGAACCGGCCGTCGTCGATTTCGGTGTTAACGAGATTGGGAAGAGCGAGCAAAGACATTGGATGAAGGTGAAAAGAAATGAAGTGTAGTTGATGAAGCGGTACGAGCACAGCTGCGAAGGAAGAGGATGCAAGTGGAAAGTAAGAAGATTTGGTGCTTCAGGAGTCTTCATCGTATTCTTATATGCGCCGCCGCGGTGAGACAGAGTTCGCAATTTTCCGCCCTGGGGTTTCCTTTTTTGGAAGCACCATATAAGGCAGTCACCGGCTGACAGCATGTAATAGGCAACGAAATTCTTCGAAAATCAAAGTGTTGCCTTGCTTGACAAGGCTTCTCCACCCCAATAATTTGCATCAATATAGTGCCGGATTGATCCGATTCTTGCATACCGATTTTTTCCGATGTAATGACATTTGACACCTCTTTGTCTCCATGCGCCTCAATACTTGCAGGCCACACAGTGTCACCCGCCTCTTTTATTTGTCTCACACAGTTTTATCTCTAGGCTATTCATTCAGCTTCTCGGATGGTTTTGGTGTATCTTGGTCACTAAGATAAGACTGCTCCTATAAAACATGGTTTCTGAATTCATTTATGACTCTTCAACTTCCATATCTCTCATTGTCATTTGCTCCCACCACCTTTACGTTGTCTTATTCAACTCCTTGAGTTTCTTGTCCTTAGCAAGAAGGGCAGGATCATGATATTGCATGAACGTCCTGTTGTCAAAATCTTGCAATAAATGTATTGTCTCCCTCCCTGAGCTCCTGGATAACACCACGTACAGATTGAAGAGGCTGAGGCCGCCTGAAGGTGGTGTTGCAATATCTATAATGATGCACTTGATTTTCTGCCCTTGAGAGCAGTAGTACATGAATGCAGAGCCGGCATGTATATGGTATTAGTCAGTAGGTGGCCCGTGTTTGTCCTGCATGCAAGCATGTTGTAAATGGGCCTAAGTTGATGATGGCATACTGTAAAAGGGTGTACAGAAAACTGTTCTTAATAGAGTCAGTTGGCCATGCTCTTGGCAGAGCCCACTGATTCTTCCTTATTGATGTCAGAGGAACCCCTGCTTTTGTCCAATCATTGTAGGATCTTGCATGTGACCGTGCACATGCCATCTATCAAGCATCACATGCTTTGGTCCAGACTTCTCTGCCAAGCACATCCACATGACCCTACAGCCCGGACCCCCATTGTTCCAATGGTCTGGCTCCCATTGTTCTCCTTGATCTGGCCCCTCATTGTTCTCTGGCCCCATTATCTGGTGCTTCCCATTGTGCTTGGTCATCCATTGTTCTTGAGGCTATATATAGTGGGCCCTGACAAGGAGAGTCCCCAACTCGGTTTCTCTTCAGACTCTCCCTTGTCAGGTTTGCCAGTCTCCTGTATCAGTCAATCCCTTTATCTGACACTTTGGACTCTCGCTTGTCAGGACTCTGAGATTAGGCCTCAAGGTTGCCCTTACAATGGAGACCTTGCTGCAATTTTTCACTGACTCTCATGGGCCATTTTTGCAGGTCTCGGCAGGCCCTTGCTGCCTAACACCGCTTATATGTAGTAGCAAACTTGGTGGATTAATGCTGCTAGGGAACAGTATCAGCCTCGCAGTAAGTTTTTGCTGTCTGTTGCCCTTTCATCTTGTTCGGCGGTTTCCTGCTGCACTGTCACCTCAATAAACCATCTGCAATTTGTTGCTGCCCTCCTCTCGTTTCACCTTGTTCAGTGTACTCATGCTGCCCTGTCACCTTGATGCACAATACACCATCCATGACTTCTTGCTGCCCTCCTCCCCTTTTGACACATCAGCAGATTCCTGCTGTCCCTGCCCATTTGCACACTGTCTGCAAATTCTTGCTGCTCCCTCCCCTTCCAGCAGATTCTTGCTGCCCTATTCCTGTCATAGCCTCACTACAATTTCTTGTTGACCCTCTCCTTCTAACACCCTCACTGGATTCCCACTGTCCCTGCCTCTTTGAACACATTCCACAAATTCTTGCTGCCCTCATCACACTCTGGAGGATCTCTGCCTGGAGAGGCTCAAACTGGGCCTTGGGCATCCTTGGACATCCTACACATTGTGTCATTGTTTCCATGTCAGAGAGGCTCAAACTGGGCCTCAGGCATGCGGGCCTAGGTCGACAATGTACAATCTGTGGCTGTAAATGGAATCAGTCCGTTGCCTTGATGGCTCAGCCTGCTGCATTCTTTCTCTCGTTTGCTGTCCTCTTGCTGCTTCACACCACTATGTATCGCATGCACAGCCAGCAAATTGTTTCTGTGCAAGCCTGTAAGACCATTCAATAACCTCACCAAGACTTCAATGCCTGTTTTGATATAGTTGCCATCACCAAATCTTTGCTGCCCTCTCCCCCACTGGACACTGTCACCAAATTCTCGCTGCAATGAGGCTCTTTTTTGGCATTCTCAGCAAATAATTGCTACCTTGAGCAGCTTTCCACTATATCTGCTATTGTGTGCAAGCACAAGTCGTTATACCCACTCTCCATAGTCGCTCATTTGATAGCAGGGGGATAGGCTGGCAGGGTTGTGGGCTTGAATGACAAGTTTGAAGATGTATGTGGAATCACACATCACTATTCAAGGCTTCAGCAAGCATGCACTGTGTCATATTTTCAGTTGTCTCAGTGCAGTTTTGCTGTGTTCTTTGGTGGCCCTTTGTGCTGTAACTTGAATACTATCCAAACTGAAGAACTTTGTTAAATGCACTTATATGGCATCAAGCTAACAGAAATCCTGGTGCTCCAATCCTAACCCCTGGCCTGCCTCTCTGCCTTTGCCGCCTGACCCACCTCCATCTCCACCTTTGGCACCTGACCCACCTTCACCTTTGAAACCAACATTTGTGTTCTTGCCGCTCTTAAGACCAGGCTCTCTGTTCCAGCCATTGTGGCCAAATCTGCCATTTCCCATTCTGCCTCCGCCTTCAATGCCCTTCATATCCCAGCCCCTGCTTGTTGCTTGCAACACTGTCGCTGCAACCAAAGCCAGATAGGATCACAAATTTTCAAACATCTGTTTCAAGTCTTCAAACCCTGCTAGCCAATCAGCCAGTGTATCAATGGAGATATTGAGGCATTCAAGGTGCTGTAAGATGATTGTGGTGTCCAAACATCTGCTGTACTTAATGGAGCCATAGATCTTGGTTATATGAGGCAAGACATCATTGAGCATGAGGCTAGTCCATTGCTGGTGTTGAAGCTTGTTTGTATTAGCAACTATCATAGTATGTAGCATGACATTATATGTAGTATTCTTAGATTACTTTGGCTTGCTCCACAATGATCTCATCATTGCGCTCCACAATGATCTCATCATTGCATCATCTATTACTTATCTATGACATCACTGCTCCACTATGACATCATGATATCTGCTCTAGACTGGTATGTAAACCTAGTCTACATACTCCATATCCTCAGCTGTGTCTTCTACACTTGCTGAGGTATGCATACTATCATAGTTTGACCACTTTTTCATCTTACTATCAACAATCCAATCTTATCTCTGTTGATCAAATATCATCTGTCAAGATGGATGTTGTGATACACATCTATGACTGCATCACGTGTCATCTAGAATCATGTCAACTTGTTCCAAATAGACACAAACAACCCCCTGTATTATATATAAGGAGGGCTCTATTACCCTTTAATACAAGTCTCTTGACTACTCCCGCATAGTGCCCACTCTAAGCTCTCACTTACACAGGTGAGCTGCTGGACGCTCTCCCCAGTGCTCAACAATCTCGGCACAGGTTATCTCATTACGGATCACAGCATCCAATGGTCCAAGGGATTATCTTTATCAATTTGAGGCTGCGCAACATATGCTCTGGAAGGTTCTACTACAACCCATGACCAGCGCTCTATGCGGTACATAGCCTTATGACTGATTAGTTGTAGATATGACTCAGACTGGATTTGGGTATAAATACTGTAGCTACTTGGTTGTATTCTCTAGTCTTTGAATTCACTTCTCTTTTCGACATTATTTCTTGTTGATTGTCACAACTTCCCACTCTTCTGCTCCTCTGATCATCTTGGCTACGGGTCTCTTCTCTTGGCAATGGGGGGGTGGTTCATGATAGGGTGTCAACAGTGACTTGTTGAACACCAGGTGTCTTCAGTCCGTGTCTGGCAAATCCAGCTTCCATGCAGCTGCTCCAACCTTCTCCAATATCTTGTATGGTCCCAGTCTCTTGTTGCTCATCTTCTTTGATGGTCTGTCTATCTTGATATTGTCCCCTTCTACGTACACCCTCATCCCAACCTTCAACTCTGGAACTTCTTTTCTTTGTTTATCGTAGTATTTTTTCATTTTTTCATTTGCTTTTTCCAATGCTGCTTTTGCTTCGTCTTGTATTCCTTTGATTCTTTTTACAAACTTCTCCGCCAACTTGTTCCTTGATTCCATCCGCTGCTCCACTTCCTTCCATGGGTGATATCTGTGATTCGCATAGAGCGGTGATATTTTGGTAGACGTGTTCATTTTGTTATTATATGCAAACTCCACCATTCCCAGCCACTCCGACCAGTCCATTTAATGGTAATTGACGTAGATGTGGAGATAGTGCTTGATCTCCTGATTCATGTGCTCTGTCTGCCCATCCATTGATAGGCTGGCTACCAGACGCGCTCTGCACCAGCTCTGTAAGGGCATATTTTTGCGCTTTTACAGAGTTTACTCTCAAACCATTTGGTGTATTGTGTCGCGGTTGACAGTGTTGCGCTCAGTAGGACTTAAGGGTCTACTGCCCAGTCGACGACTGTGGATAGTGTCGACAATAGCAAGGCAGTCAGACCACTACTGTGGAATTGGTCTTATGAGTCCATACCAGGCTCAGGGCTATTAGTGACGAACGCTTGGACCGCGACAATTCCCCAAAAGGGATCTTTGTTGCGGCGACTTCTCAAAAGGGTCATTCTCTGCAGATGGGAACTTGGGCTGAAGGGCTTAGCAATGCGCGACGTTCTCAATATTACAACTACTACTGGACAGGACTTTGCATTACGAGATTGAACCAATCTTGTCGCGGCAACTCCCGGTTTTGGGTTAGACGTTTCCTCAGATCATGCCATGGCGATGATTTGTCACATGTCAGGATACACTCAATCACGGGATACTGTGGACGCGTCACGGTGACACTTCCAAGTGTCACAGTGAGTCGCACCCATAACCGGACACATCAAAAGCGACACAGGCTAGATCCGTGAACCGAACCATGTGAGGAACGTCTAGCATGCCTAGGGCCATACGGCTTCTTGGGGCACCCACATTGGACTCACCTGCCAAGACATACCCATTGGCAAATCCAGCACGTTGTATTTCAAAAGTATGACGCGGTGGGTTGACCCGCATCAAAAGTAACATATAGACTATAGGGCAGGGTCCTGATCAGTCAGTACCTGTCTGATTGTTCAACTTTCTCATTACCATTGCAAGCAACCGATCTTAGATAGCGTAGCTACTGTGCAGTTGTACAGGACCTTACTAAGCATCGTCGTAGACAGTATAAGTAGCGCATTGTTTCTTTGTATTGGGGAGCTTTCCCCCAGATTGTGAATCATTCTCATATCAGATTGTTTTGTGCAATTTGCGTGTCGCGTGATTCCACCCTAAGAAGTTCTGCCACCCCTGCCCGGTCGCGATGAGTTGCTCCCTGAGCACTTGTAGCTACTGTGATTTGAGTTTGAGTTTTGAGACATCAGAAAGTCGGATTCGCTGCATCTAGTTTAGTCGCGGCATTTAGTGTCGTCGCCTTTGGGCATTTGTTGAGATTGTTTCCACACCTCTAGCTTGGCAGTGCGTCGACTAGTTGTGCTCAGGTAGTTTTGGTCAGTTGGCAGTGTGTTGACTTGAGAACTTTGGTTCCACCCCTCTTGCTTGGCAGTGCGTCAACAAGTTGTGCTCAGGTTTTGGACATTGGGATATTGGCTGTTAGTTGGCAGTGCATTGACGCGGCATCTTGGTTCTACTAGTTGGCAGTGCGTCAACTCAGTACTTTGGCTGTATTGGTTGGCAGTGCGTTGACTCGATATTTGGGCTTTGCGTCGCCATCTGGATGCTGTTGCTACAAGGGATCTTAATACTCCGTATTAAGCTCTGATGTGTGATATTGGTGATTGTGGTTGGATTAGTGTCAGATTTGACTGTATAGAAGATATTGGTTGAGACACCATTGTTTGCTATATATAAATTCTTGTCGTTGACTTTGTCTTCCATGACTATTGGATCTGCGTCTATTGAGAGTTGTGATACTGGTGTTCTGTCCACCCCAAAGCCCTCATATCTTTCACACACTGAGAAGCTGATTACAAGGAGTGTGAACATGTTTATTTGGGTTTACTTCATAGTAGATTCACCTGTAAGCGCCTCCTCAGCATTTCACTGGTCTTGTACCTAGCTACCACTATTATTCACTTTGGATTCTCCCTTGCCAGGACTCTGACATTGGGCCTCGAGGTTGCCCTGACAACTCCATCTGAAGACATCTGATCTCATCCCACATATCCTTTTCCCGCTCTAAAGATTTCTTCTGGGCCTCGACAACAACCTTTTGCTCGGCAGAAAGGTCATCAAAGTTTGTGAGATGTCGAGCTTTCTCAGTGGTCTGTTTCATCTTCCATTCTCGATGTTGAAGCCCAAGTTTCTCACGGTTGTAGAGACCATTGTTTCACTTTGGAACAATAGCCTCCTGTTCAAGCTGCAACAACTTGGCAGCTTGAATTCTGTCACGTTCTTTGGTGCTATTTTGGGCAGTGAGATATACTTCTTTCTCAACAGAATAGATGCACTGATGATTCGATTGCTTGGAGAGGAGGTAAGTGGGTAGATGTCTCCTGGTTTTGCGTGGCATGCACAGATTCAATGTAGTTGGTATGGTCAGGAGTTGTATTCTAAATGTCAGTTGGCATCTTCAAGAGGAATTGATTTACAGCATGGAGAACAAGTGGATTGTGTTTCTTTTGCTCATACCAATCTAGTAACATATAATGAATACAAGCAATGCACATGAATGGAAAACACACTCTTCAGCTCAGGAATTGTCTGAGATGACATTTCCGCATGCCAACTGTTGACTTCTTCTTGAGTCTTGGCTGTCAGAATTGCCTTTACCCGCTCGATAGTGACGCTAGAGATTATATTCGGAAGCTCATTGATGTGCCTGAGATGAAATTCAGTACAAATAACACTTTTGTGAGGCATCAGTTGAACAGCATACCACTTAAAGTGCACTGTACACATCTTCATGCAGTAGGACAAAATCTCCTCTGGATTGGTGCACTCGATCCCACTAATTTCTGGCTTATTATATGACACCAGAAATTTTCCAAATCCTAACGCTTGTGCAATGTCGCCGTCTAAGACAACAACTTTGAGTTTGGCATTGGGATAGAAGGGTGAGAGTTTGAGAACTTCGCCCGTGCAGCTCTCAATTGCCTCCCACCATTCTGTGAAAAGCCAAGTGTATGAGGTGGTATCGACCCCGTCACCAATTGCACTTCCAAATAACAGCCCTGGTCCCATGTTTGAGCAGTAGAAGCAGACGGCAGGATTACTCACTCTGGCCATGGAACTCCAAATATCCGGCACTATCACATTCATTCAGCTTGCCCTCAATGTGCTTGTATGAATATTGAACATCACAGCACATAAATGGTGAATGTGTCAGGCTAGCATTGGATTCATGGTGACAGCAAGCCACAAATTTTTGCTGATCACCAAATAGATGTAGCAATCCACAGGTGGGAGAAGACAATCAACCATATTGAACCTATGGACTATGCCTAATTTGAGTAGCGCAATGAGTTAGCAAGCTTGGCATTTGGCATGAACATTTGGACTTGCCTTCCCATCCCTTCCCATGGGGATAATTTATTGCCCGTCGTTTAGCCATGGCATCTTGGATGAACCGTTTGTCTTGGATGCCAGACAACTCACCACTGGGATCTCTCACCATACAGTCAAGTAGATCTTGAGGAGTCAGTCCACCGGGCCCAGCCGCATCAATCACAGCATTGATTTTTTGATGGACAGCTGTCCGTGGTTTGGTGTGAGGATATATTGGATGGGAGTGTGGATTGCGGACATGAACAATTGCCTTGTGGGCAAGTTCAGGCAGCGGATTTACCGGAGTGAAAACAAGGATTTTGGCAGGGCAGTGATGTTGTACCATCCAGCCAATCTTGATCTGCCCGTCGATAATATGAGAATATCCTGGCAACAAATGTATTAGTAGATTCAAAACAAATCAAGAAAGGCTCCAGCACATACTGCAGTTCAGAAGCCCAAAGCGTGGATGAGATGTGAAGCAACACAAGTCATGGGTCACCGGAGAGTTGGGAAGGAGTCCATCATGACTCATTGCATATCGGAGAGATTCTTTGTCAATGTGGGGTGGAATATGGTGAATAATGTGGTCTTTCCGTTTGCTCCCATGATGCAACCATTTGCTACAACCCACAAAGTATTTATTGCTGCCAGGAACTGGCTAATTGAGACATCAGTTAGTATCAGATGTGGTCGCCAAAATTTAGACGCACTGATTTATACTCAACCACAACTGCCTTGCCTGTACAAGGGACTCCGCTTGGTTTTGCTTTGCATTTGGTTTCCTTCATAGCGCCAAAATCTATCCATGTCAAGCTACATAAGAAGGAGAATTAATTGATGAGATGAACACGCACCAAGCAATCACTGCCCATTCTGACTCTGCCTCATGCTCGTTTGCATCAAGGACAAGATGCCACAGGTCCACTATGCCAGTTGGGTCCACATTGTATCGTTCACAGCCCTCCAGAATGGTCTGATCATGAAACTCGCACTTGCGGGTCCCACCACAACCCCATTGCGCTCTACGGCATTTAATGCCTTTTGCTGATCCTGGGGTGAATGCCATCACTTAAATGTCTCCCAGTAAAGAGCCTGCCGATCCCTTTCCTCCCCATGAATCCTGGTCCTGGCAGAAATTTGAATTATGCATTTAGACAAGCCATGAAGCTTACCTCTCCGCGAATATATGTTTGCAGTGGTCGCATCTTGCTCTTTTTGTCGAGGAGCAGGTCAGTAGAGCTTGACATGTCTACCAACCAAGCGATAGAATGATCAGAGCGGGAGACAGTCCAGGTCTCTGGAACATGATCTATGTAACGGAGCTCATGTACATAGAATTGGCGGGTTATACAAATCATTCCGTCACGCTTTTTTGCTGTGGATGAGCCACGAGATTTACGTTTGTCCCTGGATTTTTTCTTTGCGGGAGTGGTGATCGAGTAGGGGAGATCACCACGTCTTCTTGTGACAGTGTGAGAGGAGTGATGGTGGCTGTCCACCGTCACTCCTTCTCTCGCTTCGTGCATCTCGAACGTCTGAGTTTCGCAAATAGCCTCAACATTCCATCTTCACTCGAATTCACTGAATCTTGCCTGAATCCGTTTGGATAGCACCCTGACCTCACTTGATCTCGCTCATACACGCAACCCCCATGACGCCGTTCACTCAGCTGCTAAGTCAGACTCCCCGTCCACGCATCAACGAGCTCTGTGCGCTTTGGGGCCTATCCGCATCCGGCAATCTGAACAACTGTCGGTCTCGCCTGAAGGCGTATATGGACGACAACATGGATCTCACCGAAGACAACACCTTTGCGGGCCTCTTCACACAACAACAGCGGAACGAATATGCAGCGAACCCCTATCCACCTGCATGGGAAGGCATTCAGCAGACTGATTGCGCTGACTCGCCCCCTACCGCCGATCAGGACGTTCGAGGCTCGTCCGCGATGCCCGGCAATGATCACGCCATCCGAGGCTCGCCCCCCCTGTCTGGCGACTACGATCGCGCTGGCGGACTGGGCCCCGTTGATTCGGCGGCAGGCCGCAAAGCTGGTACAGCACAGCATCAACTTCTTCAGTCCCTGCCCGTGGAAGCGCTGGACAGATTGCTGGATTCTTTTTTCAATGGTCGGATGAATGGTACGTCTAGCCTTTTTTCATAGTCCCATGTTCCCCCTTTGTTTCGCCTCTTGCACATGCCTGCTAGCAATCGGCACTTCTATTCTTACGCACGCTGCTGTGCTTTCACATGGATATGTATGCGCCCTCCCAGCGAAGTCCCGCATCTACCTACCACGCGTTCGAGCGTTCTGATCGACGCACTTCGTCCTCTCATGCCGCGCATCCGAGCGTTATGTCTTGCACTTCACTTTCATGCATCCGAGCATTCTGTGTTACACGCAATCATATCTGCCGCGCATTCAAGCATTACGTGTTACACACAATGTGGTCTGCCGCGTATCCGAGCGTTGAACAGACTCGTCGATGATGCTGTCCGTGCCACGCAGCGGGCTGTTATGTTTAGGGCTGCTTTTCTGCGCCCGGTTGTTATCCAAACCCGGTCACCTACTCGCGGGTGTACACACCCGCATGTGCGTGGCCGAGCGTTCTGCGCACTGCGTACGGATCTTAACCCATGATTTTGCACACCTCGCATTTGCATACGCCAGCCCATGTGGCCGATGCATACCATTTGATTGTTATGTTACATGGGCACACAAATCTAATCCTCTTTTAAGACACTGCAGTTCCGCCGACCACTGTAGTGGCACGCCACAATCCAGTTGCTGTTTCCGGAGTGCGACGTTGGCCTGATCGCATCCAGGGATCGGTTTCCACCGACGCAGGCATTCAGATCATCGAGCCCATCCTCAACCGGTTCTTGGGGACTGGGAACATCTGGGTGCATCATATCCCATTGCACCTACTCACCGATGCCTTCTGCCGCCAATACGGCGTTGGGGCAACCACAAAGGATTTCGACAACAATCGCACGCTTGATAAAGCATCAAACACGGTGCTGACGATCCCGAAAGACATCCCCTTTGAGCCCGAACTACGCTTATCCCTCACCAAATGGACTCAGGCATGGAAACGCTTGATGTACCTCATCGAGCGTTACATTCCCCAGGAGCTCAACCTATGGCAGCAGCACTACTTCAAAATTATGCACTATCACAACCGCGAGCGGGTGTGGCCAATGCTCCTTGCATATGACTCCCGCGTGAGACGCGCATCCATCGTCAAGGCTCTGGACCCCTCTGTATGGCAGACAAACATCTGGGAAGACGTGAAGATTGAATTCGACGCCGAGAGGTTGGATTTGGACGGAGTCAAGTCTTTCAGCGATTCGCTTGCCCAAGGACCGTCCTCGTCTCGCTTTCGGGAAGGAAAGTCCTTTTGAGAGGGCAGCGAACACTCCTTTCGCAACCAGGTCACCCGGCGCTTCGGAGTATATGAGAAGCGCGACAGCATGCATCAACCCGCATCCCGCTCAAAGGCCAGATGCTTTGCTTGTGGTAGCCAGGACCACTCTTCACGAAGCTGTTCTGCCGGATCTCTTATCAACGGCAAGCCCCTGGTCATCTGGTCGGACAAGCCCGGAGAGCCGCGGAAGGACCGACGCGGCAACCAATTCTGCTATGGCTTCAACGGCAAGATTGGGTGCACAATGGGCCGTAGCTGCAACTGACTCCACTACTGTAGCCTTTGCGGCGAAAAATCCGGTTCACATGGCGCTCAGGAATGCGCATCCGTGTGATTTCCTTCCAGTTGTGACCCCCCTCCTGCCGGACAGGTGGGACCGTGCGCTGATGGATGCCGGCGTACACGATACATTCCGTGATGTACCTATAGGTCTTCGGGATGGTTTTAATATGGGCATCACTTCCTCTATCTCCAGAACGTACACACCCAAAAATCACTATTCTGCTGTCGCACAAGCCAACACCGTTACAAAATACATTCGTAACAAGCTTTCTAACCGACATTACACCGGGCCATTCTCAGCAACTCGACTGGAAGCCCTCATTGGTCCTTTCAGATCATCCCCTCTGGGCACCGTGCCCAAGTCTGGCGCACCAGGGGAGTTTTGAATTGTGCAGGATTTCTCGTTTCCACGCAACGATCCCTCACGCATGTCCGTCAATTCGGAGATTAATATTGATGACTTCCCATGCAAATGGGGCTCGTTCTCGGATATTGTCATCCTCGTGATCGAAGCTCCCCCTGGAACCGAGGCGGCAACTCTGGATGTTGACGCCGACTATCGGCGTTGTCCCATTCACCCGACGCAGCAACCACACTTTGTTGTCAAGTGGAATGGGGTCTTCTACATCGATCATGTGTGTCCATTTGGATTCACGAGCTCCGGGGGCATTTTTGGCCGAGTTGCAGATGCGATGGCAGCAATTTACCGCGCAAAAGGGATTGGCCCACTCAAGAAGTGGGTTGATGATTTTGTTTTCTTTTGTTTTCCTTTGCATGGCAGCCCGTCACCAAACCCATATAGCCTCTCGGATATTTATGACGTGGCAAAGGACCTGGGTTGGCTGTGGAAGCAATCCAAGACACACGACTTCGCCTCGGAGTTCATATATTTGGGCTTCCATTGGAACATCACTGACAAATTGGTATCTATTCCAGACGGGAAGAAGTCAAAATACATCGCTAGACTGTTGTTGTGGACCCCCGATGCATCGTTCACTGTCAAGGAAGCCAAATCACTGCTCGGAACACTGGTCCATTGCTCTTTGGCACTGCCTGAAGGAAAGTCACGACTACCTGCAATATCGAAATTTGCGGCATCCTTCGCTCACACTCGATCACCCTTCTCACGCCGAAAGCCAAACGCGACGGTCTTGGATGACGTATCCTGGTGGTTGTCTCAGCTGCATAAACCGTTCTGCGGATCTCGGCTTATGAAACCGCCCTCATTGTCTGGTATACAATTCTTCGTGGATGCATCGACCTCTTGGGGCATTGGCGTAGTTTTCGATGGCATCTGGCAGCGCTGGAGGCTGACACACTCCGCCTTACGAAATGGTCACGATATTGGATGGGCCGAAATGATAGTGATTGAGCTGGGCCTCCGTCTCGCAATACATCAGAATCACTCCGATGTGCACTTCAACGTTCATTTGGATAACGCAGGGGTTCTTGGCGCCTTGTCAAGCGGAAAATCTCGGAGTATGGAACAGAACCGGGTGCTGCGCAGAATCGTAGCTTTATTACGGACGTCCTCGATTTGGATCTCGTGCACGTATGTCCCCTCCGCGGTGAACTTGGCGGATTGCCCTTCACGAGGACTAGACATCCCCGGTTACCGGCAATGTGGATCGAATTTTAAATTACCTTACTGTCTGTTGGGACTTGTATCAGCCCCTGTGTGACTTAGCAGTATTCACTCTTGCTTCTTTCTGCACTGGGAGGACGATGCCAATGCACGAGACTGGAAACAATGGCAACAATGGCAGCGACACAAGGCCAAGGATCTTCCAGCAGTTTTACAGTCACAGCCCCTTGCCAGCAAACGCAGCTTCCCTGGGCCTATCTCAGCGCACAATGGAGATGATATCGACCACATTGCAATCTGGATGGGCCAGAAATACTCTCAGCAATATGGGTGGGATAGTGGACTCCTTCCTGCGCTACTGTGACAGCAAAGGCGTACCGACTCAATTCAGGCTGCCAGCAGACGAGATGATACTCTGCGCTTATGTTGCGTCAAATGCCGGAAAATTGGCCGGAACAACAATCAGAAATCACATCTCTGCGCTGAAAGTGTGGCACGTTGCGCAGGGAGCCGATTGGAACGGAAAGGCACGGCTGCATTACGTTCTGGCTGGCGCAGAGCGGATGGAACCCAATTTGGCCAAGAAACCCCCGAGACCTCCGATCAATCGTGATATGTTATCCCGCCTGCATGAGGGCCTGGACTTCTCGGACCCACGCAATGTTGCAGTGTACGCTACCACATGTACTGTGTTCTGGGGCCAATGCCGTCTCAGCGAAATTTTACCGCTTTCGACGAGCTCAAAGGCATCAGCATTCACCCCTAAACGATTGCATTTCGTCCCAAGGTCCGGTGCCTCACGTACGAGCCATTTCAGAATACCCCAAACGAAAACGAGTATCCAAGGCGATACAATTCACCTGCCACGTCAGTCTGCGCCACTGGACCCTGTCACCGCAATAGAAATGCATTTTATTGCAAGTCGACTGGACTCCAACACCCTGCTCTTCAATTTCTCAAAAGGGGGAAAGGATGCGACACTGACAAAGTCTGCAATCCTCAAACGATGCAACGAAATATGGTCGGCAAACGGCTATCCGCGGACAACCGGTCACAGCTTCAGGATTGGCGGCACTACGGAATTGCTTTTAGCCGGAATCCACCCCGATGTTGTCCGCACAATGGGCCAATGGTTGTCTGACTCCTTCCTACGTTATTGGAGGTCCCTGGAAAATCTAATACCAAAACACGCCGAATTTTTATCTTAAATTTGCTTCCCTTCTTTGGGCGAGTCGATGACACACCATCAACTGGTCAACCATGTTGGGTTCATTTGCTGCCCCACCATCGACTCGGCGACCTGGGTTTCTGTAGTCCACCCATCCCCACACGTGAATACTACTGTTTGTCTTAACTATAAATATGTAAAGATTGTTTCACGGAGCACGCCAGGAACAAGACGGGAGTGGTGATCGAGTAGGGGAGATCACCACGTCTTCTTGTGACAGTGTGAGAGGAGTGATGGTGGCTGTCCACCGTCACTCCTTCTCTCGCTTCGAGCATCTCAAACGTCTGAGTTTCGCAAATAGCCTCAACATTCCATCTTCACTCGACCCACCCACCCACTCCTTCCTTCCTTCCTTCATTCCCTTCTACTAATGCTGACAACTTTTCCTTTCCTAGACTCACAGTAGTACAGCAGTGTCGATGTTGGGGGTTCATTTGCTGCCCCACCATCGACTCGGCGACCTGGGTTTCCGTAGTCCACCCATCCCCACACGTGAATACTACTGTTCGTCTTAACTATAAATATGTAAAGATTGTTTGCGGAGCACGCCAGGAACAAGATAGATAGATTGGTTTCCAGCTCTGAGAAAATTCTTTGAGAGCAAAAGAAATATGCAAAGCATATCACACAAACCTTGATCAACACCCAGTGCATTGGCCATCGAAGCAGCGCTTGTCGCAGTCATGAAAGATCCTGCCAGTGCATCATTGTAAGCTTTTCTCGTACCCAAATGAGTAGATACAAACGTTGAAAGTCCATTAATTGCATGGATAGCGTGCTCATAGGCCGAGAATTGTCAGAAACAGCGGGTAGATTAACTGTGATTGAATTAGAGTGGGGAATGATCAACATTTAAAGATCAGACCTTCAGAGTAGAAAGAGAAAAAATCCTCAATGTCAGAACCAGGTGGAAAGGCACCCAACAAGGAGCTTGAAGGGCGCGAGAAAGGTTCATTCTCTGTAATTCCCAGAGAACTTTTACTTCCGTTTGTGGACGCCAGAGAGTAAAGGGATGGAGTCCGTGCATGTCAGGGGAACCCCCGCTCCGGACCGCTCTGCCTTCGATCAGGCATGTGATCGCGCTCGCGTGACCTGTCAGCTGTCACGTGCTGCGGCCCGGACTGCCACGCCAAGCGCTTCTCTCTGACGGGCACATGGTCAGGTGTCCCATCGTTCCCACTGTCTCGGTTTCCTATTGTTCTGTCATGGCCATTGTACTTATTGTTCCCATTGTCCTTTGTTTGTCGCTGCGCAGTCTATTGTTCTTGTACCATATAAATAGTGGTGCCTGGCAAGGAGAATCCCCAACACGGTTTCTCTTTGGATTCTCCCTTGCCAGGTATGCCGGTCTTGTACCTAGCTACCACTATTAATCACCTTTGGATTCTCCCTTGCCAGGACTCTGACACCGGGCCTCGAGGTTGCCCTTACAGTGCATGGGAATTGTTGGGAGCAACACTCTGGAAATCTTGCAGGAACACAGCAAACAGACTAGGCATCACCCAATTGTGGACATTCTCGAGACTAAAGAATGTGTTCGAGATCAATTCGGGTGGAACAATCTGTGAGTAGGTCTCGGGTCAGCTCTCAAAAGTAAATGAGTCAAAATTATGTATATACACGGTCCCTATACTGCATCAACTGGCGCCGCGACGCATCAGATGGATCCATGACAGGAAGTGTCAAGTCATATTGAAGAAACATCTGATATCTGAGCAAAGTCATCCATGACTCGGGGTTATCAAGCAACAAATATGGATCATGGAGGGAACCGGCCACACACTCGGGAAATATCTGAGAGGGATCCGGGTCAGGACATTTCAAATGGTGGGGGCAGAGGGTGTACAAATCCCCTGTACTTGCACAGGGTTCTCAGTGAGAGACCGTTGATGATTGCGTTAAAATCGGACATTGACAGAAAATGTTGATGTTGAATGCAACGTCAACCGACTTGATTTTATGGCAAATTATTTTGAAATTCTTATCTATGCAAAGGTTATCAACGTACTCCTATGCGTCACCGCATAACCTGTGTCCGCATGTGAGCCCTGGACATCAATTCCCGATCAAGTTCTGGTGCCTCTGATTAGCGCCCGGCTCGATCATGATCTTGTATCTCTCTCGCAGTAGGACTCAGTAGGAGTGGTGAAAATGGGACTCGCTAAAGATCAGCACGTGCTTGTATGATGCCAGTAGGAGTGGATTTGAGCCTGAGTCCTACTCATTTTGTCACTTCTCACAATGATGGCACTTATAGTCATGTTCTTTACAGTACGTCTCATCGCTATCCCTAACAGTACTACTAATACAATTTTCACACCAGGACTGCTCTTCATTGTTGAGATGTGGGTGGTGGGTCCCACTGGGTCCCGTGTATGGGAGTTCCGCAGGACTTTCACTATGCCCATTTGAACCAAGTTCAGCACTTTTGATCTCCCCAAATTATGAACCAAACTTTGGTCCAGATTTGGGCATTTGGCCAAACTCAAACCCCAAACCTGAGTTTAATTTAGTTTAGTTTGATTTCAAACCAATTTCTGAACCAAACCTTGAGATCACTAGTTCTAGGACACCTCTTCCACAAAGACCACAATAGCAGAAACACAGCTAAATTGCTCAGGCAGTCTCTATTTATCTCAGAACAGTAATTGATCTATCCAGATGCATCCTATCCTGGTCACTGGTCCAATGCTCATTCACTTGTGTACTGCTCAAGCATGATTGAGAATTTCCCAGAAGACATCAAGCCATCCTTTCTCAGTGCAAATGATTCAGGCCGCTGGATCACATTACTCATGACAGGCCCAATGCTTTCTGCCCCAGGAGAGAACTGTAATGCACAAAGAAGTGCGAAGAGGATAGCCTTTTGTCTGTTCCAGATGCTTTGTCTCAGTGGCCCACTCACAGAGAAAAGCAAGGAACACACTCAATGAGACTGAAGCGGAAGCCAATGCAGTGGTGCGAACCAGCAAAGAATGTCATCTGGTTTGCCCAAACACCTGGGACCGAATTCACTGCTTCGGGCAGATTATCCCACCGGTCAGGTCTGTGAATCCCATGTCAAGAAGCTGGAATAGAAACCACATTGAACACTCACTTGAACTCGAGGGCATCTTCCCCCCAAGTTTCCTTGTCTGTGTTGATAGCAGCAATCGGGATAGTGACGACTTGGCCTTTGCGGATGCTATTTTTGTGGCAATGTTCAATCACATGGAGAGAGATGGGTAAATATGACTGACGGGAGAGTATCATGCGACACGCCTTGACGATCGACATATGGCTTGGCAAGAGGCAATACATCATCCTGGCTTGCCATTCTTTGAATGAAGACCACTGGGGCATACAATCTCATGGATTCTCTGATGAATTTCTCGAGGAACGGGAGTGAATTGAGTTCATCCATAGATGGATGGTCGGTCGGGAGCGAGAACAGCTCTTGACGGAGCTTTTCCTGAACGTCCGGGTGCTTTGACAGAGCGTGCACTGCCCAGGACAGCGCGGTGCTGGTGGTCTCATGTCCCGCAAAGAAGAACGTTGGAATTTCTGAACATGCACAAGATCAACATGATTAGAGGACAAGATGAGTGATGTGGCAGACTTACGGGATATCACTTCCTCGTCGCTCAGTTTCTGACTGGCAGGGATATCTCTTGACATGTTCGCCTTCACGAGAAGAGCCAGTAGATCCTTGCCCTTCCCGAAGTCCTTCTCGCCAGCGGCAGCGGCGGATTCGCGTTTCGATTTGTCCAACAGCTGCTTGCCGATTGCGCGCAGTTTGCTCTGAGTCGCGCGGATGATCTGCCAGCCCGGGAGCGGCTGATCGCGAGTGAGTCAACCAAAATGAGGCCACGCTAATGAGCCGGTCACGCACGACGTATTGCAGTATCGGAAAAACTGCCTGTGCGACCTGCACGGCTTGGTACACATTGGCGTTGGGGGAGTGAAATAACGCGCGAAAGACGGTGCTCAGCTCCGCCTCGTCTTTTCCGCGGGACTGCAGGGAATTGAATTGATATCCGAACCCTAGAGTTGTTGAGCAATTTTGGGATTGAGAATATGCTGGTGCTGCTTACCGGCTTGTCCAATGATATCCAGAGAGACCTGTCTGAGCCAACCGGAAAGATCTACGACCGCCTTTCCGCTCCCTTGTCTAACCTCCTCTACCAACAGGTCTCGCAGCTGGTGCGTGAATGCATGAGTGCAGCTCTGATAGAGATATCCGCCAGTGCACATACCATGTTTCCTTTCTCCATGAAGACCTCGTTCATGATTCTGATTTGTGCAACACCGAACGCGGGATTCTAAATAATTTCAGACTTTTAAGAGCGAAGAACGAAAAGGGATCTGGACTCACGAGAACTCGTCGCTACAAACACCAAAGATCGCAACTTGAATATAGAACAGTCAAAACAGCAGTGTACAAGACACTTGCCTGACGTTTGTGTGGATCGTGCTCGACGGACAAGATGCCCACTCCGAGGAGCTGAGTGGTTTGTGCCAACACTGTGGACGTTCTCTGATAGCTTCCCCCGCGGCTGAGAATATGAGCCACTGCTTTGACGTCTATGGTGTGTAGCTCGTTCTCCTGGGGTGATATCGCAGTCGAGCCATTCATCCTCCGACAAATATTGAAGGACTCACGCTGAAAAATCCTTTGGCCATGAATGTGGCACCGAACTCCTCCCGCCATTTATTGGTGATACTGGGAACATCCTGCGCCCAGACATCGGGACTAAGTGGCGGAGGGGCGAGCAAAAGCACGTACCGCGATCAATTTTGAGTGTCCGAGGATGGGATTCGCACAGGTCGGGCCGTCGATGAAGTGCAGAGAAGAGGTCCAGTTGCGATACAGGATCTTGAAAACCGAGAACAAGATCGGAGAGAGAAGAGAAAGCGCAATGGACACAAAGATGGAAGATATCATTGTGCGTCTGAGAGAGCACAACGGATGCACGAGCTATTTATTTGCTCCTCTCTTCGTCTTTCCCCCGTGTCATTGATATGGTCGGACCGTCGAGTCAGAAGAGATGACGAGGCCGCCCCGAAAGTAGTCATTCTGAATATTCCGTGAATTCGGTGAATGTGCCACGCGGGAAGCAGTGGAACACGAATTTTTATCTTCTGAGCAATCTTTTGATGCATATATTTGGTTCTTGAGCGTTCGAAGGGTCTGAGAGCGAAACTCCCGATGAATCTAAGCCGTCGCTAGAGAAGAAGCCAGCTGAAAACCGACATCATCGGGAGGTCGGAGTAGTAGACAGTAGAAAGAATTCGCAAGAGAGAAGTATGCGACGCTTGAGTTCTTTACGCCAGGCAGCCAGCTCCCATTTTCAAGACTTTTTCTCAAATGCATGGTGCAGTGACTCTCAATGACCTCGGATAGCTATACAGAAGGTTTAAATCGTCTCTCCGGCGCTAGAAGAATGGTCGGCATGACTTCCATTCTTGATCTGCTGCGCAGAGGAGCGCGCTACACTTCCTTCGGCATGTCTTTTGACTTGAATCATATATACGGTCACAGTCTATCGATTTTACTGTTTTCCGACTCCCTTCTCAAAGATTGCGTGGTCAAGAGCGAAATTGGGGAGGACATGATTTTCTCATCACCCGGTGAGAATTCCGAACCGGGGTAAGGCTGAAGAGAATTTGCTGCTGTATTACCCTCGAAGGATCGCTTGGCACCTGTTCAGTCACGGCGTCCGGCACCGTTCGGTGCTTGGTTCTCCGCACCCTTTACCCCTTTCGCGAACTCATGTTACCCGGGCTCTCTCACCGTCCGAAACAACGGCTTCAGTCAGACGCAAGACCTTCGCCTGTGCCAATGGCATGCCCACAAACAAGGTGCTGAGATCAGGCGTCTTCGGTAGCGACAGAATAGGCGCAAAGACAAAAAATGAATTTGAGTCAATGGTATTGACATAGGAACCAATGGTTGAATCTCTCGAGCTTCACTGGGGATTTTCTGCCATACTTACATCCACCCTCTTGCTCCCATTAAACGGGTTACATGAAATTTCCGCGGGACGCGCTGGGACGCGCTGAGGTCCCACATGCAAGATTCACACTCCCACGGGTCAAATCAGGGCTCCGCGGAGCGGGCCACATGAAAGTGCCACGGAGTGCCGTCGGAATGCGGCAGAACACTTCACATATCGGCTTGTTAAACTGGCTGGCCCGCCACGTCGGCATCTGAACTTGGCTGATCGGACTTAGCTTGCATGGCTTGGGCTTCGCTTCGCTTGTCCATTCCATTCATTATCGTTAATGCCATCTCTTTCCTCTGGATTATAACCTCTGTCGCGGTGCACTCCTCATTCTCGCACTTGATCCACTCGATGCTATCGTAACCGCTGCCCTGGTCACTTTCACCACCATGGTTCGATTGATGTGTTGGGGCCGACGCACCGCACCCCTCTGGACTACCGGACATGGACTGTAGTACGTAGATATAACCTAACGATCTTTACCACTCGAGCCTTCGTTTAGGGTTACACTGAAGCTTTGCTGGTCGGTGAGGCAGTCCTCTTGCGCTGCTGCGGCCTTCGCCGCTTCTCGCGCGGGGGATATTCATCAGGTGAGTCATCGGCGCATGAGCGCTTGCAACGGTCGGGGTCTCGAGAGCGAACAGCAGACGTCCTAGATGAACGTAGTCCCAAAGTACCGAGCCTCCGACCCTGCATACCAATTGCCCCGTGTGGAATGAAAGCTGGCCTGGATCGAGAGCGCGCGAACTACACCGATGTTAGATTTCATGCACTCTAACCCTCGATGCACCGCTTCGCTCGGCCGGAAATGTACTGCCTCCTTCGGAGGTCCCGGATCCGGGGGTCGTTGGAAACCCCGAAGCGAGAGAAATCGACAGATTGTGTAGCATGGGCTAGTGGTGCGGCGTCCGAGTCTTGGGAAGTTGTGAAATTGTGAGAGGTGAAAGATGGTGATGCATGTTTCGTAGAATCAGCGACGCGACAACACGCATGCGCCACATCGTGAAGAATTCAAACAGCAGACCGATAATGCCCTTGTGCTCCTGTTTGTTGAGCAAGACTTCTTTGAGAGGCTATCGTTCCAACTCATATTTAGGGGCTTCCATTTCCTAGCGCAGTCTGATGTTGACACTTCAGGAGCGGAAAGAGGCACGGAAGCTCGCGCTTTTTAGATCCAGCTATAATGTTATATATATCTGGGAAGCTGTCAGAAATCCAATCCTACACAAAAATTGAATTCTATTCGGCTATAAACAAGCCCAAGTGTTGGCTCGGTTAGCCGGCTTATTGTCCTGCGAGCCTGGAGGCATAAATTTCAGACCAAAGCCTTTCACCAGCCACAAACAAGCCATTTGGTGCAGGCACAAGAGGCCACAAGCCACTTTGGCAAGCCAGAAATGTCACTGTCCTCACGTGCCTAGTTGAGTCAGGTGATAAATGATCTTAAGTCAGGTGCGTGGCTGCACAGAATCTGCCAATCCAAAACCTGCCGCACATGCGTGATGTCGATGTGAGCTGATGACTCCTTGCTGATCTCGACTTCCCTCAACAAGATGGTTGATTCTGACGGTTCGCCGCTGAACACCACGTAGCGACAATCACCGCTCGAGGTGGGGAAGCACGTTGCCTGTACCCATGAGTTGAGATGTAGGGAAAGCGCCATCATGGATGCGGGCATGGATACAAAAAGACGGCCTCGGATTCCGCTCTCGCACTCAAACTGCTCTCGCTATGCGACTCGACCCGCCCTGTCTCCTCACTCTCTTCCATGTGCTTCCGATTCTGCTCGCGCTGCTCGCGGCAGGCGCACACGCGCAGACGATCTCGTAGGCGGGCCCACTAAGCATGCGCGGGCCGTACGTCGTCGACGCAACCGGCAACCGCTTCAAGCTGCGCGGGGGTAACTGGCACGGCGGGAGCGGAACGTATGGGGGTAGTGGGGACTGGAACGTCGATGCGAACCACCACGCTGGGGAGAATGCGTCCGCGCTGTTTCTCTCTACGCTTCGGTCGCGCGCTCATTCCATCGCAGCCGCACAATGCCCCTCGGACTACAATACGTGCCTATCTCGCAGATCATCGACTCGTTCGTGGAGCTCGGCATCAACACTATCCGGCTTCAGTTCTCGAATCATGGTCCACAACACGACCGTCGGGGATCCGAGCTGGGTCGCTGCGAATCCACAGTTTGCGGGGATGACTGCGCTGGAGGTTTACGATGCGGTTGTCGACGCGCTTACCGCGCGCGGTATCGCCGTGATCCTCAACTACCACACGAAGACCAGCATCTGGTGCTGCGGCGTCGACGGGAACGAGTGGTGGGACGAGAGCCAGTCGTTGGATGCCTGGGCCGCGGATTGGGTAATGATGGTGAAAAGGTATAAGGACAACAAGCGCGTCATAGGGGCCGATCTGTATAATGAGGTGGGGTGGGTGTGTAGCACCACGAAACAGGCCTTACATGTCCTCAGGTCCGGCGTGACATCCTGACCGAGCCTAACTGGGGTGGAAACAATAATGCCGACTGGTGGCAGGCGTCACAGCTGGTCGCAGATCGGATCCATCTCGTCAATCCCGACATCCTGATCATCGTCGAGGGCATCAACTGGGTTGAGCTCCCTGTCAATGGGCTCCCGCACAGCCGACCGACGCTGATCCCCATCGCCCAACTCTCACATACGACGCTCGTTTCCCACACGGTGTGTCTGCGTCTGTGTCTTCTGTGCAGTGCTTGATTCGAGTGGTCCTCACCCCCAGCTCGTGTACTCTGCCCACTTTTAGTCATACACGGGCCCGAATCACAGCGGTGCCACAGGGATCGGCGAAACGACGGATCCACGCTACCGCGACTTGTCGCGCGGCGATCTCTTCGCGGTACTCAACTCGTCCGCCTCGTATGTCGGGCTGACGGCGGACATGCACTTCACCGTGCCGGTGTGGATCAGCGAGTTCGGCATGGAGGGCCGCGCAGACACGTTGCAATCGGAAATCGGACTTTGCGTTCTGGCAGAACTTCATCGACTACCTCGTGCAGACGGATGCGAACTACGCGTTCTGGCCGCTCGTGGGGTACCTCAACAACGGCCAGAGCAATGGGTGGGTGCTGATGAACTGGGACGTCAATGGGGTCCCCGCGGGGCTCTTTGATACCGCGTCCTCGGACTGGCGGGCCCCGGCGTGGACTGAGCTGATGAACGCGTCGGGCGTGGAGGCCCGGTCTCGGTGGTGGGAGATTGGAACATGCTCGTGCTCGACCAGGGCGACTTCATCCAGTCGCTCTATGCGCGCATCCACCTCGGGGACTGGGACAACGGCGCGTCCAAGGCCAACTGCCCTGACGGCCAGCGCCTCATCGGGCTCTCGCACGAGTCTACGCGGGGGCTGTGCACGGACAACGCTCTGGGCAACCTCGAGGCCACGCCGCATGCGACCGAGGTCGTGTTCGACGAGCGGCACGTCACCACCGACTGGGCGAGCGGGTACACCAAGTACACCTGTCCGGCCAACTACTACGTCATCGGATGGGCGATCCGGGGTACCCAAGTCTCGACGGTGATGTGCACGCAGGCGAACATCGGCATCTCTGGCTCCGGGCGCACGGTGTGGATTGACAGGGGCGACAACCGTGCAGACACCCTTGGTGGTGATTTTGCGAGTGGGCAGTACAAGGGAAGCTGTGCCGCATCCGAGGTCGTGGCCGGCATGGCTTTCACGACGCGTGCGTTTAGTGATAACGGCCCTGCAGCCATCTACTGTGTCTGGTCTCCGTGTCTGTCGGCGGGGTCGATCGTGTGAAGTCGTCGTGAAATTACTTCGGTAGGCAAAACCTTTACACAGATGTATGGAGGCCGGGAACTATATGCTGATAAACGGAGGACGTATCACTGATACGCGATAGTTTGCCGACATAGGATCAATTTCATGATGCGCTCCATGTCATGATGCGCCTATCTGGACGGCTGAAAACGTTATACTAATAACCGATGTCTGAATCGTGGATGGCCGCTCGGCAGATATTGATCAGATGATTGACGCAATGATCAAGACCCCAGGTAGCCGACTATCGCAATATCGCAACATCGTAATATTCGAAAAGCGCAACATTCGAGATAGGATCAGCGGCCGGGTCGCCGGCGCGAGCAGGCTCGTCGCAAGTCCGGACTCCCAGGCGACATTCCAGGGCAGCGGTTCGTACGTCGTGTTCGACTGGGGAAGGAGGTGCGCGGCCTCCCTGATACAGCGCCGTCGAGGGTCAATTCACACACCCATACTGTAGCTTGGGGGGATCCTGTCGCTGACGATCAACAACGCGACGGCCCAGTCGCAGTTCTCACTGTCGTTCACCGAGTCCGCGGAGTTCATCAGCCCGCTCAAGTTGGACGACTCGTGCCAGCCCGCACGGCTGCAGAACTGGGACAGAATCCAGACGTTCCACGTGCCGCGAGCCACGGGGCTGCTGACGCAGACCGTGGGACAGCAGCGCGGCGGGTTCCGCTTCCTGACGATTGTGAGTGCGAGCGCGGACCCGCTGACGATCTCGAACATCTCGCTGGCGATCACGTTCATGCCCCACTGGGATGATCTCAGGGCGTACCCGGGCTACTTCTTTGCACCTGACCCCGGGTTCCACGACATCGACTTCCTCACGAAGATCTGGTACGCCGGTGCGTCATCGCCTGTTTGCTGGCTGATGTGGCAGAGCGTGGCGTGGGTGGGGGCTGACCGCTAGCAGGCACTATAGGGTGCAGACCAACACAATCCCTCCCCACACGGCGCGACAGGAGCCGTGCCCAGCAGGAGGTTCGTGTCGGCGTGGATCTGAATTTTGGACTCAAACTGTGCGATCACATTTGTAGGTGGCTGGTCCAACGATGCCTTGGGAGGAGCTGCCACTGGGCCTATCCTCGTCGATGGTGCAAAACGCGACAGGTGAGGAATGGTCGGTCGCGATCTGTGTGTGCAATCCCTGCTGATGACATTGGTACTGTCAGGAACATCTGGCCAGGTAACCCCTCATGCTCATGGACGCGATCTAACCCTCGGACTCATGCGACGGATCAGGCGACTGCGGCATCTCCACACACACGGAGCTCGTCGCGCTGAGCGACATGGAGCCGACCAAGAACTCGTTGATGGTGATGTTCCGCACGCAAAACCTGACGACTGGCGCGCTGCAGTACTCCGGGCCGCCGCTGAACAACCAGGGAAGCGACACGTACATCTCGTGGTCGCTCATTGGGACGCACAACTACTTCCTGTACACGGGCGACCTCGATTTCATCAAGTCTGTCTGGGCGAACTACACCAAGGCGGTTGGCTTCCTTGAGGGCCAGGTGGACTTGACCGGCCTGATGAACGTCTCGTCTGCGCTCTCGAACGACTGGGGCAGGGCCAGCGGCGCCGGACACAACTCTGCGGCAAACGCGTTGCTTTATCGCGTGAGGATTGATTTCTGTCTCTCGCATCATGTATCCGCGCTCATCAAGCTCGTAGACGCTCGTCACCACGGCGGACCTGGCGACGCATCTCGGCAATGTCTCCCTCCCCGCCACATACCTCGCCAACGCGACCAAGATCAAAACTGCGTTCAACAGCCTGCTGTGGGACGCCGCGGCGGGCCGGTTCCGCAGCAACGACCTGCCGAGGAGCATCCACCCGCAGGACGGCAACGCGCTCGCGGTCCTGTACAACCTCACGACATCGGACGCACAGAACAAGGCCGTGAGCGCCGGGCTGATGAAGTTCTGGACGCCCATCAGGCCGTGGCTTCGAGGTGCGTGTTGCGCTGGTGGTTTGTGGTTTGCGTGTCACCTGCGCGACAGATCCAAGCGCATTTTGTGGCCGGCAAGGGCGAGCGGGCAATTGATCTGATCGAGCGCGAGTGGGGGTACATGCTGGAAACCAACTTGAGTGTCAAGTCGCCGCTGCTAGAGGGCTTCTCGGCCAACGGATCGCTCGGGTGCGTGTCGTATCAATCAGCTGCGGCAAGCTGTTGGTCCTGATCTGTACGCATGGTTCTCGGATGAGGAAGACTCCCGCGAAAATGATTAGTGAATTACAGTAATTACATGCTCACTACGCTATCTCGAATATTACACTATCTTGAATGTTGCGCTTTTCGAATATTACGATGTTGCGATATTGCGATAGTCGGCTACCTGGGGTCTTGATCATTGCGTCAATCATCTGATCAATATCTGCCGAGCGGCCATCCACGATTCAGACATCGGTCATTAGTATAACGTTTTCAGCCGTCCAGATAGAGCGCATCATGACATGGAGCGCATCATGAAATTGATCCTATGTCGGCAAACTATCGCGTATCAGTGATACGTCCTCCGTTTATCAGCATATAGTTCCCGGCCTCCATACAGATGCCAGTGTTGTGTCGATTGGTACAACTCCGATAATCTCGCGCTTACGACGTGCAAGCTAAATTTTGCTTGACACTGATCGTTGCCACGCTTGCCTTGCCAGCGCCTGATTCCTGGTGCGCTTTGTTTGCGCGGCATCTTGTGCGGAATAATTAATCAGTATAAGGACCCCATTTCAGACATGAAATCCAAGTGTCTATAATTTCTTTAGCATAATACACAAAGGATTTGATTTTTTTCTCTAGATCACAAGCCTAAAATGGAAGAGATACAGTAAGCTGAGACCAACCAAAGAGTCAGAGAGTTTCAATCACCTGCACATATGTCAAGTAGTGAGATGAATGAAACTTGATCATTCTGGAGACTACTTCCAGTATATATCACATATGAATACTATCCAGAAAGTGGTAGAATGAGCAGGTGGGCAATAGCAAGCTGAGCGATCAAAAGTAATGGAACTGGCTTATGATTGATACAACCATCAACGGTGTTCATCAATGGACTGTCTTTGGGATTTTTTTTGAAAGTGAAGAATATGAAAAGCATGGGACAGGTTAAATATCATATTGTGTGCTATTCATCCATATTACAGTGCCAACAGTCACATCTTGTAGCCGAGCTGGCTGTGACTGTCATCCAAATTTGGAAAGCTTACTAAATTTTCACGAAAACATTTCTGTGGTTCCAGTGAAATGCTGAAGGCGCGCTCACAGGTGAATCTACTATGAAAGTAAACCCAAGTATAAACACGTTCACACTCCTTGTAATCAGCTTCTCAGTGTGTGAAAGATGCAAGGGCTTTGGGGTGGACAGAGCACCAGTATCACAACTCTCAATAGACGCAGATCCAATAGTCGTGGAAGACAAAGTCGACGACAAGAATTTATATATAGCGGACAGTGGTGTCTCAACCAATATCTTCTATATGAACACAACCAACACTAATCCAATCACAACCAACAATATGACAGGTCAGAGCTTAATACAAAGTATTAAGATCCCTTGTAGCGACAGCGTCCAGATGGCAATGCAAAGCCCAAATATCAAGTCGACGCACTGCCAACCGATACAACCAATATACTGAGTCGACGCACTGCCAACTAGTAAACCAAAATGCTGCGTTGACGCACTGCCAACTAACAGCCAATATCCAATGTCCAAAACCCGAGCACAACTAGTCGACGCACTGCCAAGCTAGAGGTGTGGAAACGATCTCAACAAAGCCCAAAGGCGACGACACTAAATGCCGCAACTAAACAAGATGCGGCAAATCCGACTTTCCGATATCTCAACTCAAACTCAAATCACAGTAGCTACAAGTGCTCAGGGAGCAACTCGTTGCGACCGGGCAGGGGTAGCAGAACTTCTTAGGGTGGAATCACGTGGCACGCAAATTGTACAAAACAATCTGAAATGAGAGTGATTCACAGTCCGGGGGAAAGCTTTTTAATACAAAGAAACATTGTGCTACTTATACTGTCTACGACGATGCTTAGTAAAGTCCTGTACAACTGCATAGTAGCTACGCTATCTAAGATCGGTTGCCTTTTAGGGTAATTGAAAAGTTGAACGATCGGACAGGTCCTGAGTGATCAGGACCCCGCCCCATAGTCCATATGATACTTTTGATGTGGGTCAACCCACCGCATCATACTTTTGGAATACGACGTGCTGGATTGGCCAACGGGTATGTCTTGGCAAGCGAGAACCAACGTGGGCGCCCCAAGAAGCCGTATGGCCCTAGGCACGCCAGTCGTTCCTCACATGGTTTGGTTCACAGATCTAGCCCGTGTCAATTTTAGTGTGTTTGGGTATGGGCGCGACTTGCCGTGACACTTGGAAGTGTCACCGCGACGCGTCCACAATGTCCCGTGATCAAATGGATCCTGACATGTGACAAGTCGTTGCCGTGGCATGATCTGAGAAAACGTCTAACCCAAAGCCAGGAGTTGCCGCGACAAGATCGGTTCAATCTCGTAATGCCAAGTCCTGTCTAGTAGTAGTTGTTATGTTGAGCATGTCGCGCATTGCTAGGCCCTCCAGCCCGAGTTCCCATCTCCAGAGAATGACCCTTTTGAGAAGTCGCCACAACAAAGTATCCCTTTTTGGGGAATTGTCGCGGTCTGAGTATCTGTCACTAATAGCCCTGAGCCTGGTATAGACTCATAAGACCAATTCCACAGTAGTGGTCTGACTGCCTGGCCATTGTTGACACTATCCACAGTTGTCGACTGGGAAGCAGACCCTTGAGTCCTACTGAATGCAACACTGGCAACTGCAACACAATACACCAAATGGTTCAAGAGTAAACTCTGCAAAAGCGCAAAAATACGCCCTTATAGAGTTGGCAGAGAGAGCATCTGGTAGCCAGCCTATCAACACTCAAGGCACTTGATCAGAATGTTGTCCTGATCCCCTTTCTTGTACTTGCCCTGGTTGTTGGTGGTGGTGACCACATTGTACCCTGCATCTGCTGCCAACATTTTGAAGTCGGAGATATCATCCGCAAAGGAATGGTTGTTTTGGTGCAGAGCCATGAGTTGAGCAGCCGCAACCTGCTCCGTGTTGGAGTCCCCAAAAGCCCTTTGAAGCTCTGCTAAGAAGTCCTTGGTGGTGACTCCTGCCTTGAGCCCCTGGAATCTCTCAAAGTTGCGTTGCTTCCAGTTCATCACCCACCTCAAAGCGGCGTAGCTAGTGCCTGCCTCATTGCAAAGGTAGGAGAGAACAAAGAGGATTCTGGTGGAGTCCTCTGAGAATTCTGACTGATAAGCACCAATGTAGGTGGTGCACGAGTCCACAAAGCCAATACTTGGACTTGTCACCATCAAAGTAGGCAGGGTTGGTGGTGAGGGTGATGCGATGTCCCATCATGGTACGAGCGGGTGTGGTTGGTGGAGGTGTGGGTAGTTGTTTGGAGGGCAGTTCGCCGAGGTTGGGGATCTTGTCTTCAGGAGGGAGGAGGGCGAGGTAGGGATTGGAGGACCTGGGTTGGTTTTGATGCGCCAGATCGGGTGACGATAGTATGATGGGGGGAGGAGATGGACTCCCAGATCCTGAGGATGATAATGGGAATCGGTACAAAATGGTGGATTTGTGTGCTGTACAAGCACTTGAGGAGAGGTTCTTTTGCTAGCCAAAAGATCCCAGGCCTTCTCTTCATGTGCCCGATGATCCCATGGTGCGTTTTCCCAAAGGTCTCCACAGCACTCCTTGTAGCTACCATAAGGCTTGGCTCGGGCTCAACGTTACCTGTGGCCTGGTGCTGTTTGCTTGATATGAACCCTTCACTGTGATCACAGAGAGTGACTAGATGATTCTGTGAAAGTGTGAGTGAGATGACAAGGGTGAAGAGGATATAGTGGGTGTAGCAACAAGGGATGCAGTGATTAGAGGTATGAGGTAAGAGGGTATGAGGGGAGTCTTCAAATTATGTGACAATCAACCCAAAACAAAGTCGAAAAGAGAAGTGAATTTGAAGACTGGAGAATACAACTGAGTAGCTACAGTATTTATACCCAAATCCAGTCTGAGTCATATCTACAACTAATGAGTCATAAGGCTATGTACTGTATGGAGCACTGGTCATGGGTTGTAGTAGAACCTTCTGGAGCATATGTTGTGCAGCCTTGGATTGATAAAAATGATCCCCTGGAGCCCTAGCCCAGACCGTCAATGCCGTGATCCGTGATAAGATAACCTATGCCAAGAAAGAATAAGATTGTCAATGATAAGATGAAAAAGTGGCCAAACTATGGCATCTGGCCCGACATCACCCTAGCAGTGAACCAACACAATTCCTGTGCTCAATAGCCTTGGCCTGGAGCAATCTGAGCATGTTCAAGCGCTTCAACTTGTCTGCAAGGATACCAGCTTTGCCAACATGATCCTAGGCCTTGGAAACAACAATCCTGTTCTCAAACCATTTGTTATTGCTCAGATTACATCCGCTCACTCCAAATAATCATTCCCTTGCATCTCATACTCATAAGTAGTCTGTCTTTTTAATTCTCGTTATCCTAATCACCATTATCTCCTTCATTTACATACTGATTCCACATCTCTTCTACAACTCTATCCCTGAGTGCTGCAGCTTGATCTTGTTCTTCACTGCTTACATAGTAACCAAGATCCTCTTCAGGGAACTCGTGACGTTCATCCCCATCTATCTCCAAAAGTGTCCATGTCTCGTTACAGGGGCCACTAGATCCAGGACCATCATCTACATAGTCATTGGGATCATGAATACAAATGAAGTTGTGCAAAGCAGCAATTGCACATGGGATTTTTGCTTGTGTAGCCATAGAATATTCTGGTGTAACATTCATGAGACGGAAGCAGCGCTTGATTACATCAAAGATCTGTTCAATGACATTGCGAAGGCAAGCATGACAGAGATTAAAGAGCTCCTTGGCATTGCAAGGTCTGTGCAGAAGTCAACAGAGGAGAGACTGGCTTGCCTGAGTAATACAAACTGTAGATTTGAGGCTCTCCGCCATTCATTCAGATGATAACAAACACCACAATAAGGCACAAATAAGGTGTTGCAGACCAGGAAGCCTGCATCTCCAAGATAATAGAAGCCTGGAGGTATGGCAAATCCCTTTCTCCAGGCATCCCCAAAGACTTGACCATTGGCAGCACTTCCCTCCCACCCAGTGAGCAGGTAGCAGAATAGCTGATTGAATCGACAGGCTGCAAGCATATTTTGGGAAATGAGACCTTTCAGCTGCGGAATTGGGACATATCCTCAGCAGCAACAAATCCATGCAGAAGTGTTCCATCCACAGCTCCCAGGCAGTTGCAGAAGAATGGATAATACTGGGGATTGTTTTCTGGTGGAATGACTCCTGTACTGGGGAGTTTCACATAGTGCTTGTAGAAATCACTACTAACCAGCATATCCAAGATGTGGTGGAATGATCTGACAATCAGTGAGCAGTAAAATATAATGCCATGATGACATACTTTGAGATAGTCTCCTTGCTCCTTTGAAATCTATCTTGGTGCTCATGGTTCCCTATCTCAGTGACTGCAATTAGGAGGAAAATACAGACCTGTTCTTCCACAGATACATGTCTTGTTGCCCTGAGATCACAGTGCATTGTCAATGCATGTATGAGCTTCTTGAAGACAAATTTTGACATTCCCATGGCACGTTGAAAGTGTTGTGGATGTCCTGCAAGAAATGAGCACAGATCAAAGGATTGACACATTTTTTTTTACCTTCAAGTAGCTCCTTGATCCATCTTTGCCTGGTTTGAACTGAAGTATGCATTGCCTGCTTCTCAGGAGGGGCAGCAGCAATTGCACTGGCAGCAGCACCAAGGCAGACAATAAAGGCTGATTCATGTTGGATCCAGTCATGGTGCTCTACATGGAGGGCTTTCATGTGTGCTTGGGGGAGGTAGGGCATATATAAGGGCAACCTCGAGACCCGATCTCAGAGTTCTGGCAAGGGAGAATCCAAAGTGTCAATAGTGGTAGCTAGGTACAAGACCGGCATACCTGGCAAGGGAGAATCCAAAGAGAAACCGTGTTAGGGATTCTCCTTGCCAGGCGCCACTATTTATATGATACAAGAACAATAGAGCGCGCAGCGACAAACAAAGAACAATGGGAACAATAAGTACAATGGCCGTTGGAGAACAATAGGAAACCGAGACAGTGGGAACGATGGGACAGCTGACCATGTGCCCATCAGAGAGAAGCGCTTGGCGCGGCAGTCCGGGCCGCGGCGCGTGACAGCTGACAGGTCACGCGAGCGCAATCACATGCCTGATCGAAGGCAGAGCGGTCTGAAGCGGGGGTTCCCCTGACAGCATAGATGTACCATTTTCTGAGCTTATCAGATGGAAGGGAGGTGTTTTTGAGAGAGATCTGTTGTGCTAATGGCTGCTGATAGCATGTTTGATTGGAATGACATAATAGATCATAGAAGATTTCATGCGTATGATAAGAATAGGTCACATTTGTCACATGGGTACATGTGAATCACACAGCCACCCTACAGCTATTGAATTTTTTTGTTACTTGTACAAGTAGGCTACCTGCATCACAGGAAGTACCTGTGGTTCCCGAACTGGGCCTTAGTGTATTTACTTATAGAAATAATACTGGGATGATTTTAATGGCAACCTTGAGACCCAATCTCAGAATTCTGCCAAGGGAGAATCCAAAGTGAATAATAGTGGTAGCTAGGTGCAAGACTAGCATATCTAGCAAGGGAGAATCCAAAGAGAAACCATGTTGGGGATTCTCCTTGCCAGGCGTCACTATTTATATAGTACAGGAACAATAGACTGCACAGTGACAAACAAGAACAATAAGAACAATAAGTACAATGGCTGTGACAGAACGATAGGAACCAGAGACAATAGGAACAATGGCACACCTGCCATCAAAGAGAAGTGCTCAGTGCAGCGGTTCAGGCTGCTGCGCATGACAGCTGATAGGTCACACAAGCACAATCACATGCCAGATCCCAGGCTGATTGGTCTGAAGCAGGGGTTCCCCTGACAATGATATAGAGAGGCTTCCATCTTTTCTGGTAGAAAATCATGTGATTATGCACCCACTGTCTGCCACAATATGCAATCTATCAAGCAGTACCTCCAAAACCATGCCAAATGTTGCAAAAAGGTGCCCAAAAAGTCTTATGATAATGCACCCACTGACCACCATGGTGTGCAGGAGGGGCCGGTAGTATGGAGGCTCGGAAGGCCCTGCTCACAACCGAGACAGTTGACGTTGATAGGCGATGTAAGGACCCCATGTGCACGATGACATGCTCCTTTTACGTACATTTTCAAATGTTAATTCTAACGCACATCGGGTTTAAGCCCTGGATTTTTGTCCAACCCGTATGGTGCGGTCGACTTAGAGACCACTACTTGGGAAAAGACTGCCAAATCAGCCGGAGGAGATTTCTTTCTATGTATCCCGTTTTCTAGCCTGAAATGATGCTGAATGTGAGAATTGAGGATAAAGGCACATAACACGTCACTCATCTGCTAACAAAAGCACAAAGCGCTGCCGCTGCTTGTGCTCGGGCAAAGCGACATCCACAGGCTCGCCAACCAGCAACAATAATTGATCACACACTGTCTCAAGATCACGAACACAGGATGATCATTGATTTGGTGGACGGACACATATTGGAAGGGATTGGAGATGCAGCTGACACAACTCAAGGTTTGGAAGTTAGTTTGCAGGTACACAAATTGCATCATCACATCCCAGAGACCGTAGTTCAGGCTTCTGACTAGTATAATATTCATAGTTGACGGGCCTGCCGGTTTCGCCCTACCTGGAAATTTCTACTCTCTCAGGGATTTATTTTGGGCTTATCCCTCTAGCCATTCTCTTCCTCTCATGGAAAGGAAGCGACTGGAAAGAGGAAAATATTCATCGTTAAAACTAGTGTACTATTACAACCCAAACCTAACTGTCGGTCATCGGTCACCAGGACCCAAAATCCGGTTTTTTGATGTGCTTAAAATTCACCTTACCTCAAAACTAAATGAACCGCGCCATACCTGACCTCCAATCAGCAAATGATTTACAAATGATTTTACACAAACTACTCTAAATATAGTCCGGAATTGAACGAGTGTCTCGATTGGAGCACCGATCAACAAAAATTGATCTATTTGGGTAATTCGGGGTCAGACCAGACCGGACTGGGGCTAAATTTTGTAACCCTGTGAATTTTATATCGCCGAATGGAGCCGCAATTTTTGTCTAACACCCGACTCATTTGGGCTAATCTCTCCCTGCCAAAAATTGTCCAACAGGGGGCTAACATTTAGTGGGAATTTTACAGGTCCTATAATCACCCAACTGTAACTGAGAAGTCACTACACGCATCTTCAACAGGGCCTAGCTACTTATGTACGTACATAAAGTCTGGGGTCTTAGATCACTTGCCATCAATGTCAACTGTCTCGGTTGTGAGCAGGGCCTTCCGAGCCTCCATACGGTAGTGCCCCACCAATGCCCCTGCCAACCCCAGCCCTTTTGAAAATTTTCATGCAGTTGATCACATGATTTCCCCACCATCCTGACCATTTAGTGCATCATGTGATTGATTTTTTCCCCTACCCATCTGCCCGCTCTTATGGACAAGTCACACGGTATATGTGAGCACCCCCCTCCTGACCCCTGCACATCCCCCTGCCCCAAAATGGCCAGCTGCCCCCTGTACCCCAGGAGGTACCCCATGGGTCTATACCATATGATGGCAGTGGTTACTGAGGTGCTCAATCCTGTCAATGTTGAGCCTTCTGCTCAGGATCTCAAGACTCTGGAAGATTTCTGGTTCAGTCAAGAGAAAGCAGAACACATCCCAGCAAAGCCAGCCAAGCACAGAACAATCCCCACATCTGACCAATTCAATTATCACCGAGTATGTGTGACTTGATCATCCAGCACTCAAGTAGTTGATTGAGTCTAGCAGCAACATTGACGGAGAGCCAGGGGTTACTATGGTGGGGGACATCACTTCGTGACAAGTGATTCTATCAATCCTTGCTGTGCATATAGTGACCCTCAGTCAACATGAATTTTCTTCGAACCTTGTAAATAGATAGCTATTGAGATGTACTTTCAATCCCATGGATTAGATTTTCAAAATTATGACCTGAAAAATTTGGCCTCAGATTTGACCGTCCCAAAAAGGAAATTCCATGATCGCTGTGCTCGGCAGTGACTAAGGCCCTTCTGGGATCTTCCAAAACTCACTCCACTACCATGGCACTCCAAAAGAGAGGCACCTGCCATTCCCAAGACACTGCCAGACACTTCACATATTAACTCACCGCCCTCGAATTACCTATAAAAGGTCGAGTCTTGGGCGCAAATTTGGCCATTTAGCCGAGAATTTTTTCCCACGGTCTAAAACTTTGGATTTGGCCCACTCTTGGGTATTTCATGAAGATCTGGCTAGGTTTCGACCCGAAATTCCCAAAATTGCGATGTGACATCAAGTCATGTCCCCCACCATACCAATGACAACGAGAACACAGAGGAGGCAACAGGATGGAATATTAGCAGCTTTGTTTAAGCATAGGAGGTTTTTCACGTGGCTTGGACGTTTTTCACGCATTTTAAACATGTTTTTAACATAAATATCTAAAAAAAAAACGCGGTGCACTCGGCTAGTTTTTAACACAATTTCACCACGTGAAAAAGCGGTCCCTTCAGGCCGGCTTGTTCTTAACTGTGAAAAACCCGCTGATTTAGTTTCTCACCCAGCCCTACTCATATTCCACTCATGCAAATATATGGGGGCAAGTCAAAAACAACATGTCCGCATTCGGTCAAATTCCCATGAGAAAGTGGAGTAGGGAGGGAAGATGCGTAATCAAATGTAGACACAAACCCATGGCGCTCCATGCGATCAAACCCGCCCAATCCTTTGAAATCAGCTGTAAGGAGCAATTGATTCAGTGACAGTCGACAGAGAGTCCATACCCGCGGGTACGTACGGATGATGGTTGTACGGAGCCCCGCCCGGGTACAGGCGCACGGGTGACCCGTACCCGGGTCAAGGCCCGCGGGTGTCCGCGCGTGGGTGATCTGGGTGATCTGTGCCCGTGGCAGACCTTACTCATACGGGAACCACTCGTGGATATCTGAATCATCACCTCGTGAACCAAGACACGCGTAAAGACTGTGACACCTGCGCTCGCCCGTCCAAAGACCGGGAAACCTGCCTCTATTCCTCCATAATGCCGCGCCTCGTTCAGCGAAACGTGCCTCCCCCCATCCTCTCCATTCCGAGCGAGCTCACCGTCAATATCCTGTCACGGATCATGCGCGACCCGCACTGGGCGCACTCCGACTACCAATTGCAGACGTTCATGCTCACATGCAAGGCGTGGGCGGCGCTCGTACGTGATACACCTGCGATGTGGTGCACGATATTCTCCGCCTCCTCCCCCTCCCGCGCGTTCCTGCGGGCGCACATCGAGCGCTCGGCGCAGCTGCCTCTTCACGTGCGCATTGGGGACTTCGACAGCCCGTTCGATCTATCGCCCATCCTCAGCGTCGCGGAGCGCGTGCAGAGCCTGGAGCTAGAGGGCCCGAGTAGGGATATGAACGTCCTGGTGGAAGAGATATGTGCGCCGCAGAACCAGGGACGGTTTGGGGCACTGCGGATGTTGCGGCTGGAGTGTCGTGTGTATGAGGCACCACCCGATGTTTCGGCCCGTCCTGCACGGATTCCTGATGCATTCGTCGTCCGTCTGGGATGTCTGCGCTCACTCCGTTTGCGACGCATCTTTGTATGTCCAGTGGGCTTGTCGGAGCTACAAGAGCTGCATCTCGATCGTGCCTCGTACCCGGGATGGTCGTTTGCGTCTCTCTTGGACGTTTTGCGAGCTTGTCCTGATCTCACGTCCCTTTTGCTCTTCGCCACACTCGACAATCGGGCAACCGCCCGACTGTCTGCAGACCGCGAGTATGGGTCCGTACCACTATCGAAACTTGCCAAGCTTATGATTTCCGAAGCGTGCGACCAATGTGCTGCTCTTCTGACCTTACTCCGGATCCCACTGAAGACCCGCTTACAACTGCACCCAGTACTATTGAGAACTGCTTCACAAGCCGAAGCGGTTCTCGAGCCCATACGCGACCACATCATCACAACCGTCAATGAGCAGCGCCCGGAGATGTTAATGATCACTACCCTGAACCAGTCCCGCTTCCAGAAGTGTTCCTTCTCGCTCGTATCTCCAAGATTTTCCCTGACAAGCGGGAGGGAGTCGAGTCCTGACTCTCCTGTGTTTGCGATAGATGGATACGGAGAGTCTGCAGGCCAGATGCACGAGGTGTCTCAAGCGGTACTCAATGCCATTCCCCTACTCACCGTCTCTGAGCTCGAGGCACGGGCAGCTGATCTACCTTCCATGGCCTGGGACTCCATCGTCTCTGCCCTCCCGGCCTTGGAGATCGTCAGACTCGCAGCAGATCATACCGGCGCTGGCGTGTGCGCAGCATTGCGGAGCTGTCTTCCTCAAACTTTGGGCGTCAGGGAGATCCAAGTGTGCGTCCCGCTCGACCTGGAGCCTTACGTCTTGCGGCGCCCCTGGGACGGCCCGGCGAGTTGGGTCCAAGCCTTGACGCGCCTCCTTGTAGCGTACCGAGACCATGGGCGTTGGCTGGCTCGCCTGAAGCTTGATGCAGTCACTCTGAATGGCTTGGCGGAGAGCGAACAGGGCGAGTTGAAGGAGCTCGTGGGTGAGTTGGGGGAGCTGGTGCTCGTCGATGAGACTTGATGCCCGTCAGGTGGCCTGTCTTGGCCCGAATAATACATTATCGTTGTATGTACCGTCTTGATACTTGGTTGTGCCTGTCTTGAATCCCATGTGTACCGTTTATGAAGTAGAAGTCACAGTATCGTATACATTTTCAGCCCTTGCAGCGGCTCATAGTCATAGCTTCGATTCTGCCTCAACGCGCGCGCAAGTCCCGCAGGCGACTCACCACATCACCCATCCCACCCATAGAATCGTCACCCGACAACGGTGCGCCGCCTCCAGATACATTCCACTCCCCGCTCCACCCCGCTTCCCGCCGGTACGTTCCCGAGAGCGGGCTAAGCCCTTCACGCGGACCCTTCCCAGCAGCACCCGCGTGCGACACAGCGTCCGAATCCAAGTCGTCCGAATCCAAGTCTGAGTCCGAATCCGAGTCCGTAGTCATGGTGGGATCCGCAGGTGTGCGTAGAATGGCGAGTGGCAAGATGGGTCGCCGAGCCGGGATCGAGGGAGGGCTCGGTGCTGGTGCAGGACGCTCGTGGGCGTCCGGGTCTGGCGTCCGGACGCGAGGCGCTGTAGCTACGCGATGCGACGAAGGAGAACTGCTGACGGAGAGCGGGCGAAGCGACGAGTTGGTGGACGAGCTCGACAAGGTGCCCCATCCCTGCTGCACTGCGGCGACTGCAGCAGCATACGGCGGCCCTCTCGGCACGGACGCGCCTGCGGCCTGCCTGGCCAGAACGTAGTGCGGCGCCTTCCTCGGCGCCGCCGACGCAGATGCATATCGGTGCCCAACATCAGAGACACCCTGTGAGCTTCGAGTTCCCGGAACAACCCACTCAGCGGGCGGCGTCGACGGCCCGCGCATCTGGTGACCCTCCTCATGCGACATCCCGGCGGTGAGTGATCCCTTCCCAGAGCTGCCAGAGACTGATTCCGTCGCATGGTGCCGGCGCGGGACGTCCAGCCCCCGCACGGTGCTGACGTTGTGCACGGGATCCAACGCCCCGAGCATAGACGACACGATAGCTGCCGATGGAGCCTGGTGGCGGGGCCCCTCTCGGTGCGTGGCGCGGGAGCCAGGGCGCTGGGACGGAGTGTCCTCCACGCGCAGCTTCTTGTCGTGGCTTTTCAGGAAGCGATCGAGTCGACTCGCAGTGGGTGCCGCTGTGTCTTGCTTTCCTAGCATGGGCGACTCACTGATCCCCCGGGTATGGCCCCTGCTTCTACGGTTCCCTGTTCCGTGTGCTGCGCGTCCTGTGCCGCCGTCCGCCTCAGATCCCGTTATGGCCTTGGTGGTGGAGGACCACCGGGAGAACATGATAACCCCGTGCTGCCGTTGAGAGCGGTGGATTGAAGTGGGATGGGGTGAAGACGCGTGGGAGAACCGCTACGGGCGCCATGGAAGAACAATCGTTGGATGAAGGGATGATGATCAGGAGAGCACAAGCTATGTCTAAAACGGCGTGTGAAACCCCGCAAATTCCCGTGATGGATGATCGCATGATAATAGAGAAGGTTCGGTGCTTGTAGGACCTAGGTAGTCGCAGTCTTATCGGTATGTGTGTTTTCCTGACGCAGCCAGCTATATCGATCGATGTACTCATAATTAATATCTCCCGGCCTCGTCCTACCCTCATTCCCCAAACCAAAGTGCTATTTGTCTCTTCGTGAACGGATATCAAGAACCGCAGTCCGGGAGCAGATCTGGCATCGAAAGAGCGAGCTCAGTAATCAGACGGGAGGTTGCATTCTCTCACCCTGAGCTATATTCGTCCCACGCGGATATTTTCCGGCCAAATTTACTTTTACGATACCAGACCAACTCACAAGTTTGTAATTGTAGTCAGCTTATTCCCTATTCTTATACATTCTATCAAGATGTGCTGCGACATCTCTCCATCGCTGAACCTCCTCGCTGAGGTCTGGGTTAGGACCGTCGTGTCTTGTTGCCCACGGATCACGCAACCGGACGCCCGGGAGACAAAACTCGAAAAACTCCATCACTCCGTATTGGTCCCCATCCTCCAGGGGAGAAAGTCCCACATTGAGCTCTATGTGGCTCAATCTGGAAGGGCGGCTAGGGACCACTTCGGCCGTGTCGAAGGACAGGTCTAAGAACTTCAGATGCTGACACTGGTTTGCCAGCGAGGGGAGCGCAGACAGTTTGAGGCGTGGCGGGGTGCTGGCCGGAAGGAGCGAGGCGAGTGCAAGGCTGATCAGATTGGGCAGCGCTCGCCCCAGCGCCAGGAGATCTCTCCCGTCGATATCGAATCCCAGCGCGGATATATGCACGTGCGCGAGACCGGAGAGGGTATGCAGACACCGCAGGGCGGAAGCGGGGAACATGAACTCGGCCGACGAGCCGGGCAGCTCCTCGTAGGCTTGATATGGCACGATAAACTGCAGCGTGACGAGCGACGTCGCGTGCTTGCCGCGGTTGTGTGCGAATTCGGAGAAAAATCGTTCAAGCTCGGTGCCCGGCGATGGGGTAATAATCGAGACCATATACGTTTGGAGGGGTGAGTCTGCGCACAACGGGAGAGCGGTGCGCAGGGCGCTAAACGAGCTCATTCCTGCTGCGAACTTGGTCAATTGGGCGAGGGGCGCAATCTCGTTCTCCGATGCAGCCATGTCTTCCGGAATGTCACGCATATTGAAATCCTCCAGATTGGGAAGGTGAGAAAAGTGAATCAGCCCAGCGGCAGACGCCGCAGCCAAATTGAGACACGTGATATGGCGGAACCTGCGAATGATTGCACAAGCTTCAGTCGAGAGCGGAGTTCCAAAGATGCTGAGTGAATCCAATGAGGGGCTTCTGTCCGCAAGCGTATCCAGCAGAGCGACGTGATTTGGGTTCGGCGCACTGCAGGTCAAGACCAGTGTGACCAAATCGCGGCCAAAGAACACAGGGAGGTACTTCAAGTCCGACTCAGGATGATCGAGCCATACCAGCTCGCGGAGCCGAGGAAATAGAGCTCTGCTGCCCAGGGCGTCCTGCAGGAAAGGCAATATCTGGGAAAGTATTTCGTCGTTGCCCGAGCAATCCAACACCCGCACGCGACGTGCATAGTACGTAGCCCGGTCCCAGTCCGACTCGCGGATCGGCCGGCGGAAGTGCTACGGCAAACAAAGACGCACGTCATGAGACAAAACGCTGCCGCCCACAAAAGACCACTCACGACAAGCAGCAGACACTCATGCGGATCCATCGAGACGCTGGATATCTCGCACAGGTCTTTCGGCATGCAGCGCAGCAGATTCACGAGCGTGCTTTGCTGGCGCCAGAGCGCGTCCAGGGCCGGTTCCAGGAAGATCGCACGTGAGGTCCGCGCGAGGACTGAGAGAGCGAGCCTATCGGGGAAGCCCGACAAAAACATACGCAGATTCTCGCAGATCTGGCTTGCGATTTCGGGGAGGGCCAGACATCGATGCATGATGAGAGGCACAGAGCGTGGCACCCCACACTCGATGCGGAACAGTCGGGTCAATCCGGAACTGACAACTGAGCTCCGGGTTCGAATCCCGGCGAGTACTTAGCTTTACGGCGTGATGTTTCAAGTGGGTATATACATCGCGACGTACTTATTACAATGCCGAATACTAAAATCCTGGCGGACGATACTCTGTCTGCTGACTAGACCACTGCGGATCGTACCAAGATTGACTGTGGGTTTGATTTTGTCCCTGAGCCATATTCTCATGCGAGTAGTGCGCTCCATACTGCCCGTATCCGCCGTACTCTGTCGCACCAAGCCCAGGATATGCCTGGCCAGGAGTCTGTCCCCCCTCATACGCCGCAGAGTTGTCGTACATCGGGTACTGGTAGCCCGACGCCGCGCCTTCCGCGTAATAAGAGGCCGGATTTGGGTATTGTTCGGGCATGAAGTGCCCGAGGGAGCTCATGGGGATGTGAGCGGGATCTGGCACAACCGGGTTCCTGCTTCTAGGCGTCTGCGGTGTCCTGATTGGCGCCCACCGGAGCGGCTGCGCGGCTGGTACCCCCGGCGGGGATGCGTGTTGATAGACGAGGTGAGCCTCGGGCTCAGCCTCCGACAGAGGCTCCGCCGCATCAGGGTATATGCACGTGAGCTCGAGGCGGATGCAGCGCTGGCAGGGGTTCACTGGGGGCTGCTCCTTGACCATGCACTGGACGGTATCCGTCAGCCATGCAGCACCAGAGCTGATGCAGCCTGCAGGTTTCAACAAACCCCAGACAAGACACGGACCTTGGTTTTTCGTTTCCGACAATTGATGCATGCCGTCTCGTTTCGTCGTTTCGCGATGCGTTCCTGAAGCTGCTCCTGAGGCGTGGGTTGATAGCTCATTGAGTCTCTTCAGGCTTTTCAAGGAGTCCCGAATACAGACGCTGCTTTTATATACATGGATCGCCAAAGACCAGCCTTGAAGGAGCGAGATGTCGGAATCGCATTCTCTCGTCTACGAGACATGTAAGCAGGGGGCCTGCGATCCCAGTGAATCGAAACGATTGGCGCTGACGGCTGCGGCAGGCGTACAGCGCAATTGCGGTTGCTTCGAGCCGTGAGAGACATCATTATCACCATTAGCTCGCGTGGTATCTGCGTGGAAAGCTACCAACGGCGTTCGGTGACCGGATGGAACTCACCGCCTTTATCATCTCTTTTGAGAAGACCATTGGGTTCGAAGGCGCGGCATGTCTCAGGTGTCGTATCGTCATCAAAGATGGGAGAGAGTTGATTCAATCGTGGTCGGGGGATGATTCATGATCCTGACACCTTCCTATTAGCCAACTAGGGTGCGCTTACCAACGAAGCAACACAGCGCTGGGCGGCATTGTGCCCCACGAAATACATGACGCGCAAAGTTTTTGTCTAAGCATACAAATAGTCTAATCCGAGCGAGTCATCTTTGATCATCTCACCGCCGCGTGATGACGGCGTCTGCTGTTAGTAGTGCCAACAGATCTGATAGCCTTTACAGGCGGTGCGAAGTCCGAGCACACGCCTGGAGATCTCACACATACTCTCAACCCGGCATTCGGAAGTCCGGGTTTCCGAACTTGAAACGCGCCGATGGGCGCATTGCACCGCCGGACAGAGATGGTATGGTCACACGCGCTTCGGACTGAACACCGGTCGTGACGTGGCTCCGATATTGCTGTCTCTGACACCCTCTGGATTACGATCAGAAATACATTCAGAGATGACTGGGTTCGCTCAACTCATGGCTGATGAAGCAGGTTCTCGAGGTTTTGGTGAGCCCGGTAAATTTGGGGTGTTGCCATCCATCACGTTTCACCCAAGTTGACTATCGGCAAGGAGAAACACCTGTGTTTCGTGAGCACAAAGAGACTCGATCTTGCAGTGCTTAACTTCAATCTTATGAAAGAGAAAGTCCAAATGTTGACTGGAAAATTGTTATAAGTCCTGTATGTTACGGCAGAGATTTATTCCAGAACTTTCCATTAGTTGTAGGAGATTCTTCCAGTACATACGTTCCAACCAGAAGGTGATGCACTCTGAGATGACACCTCTGTTATCTTCTACATTTCTTCCACTTTACAGGATGAAGTCGCACCCTGCAGCATTGTGCTCGTTTGTCCTCAACCGGAGATGTCTCGGAGACGCTCGCCATCAGTCGACCGTGATGGCAACTGCCAAACCTGGCGGGTTCATCAAAACCGTGTGAACCCGGTTCATGAGCCAAGAATTGAGTTGTACGTACTCCAAGTTTTGTAATCCTCAACATGGATCAAGGGGCAGGAACTGTCATGTGGATAATGTACAGTCCCTTCGGCCTTCTCCTAAATCCCCCATGGCTTGTTTTGTGTATGGTTTGGTTCTCCTGTAACCCACAGTCTTGCCGCGAGTACGACCCTCAGTCTTGACATTCAGATACCTCGAAATTACCGAGTGTATCCATCTGGGCTTGATTATGTTCCTTTGTAAAAACAGCGTGTGAAAAACCCGTGCTGCTCAAGCCAAGCAAAATAACCCAAGAACAGCGCTGATCTCAATCGGGGTGCCAGTGCATCACTCCCATCAGATATCCTTCGTGTTTCGAAGACCTGCCGAGATCGAAAGAGTTTCGAAGCTCCGCGGGAACAGCCGGATACATTTAGTTGCGCTATGGGCTGGGAAACGCCGTGCCAGATCAGTGCCTGATGATCTGCTCAGGGCAGTCTGGGATGGCATGGGCCGTGTCCGTCGTGCCGCGCATCTTTCCCGGGACAGAGGTCGCCGAACTTTTGCACATTCGGGGCATGACGCATGGGAGGCCTCTTCGAGACCTGCGACACTGGAAATGCCGGGTAGAAGAAATGAGTTCGCCGTTTCGCAATCGATTTCGATAAGCTTGGGGGGGAATGTGTGTGACGAATATCGAAAGAACAGGACGCTTGCGAAGCTCATGGAGGCGTACCGCGCGTACCGAGTCGGATATCACTGAGGTCATCCACAGCTTCGTACGCCTGTAGCAGCTGTGATAATCTGCGGCGATCGAACACAGCTGAAGAAGTTGTGGTATGACTGTTGTAGATTAAATTTCTCCAGCGAAGCAAAGGGCCCATCCCGCAAATACAAAGCGATCATTAAAATCCCGTACTGTGCTCACGGAAGGCAATGCGCCCTGTCTCAAGTCCTCTTCCGACGACTGAATTGGGGCACAGTCACCCGTTGGAGGTCTGTTTATCCCTGCTAAGCCTAGTAACGGGGCCGGACAGTTATGCCAGGATTGAGGTCAAAAAAATTTGGGATGGGCCACTGCCAGTTTCCGGAGAAAAGTTTGCACTCGAAAGGTATACTTACGAGAGAGAAATATTTTCTCCCCACATTCGCCATGTGATTTCTTTTTACGGGACTGCCCAGTTTGGTTCCGTTCGAAGCTTCCCGCCAGAAGAGCCGCTGCATCGAAGCGTGCATCTCGTCTGATGCCGCCCATCAACAAGATTTGTTGACTTGCTTCCACCATTTAGTCAAGCCTCAGCAAAACATAGGGGCTGTCAGAACAAGCAACAATAGCAAGCTAAGTACTGACAGAGTGATTTTTTCTACGTTGCGAGAGAGAAACATAGTGAAATTCAGCAGGTTCATGGTAAGAATGAAATATAGCGGCTAGCGCAGTGCCGGAAAAACATTCCGAGCCAAAACTTTGCAGCACAGAACTTGGCTGGTTGATGGCGAAAGTTTTGGCGCTGGCCTGATTTGGCACAATCAGGGGCCTGCGATAGAATTTGATGGCCGGTCACAGCCACATTACATCACCTGCATAGAGTAGGCCGGAGATCACGCGATCACGATCAATAAATGATACGGACATCATTCTTGCACGTGCAACTCCACAGTTCAATCTCGAGTATTTTTTCAACTACAGCTTGTACATATTCGTTCAGACTCTGCCCGCACTCGAGAACGCGGGATTATTGACAGTGACGCCGCCCGGGACGCCGCCATCAAGGACGCCGTCCACCACGAGCTGGAGGTTCGGCGTGACGGGCGCGCTCGACATCGACCACAGCGCGACGGCGACCGTGTTCTTGCCCGAGAAGTTCAAAATGCCCTGGTGCACAGGGAACTTGGCCTGCGGGCTGTTCGCGTGTCAGTCAGCCTCCACCACGCATACAGCCAGCGAGACGCACCCGAGATTCGCGACGCGTTTGCCCATCATCCACCCGTTCACGAACAGATACGCGCGGTACGCCTGGCCGAGCGGCTCCTCGAACGTGAAGCTGAGGAACACGTCCGTGCCGGCGGGGATCGCGAGGTCGAGCTCCGTGACGAAGAACCCGACGCCTGCGCCGCCGCCCGGCAGGCCCTGTAGCAGATCCCGTTTGACCCAGGCCGACGTATCGAAGCCGGGGAGGTGCCACCCGGCGCGCTCGCCGAAGAGCCCGCCCTCGTTCATGATGCCGCGCGTCTTGTCCGGGAAGCCGAGGTACCCGCCGACCTTGCCCTGCACCTTCCAGCTCCCGAAGGACGTCGTGTTCGGGGTGAGCGCGAAGCCGCGGACGCCGCGCGGCGATTTGCACGTGTTCGCGTCTGGTGGAGGGTGGGTGAGGTCATTTCCAGGTTACGTGTGTCTGCTGCTTACTGCCGTTGATGGTTTCGTTCAGTCCCATGTTGTCTTGGACAATCGTGATCACGTTGTCGCCCGTCTTGACCGAACCGGCGGGGAAAGTGAACTTGTCGTCCGTTTCCTCGAGGATATGGCGGTTGTTGGAGGAGCTATCGGAATATGTCTTCTGTCATTACAAGGGGGGCTTGCAACTCACTTTCCGAAGGACGTCCCGAGGAAAACATCGTTCAGCCACACACTCGCCGCGAATGCTGCCGCTGCTTGTCAACATTCCGGTGTCTGAGGTAGATTAGGGAAACATACCCTCGCCTCCGTTGATCGAGAGATTGACACTGGCCGGTGGGGATGTCGCTGCGTTGAAATGCCCGCGCCACAGCACGATATTCTCGCAGCTAGAAGTAACACAGCCCCTCGTCAGACCCACCGACGCAGCACCTCGAAGCAAAACCACTCACAAGCCATAATCACACCCATACAGCACCCTTCCGTCGCCGTAATACATGGGGAACGGGATGTTCGTGCTCGTGTGGTTCGCTGTCACCCAACCCGCATCGCTGAATCCAGACTGCACCTCCGGGAGCGAGTCCGCGTACCGCCACCCCGTCAGCGCCGGGATCTTCACCTGCGTCGCGGCCGTGCGTGGGCCCACCGTGCCTGTCCACCCCCCGACGGTCGAGATCCCCGCCTGCACGGCCACTGCGGCGCCGTTCCACGTGATGGACTTGATGCTGGGAGGCACGATGAGGCTGAGGGGAACAGTGCTGCTGCTGCTGCTACTCGTGGCGTTGAGGTCGCCGACGAGGGCGAGTGTGCTGCCGGAGATAGCCGCCGTGCGGACGAGGTACGGTCCGCCGACGAGCAGGGTGCTGTTCGACCCGATGCTCCAGAAATTGCCGAACTGGCCGCCCGACGAAATGACAGGCGCCCAGAACGTCGCGGCGGTGGTGTAGTCCGCGTATAGCACGAGCTGCGTGGACGAGTCGTACAGCGTCGAAAGGCCCGTGAGTCCGGCATTGATGCCGAGGATGGTCGTCCCGCTGACGCTGCTCGTTCGCGAGACCTGCGCCGACTGGTGCGCGGTGTTCGGTGTGCCCGTCAGCGCGAGCCTGAGCTCGTGCGACTCGGTCGGCTGGCCGTAGAGGAACAGCACGTCGCGCGTGCCGATCTTGCCCGCGAAGAACACCTGCGCGGTCGTGTAGTCCACCGTCGAGCCTCCGAATGCGTAGTTGGTCAGGATCAGCTTCGACTCGCGCCCAGAGATCGTTAGCGTTGGGGTCACGAGCGGGATGTTCAATGTCGGCGACAGCGAGGTTGCGATTGTCATGTTGAAATTCGTTATCGCGCTTGGAATCGAATCAGCTCAGGTGGAAGAGGACATCGTGTCGGGCACCACTCACGTGGACGTCCCGTCCGTCTGCCTGAGCACGTAAAACCCGGTCTTGGTATCGGGATTTGTCAACAGACTGACGAAGGCAGCGACGTTCGTCGTGTTCGGGAGCGCGCCGCCTGCGCTCGTATCGCCGATGAAGTTGGTCTTGTAGAACGCCGGCGAGCTGCGCAGGAAGATGCCCTGCAGCTTGAGCTCGCTAAATTTCGTCGAGATCGCGCGGTTCTCCGCGATCGATGCGCCGTAGTCATACGAGGTGTACACCCCACTGCTCACCAGTCAGCTGGACTGCAGACAGACCAGCCTGAGAACAAGATACGTACTGGAAGGGGAATGCGCCCCAGTTCGTACCGCTGCGTGTGCTCAGTGAGAAGCTGCTAAAGGGCTGGAAGAGAACGACGGACCCGTGCAACATGTAGTAGCTCAACAGCTTCACATTACTCGCCCACAGTTGCCTGTTGAACACCGACTGGAACTCGGGGCCTGTGAGCTGGGCGCAGGCGGGGTAGCCGGGTGCACCCGGGCCCCATGCATCGAACGAGCCGCCCTGGAATTCGGGGAAGTAGAACGGCTGGGCTGGGCTGCGTGCATTCAGTGACCTTGTATGGTTCGTGGAAGAGAGGGGCAGCGGGGACGCACTTGACACGTTCGTGGTAGGACAGGTAGTTCGTCACCACCGGATTCCATTTCGTTGGATGCGCGCAGTCGAACAGCTGCGGATACGCATCCAATCTTACGGATGATCAAGGTTGTGTCGAGAGACAAACCGTCGGAACAAGCTCACCCGTATAGATCGACTGCGCCCTGCCAAATTGTAAGCAGGGATAGCGGCGCAGGGACTAAAGAAGCCCACCGAGCCATTGATAAAGTTGGATCGCTCTCCGGCGTCGTTGTACGTCAGCGGCACATCAATCGAAGCATTCCTGTACGTTTCCTCGAGGAGCGTGTAATACGGCGAAGTAGTCGACCGCTGTTGATACTCGTTATCGATTTGTACAGCTGATTGGGGGGAACAGAATTTCAGCACTCTGCATTCGCACTCGAAGACTGCTGCTGCTCACCAATGACCGGTCCGCCGTGGCTGATCTGGAACGGCTCCGTCTGGTTGATGATCCCCGCGATGTAAGCCTGCCACGCAGCCTCCCAATCAGCCGCACTCGTGCGCAGCTGACCCGCGACTTGAGTCGTGATCCAGTGGGCGATGCCACCAGCAGTCGTCTCCGCGTTGATGTACTACAGACAGCGTCCCATCAGGGTCCGTGCGCCCACTCACGACGTAATCAGACTCACCGGGCCGGGCCGCAGGACGACCCAGATCCCCGCCTCCATGGCCGCTTCGTACAGCGGTTGCAGCGCGCGCCAGTCATTAAAGTCGACGACGCCCGGGGCAGGGTTGATCGCGCCCATGTGCGTGTACACGCTGATCCCGTTCAGCCCCGCGGCCTTGGCCTTCTGGAGGATGTCCGGCCACAGGGACGGCACCGGCAGGCGGAACGTGTGGAACTCGCCCGAGTGCAGGAACACGCGCTGCCCCGCGAGCGAGAGGCTGTAGTTGTCGAACGCGACCAACGGCGTGCGTGCGCGCGCGGAGAGGTTTGGGAACGCGGCGGAGAGGTCCGCGAAGGTGCTGTGGGTCTGCGTGTGTGTTTTGGCGCTCGCGCCGGCGGCGGCGAGGAGCGCGGTGCCCAAGAGGGCTTGGAATTTCATGGTAGGGTGGGGCGGGAGGTGAGTATGAGAGAAGCTGGAGCGCTAGTTTTACCAGGTACGCCCGGGGAGCGATGACACCACCCATACGCTCCTGGCTGGCTCTTCTATCACCTGATCCCGTGCATGATTCGCGCTCTGTCTGAGATTCGAAGGGCACGGTGATAGATCGACGCGTCTGGAGGAGGGGCTTCGGGGTTCGAGCCTTTCACTCTGTCGAACCTGGAATCGATCAGGAGGAGGTGCACAAGCTTCGATGCTCTTCACTAGCGAGTAGCGCAAAGGGGCCGTGCAGAGGTGATGTCCTTGCGAGAATCCTATCACGGATTTAACTCGGAGGTGGACTTGGGCAATAGTCAGGGGGTGCAGAAGGTGCGTCGAAGACAAGAAGTCGAAGTGCCGCAAAGAATCAGATCACTGATCGCGCGAATCCTGTCAGGTCACATGCATTTGAGACTGTATCACGTGGGAGTTCAATTCAAGAACTGTGCAGCGTTGACTAGTTCAAATGACATGAAAATTTCGAGAATGAGTTTCAGAGATGGATAGGTCATCTCATAAAAAAATAGAATTGTTCGTCGTGGTGTTTATGATCTCCAACCCAATACAAACCTATCGACCTTGAGGAATCAGTGGTGATTCGTAGAAGCTGAGAACCGGGCTGAGAGGCACTATCCATTGTAGCAATGATCAATTGAATGAGACAGGGTTTCCAAAAAATTCCATGTCTCACATTCTGAATGGCCATTTTTCCGCTCTGAATGACTAGCATGGGCGATCTCCATTCCCGAAATCAGGTTGAACGAAAGTCACGTTCACGCCAAGCCGATCACGGCACCGCCATCCCGCATGCCCATCACTTCCCACGGCCGCGCAGCTGACTGGCCTTCGACGCTCAGGCCGCGAGCGCATGACCCCGCCCATACATCCCCCCGGCCCGCGACGCCAACCCTCGTGACGCGCGCCGCTCTTCGAATGCTGCCGTAGTGCTCCCCAAGAACCCGCGTATAAGGTGGTGTCGTCGCACGCCACTTCTGCCTACCCCATACCCCGCGATGCCCACTGCACGCGTCCTCCTCCTACCTCCGCTGCTCCTGTCGCTCCTCGCGGGGCCCGCTACGGCGCTTGCACCCAAGGGTCCGTGGGACAAGTTCAACTATGCGCCAAAATCGAAAACGGTGTACCCGGCGAAGGTGTACCAGACTGTCGGCACCGTCGACAGCGCCGAAAATCTGCTTCTGGAGGGTGGGAAGAAGCACATTAGTGGGTCACTGGAGGGTGCGGCGCTAGCTGAACGATCATATGTGACGCTGGACTTCGGTGTCGAGGTGTGTGTGCTCCGCCTGACGAGAAAGATGGGGCAGACGTGACTGATTGTGCTCCCTCCAGGTCGGCGGGCTCATCTCGATGAACATCCTCCCTTCAAACAGTTCCACTGCCCCTTCCTTCTCCCTGTCTTTTACCGAGTCCCCGTCGTTCATCCGCCCAACCGCCTCAGACGACTCGACGTTCCCAAACGCCACGACGCTTTACGACGGAATCCTCCCCGTCACGGCCGCCGCGAGCACCTCCTCCTCCTTCTGGACGCAACCTCCAACGGCTCTCCGCGGGGGATTCCGCTACCTGACGATCGTGTCTAACTCGCCGGCGCTGCAGATCGCCAACGTGAGCACGGCGATCTCGTTCATGCCGCACTGGGGCGCGAACGATTTGCGAAATTACACGGGGTACTTCTACGCGAAGGATCCGGGCTTTCATGACGAGGACTTTTTGACCAAAGGTGTGTCTGTCGTTAGAAATCCCGCATGTCTCGTTCTAACGCCCCTTGCAGTGTGGATGGGTGGAGCATATACTGTGCAGACTAACACCGTGCCAGTCAACACTGGGCGGCAGATCCCCATGGTCTCTGTTGGACGTAAGTGATCCTTTGCACCACTCGGCTATCGGTTCCAACGACCCCGCAGACTGGGCCAACAACGCGACCCTCGGCATCGGGAGCCCCATCATCGTCGACGGCGCCAAACGCGACCGTGCAGTGTGGCCGGGCGACATGGGGATTGCCGTGCCGACGCAGTTCGTGTCGACGAATGACCTCGTACCGACGCGCAATGCGCTGGGGACGATGTTCACGCACATCAACCCGACGACAGGCGCGCTGCCCGAGTCGGGGCCGCCGCTGAGCCAGCTGAACAGCGACACGTACCACTGCTGGACGCTCGTGGGTACCCGTGCGTCTCTGTTTCTGCGTTGGGGGTATTGTGTGGTTGCTGATGGATTTGTTGGGCAGACAACTACTGGCTGTACACCGGCGATTTGGAGTGGGTCAGCGGGATCTGGACGAACTACACCAAGGCTGTGGCGTACGTCGAGGGGAAAGTGAACGCGACGAATGGGCTGATGAATGTCACGGGACTGCGAGACTGGGCGCGCCAAGGCGGCGGAGGATTCAATGCAGAGGGAAATGCGATTTTGTACAAGGTGGGTGGCCTGCGTTCTTGCTCTGCTTCTGCTGACTGACCATCTGCAGGTGCTGATGACGGCCTCTGAACTCGCTGCAGCCATGTCACTCCCCGATCTCTCTGCTGCTTATGCGACCAACGCCACCAACCTGAAAGCGGCTTTCAACAAAAACTTTTGGCTGCCCGAGGCTGGGATGTATAAGGACAACTTGACCACAACTCTCACGCCCCAGGACGCTAACTCGTTTGCGATCCTCTTCAACATCACCGACTCGCCGGAGAAGCCGGCCCAGATCAGCGCGGGGCTCGAGAAGAACTGGAACGAGCTCGGTGCAGTTGCCCCTGAGCTGCCCAACACCATATCGCCGTTCATCGGCGGATTCGAGGTGTGTTTGCTTCGACTGGCGTGATCTCTGCGCTCACGAAACACACCTCAGCTGCAAGCCCACTTCGTAGCCGGCAATGCGACTCGCGCTCTCGATCTGCTGCACCGCGAATGGGGATTCATTCTGTACACGAATCTGTCCGTGCAGAGCACCATGCTCGAGGGCTTCACCGCCGTCGGCGGACTGGACTATCGCGCCATCGTCGGATACAATCAAGATCCGGCGTACACCTCCCACTCGCACGGCTGGTCGAGCGGGCCCACGTCTGCGCTCACGATCTACGTCCTCGGGCTGTCTGTGACCAAGGTGCAGGGCTCTGAATGGTCCTTCGCACCGAGTCTGGCGGGACTCCCCGCGGCGGAAGGTGGATTCGAGACGCCGCTCGGCTGGTTCGGCGCTAAATGGACGTGGAATGGGAAGAAGTTTAGTGCCCAGTTGGATGTGCCCGCTGGCACGACGGGGCTGGTCGTCTTGCCGAGTGAGGTGGCCGGGGGATCCGTCCAGGTCGACGGGAAACGGGCACCGGCGTTTGAGGGGCCACACTTTACTTTGGCGGGTGGGAAGCACAAGATATCTGTAGCTCTCTAGACTCTGTTTGCCTACGGATGGAAGGCTCGAAACATGTACATTTGACCAGGCAGCTGCCGAAACTCAAATTCTTGTGCAGATACGGTAACGCAATCGACATCTGAGATAGTCATCTATCTCATCCATGTTCCCTGCCATGCGTGCAAGCAAGATCAGCGCCCATGCCCAATCTATCGCACCCGAAGCCTGATTGAGTGCGACTTGCATCTGACCTGCTACGGTCTCTACTGACTTGGCTTAGACCAGCATCTCAAACACCTCAATCTCTCCTTGGGGGATTGGAGAAGCGACCATAAATCTCCATCGGTACATGGTTCAGCCTCATCTCCATCTGCCGCGATCGTTCTCGCGCCCATCTACCCCCGTCGCATTCCAGAACGCATACTACGCCAGTCCACAGATCCCCCAGTCCCCATTCCTTCCCCCGTCACCGTATCTCTATCCACCATCTCCCCGCACGGATGCAGCGATCCCAGTGCACGCAGCCGCATCGCCCAATGGGCACTCGCTGCTCGGGCTGCCCATGACGCGCCGTGAACGCACGGTGTCGTGGCACGCCCCGCGGGGCCCCGTCGCCTCGCCCGGTCTCCTGCACGCGCATTCATACGGCGGCCCCGCGGGGACCACCGTCAGCGATCCCGGCGCGCAGGGCGGATACCGCCCGAAGCACCGCAAAGCCAAGTCGTCCACGTCGTCGATCCCTCTCCCACCCACTTGGGCCTTGTACCAGTCTCTACCGGGCGAGGGCGGCGACGGGATCCTGCACGGACACCAGGTCCATCCGCTCCTGCACGGAGGCGCGGTGACGTTCGATGTGGCCCACAGCGCCTTCACTCCGCTCCATGCCGCGCCGCAGGCTCCCGGGGAGCCCAGCCATACACGAGCACTATCGCAGGACGAGCTCAGCGAGGGCGCATTCCACCCGCCGCGCACGTCCCTGCGGCTGGTACTGGACGACTTCGCCGCACGGGACTGGGACATCGAGCTCGCGCTGCCGGAGCCCGCGCCGCACCTCAACCCGGCGCTCATCCTGAGCGCGACGTTCCGCGCGGAGACGCCGCGCTCGCCGCCGCCGCCGATCACGCTCGGCGACATCCTCGCCGCGGTGCACCACACGCTGCATAAGCGCGTCGCGCAGGCGGACTGGGACGCGTTGGACCACGTGGCGCAGGCGGGTGTCGCACGTGCGTTTAGAAGACGGTGTCGTGCGGAGGCGCAGCGCCGTGGGGGTGCTGCGAGTGTGGCGGAGCGGGAGGCCGAGGAACAAAAGAAGGGGATGAAGCGGGTCGATTTCTTGCGTGAGAAGACGGCATTTGGAGGATTGATCAGGGCGGAGGGGCTTGGCGGTGGTGTGGTCGGCGTTTGTATGATCGGGCTGGGTTGACACTGGAGAGCGCTGGTGGTTTCCACTTTTTTTTGGCTGTGCAGTTGCACGTGTCGGCACTCAAACTCAGATAGCGGTAGTGAGAGATAGAACGTATAATGTAAGAATTCACAAACAATCAACAGATGTGGCGCCAGACCCAGTCAGCCTTCGATCTTGCGGCAAGGTTTTTGCATAAATGTCATGCCATCTTGTCCTGAGCCCGGTTCGAACCCGGTGCACCCGTCGGATTCCACGTGATCCTAAACGGCCCGTTGTCCGACGAAGATCGAGCACCTGACCAAAACACGTTAGGTCCATGGGCCTCCTCGCAGGCTCATACTTGACTCTTTCCACCTCCCTCGAATGTCCGATTTCCCAGAAACCTGGTGGAAATCCGCGGTCGTCTACCAGATCTACCCCGTCTCGTTCTCGGACTCGAACGGCGATGGACTAGGCGATCTCCCAGGGATCATCTCGCGGCTGGACTACTTGAAGGATCTAGGCGTCGATGTGCTGTGGCTCTCGCCCATCTATCGATCGCCGCTCGCCGATATGGGATACGATATGTGCGTTGCGAGCTTTTGGATTTGTCAGCCTCCGGATGGACCCCGACTGCAGATCGGATTACTATGACATCGATCCGCGCTATGGTACGTTAGAGGACTACGACCGACTCGTGCAGGAGCTGCATAGCCGTGGGATGAAGCTCGTGTGAGTCTCGTCCCGCATCGTACCGTCCTCCTCCCGTTCACTGAATCGGACGCAGGATGGATTTGGTGGTCAACCACACCTCTGACGAGCACGAGTGGTTCACGTCCAGCAAGTCGTCCAAGTCCGATCCCAAACGCGACTGGTACATCTGGCGTCCCCCGAAGTACGACGCCGCGGGGGACCGACGGCCGCCGAACAACTGGAAGGCGGTTTTCCAAGGTGCGCGTCAGCCTTGCGTAGCTGGCCAGAGCTGAACGCGGTTTTTGAGGCTCTGTATGGGAATACGACGAAGGAACCGACGAGTACTACCTTCACCTCTTTCTCGACAAGCAGCCCGACCTGAACTGGGAGAACTCGGAGGTCCGGAAAGCGATCTGGAAAATGATGCATTGGTGGGTGCAGAGAGGTTGCGATGGGTTTCGGGTGAGCTTTGGAACGAGGCTCTCTGGGATTCAATGGCTGATCGAACACGCAGATGGACGTGATCAACCTCATCTCGAAACTAGAGGGACTGCCTGATGCGCCGATAACGGTTCCCACCGACGAGCTGCAGGACGCGTCGACGCTGTTCGTCCATGGGTACGTGTCCCAATCCAGCTGTGAACCTTTCAACTTAAATTATCCAGCCCACGCGTGCACGAATTTTTGAAGGAAATGAATCAGGAGGTTCTCTCCAGTGAGTTACTCCACTCCTCAGCTCGACACAAGGCTGATTTTCCTGCAGAACACGATCTAATGACTGTTGGGGAAACGCCGTTCACCCACCCCACCGACGAACTAGCGAAATATGTCCTCCCGGCCAACAAGGAGCTGCAGATGGTATTCCAGTTCGAGATCATGGACATCGATGGGCTGAAGAAACCCGGCATGCGCTTCACGCACAAACCGTGGAAGCTGTCCGAATTTCAGGCTGTCGTGGACAAGTGGCAGACCCTCGAGCGAGAGAACGGGTACTGGAATGCGTGCGTCGGCTGAACCTTCAACGGCTGCCACTTGGCCTCATTCGCACGCAGCGTGTTCATCGAGAATCACGATCAGCCGAGATCGGTGTCCCGCTTCGGCAACGACTCGGACGAGTGGCGCAGCTTGTCGGCTAAGATGCTTGCCGTGCTGCAGACGACACTGAGCGGGACACTGTACATCTACCAGGGCGAGGAGTTGGGCATGAAGAACTTCCCGCGCGAGTGGGGCATTGAGGAGTACAAGGATGTCGCGTCGGTCAATTGGTACCACGAGTGAGTCCCCCGCCTTAACTGCTTTGGGTGGATTCCTCCTGCTGAGCTGGATTAGAGTTCTCGAGAAGCGGCAACGGGAGTCGGGATCAAAGGAGGTCAACATGGATGACATCATGCACGGGCTGCAGCGGAAAGCTCGAGATCACGCCCGTGTCCCGATGCAGGTGCGTCCCGGGCGACTAAATCTTATCGCACGTCATCAGACCTGTCGCAGTGGGACTCGTCCGCGCACAGTGGCTTTACGACTGGCGAACCCTGGATGCGCGTCAACGATGATTACTCCACATGCAATGTCGCCAGTCAATCCGCCGATGAAGGGAGTACCTTGGCCTTCTGGAAGGAAGCAGTGCGTCTCAGGAAGGCACACAAAGTCCTGGTAAGCACCTAAGCTGAGTTCGTCTGTCAGAACGCTGCTGAACGAGCTGCATAGATCTATGGCAGATTCGATTTGCTATCCTCGGGGAATGAAGCAGTCTTCGCCTATACGCGATTGTACGGCGGTGTTAAAGCACTCGTTCTCTTGAATTTCACCGTCCATGGTGTGGCATACGAGGTTCCTGGAGAAGAATGGGGCCCTTTCAGGTTTCTTTTGGGAAACTATGGCCGAGAAGAACTAGGCACAAAGGTGGAACTCCGACCATTTGAAGCTCGGGTCTATATCAACAATGAATAGATAACGCGGTTATGAGATAACGAAGGTCTAAAATGGGACAGTGCCTGCAGAATTTACTCCCAGGTAGACTTGGACCGTGTTCTTGACTTGTATCTAAGGACAGGAAGTCGCTACACAGTGAAATAGAAAGCATTGACATGACCCCAACCCCGTCGCGACATAGTACACTACACACACAACCTATCTAAGAAGCAAACAACAAGCCTTCGTCTCGATCCCATCCTGCAATCGAGATGCGGCAATCAACCCGTTCAGCTCGCCACCTTCGCCGCCGTGACCTTGCATTTCATGGACTCGAACGCCCCGTCCAATATCATCTTCACGCCCTGGTGCTGCCCATCGAACGCGAGCTGCCCCCGCAAACACGCGAGCCGCTCGCGCGCATCCGTGCCGAGATCGTCCGTGCTCTGATCGTAGAACGACGGGAAAAGCTTGAAGACAAACTCCATCGCCGCGTGGAGCTCGGAGTCAGTCAGCTGCGCGTTGCCGCTGCTCTTCGAGTCCTGCCCGATGTCCCCGGTACCTTGGATGACGGGACGGATCAGTTCGAAGGCGTGGTCGAATCTGGGGAAAGGCACATCAGCGAAGAGCGGACACTGCCGGTGTGTGACGTGGAATATGAGCGCACGTTTTCTCGTCGACGTCATTGAGGATGTCGATTTCGCCCCCACGCATCTGGCGGTAGGCAGCCGCGACGACGAGGAAGAAGCGCATGTAGACGGTCTTAAGCTCGCGGGTGTGGAAGTCCGCGGCAACCTCCTCCGTCGCCTTCCCCTCCATGACGGAAATGATTGAGAGCGCGGCAGACAGCGCACCGACGAAGGCAATGTGCACTCCGTTCGAGAAGAATGGGTCAATGAAGGCTAGTTTTAGGGTGTTCATATCATTAGAAGTGGACGGAAGGACTGATCGAATTACGTACCAGCGGCGTCTCCGACGAGACGGTAATTCTTCGCGCCCACATTCTCGGAGAGATAGCTGAAGTCACTCGCCATCGCCACGGGACTCGTCCCTCCTGCTTTGTTGGGCTGGAGCACCGTGTCGGCCTTGGCCTCGTTGATGATTTCAAGCTGGCTGAAAACCTCGTGGTACACCTGCTCCTGGGTCTTGCCTGCCTTCTTCTCCTTCATGTGTTTCTCATGGATGCAGGCCCCGATCGAAACAGTGTCGTCTGTCATAGGAATGAACCACGCCCAACCGGTGTGGTCTTCGAAGCACATGTGAGCGATTTGTAGAAAATGAAGGAACGTCTCTCACCGTGCAGAGTCTCTACGAGGATCGCACCCTCCCGCTCAGTTCCCTGGCCGTGCTTGTAGTTTCCCTTCCAGTATCCCCAGATAGCAATATTCTGGCAAATGATTGATCGCCCGCCCAGATGAAGGAGAGTTCAACGCACCTTGAGACTCTCCGTGATCTTCCTGTCTTTGTGGTACTTGTCCGACATCACACCGTAGCGCCCCGATGCGTCGACGAGGTAGTCAAAAGCGATGACGCCCTTGCCACCCGACTTGTTCGACCACTCGGCAGCGATAGGCCTATCCGAGTCGTCCGGCGAGAATCGGAGGCTGGTGACTTTGTGTTCGTCGAAGATCTTCGCGCCTTGGGACTCGGCATGGCGGAACAAAATGTCATCATATTTAGCACGTTCGACATTCACGGCGTGGTTTCCTGTGCTGTGGTCGACCTGGGAGGTTGTGGTCAGAGCAAATATAAATTGACGAGGCCGTGCGATACAGACAAAGTTTGTGTACACCGCTAACGTGCAGAGTCAGTGGGTGCCTCGATGGGTGTATTGACGACGCACTTGGGAAATCGCGACGCATCTTGAACAGCCCACCAGGTTTCTTCATGAATCCATGCGCCAGCACCTTCTCGCGGGCACCGATGAACTCCAGGAAGTAGTTTGTCGACGCCAGGAGCGACTCGCCGATGTGGTACCGCGGGAACTTGGCGCCCTCGAGGATCGTCACTTCGATGCCGTGTCGCGCGAGCACTGAGGCAGAGTAGGACCCGGCGGGCCCGCCGCCGATGACGAGAACTGTTGTTTTTTCGGGGACTGCAGACATAGTGGAATTCGTCGAACTCGGGACACGTCTGCATTCTTATGCACACGGGCTTGTGTGATGAGGTGCGGCGAGAAAGGGCACAGAGTCTTCGATCGAAGTAATGGGACGTACATTCTGATCTCGTCCCCTCTTCAGGTGTCTTCTAATTGGCTGCCCACCCCAACGTTGCAGTAATCACTACCGTAAGGCAAGAACGCGCGAGTCGGAAGTGTTCCAGTGGACTCGATATTGGTGGCTTTGGTCGTTGGAAGCGGTTAGAGCGTTCTGTGTACGCTAGTGACCGGCCTTCAGCACATGAAGGGCCAAACACCGTCGATTAATCATTCAGACTAGTGAATCGACCCACCGGCGAGTTCCCTTCCAATCAACTGGGAAAGCAAAGCGTTGTAATCGGAGGTGACTTCTGACCTTCCCCTTCCCACATACATTCAAGTGACTGCTGGAGAGCTTGAGTCTTCGCTCGATGGTCATTTGCTGGATCACATCAAAGGAACAGACGCTTCAGACCGATTTGAAAATCCACGTAATACATCTGATGCATCCGACCGTTTTAGGCAATCGATCGATGTGATTACCCGCTGATAACTACACTTGCGCTCAGTTCTACCAGCCAATGGAGCACGACCACCATGACCATTCCGGACTCGAGAATGCGGAAGGTGCGCTTCATCTTTGATCGCCGTGGTCTTCCGAGCTCTCTCGCCATCCTCAGAACAAGCCCACTTTGCAAACGTAATCGCAGCCTTCCGATATTATGCTCGCTACTCCGTGCGTCATGAGCAAACCACTTGGAGACACACAGACCCCACTGAATGGCTCGTGTCTAGCTTTCTGCGAACAACCGTCGTCGGAAAGACTTTTTTCGGCTCCCGAGCGCTGACCGGGAACTTCTCGCGGCGCTGGGGTACAAAGCAAAACTAGACCGCGTCGACGAGGCGATCGAGGCGAACGCGGATTTTCTCGGGCTCATTGTCGAGGATCCGGAGATCTTTGGGCAGGCTGGGGAGGGCGAGGAGTATGCGGAGCCGCGTGCGGAAGGTGCGGTGGGCTCCTCGGCGGCTGATCTGCCGTGATACGGACGCCATTCCAGGACATTCGCACTCGCATGGGCATTCCCATACCCATGAACACGGCGCCGGCTCAGCGGAGCCGTACACACCCACGGACTTCGATATGGACAAACTACGGAGCACGTTGAAGCAATTTGTGCGGGATTGGAGCGAAGAGGTGTGGGGCTGACCGACCGATCCTCCGCTGATTGGTCTAAATATGAGCAGGGGATCGTGGAGCGCGATGCATGCTACCAGCCGATCAAGGACGCACTTTTACGGCACTACGCGAGTGTGTCTGAGATGGAGCGGTGAGCCCGGGCATTCCACTGGCGGGTCGTGCTCATCCGCTGATAATCAGACGAAAGCTACGAGTGTTAGTTCCCGGTAGCGGTCTAGGTCGACTTGCGCACGACGTTGCCTCTCTGGGTGAGAACCACTGACACTCTATTGCAATGTTATTTCTGACATGTGTGGTCGACTGCCAGGCTTCGCATGTCAGGGCAATGAGTTCTCTCAATTCATGCTTCTGGCCTCCCATTGCATCCTGAATCGGTAACTAACAACATTTCCGCCTGATGCTGTGCAATAACGTCTCACCTGCAGAACGAATGAGATCAATGAGCACACGATCTATCCTTACGTGCATTCTTTCTCGAATATCGACACAACAGAATCGATGCTGCGAGCAGTGACTATCCCGGACGTCCTCCCGTCGAGCATTCCACGAGGAGTCGACTTTTCGCTTGTGGCAGGCACGCTGCCTACTTGCTTGCCGTGGAATTGGGGCTCATGTCTGATCAGGAGACTTCGAAGAGATCTACGGGGCGGATGGACACAGCCCCGATGAGCCTCAAGCCGGGCAGTGGGATGCCATTCTTACTTGTTTCTTCATTGACACGGTTAGTTGCCACTTCTCGGTGGAGTCAGGTCATTCAATCACGACATTGATAGGCGAAGAACGTTGTGAACTATCTGCGCATCATTCACAAAATCCTGGCTCCCGGCGGTGTTTGGATCAATTTAGGTGCGCAAAGGCAACATCAGAGTTTGTTCGCTGATCCAGAATCGGAATCCCCGCGCACAGGTCCTCTCTTATGGCACTGGGAAAACAACAGCACGAATGACCCGTCTATCGAGCTCACACTCGAAGAAGTTAAGGAACTCGCTCGCGCGATTGGTTTCGACATTTCCGTAAGTGAAATCGCTTTCGTTGGCATTCTTGGGCTTAGTTTTGCGGCGCTGAGAACGAGCGCACGATCGATACGACGTATACGAACAATGCGCGTGGGATGCTCGGCTACGTCTATCATGCGGCATTTTGGACTGCGACAAAACGCCCTGTTTGAGCCCACTCCAGACTTCCAATCCATTCGGCCGAGAGTATGACCCGTGACGAATATGAACGATGGAGTATTTCTCTCGAGGCCGGGTCACACGTACAGTCAACAATAAGAATCATCAAAATAAGTCTCGCAATGAACGAATTTATCAATGTCGCTGGCGGAAATGCCTGTGACGTCAACTCGGTTCACTCTGGACCAGTGCAGACCAGTGCAATGTGTGACAACCAACCAACTTTGAAAATTTCAGGTATAGAGTTCAGAGCTCAGTAACACTGTACACTAGAATTTACGCATTTACAGTCGCATAGCTCTGCACGACCGCAAAGCAGATACGCCAGTTCAGTCCATCCACGGTGTAGAGCGCCATGATCCGGATCTGATCGTACTGAATATCGCCGGGGTGCCCGATAGGCCATCCAGGCACCAGTCCGGGATTCTGATGCTGCTCCGCTGCGCGGTCCTGTTGGCATGTGAGGTCAACATAGGAACTCGGGGGGAGGGAGAGGAAGCTCACCACGGCGTAGGTATTCCATTTCTGAGCGATCCGCTGGCCCAGCTCCTTGAGTGTGCTGAATTCACAAGATAAGTGCTCCTGGAGGCGCAAGGTGGAGGTGACGCTTCTGTATCCGGGCCACTGTCGATGCCAAAGACATCAGTATCAGATAATGGCTGCTGAGAGCCTCAGTCTTGAAGCACGCACTTCAATGGTCAGATTGACGACCGGCAACCCCGCAACAGTCCGTAGGGTGGGGATAAGGGTGTCCAGCCGCTCTTCACCACGCATCACGCCTCGCTGATTTTCTAGATTGAGCACCGCAACGCCCAAGGTGCAGGGACTGAAGACTGGGATGAAGGCGATGACATGTTGAACCCCGCTGGACGGCGGGAGGTTGACGCGTATGGCATTGGTGTTCTCGTGCCACCAATCCACGAATGTATTCTGTTGAGTGGGACTCGACACGTGTCCTAGGAGAGTAGGATACCAGAGCATAGACGTACAGACATGATTTGCACAAAGTTTCGTTGAGAATGGCAGAGCTGGAAGCCTGGGAGCTCGCTCCATGTTCGTCGATTCCTTTATAGCGAACTGCGCTGCAAAGGACAATGCGTGAGCAGACTGCCAATGGGTACCGAAGCGCGAAGCGCATCAAAAAAACAAACAATGCACAAGACACTCCGGCAGATCGCGATTAATGTGGCCCACAATGAAAAATTTATACTGTAGATATTGGAGTACAAATGGTTGAATACAAAGCACATGACAATATTGAAACTAATGTGATGTGTAAGATGTAGCCCAATTCACACCACACATAATGCGGCCCACAAAGGATAAATTATATTCTATGTACTGGGGATAAAAAAATGAAGTGATCTGATATGTTACATATCGGTGTTGATCAAATGATGATCTTATCGTCTGCCAGATGGATGTTGTGATACACATCTAAGACTCCATCACGTGTCATCTAGAGTCATATCGACTCGTTCCAAATAGACACAAACGGCCCCCTGTATCATATATAAGGAGGGCTCTATTACCCTTTAATACAAGTCTCTTGACTACTCCCGCATAGTGCCCACACTAAGCTCTCACTCACACAGGTGAGCTGCTAGACGCTCTCCCCAGTGCTCAACAGGTTATGGGCCCCGAGAGCTATGTCTGCGCCTCAATGGCCGCGACATTCATTGTATGCGCCGTCACTGGCTGCAACAATGAGCAGCGTCTTTAGCCTATCTGTATTCACTTCAGCTGCTGCATAGCGCTGGTGAAACCATGCCGGATCGCGATTACATTGCTTGATCCACATGCATCGATCTCTGAAGGAGATTATGATCTATGAGGATCTGATCATCTTTATCTTTGATTTTATCTATCAGATTAGATTGATGCTGATCTCTCACACAGATCTAACATGTCGTCCAACTCAAACAACATCTTCAATGCTGTCTCCATCTTTGATGGAAAGCACTGGCTTGTCTGGTCCGGAACTATGGAGTCCTATCTGGAGCATCAGGGGATCTCATATGTGCTGACTGAGACCGCGCCAACCGAAGTCAAGGCTACAGATGGCTCTGTGACCAACGCATCGGAGATCAAGCAATGGAAGCATGATGATCTCAGAGCGAAGGGCAGCATTAAGTTGCGCCTGACTGAGGGAGTCATTGCCAACATTCCAACCGCCAACATAGTGTCAGCTGCCAAGATCTGGGAGCACCTGAAGACCCAATACGGTGGTGCTCAGTGCGCCGACCTGTACGCGTACTTCCAAACCGCGTTGAACGCCAAGTACAACGTGGGGTTGCACCCTGATCCACAGCTGCTGGTGATCACTACGGCGTTCGCTCGCCTGGAGAACGAGTCTTTGAGCATCCCTGAGTTCCTCAGAGCGATGATCATTCTCAACATAGCCCGGATTCCCTCTGTCACAGAGACTGTTCTTCAGACCTATGACAAGGACAAGATCAAAGTCTCTGCGGTTCGTGACGCTCTCTTGACGCATTTCGCTCAGAAGCAGTCTCAAAGCCAGAATCATGTGGCCAAGTTCAATACCAAGCGCAAGCGCGACGACCCTTCTTTCACCAATCAGCAACAGGGCTCTGGCTCTGCACCCGATAAGGGTGATAAGGCTGATGGAAAGAAGAAGAACCGTCGAGGCAAGCGCAGTGGGAAGAACAAGGACAACAAGGGCAAGGGCAAGGCTGATCACAGTCATGTCCATGGAGTCTCCGAGATCACTGGCTCCCTCACTATCGGTTCGATCGCCTCGCTCACTCCGTCTATCCCTGCGCCGACGATCTTGCATGTCACGCACATCTCTCGCGATGGACCCAAAATCCGCGTGGTTCAAGAGAAGTCTCCCGTTAACAATAATGGGATTATTGACACCGAGTTCCAGAAGCCTACTCGTAAGGTCTTCGAGCTGGCCAAGAAGATGGACGTGACGGTGACCGCAGAACGCTTCCGGACTCTTGACAAGATAGTCAATGAGAAAGGAATGCTCCGCGAGGACGCAATCATGCGTTCTCCATCTCCAGTTGCTTCCGGCTCGAATCACACCCTGGATGGTGGTCCTCCTGCCAAACGCAGTCGTATTGAGGAGATCCCCAACGTCGAGATGGCCACCGGCCAACAGAACGATCTTGATCTTCTGTTTGGAGATAGCGAGTTCGCCCAGGCTGAACCCGTCAATTGGGATGAGGTCGTAGACTTCAACACCCTTCTGGAGGAAATGGACGCTCCTTCTGCCGAAAGGCAAGTACCCTGCCTTCTTGGGCATATGCACAATTCTGATTGTTGCTCACAGCCAGAGCGCGTAATCACCGCCGCCCCGGGTTCTGTACTTAATTCGTTGATGATTCGATCGCATGATTTTTGTACAAATTTATTCTGTGTGCACTCCGATTTTGCTGCCTGCTCTAAGTGTAAGGGGAAACATCATCATCATCATGAATTAGGGCCTCTGTGGCTTCTAGATTCTGGTGCATCTCTCCATGTGACATTGGAGATTAGTGATCTGGTCGGATATGAGAAGCTCTCAGATCCTATTGTTGCTCAGACCGCTGATAAGAACACACGTGTTGCCCTTATTGGTCGAGGAACAGCCTTCATCAATCATTACGTCACAAGGCATGGAGAAAAGACTATGGTGACTTCTCAGATATATCCAGTGTACCTAGTGCCAGGATTACATGGTCGTCTCATGTCTTTGGGCTCCTTACTCAAAGGAGGATCTCGCGTTCGTGGAGACGAATCGCGGATCAGCTTACATCGAGGGAAGTCCCCACTCTCGATCATGGAGTTTAGAACTCTAGGGAAGGACATAGCCTTGTACTTCCTGATGTCGAAGCCTAGCACGGCTGAGACAGTGCGATCCATGTCCACTGTTTACAAGGTGGATTATGAGATCATGCACCGGCGATTTGCACATCCGTCGAAAGACGTTTTACGTCAGGCAAAGAAAAATACCAAGGGCTTTCCAGAAGACCTAGTATTTCCCGAGGAAACCCGACCGTGTAAAGGATGCGCACAAGGGAAAATGCACCAACGTGCCTTCCCGTCTTCCGAAAAACGAGCGGAGAATCCATTTGATTTGATCCACTCGGATCTCAAACAATTTCCCACGGTGTCTTATCACAAGTACCGATACTTCATGAGCTTCTTTGACGAAGCACTCTCCTATGGCTGGACAGTATGCCTTGCGCAGAAATCCGACGCCAAGCAGGCTATGCGCAATTTCATTGCGATGGTCAAAAACCAGTTCAATGTCACCATCAAAAAGTGGCATATTGACAATGGGGGAGAATTCATGGGGATGGGAATGGAAGAATTTCTCGCGGAACAAGGAATTCTAGTGGAGAAGGGTGCTCCATATGCTCACCAGCAGAATGGGCATGCCGAGCGCTTCAATCGTACGATCATGGATAAGGCAGAAGCCATGCGCTTCACTGCCTGTCTTCCTAATTCATATTGGGAATTCGCGATAAAACATGCGACACGGATCTACAATATGACACCTATCAGGCGTCTGAAATGGAAAACTCCATTTGAAGCCCTTCACAAGGAAAAACCGGATGTTTCTGAACTCCGAGTCTTTGGTTGTGCTGCATACGTCTTCATCCCTGATGAGAAGCGCGCCAACAAGTTATCGCCCAAATCGGAGCTGATGACCTACTTGGGCATTCCTGATGGTGTGAAAGGATTTTTATTCATGCGCACAAACAATTCCACGTTCGTCGCCACCAAGGCATTGTTCGATGAGGAGTTGTTCCCCCGCTGTCCTGACAGCAATCGACCACCCCACGTTCCTGTTGGAGAGGAATTTCCAGAACGTGATGACCCAGTGAATCCACAAGATCCACCACAGGTAGACGGAGAAGATTGGCTATATGGAGATAATCCTTTTCCATTTCCCATGCCATCTGACCCGGCTCCACCACCTCCCGTACGAGGAAATGATGATGGTGACGACGGTCATAATCGTCAGGACCCACCGCCAGAGCGTCGGGATGAACCTCAGAGGACTCGTAGAAGTAGAATTCCACGACCAAGTCGGGAAGCTTCACCAGCTCCCGAGCCTCGAAGGTCTCCACGCCAGCGAAATGTGCCTACACGTCCAGGAAACGTCTATGGGGAAAAGCGTAACCCTACGGACATAGTCCGTGATATTCAGAACAGCAGAGGCTGGAAGCGGTATGTTGGTGAAGATAAGGGTAGCTCCCAATCTCAACCATCAACCGGTGCTGATGCAGGGGTTCCCGGCCCTAGCTCGCAACCAGATTCCTCAAACGCGGGTGCTTCTGATGATCTAGACGAGGATGCACGCATGGAGAAGCTATGCCGGGAAGGGGGAGTAGAGCTCATCACGGCGCTGCTGTCAAAAGCGGTTCCAAATGAGAACCTACCTGATACGTCCAAAATTCGCGATTGGACGTTCCGTGATATCAAGCAGTTGCCTTCTGAACAACAGAAAGGTTGGATTGATGCTTGCCGCGACGAGTTAGAGGCACTTCGTCAGCGCAAGGTCTATTCCCTTGTGGACCGTCCAAAAGGACGGAAGGTTATCAGATGTCGCTGGGTCTTTGACCAAAAATCTGATGGCCGAAAACGTGCCCGCCTAGTTGCCAAGGGTTTCAGTCAAGTCGAAGGTGTTGACTATGACGAGATATTCTCTCCTGTCGTCAGGTATGAGACGTTCCGGTTGGTCATGGCGCTTGCAGCGCTAAATGATTGGCATTGGTCTGGACTCGACGTCAGTAAGGCTTTTCTCTATGGAGAGCTTGACGAAGAGGTCTACATGGAACAACCCGAAGGCTTTGTGGCGAGAGGCCAAGAGCGCAAAGTCATGCGCTTGCACAAGGCAATCTATGGACTCAAACAAGCTGCTTTAGCATGGTGGAAAGCGCTGACCAAGTCCACAAAAGCCATGGGCTGGATCCGACTAACATCGGATGCCGGCGTGTTCTTCTACAAGGACTCTGATGGCAGCATAGCCGTCATAATAGTCTATGTGGATGATGCACTGTTCTTCTCCAAGAACAAGAAGCTCCTCGCCTTTCTCAAGGCTGAGTTTAATAAGCGATGGGAATGCCGCAATTCTGAAGATACTCCAGAGTTCTTGCGCGTACACCTCAGTAGAGTAGGATCTTCGATCAAAATTGATCAGATTCCCTATCTTGACAAGGTGCTAGAGCGCTTTGGGATGCAGAACGCCAAGTTCGCAGCAACCCCTCTACCAGCTGGATATGTTCCAATGCCAAACGAGGATGAAGTCGATCCTGAGCTCAGGAAGAAATTCCAATCAGTAATTGGATCTCTTCTCTTCATCATGCTAGGCACACGTCCTGACATTGCATTTGCTGTGACTAAATTGTCACAATTTGCCGCCAATCCGTCCCAAGACCACCTCCATAGAGCGCTGCATATCTGCCGCTATTTGGCTGGTACTAGGAATTATTTGCTCATTTTCAATGGTGCAACGGATAGAGGGCTAATTGCATTTAGCGATTCAGACTGGGCTGCTGATCCGATCAAGAGGAGGTCTACCACTGGTTTCTTCACGAAATTGGCAGACGGGATTATTTGCTGGCAGTCTAGACTTCAGCGTACTGTTGCGCAGTCTTCAACCGAAGCAGAGTACATGGTGATTTCAGATTGTAGTCGCCAGTACCCATTTGCGGTGACAATCAGGGTGCACTCTTCAGTGGCAGCAATGCCTACCGAGACCGCAGGATGAAACACATAGACATCCGCTATCACTACATTCGTGAGCGAGTCGAGGAAGAAGAGGTTGAACTGTTCTTTATTCCGGGCAGTGAGAATCCTGCAGATATGTTCACCAAGAACCTAGGACGCGTCAAGTTCGAGAAGTTCAGGTCTCAACTAGGACTTGAGTTCAACTCGTCCTGAAGGAATGGCCGATGAAGATTCGCTTTCAAACACTATCCCGTGGTTTTCAGCGTGGGGGAGTGTTGATCAAATGATGATCTTATCGTCTGCCAGATGGATGTTGTGATACACATCTAAGACTCCATCACGTGTCATCTAGAGTCATATCGACTCGTTCCAAATAGACACAAACGGCCCCCTGTATCATATATAAGGAGGGCTCTATTACCCTTTAATACAAGTCTCTTGACTACTCCCGCATAGTGCCCACACTAAGCTCTCATTCACACAGGTGAGCTGCTAGACGCTCTCCCCAGTGCTCAACAATCGGGACCCGGATCATACCCGGCACCCAATATTTGGGGTATCAAGATGTTTTTGCACTGATATGTGACATATCAGGTCAGCTTATTTTTTTGGGTCACAATATATGGAATATGACTTGATCTTTGTGGGCCTTGTTATGTGTGGTGTGAATTGTGGTACTTTTTTTTACATCACATTAGTTTCAATATCGCAATGTGTTTTGTATTCACCCATTTATACTCCAATATCTACAATATAAATTTTTCATTGTGGGCCACATTAATCACAATCTGCCGGAGTGAGAGTTTGGCAATGAACCTTCTTGCCAAGGGAATTCGAGGCTTCGGATTGCTGCACTTGAGGCATCTGTTCCCCGAAGAGCGTGGCCAGTGAGAAATCTTCCGTTGGTTTATCGGTGCCCGGTACTATCAAGCAGTGATGTCCGCCAAATTATGAAAATTATCACTGATGCTTTCGGTGAATGCAAGAGCTCGGTGATCCAGGGTGAGACCATTTGAGGCACTGGATTACGGTGATTATTTTAAATAGCTTGGTCAGAGGAAATTCCGTCGTTGATTCATCGCTGCCGGGCATTCTCACGGAATGTTGTCATCATACGGAAAGAAAAGAGGATTGCCGAAGTTGTCTATGAGGTGAGACAGGATGAGACCTCCGGTTCTCTAGCGATTCACGGTGACATGTCCGCGATCGGGGGACAGGGGCTGTGCTGGGTCACCACTGTTTGAAACTCCGTCCTGGGCCAAATTGCCCTTTGCCGGCTCGGCATTTCCGATTGCTCTCGTCCCCGTCACCCGCCTCTTGGCTGGGCGTGTCACCGACTTTCGAGCCTAATCGGGCAATTTCCGGAACCTGCTGACGCTCGGAAACTCCCCATCCCCCCACTTGCATGCTACAAATTTGAGCAGTACCTATGATATATACAGAGCTGGTTTTCTCTCCTGTGTGTACCATATCTGGCTCTGCCCCCTTCCTGCCCTATCTATCATGCAATACACACACGTTAGTGATCTCCCCGGTGGGTCATGCTCTTGATTCGACACGCGCTAAATCAATCTCCCTGGTGGGCCGTGCTCTTGATTCGACACGCGCTAAATCAATCTATCCTCCAGCTCCTGTCATCGCGGCTATGCCTACACTGTCGGACGTGGTGTTCTACGTGTTTACACTGATGAGCACAATGGCCCTCTCCTCCCCGCTCCTGCGGGCAAATGCTTGTTTCCTGTCCGTCACAAGAAGGCATTGCAAGCGCGCGAGGGACTGCAGACGTGCTTCCAGTGCGTTCCCAAAGTGGGGGCGTCTACCAGCGCAGCAAACCTGGCTGCGCAGGTGGCCAATCTGGAGGCCTTCGCGAACTCGACGTACAGCAAGATCATGTGTCCTGTCAAGCGCCAGATCGCCCCACGGGCGGACCCAGGACACGGTGCCTCTGTGCGGTAGTACTTCTGCAACCCCATGTACATGCTGGCGTGGCGCAGGCCGGCATCGGTCAAGTTCACGTGGCCCAGCGCGCAGGCGCCGCTAGCTAAACGTGGTGGACGCTGGGACACTGCTGCATGTCGGGTACGGATTCAGCAATTGCGGCAAGTGGGTCCCTCAGAGCGTGCATCGACCAACGCGGGGAGGCATATCAGCTCGGCATGTGGCTTGCGACCCCGGTGAACAACGGCAAGAGTTTGACGCGGGAGGAGCATGCGGTGAAGAAGGTCTGGGGCTTCGCAAAACAGGAGAGCCTGGCTTGGAGGATCATGGTGGTGGGGCTGGGGTCGATGCAGTTGGCCAAGCTGGAAGGTGTGTGGCCCACGTTTTTTTTACAGTTGGCACCCGGCCTTACATGTGGGCACTACGATGCTCATATAGGTAAGACAAATTACAGTATACATGTAGTGTAAATAATGGTCTGTAAAGTAGATAAGTGAACAGCCAAATGTGTGGTCCGTAAAGTAACAAGATATAGCCAAGGGGTTCTTGTGAAAACTATTACACCTCCTTCTGTTTCTTTGAGGGACGCCGCACTGCTATTGGTTTTGCGCGTCGTTTCCGAGTAGGCTTTTGCGGAATGCCCTCGACATCAGCGGAAAGAAGAGCGATGGCAGGTTGCAATGGTGCAACAATGACCTCGACCGCGCCAATTGTTGCGTCACATACAGGGACAGCAGGCATTGGTGGAGAAGGTGGGACCAACACTATGGTGGCTACGGACTGCGTGGAACAGATAGTAAGTTTGATGCACAAATGATTGAAGGGAACACATACTGCTTTCTGTCGTAACTCTCGCTTTGCCTTGACCTCATCAGTCAATGTCGACAGATTGATCCTCTGTGCGCCCTCAGAGCGCTCCCGCAATTCTTCGAGCTCTTGTATGATGACAGCTGGTGCAACAGCACAACGTTCCGACTCTGTGGCGATCCATTCCGGGATCTCGCGGAAATGTTCCCATCGTTTGCGTGCAGTTGTCCTTTCCTGTCATATGCCAATGAGTGACACGATCGCACAGGAGAGGATTCGTACCGTTTTCGAACCTATCTGATTGCCAGTACGCCAGCAATGCCCAAATGTCTCCTCTACAAGGCGAAGTGGTGGCCTCATCCCTGTTTGGACACCATTTGCGTCGGTTCTCGGTTCACCTTCTGTCCAAACACGCCACACTTCAGCGACATCCTCGAACTGCCCGATGGTCTTTGACGGAGCCCAGGCCTTCCAACAGTAGCTGGGCTGCTTGATAGCAAGGAAGACCATGGACCAAGTAATTGCTTTCTGCCCCATGAATGGAGGCATGAAGCCTATGAGACTGTCAGACTTGTAGAAAGCTGTGATTGGAGGTAGGACGTAGTCAACTTGTGTTGTCGGTCTTGGTGCATCGACAGAAGGGGGGGAAGCAAAGGCCCGTAGACCATCAGCATGCTTGTATGTCCCCGTAGGCGAGTTGTTTGTATCAACATGGAGGATAATAGGAGATGTTGATGCACGGTGTGACGCATTGCCTGCAACTGCACATACAGTTGAGCCTGAGCACATGCGACTTCAGAAGGAGTAGAGCACGTACCCTGCTGATTATAGCTTGCCACACTAAATCCCTTCGACGGCGAGAACTGAGCTGTGCGCCGCTCAATCACATTCTCCAACCTATCCATCCGCACTAGCAGCCTACCAGATGTCAGGCTACTGAGTGACACAGAGAAGAAATGAGAACATACCTGGAAGAGATACGGTCGGAGCTGAATAATCATGGACCAATGATTTGCCGCGCCTCGTAGATTCTGTTTCCCTGAGTAGTTGTTAACAAATGAACGATTGCAAAAGAACAAACATGTTTACCATTGACTTGAGCAAGGTACTTCTCTGCCATTGGGCACACGAGTGCAAGAAATTGGATCGGAACAATGATGCATGTATGAACAGGATCATAGGCCTCGTCGTTCCAAAAGCCAGCTTGAGCAAGGATTGCCTGTTGTGGGACATGAGTAAGAACATCGAAAGCAGCTAGACTAGTCATACATTCTTGGGAAGTGCAGCGGAATAAACATCTGCATACGTTTGGCCTCTTTCCCACCCCATCTTGGACGTCTCGCTGGCCTCGACACTAGAGATTTGGGATCAGTGATGACAGCAGTATTGGATAGGAAGGACAGAGAAGGACGCACTTCATCTTGGCCTGATCATATCCTAGTAGATGTCGTGGAAGGTGTGCCTTGACTCGCGACTCGAAGCCTGCAACATCAAATGCTTTTGCATATAGGTTGTACAGGCTCTGTTGGTTGAATGCCGTGTCTGGGAAAGATGGTCCATGGAGCAGGAAGATCTGGAGAACATTGAGTGTTTGATACTTCAGTGTAAGATGTCAGCACTCACTCCTCTCCAGCTCGTACTTTTCTCCCAGTCAATATCGAGAACATGGAGCAGTTCCTTCTGGTCGTACAACCAGTGAAAGTACATTGCAAAAGCGCCCAGTGGGCATTTTGTAGGGTCACGGTGTGCAATGAAAACGGTGTATGAGGGATTGACCATCTGCACGTTGAAATGCTGAGGGCGTGCTCACAAGTGAATCTACTATGAAAGTAAACCCAAATATAAAACACGTTCACACTCCTCGTAATCAGCTTCTCAGTGTGTGAAAGATGCAAGGGCTTCGGGGTGGACAGAGCACCAGTATCACAACTCTCAATAGACGCAGATCCAATAGTCGCGGAGACGAAGTCGACGACAAGAATTTATATATAGCAAACAATGGTATCTCAACCAATATCTTCTATACGAACACAACCAACACTAATCCAATCCACAAACAACAATATAACAAGTCAGAGCTTAATACGAAGTATTAAGATCCCTTGTAGCGACAGCGTCCAGATGGCGACGCAAAACCCAAATATCAAGTCGACGCACTGCCAACTGATACAACCAATATACTGAGTCGACGCACTGCCAACTAGTAAACCAAAATGTCAAGTCGACGCACTGCCAACTGACACAACCAAAAGTACTGAGTCGACGCACTGCCAACTAGTAGAACCAAAATGCCGCGTCGACGCACTGCCAACTAACAGCCAATATCCAATGTCCAAAACCCGAGCACAACTTGTCGACGCACTGCCAAGCAAGAAGTGTGGAACCAAAGTTCTCAAGTCGACGCACTGCCAACTGACCAAAACAACCCGAGCACAACTAGTCGACGCACTGCCAAGCTAGAGGTGTGGAACGATCTCAACAAAGCCCAAAGGCGACGACACTAAATGCCGCGACCAAACCAGATGCGGCGAATCCGACTTTCTGATGTCTCAAAACTCAAACTCAAATCACAGTAGCTACAAGTGCTCAGGGAGCAACTCGTCGCGACCGGGCAGGGGTAGCAGAACTTCTTAGGGTGGAACCACGCGGCACGCAAATTGTACAAAACAATCTGATATGAGAGTGATTCACAGTCCGGGGGAAAGCTTTTTAATACAAAGAGACGACGTGCTACTTATACTGTCTACGACGCTGCTTAGTAAAGTCCTGTACAACTGCATAGTAGCTACGCTATCTAAGATCGGTTGCCTTTTAGGGTAATTGAAAAGTTGAACGATCGGACAGGTCCTGAGTGATCAGGACCCCGCCCCATCGTCCATATGATACTTTTGATGTGGGCCAACTCACCGCGTCATACTTTTGGAATACGACGTGCTGGATTGGCCAACGGGTATGTCTTGGCATGTGAGACCAACGTGGGCGCCCCAAGAAGCCGTATGGCCCTAGGCACGCCAGTCGTCCCCCACATGGTTCGGTTCACGGATCTAACCGTGTCGGTTTCTAGTGTGTTTGGGTATGAGCGCGACTCGCCGTGACACTTGGAAGTGTCACCGCGACGCGTCCACAATGTCCCGTGATCGAATGGATCCTGACATGTGACAAGTCGTCGTCGTGGCTCGATCTGAGGAAACGTCCAACTCAAAACCGGGAGTTGCCGCGACAAGATGGTTTAAGTCTCGTAACGCCAAGTCCTGTCCAGTAGTAGTTCTATTATTGAGAACGTCGCGCATTGCTCAGCCCTTCAGCCCAAGTTCCCATCTGCAGAGAATGACCCTTTTTGAGAAGTCGACGCAACGACATATCCCTTTTTGGGGAATGGTCGCGGTCCAAGCGTTCGTCACTAATGGCCCTGAGCCTGGTGTAGACTCATAAGACCAGTTCCACAGTAGTGGTCTGACTGCCTTGCTATCGTCGACACTATCCACAGTCGTCGACTGGGCAGTAGACCCATAAGTCCTACTGAGCGCAACACTGTCACCCGCGACACGATACACCGAATGGTTCAAGAGTAAACTCTGTAAAAAGCGCAAAAATACGCCCTTACAGAGCTGGTGCAGAGCGCGTCTGGTAGCCAGCCTATCATCTCCCAGGAACACTAATTTTGACCTCCTGGTCAATCCCGCGACAGTCTCACTGCGCCAGGTCTAAGTCCAACAGTCGACGTCTCATTCATTTATTATTAAAGCCGCGGAGACATAGAGTTATGTTCCCACGTCTTATTCATTTGGTTGTTCGGTTCCTTCCGTGATCTGCCGCGATCAAACTTCTTCCGGCATGTTCACCATATAAATGCCCTTAATTTTCAGGGTCGAGAGTCTCCCTAGTACGAGACACTCTTGCTTTTCGACCACCATGTCCGCGCCCGACCAGAGCCCTCGCCCCCAAGACAACAACCGTGAGTGACGCCCAGGACGATTACCGCGACTTTTCAACCACGCTAACCGTCCATCAGCCGTCACCGAATCAGCTGTCCCGGGAGCAAACCCGCCTGCCATCGACTGGCGGCAGTTCATGCCGTTAGTCAATGTCTCTCTCATGGCTTGTCGATCCAACTTACCACCTGCCTAGCCCTGAGGCCTACAACATGATGTTGCGGCAGATGGCCGTCGACGTCCGCCAGATCCAGCAGGTGAGCTCCGTTCTAAGCCCGCTGGAGCGAGCAGTCACGGCGATCAATGATTGCCGCGCCTGTTCGCTTTGGCCTTCCTTCTTTTCACTCACGTAAGGACTAGCCGGCGTCTACGCCCTTGACCACCAACGCTCCAGTCGAGGAGTCGTCGCCGCCCAAGAAACGCAAACGAGTCGTCGAACCCGTACGTGTAATCTGTTTCATTCGTTTCACTATGTTCTGATCGACTCCCAGGCGGCTTCAACCGAGCAAGTCGCCGCCCCTTCGTCGTCCCGGCCTGTCAAGCAGAAGGGGAAGGGTGACGGCTCCAAGCCGCAGGCCCCTGCCGCCGTCGCGGGCAGCAAGGTCGCCGTCGCCAAGAAGTCGAGCGAGAAGTCGCAGGGGAAGCGACCCAAGGCGACTCCTGTAAAGGAGCCCAAGGCGTCGTCCCACGCGCCTACTCGTAAGTGGCTCTTTCTTTTCATTCACCAGAGTCGCGGGTACTGACTTGTCGTAGCCGCTACCTCGGTCCCTGTTCCACAGGGGTCACCTCCCAAGCGCGTCCACAAGAAGACGCACGTAGGTGTGTGATCCTATGTCTTATTCATTGATCTTTAGACTAACCATTTGGTCCCTCCCAGCCCGCATCCAAGCACAGCCCGTGCAGCCCGAGTCCCTCAGCGATGAGGAAGCCGCCGCCGTCGCCGACACTGCGATGGATGTCGACGACGAGGGGGCCCAGGAGGGAGACGCGTCATCGGCCGACGAGCTGGCCCTTCAGGTAAGTGACCCAGTTCGTCGATCGCGATTCCTTCGTCTCATGGTTGGTTTGTTTTTGACAGGGGCCCAAGTCCAAGGGGAAAGCGCGATCGAATTTGAGTGCGTTCTTCCTCTTGCCCCCCTCTGTCGATTACTCATACTTTCGTAGCCCCGTCCGTCATCGTCATGGACGACACCTCCGAGAGCGGAGAGGAGACCGGCGACTTCGTCGTGACCAAGAAGCAGGTCAGCGAGACCCGCGTCAAGCCCAAGGTAAGCCGGCTCCTTTTTCCCAGACCACGCCCCTTAATCCAGCTTTTTAGCCAATCAAGAAGGTCGCGGACGGATCGTCCAAGTCGACCAAGTCCGTGCCTCCCCAACCGGTGCCAAAGGTGGAGGCCAGTCGCAAGGCGAGCGCCCCGCGAGCGACGACTACCCCGACCCCAGTGGCTAAGGTGAGACACTAATCTTGGGTTCCAGACGTCGACTAACTCAATTTTCTTTCTTTTCTAGGTTGCCCAGGCGGCTCCCGCCGCTACCAAGACTCCACGCAGTGAGTTGGGCAGGGTGGCCGCGACCCTTGGTCGCGAGCGGAGTGTCGCTGCGGCCAAGGCCGAGCTCAAGGCTCAGAAGGCAGAAAAGTCCGTTGCGGCGGCCAAGAAGAAATCTGACTCGGTGAGTCGCGACTTTTTCTTGTCGTCGACTTTTTACTGACTTGACTGTTTCTAGACTCCTGTGAAGGCGTCGGCCCCCACGCCCCGAGCTCCGTTCACTCCCGCCGCCTACGACACCGAGGCGCTCCTTTCGGTGGCACGTCAAGGGTTCGCGGGGAAGTTGGAGAGGGCCGGCGTCGAGGTGCCAACCGACTTCGTACGTTTCTTTATCTTTTTCTGCCATGCCTCGACGGCTGACTCCCTTTTTCATAGGAGGTCGCGCCAAGGCCCTGCGCGATGTGCGTGACGCGGCAGCGCGTCTGCTTCAAGAGCGTCGACGGGCGCCACGGCAATCGGTGCGCCCCGTGCGTGCTCTATAAACAGACTTGCACCAACGGCTACAAGCCCGCGGAGCAGCTGTATATGGGGCAACGCTTCGGGTACATCGCGCAGATGAGCGCGGACGGTAAGAGTCCACTCTTATCATTCATTTCTATTTTTGATCGTTTCTGACGACGTCTTCAGATCTCAACAAGTCCGCCAACCGTCTCGCCGACACCTTGGACGCGTACGGCGGGCTTCTTCGCACGGCCAACGAGATCCGCGTCCTGGCCATTGGCCAGTTCCGTGATTTCGTTGGTCAGCTGAAGGAGCACTTCGACGACGGCTCGGACGAACGCATCAAGGCGATGTTCGTCCACACCGCGACCGAGATCGACGCCGCCGAGATGGCCGACATCCGCAAGGGTGTTCGGATGATCTTGGCCCACGGGGACTTGTTGGATGGCGAGGCGAACGAGCGGTTCGCGGCACCCCCTGCCTTCTTCGATCCCTTTTTCTATCGCGAGATGGAAAAGATGGAGAAGCAGTTCCAGAGGGAGATCGAGAAGGCCCAGGAATTCGACAAGTCGGACCCCGCGACCGTCCAGGATCAAGCGTTCCAGCCTGGCGAGGACCACGAGATCGACGTCGCGCACTTGGCGAGTAGTCGTACCCGTGCGCCTTCCTCGTCGCCCCAGCCTTCGCCATCGCCGCCTCCTGTTGCGTCGTCGTCCCAAGCCGTTTTACAGGTCTTGGCCTTTTCCGACAACTACAGCGAGACCTCGGCCGAGTCCACCAAGGCCGCTTCGGATGAAGACGCGGAGGGTGAAGAAGACGGGTCTGCCGGCAACGAGAACGCCGACGACGGGAAAGTCGAC